CGCCACCAGGACCATCAACAAAGAACAATCGGGCTGATTCGTTGCTTCCATGCGTGACACTCTAGAGAATTGCGTGGTATACGGCATGTTGATAACGGTTTAGGTACTCGTGTGTTTGGGGAACATTGGCAGCGTCTGCGATGAGATCGAATTGTTCTCTTACCAGTCTGGGCTGACGGCGAAGTGTGCTTCTGCCAATTTCTTGGCGATCAGGAAGAACAAAGCGATCGTAACTCAGCAGTGATCTCGATTGGCGGTTCAGATGCTCGTCAATGTCCAGCAAAGCGCGATCGTACACGATTTGGGGCGGCTCAATTTTGATGATCATTGTCTTGATTTTGATTGCTCCAAAAATGGAAATAGTCTTCTGCCAAATGCTGGTGGAACTGCATCCAAAGCGCAAACGGGTCAGGAGCCTGACATTTTCTGTCATTGCCGGCATGATACATTGCTGCTGCAGCACGATCGTGGTCCTTGTAAACATACTTGTACAGGTATTTGACGCTTTCCAGAGAAGTACAGATTTCGACGTTAATGTGAGCGTTATATCTTGCACAGAGATATCGATTGTGGGGAACAACCCATCTATGTCCAACTGGACATGGTTCTTGACCACAAAATCACCATTGTTGCGACGACGGTATAACGGGTAACCACTGTGATCTTCGATAGTAGCTTCTTTGAAGGAGCGCGGGTAACGCTTTTTACATGAGCCGTTTTCCATGCAGGGAGACCTCGGATGCGTTGTTCCACACGGACCGTGCATCATACATCTGCTGACGGTGTCGTAGAGATCAGGAAATCTCTCTCTGTCAGGAAGTTCGGCACACACGATACGATCATAGTCATCAAGTGTTCTCGGCTTATCCTCCGGAGTAACACCAAAAGCAAATGAAGATGCAGTAAGCCTCGCTTGTAAAACTCCGCCGTGTGTACATGGGTAACGACTCTTCCCAAAACATGGTTCTTCTTTAGATCTTCCATCAGAGCTTTACGCTTCATGTTAAAAATTCGAGCGCAAAGGTCGGGCCGATCAACAGCTGTCTGGTTTCGTTTCAACCAATCTTATAAAAATTACCCAATCAAAGCCGACAAATGTAGCAAAAACCCAATGTGGCTGCCTTGTGACCGAAAATTAGCGCGCATAACTCCCAAACATTTTAATAATGGTAGGTATTTTAAAGGTGCCTTAAATAGGGTGGGCAAAAAAAAGGTTCTTTATTCATTGATGCAATGGAATATACATATGAAAGAGATGATACAAAAAGCGGTCTATGACAAATTACTTTGGTGTGGCCAGCAGGTGAAACAGACTTGGATCGACCGTCGGTGTGGAGACCAGGGAACCAAAGCAGCAAGCAGGTGGTGAATGACGTTCATGACAGGCGATAACAGAACGAGAATGGGAAAAAAAAGAAGCAACTAACCAAATTTCATGCTCCTTTTTCTTTTATCTTTTTTCAAACAAGGTGACAAGCAACCCAGCATTCTGTACATGCTGTAGAATAAAGAAAACTCAAGTCAAGATACATGGCTCTCGTCTATCTGGAGAAACAGCAAGTGAGGTGTACGCAGCCATGAAGGACAAGAACATCGTTGTAATCCATGTGGCCCAAGCTCGACCACCAAAAGTACGTACAATTGAAAAGAAATAGCTCGGTAGTATACATGGGTGAGCTTACTTTTTGCCTAATTGTGCTTTTGCAACATTTAAAAATCAAGACGACGTCTCGGCGCTTTTTAGCAGATATAAGGACTTTGGCTTGGAGCTCTTCAATGAGCCTGTTAACGTACAGCCCACTCGGGCCGATGAGGTCGAAGTAAGATACAGTCAGCAAACGATCGAGAACTTCGCGGTACGGACGGACCAGTCTTCGTCGACGCTTTCCTCGGCTGCCGTCACCAGTCTATTGCCTGCCACCACTGCCACACCATCAACCTTGTAGACTAGAGTTTTATTGCGACTCATCGCACTCATTTGTTCACTTGACAAGAATAAAATTGATAATGTTGGGGAAGGAAATTTGCATTGACAACATAACATCTGGCCCTTGCATATTTAAATTAGTGGCTCGAAATTCCTGTTTGTCTTCTGTCGTACTGGTACATACAGTATTTCAGTGATAGATGCACTTCGATTTAATTTCAGCAGAATTTTCTGGCATGCATGCCTGTTTGGCGTTGATTGACAAAGTTTTTTAAAAGAAACTTTGAGTTTTGGGTTAGTCGCATGTGTAAATACGAAAGTTGCCGCAGAAGCGAAGGATAAAAAAGTGGTACGCACCGGCCCCTGCTATCAATGATGGTTTCGTTGAAGTTTTCCCATATCCTCAAAAAAGTTGATCCATTACACGCTTGCATAGAAAGATTGAAGTATTAGCAGATAGGAAATTTTTTATTATTATATAACTGAGAATAAAGCGTGGCTCAGAGAGCTCGTACATTTCTTCATCCTTCGCTTCGGTGACAACTTTCGTATTTACACATTGTGATGTATCCACTACTTGTCGATATTCATCCTAAGCTGATGTTTCCCAAACAGGAAAAAACGGAATTTAGACGTGTTCCCATTTTGAGTGAGCTTCTCCATTAGAACGCCGATTGAGCCTCCATCCATAACTTGGATCTAACGCGAGATCAATTCATATGGGTAACGCTGTCACATTAATCATCTCGGTCCTTCCAAATACACATTATAACCGAGAATTGCTCACTGATAATTATTGATTCTGACTCAAGACTAAAAGTATAAATAGGCAGATCACATTAATCGAAATAAACACATCCAACAGTTTGAGAGGATTATCATTGTCTCTTTTGTTCCAAATTCTCTTATATATCATAACACTGATGCAAAGCTCGAAGTTATTTTAAAGCATTTTGGGCAATCAACGTCAAACAGACATCCATGCCAGAACGAAAACGCTGTAGAGACTAAATCGAAGTGCATCTATCTCTGAAATGCTGTATGTACCAGTACGGCAGAAAACAAACGGAAATTTCGAGCCACTAATTCAAATATGCAAGGGCCAGATGTTATGTTGTCAATGCAAATTTCCTTCCCCAACATTATCAATTTTATTCTTGTCAAGTGAACAAATGAGTGCGATGAGTCGCAATGAAACTCTGGCCTAATAGGTTGATGCTGTGGCCGTGGTGGCAGTGGAGGCAGTGGTGGCAGTGGTGGCAAAAGCGCAACTAGGGCAAAGAGGTGAGCTCACCCATGTATACTACCGAGCTATTTCTTTTCAATTGTGCTTACAGTTGATGAGAGCCATGTATCTTGGCTTCACTTCTTGTTATTTTGTAGCTTTTCAAGAATTTCGAGTCGTTGGTCATCTTGTTTAAAGGGGAAGAAGAGCATGAAGAGAATGTGAGGGGCCTCACAAGCATCTCTTGAATTAATAGAAAAAAAAAGTCATTGCAAGATAAGCCTGCTGTGTTGTGACTAGATTGTGTCGGATTTTTTGGTCTCGTGAGGATGTCGCTTTCCTAAAACTTCATCGAAAAGGTATAACGTATTGTTGCCAGAAACCATCCTGTAAAAAGAATATTCACACGAATTCCCTTTGGAATAGTTGATAAATACAAAGTAACTTTACCCTGGGGAAGAATTTGACTCCTTCGGACGATCAATCAGCCAATCATCAGGCGACCTAAATCTGGACATCTTTTTGGTATCGAACTGGCCTCCCAAATATTCCTGGGACTGTTGTGGCTCTAGCATACTCTTTTGCTCGTTGATTAGGAAATCAAGCCGCTCCAGATGATCGATCACTTTCTGTACCGAGATCCGCATGCGTCCTTTTGTTTCTCTAATATACATAAATCGTCGAGGTAATAGACTACGCGCATACCTTTCGCCCGTGAATATTCAGTCGCATAGCGCACCAGCTTCAAAAAAATTCTCGGCGCGACACTCAGGCCAAAAGCGAGGGAAGTGTATTGATAAGCTATCTGCTTGTTCTCGAATGCCAAGTATTTCTGAGAGTCTTTGTAGATAGGGACCACCACATATTCGCTTTTGAGATCGACCTTGCACATAAAATCGACCTTCTCGATAATCTCCCGCAACGCCGGAGCACCTTCCGTTTTGAAGTGTTGGACCTGTAAAAATTCGTTTAACTTCGTGTAGTTCTGAATAAGGCGACGTTTTGTTGGTTCCTGGATGGTAAAAAGCTGAGAGATAACTCCTGTCCTGTGTAAATGAAGGTCGGATGATACCGACCTAAACGAATCTCTGTACCGCTTAGTCGACGGCTTGTTGTTCTTCTGGATTAATCCTCAATGGGGTGGATTTCCAAGGACAAGTGTCTTCTGAAATTGTAGCCGATAGCTATATTCAACCTACCGAGATCGGACATGAGTGGGAGGTTATCGATTTCTAAGGTTGTAACCGCTCCCGCCCCCTGGCAATATGCCATCTGGAGGAATCGAATAGTTGCGTTGAGATGATGCTAAACCGATCTTTACTGTTTGTTGCTGTTATTGCTGTTGTTATAAGGGCTTGTATTGGGTTTATCATGTAGTTGTTGTTCGATGGGCCTCCCCCGTGAGGGCCAATTTTCTCGGCCTGTCCCTCTCTGGGATAAAACACCGCGTCTTCTCCGGTACCCATGGATTCATCTTTCGCTATTACGGCCGCGGTAGGTACTGGGTCGAATGGGAGTGTTGATGACGGTATCTGTCTCCAGTAACTCCTGGTAATATCTCTCGATGAATTCTTGGGCGAAGGCATATTTTTTCTCACCGCTTTCTGGAGCCTCCAGGTGTTTAAGACTGTATGGAGCTTGAGAGCCTTTCTAGTGGCTTTGCTGGCTTCAGCTTCTTGTTGTTTTGCTATGCTGGATCCAAAGACTTCCAGACTGCGGGCTTTTTTCACTGTTTGGCGTAGAGGTCTTTTTCTTCTTCTTGCCATCCGCATTCCTCCATGTACTGGAGACTCTCGAAGATTTCCGTTGCCGCTCTTACTTGTGCTTGTAAATGTTTGAAACGAGCTGAAAAGAACCGATCTTCCATTGTTCGAGTTGGCCGATAAATTTGGGGATTGTACTCTCAACCGTGTTCCATTCCTCATTGTTATACCTTGTGATCGATTGTTTATATTTCTGTAAGGCCTTGTGAAGTTCGTAGGACTGGTAAGAATCCAATTCTTCGCAAAATTTCAACCGTGAGGTTGATCCCTCTCTGTCTTTGCTCGGCTTCGTCGACTTGAGACTCTCGGACTCGTCTTGTGGCTTGTTCGATAAGAGCATCAACTTGTTATTTGGTAAATACCGTTTGTTCCCCATTTAGATAGTGGGCTGATTACTCATAATTATTCCACGGTGTGCGGTTTAAAAAGCTCTGAAGCAGTAGCAGATAGAAAATTCTATAATTTCTATTATCATCTTGATATTTATGATGACTGTAAATGCGGGTCTCATCCATATGAATGAAAGCACAAAATGTTACATAGGGCAGTATTTCTGGATACAGCAAGATCTCATTTACTCCATCTTTTCCGAATTTTTCTTGGTATGGCGCATGATTGGTGGCCATGTGGATTTGTTGTCGGCCCCAAGCACGATGGTACTTCGTTGTTGGCGCCCATGCTATTGGAGACGACCATGATTGAAATTTTTGCAATTTCAAAAAAAAAAAAAAAAAAAAAAAAGCAATCTCTACTGTTCAATTTTTATGTTCATTCTTTCGGTGTGGAAGTGAGCGAAGGTTGTTTATTCTAGGAGTAAGACAAATTCTAATATTTTTTGCTTAAACTTGATTTCAGCAAGAGCGCTTGCCTTCTCACGCTCGAGTCTGTCAATATCACTATCTAATGATTGCAAACAAGCCCTCTTTCTTGCAATGTCTTCTTCCATTAAGTGGAGGAGCTCTTTTAATAGCCTATAAATCATCAAATTGAACCATTTAAGAGCTAAGATCAGGTGAATCTTCCCTATCATCAATTCTTTACCTTTTCCAAGGATAAGGCTGTGTGATAGTGGTAGCAGTGGTGGCAACAGTGGTAGTGGTGGCAGTGGTGGCAATGGTGGCAAAAGCACAACTATGCAAAAAGGTAAGCTCATCCATGTATACGACCGAGCTATTTATTTCAATTGTACTTACATTCGATGGTCGAGCTTTGCTGCTTGTTGACGATAGCCATACAGCTTGGCTTCATTTTTTGTTATTTTGTAGCTTTTCAAGGATTCTGCGTCGTCGGTCATCTTGTTTGAAAGAGAGAAGAGCATGAAGAGAAAGTGAGGGGCCTCACAAGCATCTCCTGAATTAAATAGAAAAAAAAAAGTCATTGCAAGATAAGCCTGCTGTGTTGTGACTAGATTGTGTCGGATTTTTTGGTCTCGTGAGGATGTCGCTTTCCTAAAACTTCATCGAAAAGGTATAACGTATTGTTGCCAGAAACCATCCTGTAAGAAGAATCTTCACACGAATTCTCTTCGGAATAGTTGATAAATACAAAGTAACTTTACCCTGGGGAAGAATTTGACTCCTTCGGACGATCAATCAGCCAATCATCAGGCGACCTAAATCTGGACATCTTTTTGGTATCGAACTGGCCTCCCAAATATTCCTGGGACTGTTGTGGCTCTAGCATACTCTTTTGCTCGTTGATTAGGAAATCAAGCCGCTCCAGATGATCGATCACTTTCTGTACCGAGATCCGCATGCGTCCTTTTGTTTCTCTAATATACATAAATCGTCGAGGTAATAGACTATCATAGGCGCATACCTTTCGCCCCTAAATGTTCGATCGCATAGCACATCAGCTTCGAAAAAATTCTCGGCGCAACACTCAGGCCAAAGGCGAGGGAAGTGTATTGACTACCTGCTTGTTCTCGAACGTCAAGTATTTCTGGGAGTTTTTGTAGATAGGAACCACCACATAGTCGTCTTTGAGATCGACCTTGCACATAAAATCGTTCTTCTCGATAATCTCTGTAAAAATTCGTTTAACTTCGTGTAGTTCTGAATAAGGCGACGTCTTGTTGGTTCTTGGATGGTAACAAATGCTGAGAGGTGACCCTTGTCCTGTGTAAATGAAGGTCGAATGATACCGACCTGAACGAATTTCTGTACCGTCGAGACTGCTTGTTGTTCTTCTGGATTCATCCTCAATGGGGTGGCCATTACGGTAGTGAGATGATCGCTCTAATTATTCCACGGTGCGCGGCTTAGAAAGATCTGAAGTAGTAGCAGATATAAAATTTTATTTTGTTATCATTGTGAGTTTTATGATGACTGTAAATGCGGATTTGATCCATATGAATGAATGCACAAAATGTTAGATAAGGTAGTATTTCTGGAACAGCAAGATCTCATTTACTCCATCTTTTCCGAATTTTTCCTGGTATGGCGCATGATTGGGGGCCATATGGATTTGTTGTCGGCCCCAAGCACGATGGTACTTCGTTGTTGGCGTCCATGCTATTGGAGACGACCATGATTGAAATTTTGCATCTTTCAAATTTATTCCATTAATTTACGAGCAAGTTCTAATTTTTCTTCCATTGTCCTGATATTTCCAAGGACGTTTTCCTTCTGTTGTTGAAGTCTATTTATGTCGTCGTCCAACGACTCCACGCGTGTCCTCTTGGTTTCGATGTCTTCTCTTCTTTCAACATCGTGATAACCTCTTCCAATGGCCTATAAATCATCAAATGAACAATTTAAGAGCTAAGATCAGGGAAATCTTCCCTATCATCAACTCTTTACCTTTTCCAAGGATAAGGCTGCGTGGCAGAGGTGGCAGTGGCGGCAGAGGTGGTAATGGTGGCAGTGGTGGTAATGGTGGCAGAGGTGGCAGTGGCGGCAATGGTGGCAATGGTGGCAGGTAGTGGGCTGGTGACGGCAGCCGAGGGAAGCGCTGACGACGACTGGACCGTTCGTACAACGAAGTTCTCAATGGATTGCTGAGTGTATGTCACTTCGACGCCATCGTTTTGGGTGGGTTGCACGTTAACGTGCTCATGGAAGAGCTCAAAGCCAGGCTCCTTGTATCTGGTGAAAAACGCCGAGGCTTCGTCGTGACTCTTGAAGTGTGCAAAAGCACAACTAGGCGAAAAGTAAGCTCACCCACGTATACTACCGAGCTATTTCTTTTCAATTGTACTTACTCTTGGTTGTCAATCTTGGCCACATGGATCACAACCATGTTCTTGTCCTTCATAGCTGTGTAGACCTCACTTGCTGTTTTACGCCAAAGACAAGGGCCAACTAATTTGACTTGTTTCTTACCCAGTCTACAGCCTGTGCAGAATGTTGGGTTGTTGATCATCTTGCTTTTTTTTTAAAAAAAAAAAGAGAGAGCTTGAAAGAGAAAGTGATGGCCTCACAAGCATCCCTTGAATCAAACAAAAAAAAAAGCCATTGATAAAGCCTGCTGTCTTGTGACTAGATTGTGTCAGATTTTCGTGGAAATCCGGGAGAAAATGGTGAAAAGCGAATGCTAGCAGGATCGAACGAAAATAAGATAATACAGAGATGGAAGGATGATTATGATGTTTGCGTATGATTCTTAAGATTTTGTACAATGAGGTGTTATTGTGCTTATTTCATAAAAAGCTTGTGTTCTGACTATCGCAATCTTGTGCGAAATAATATAAGAGAAAGGGAGCGCAAGCAAGACGACGTCACTCATCAAGCCTTATCATTGCCAGGGAAACGTTTTCTGTGGTCAAACTGTAATTGTTGACAACTCTTAACGATCAAGTAGTCCCATTGTTTTTAAGGGGCGACTGGCCCGGTGTTTATTTGCCCGCACGTCCTAATGAGTGGTACGAACAAGGCGTGAAACTAAAGCATATGGGACATGAGAGTGGAACTAACTGGAATACATATTTAAGGATGGAGATATAGGCATAGAAAGGTGAGTTAACTAGTCGGAATGCTGCATACTTTGGGTCGTAATATGTCGGTTGAGGTGCTTGAAAACGAAGTGTCGGGTGTCGGATGGTAATAATAGAAATTTTAAAAGGGAACGTCGTCGAAAATGAAGTGATAGCGGACTTTCCATATATACAAAAGAATGATGGTAATGATAGTCGAGCTTGGAAGGATTGACGGTGGGGAGGGGAGAAGGAAAGCAGGTAGAGGGCATGGTTTAGACAGGAGGAGTGGCAGAGAGAAGAAGAAAATCAGACCATAGCGTAGACCAGACTTTCCATTTGACGGGGCATTTATATAGGGAATGTGACATAGTTTCCGGTTGAGTTAGCATAGGCGACACATAGAAGAAGGGAATTGGCTGGGTATGATGTGGTGTGGAAGTGACAGGTGAGGAAGTTTATCTTGGAATAGACGTTACCAAATGTTGCGAATAACGGAGGGAAGATAGAGGGATCAGAAGCGGGTCCATGGGAAAGATGGGGTATTATATTCTCTGTCTATTATTTTTATATCATATATATTTATTTTAGGATAATAACATTTATCATCTAAGGTAGTAAAGCAGAGGTCCCTGAACTCAATGTCAAAATGTGGTGACGGTAAATTTTGAGGGGTAAAGCCAATTAGCGAAGTATGAGGGGAGGAGTAGGCGGGAGTAAAGGCCGAGATGTCGGAAAGCAAGGCTGTAGACGTCAGTGTTGGAGTTCGAGAAGGCCCGAGAAATATGCGTAAAACTTAAGTGCAGATTGTTATGCACTGGTTACGGAAGGGTCAGTGCAACTAAGCAAGGCGAAGGTGTTAAGGGCTTTGGCAAGGCAAAAACAAGAAAAGAGAAGAAAAGAATAAAAGCAATAATAGAAGAATAAGATAAGAATAAGAAAGAACAAGAACAAGGACAAGACAAGGCGGAACAAGATAGTACTGGAGAATACGCAATTCTTGACTGAGGTTTATTTCATGAAAAGAGATCGGATATTTATACTAAGGATACGAAACAGAACAGACACGATAATAAGATAACAAGCCGTACACCCGCTGTGCAATGGATGCCGCCTGCCAACGGAGGCCGCCCTCTTACATTGAGCGACTTTCGTCAGACAAAAAGCCTAACGCAATACGGCATAACCTGGGCGAGACTCTTGATGGAACTTTGGTATATTAATGTCAATACTCTGGCATACCGTACAGTCATGATTTTCCAAACAAGTGTGCAGAAGCACTTGTTGATCCCCTCAGTCCAGTCCCGTCCCGCTCAAGGTTATGATAGATCTAGAATGATGTGTGGGAATGTTGGGTATTTAAAAAAAATGAGTTAGTAAGCTCTTTGATTGATTCAAGATATTTTACCTTTGTTATTTGAGTTTTCGATAGCCATTGATCGCTTGATGACTTGGATTATATGACATTGAAAAAATTTTGAATTAGTATATTGCTCATTGTTCATTCATTGGTGTGTGTCAATTTTTATTTATTTTAAAGGCAATCATTCATACTTATAGAGCTCTATTTTCATGCAGTTTCTTTTTGCTTTTAGAAAGTGGTCATTCACACGTCTTTTGTAGCTTTAATTTTTATGCAGCTTCTTTCTGCTTTTTATCTTTACAGTCTTTATCTTCAGTTTTTATTTTGGACTTTTTCTTGGAAAAAGGGTGAATTCATTGTTCTTTGGAGCTCTATTTTTGAAGCTTTTTCTTTTTCGCTTTTATATTTAAAGCTTTTATTTTTGAGCTCTTTTCTTCTTCTTGTCTTCGTTTTTCTCGCACTTCGGTTCAACTAAGAAGTACCGGTACTATTTTATTTCATCAAGTTCCTAGCTGCATTCCATCGCCCAGACTATGGCTTTCCCGTGTAGCTGACTCGGTTAAATCGACCATCACAATCAGAAGGTACCATCAAATGGTTTTTTATCAGTTCTTCAACAAGGAAAAACTTACCTGTTCTTTTTTCTATTCTTCCTTAGCTTTTGGTTTTCTCTCCGGTTTTCTTTTTCGCCTGGCAAGTCATCTATCCCTCCAAATCTTTCGACTTTGTTTCGCGCATCAAATGTTGCCAATCCGGTTTTTGTCATCAAAAGGGCATCGTCGGTGGTGTGACGTTCTTTTTCATCGGCAACGCTTACGCGTCCTCCTCAGCTTGGCTTCACCTGGATTACTTCCCGTGGTATCGTCTTTGATATTTCTTCCCGACCATTTTATTTCGTAGTTTGTAGTTTGTATATTTGTATTTTAGCTATAGTCTTCTTGCAGTCTTTTCCTCCTTTTTTTCCCACAGGGTTTTTAGGGTGTTTTTACAGACGCCCCTATTGTATTTACTTTTTTTTTTATATTTGTATCGTTTCTTTTTTTTTTTCGATCGGGAAGATCTGGATATCTGCTGCCTCACACAACGAAGGTAAAATATCTTGACGGCATTTGAATCAATTAAAAACTTACTAACTCTTTTTTTTTAAAAAATACCCAATAACCTTGGGCGGGACGGGACTGAAGGGGTCAATAAGTGCTGCTGCACACATGTTTGGAAATCATGTACTGTACGGTATGCCAGAGATTGACATTAATATACCAAAGTTTCATCAAGAGTCTCGCCCAGGTTATGTCGTATGCGTTAGGCTTTTGTCTGACGAATGTCGCTCAATGTAATGGGGTGACGTCCAGTAGCAGGTGAATCCATTGCACAGCGGGTGTACGGCTTGTTATTTCTTCATCATCTATAAAGGAAAATTGTTCCTTGCAGACATTTGCCACGACTGTTGTAGATATATTCTTTTTAATCCCACTGCTTGATACAACATTCAATCTTCCGATTTGTGTTTGATGGGCTTTGGTCGGGTGGACGACATTGGAGGCTAATTTAGACACGATTGAAGGATTCCCAAAGTAGCATATCTTCTATGTTGCTCATTTGGGTTGAAGTTGTCGTATTTGACATACAAATTCACTCAGCCTCGTACTATCTCAACTGTTCCTCTATATAATATTCATGTTCCATTACCGTACACTCTTATCCTTCTATTTATACAGTCTCGATACTCATCGATAACCAAACGATACCTTTCCACCATCCCTGATCCGTCCATTTGTCGTATAACTTGGTTATACACTATTCGAAACCGGACTCTACTAAATCATACAAATAACCATCACAAAATACAAGAGTATAAAAGATTGAGTGAATCAATGGGCGACATAGGTATCTGTTCATGATATCTTATAATCTAATGGTTGACTGTGGGCTACCAAGCCTCGACTGTTGGCCACTTTGAAACGGACTAAGAGATAAGGATTAAAGCAAAAAGAGGTTTTAGAACAAAACGAGGGGAAGTCGGAGAGGATCCTACATAACAATGGATGAAAAATACATGCTTACAACAAATAAAAAAATAAGGGAGTATAGGAGAGAGCGACATGATAGACAACTGTATAAAAAAAAAAAGAGGCAAACTGGCAAGTGGAAAATAAATTACTTGAGAAATTACTGTAGAATGGCGGTGGTAAGGCTATTATCGACCAGCTTAAGTTCAAAAATCACTTCCGTTCCAGCCACACGATCGTCCATGACTCCGTGAATTGTATCATTGGAATCCGGTCGAAGACAGCGGATATCATTGCCGGGTATCACCTGAACCAAGTCACCCTATCACGACCGATAACGAAAAGCAAGAAGCCCAGAATGGTTAGAGAAATCATGCTAAAGATAGTGGACTCGTGGAAAGCTTACCGTGTTTATGTGGCGCACTTCAATGAAATTGGCATTGAAAGCAACAATGTACGGGAACCGGAAAGCAAAAGCGGACGGGCTACCTTCCCAGTAAATGGCCCAATCGTCTCGTACGCGTCGACCCTTCTTGTCAATGTAAAACGCCATTTCTAATTTCGCCATATCACATTGGATTAAATTCGGTCGCACATTATAAACAAATCAGGCAAACTGGATCCTACCGTTATAACAGAGAAGGATATTTCCGTCTCGATGTCGAAACATGGAGATCGGTTTTAGGCTTTCGCGCTGCAATACACTCTTGTTTTGGTCATCCGTAGGGTCCAACACACCTGAAAAAGACAAATAGCACAGCTGGTTGTTAGTCACCGCTAATCCTGGGATGGTGAATGACACTTACTCTGGACTTCGGCCGAACTGATGTTCACCATTTGAAATCCGCGCGCGCTGCCGACACAAATGATGTTTTTGAAGAACTGAAGGGATGAAGCTTCGCCTGGTATGTACAGGTCCTTGTATATTTTTAGCACTTCATTGGATCCACGAATCAGTCGTCCAAAGTTGTGTTTGCTTTTTTTCTTGGGATCGGTGTTTTCATAGGGTTCAAGCGCACGAATCGTAGAGGTGATGGCATTAAATCGCACAAAACAGACCAAAGTCTTTTCCGTTGGCTTATCCGGATCATTCTTGTCAAGAATCTTACCCACTTTGAAGAACGACACGTGGCTACTAATTTTACGCCCTCGCTTAATCCCGGACTCATGCGACAAGAGCGTTTCCAGTGAATAGGTGTAGAGCGTCTTGTCTGCAAGCACAAGGATCAACTTGGGACCTTCCAGTACATCGATCTGCGACACTTTTTCCATGGCAAGAATCCGTACGAGCTCCGTCCCCTTTTGGTTGTTCTTCTTCAAATAGACGCCTTGGTCACTACCGAGAACCAAGTGATTCCCATGGTCTAGAAGTACGTATAAAAATGCGTGAGAGATGCGTAACAAAACAAAGGTACGGATCATGACGACTAATAGCTTACCAAAGGTGGCGATGCAGTTGACCTTGTTGAATGAACTAAAGAACTTTTCACTGATGGGTACGACGTCAAACACTTTTTGCTTGTCAACAAGGGCTTGGCGTTGGGTTTCAATCTTTTCCACCCATTGTCGACGACTGGCCATGGTGGTGGCATAAAGTGTAATGGGGCCTGTGCCTTGTTTTCCTAAATGAACCAGTGAAATGGGGTAGCCCGTTTTGCCGCTCGGCTGAAGCGGGATATCCAGACTACTGAGAGATGTCGAACCCGTGCTGGGGCGTCCATAAGGTATAATGGTACTTGCTCGCTTGTTGGTCTGATCCGGTAGCGAGATGGACAGTAACGGTAAAGGGATGGGTTTTCTTTGCAGCTTGTACTTTTCCTCATTGCGAATAAACTTTTGCTTGGTCACCAGCAAGCAGTGATCCAATAAGAAGACGGTCAAATCTGAGGATTCAGATCCACTGCCCTTCTTTTTCAAAGTGCCTTTCATTACAATTTGGCGCGATTCACTGCCTAGATCCAGATCCTGCCAAAAATAATAAACCACTCAGTTCTATCAAGAGGCCTGTATCGGCTTAAAAAACAACACTTACGAAATCCGACAATCCTTTGTACATGAGCCGTTCTTCCAGCAACTGAAGATTGAATCGATTCTCCGCCTTGCCTGTTTCAGTATTGACACTGCTGAGGAATTCGCTGATTATACTCATCGCCTTTGGAATATCGGTCTGATCGGGATGATCCCGTGGCGTATGTTTCAAAATTTCACGCAACAGTAAATTATACCGTCCCAAACGCGTCGTTGGCTTGGTGAGATATCCATTCAGTTCCAGTTTACGTGATTGAGCAAGTCGTTCAGTTGTCTGTAGAAACGAGAAATGTATGAACAAAATGCTTCGCTTGCTTTCTCGAGCCTCACCGAGATCATTCATATACAATGAATAAATCTTTTGATTTTTACCTGCACAAACTTGGCAAACTCTGGGTTGGTAGATTTTTCAGTTTCAAATATGTATTTACTGATCATTTGATGAGCGCCGTAATGCACAAAAGGCTGGAATTGACCGACGTGATTGAGCATCACAGATCCCACTTTGTGGACAACCGGATGCATGGATTGGGCCTTTTGCAAGGCCTCCAATAATTTCAAGTTCACACTGTGGATTTCCATGATATTCCAAAACAGCGAATGAACAAATTCCTGGCGACGTTCGCTGGGAATCATATTGCCTTCTAGCAATGGATTGATCCAATACTATCCATTGTTCCCAACCAACATGTCAGTACAGTCGTTCGATCTGTCCAGTCTTCGTGTCATTGTATTTACCTTGTTGAGGTAAGCTAAATCATCGACAAAATCCTTTTCAGTGTAAATCAGCTCGAAAATATTTTCTTGTCGTTTTCGTTCCGCATGGCTCAGTTTTTCTGAAATCTCTCGAGGGACATTGTTGATCCATAAACGATCATCCTGACGCAACGTAATGAGATAAAGAGGGCTACGTTCAACAGCAACGAGTGTGCATATCTACCTGCTCGGTGAATGAGCATTGACTGTTCGAACGCTGATGGCTTCGGGCGGCCGTACGCCGTGCTTGCTGTAACAGGACCCGATCAGAAACAGTGGAACCAAAAAAAAATGCCACGAATATATCTCATAGTATTGGTTTACCTGTTCAAGACGTCGTGGACAAAACACACTGTAGCAAAGTTTATCGCGTGTACATGTCGGGGAGTAGCAATCGGTGAGCACGGTGAACACGCCGTTGGGTAAACCTTCGTCGTCGTCTTTTCGGCATACGGGAAATTTCAATTCGGAGCGGTCTTCATCATCGTACGGTGTCAATGTTTCCTCATCATAGGCCAATAACTGGCTCTGGGGACGTACATTGATATGCTCTCGAAACTGATACAATTCCGATGGCGAATCACGTAGTCGATGCTCGTAATTCACATCGTGGAAGAATTTTTGAGCATCCAACGCACGACCCAGCAGAATAGCAAGGTTACGATCCTTTGTTTTGATCAGCTGCGCCAATTTGTCCTAGAAGATCCAAAATCTATGAGCTTCTTTTTTCCATCTTCACATTCACCAAACACAAACCGCACAATCCGTGGGGCTCCCTCCAACAACAAGTGATTGGATCCAACCCGCCACGTTCACTTACCACTGCTTCACGTCCGTCAAAGGCCTCTTTGTACTTGATACTGTCCTTGGTTCGGGTGGCTACAGTCACTCGCTCTTTCATCGCTTCAGCTACTTTGGATAAAAGTGCAGGATAGATGACGGGTAACGTTTCCTTGGTAGCGACAGGAACAATGGTGACAGGTGTCTCATTGCCAAAGGAAAACGACTGCGATCGTTCTCCCTGGATACGATGGCCGTAACGTCGTGGGGTGACGGGCATGTTGTAAACGCTTTCAGCTGAACGACGTAATGGAAGCGACATGGAAAACGATGTATCGGCTCGTAAATGTCTCAATTGATCTAATCTCAGAATTGAAACAAAGGCAGGTATGAGAACCTAATATCGATAGAAAACGGCCCACTCACACCACACCACCCATTCTTTCTACGCGTTACCCATTTTGCCGGTTCGTGACATTGCGGAGAGTTTGGCGCGCATGGGAGCGGTGGATCGAGATAAACGGGATAGAAGACTGGCACCACTAGTACTGCGGATACTGTCACGATCGCTGGATTGATGTGGTGGATGGTCGGATCCACTGCCATCCTCGACCACGATCTTGGGTTCGGCACCGGTTTTTGAACGAAAAATGGTGCCTGAACGCGAAACTTTGGTAGTCGTTGTATGGGATGACCGCTGATGAGCGTTTCCCCTGAAATCACCGACGGTTTGAATACTGGAGATCGAACGAGCGTCATCCAAATCGTTGTACTCCGTGCGCAAGGAAATAATCGAACCGGCATCACTGAAACTATGTAAACTTGGTGGGTTGGACGGTTTTTGAGCCACGTATGCTGCTGAACTCGATCGATAGATCAGATCGTCGCCCGCCTCTAGGGAGGTGGTATCTGATGATGAGTCTTGCGAATACAATCGCTGCCGAGGGCTGGGAATCCGTGATGATGCATTATCGTTGGTGTGGGAACCAATACTGTAGTCTTGAAGATAATGATGCGATTGATAATATTGGTTACGGATGGCTGCCGAAGGGGTGAGCGTGCTCGTGGAAGGCGTCGGTGTTTTCCAAGTACTGATACTGTCAGAGGAGGAGCCTATAGAGCTGAGACTGTCCAAGGTAAAACTTCGCTTGTATTCGGGTGACGAGTTATGACTGTCTGTTTTTGGACCGCTTGGTAGTTTGTATCGACTGTAGATGCTGGTGGAAGATGGTGTGGTCTTCTTGGTCTCGGTAGTGTCTAGTGGAGATTTGGTTTCGGGTTCGACCAACGACATGGTGGTGTGAGGACGCTCTTGCATTGACAGATAAGAAATAATGGGAACAAGTTCAGAACGGGCCAATTACTATGTGCGCATTCAAACTAACACAGCACACAGAATAATAAGCAGGCCAACGTCACACTGCAAGTGAGATGGGTGAAAGGAAAAAAGGAATGAATAAGATAGGAGATAGGAGAACTCGCAAACGACGGAGACACGCAAAAATAGCTTATTTCGGGGGCCGATGGAGAAAAAAAAAGCAGGGACACTTCGATTATGGCTTGCCTAGACCACCACCACCCATGACCTCCATTTATTTCAACTTGCTTTGACTGCTCGAAGGGTTGATAATCTTAAGCCCAAGTTCATATGTATGCCCATCAGGCAGTCGATAAAGTGATTATGCGCTATCCTTGTCCTTCAATCTCTTTGGTCCACTTGCTGCCTACGTTTATCATTTTGAGAGAACGCTGTACGATCACGGGTATGGCAGAGCCTCCAACCCTGTTTCTAGATTGTTAATTCAACACATTGAGTAGGTTGCTAATGGGAAAAAAATGCTTGGTTTTGCCGTCTGACGCGATGCAGTAACATATTGTAAATATCAATGCTTTGTGATGGTCACTGCAGCTCTAATGTCTAATGGAACAGATAAGTGAAAACTAGAGTTTTTATCAAGGCGCGGTGGGTGTCTGTTGTCTGCTGTCTGCTGTCTGCTGTCTGCTGTCTGCTGTCTGCTATGCAGTTAAGCTTTTTATAAAGTCAAAAATGAAACATGGCGAATGAAATTGGTTTTCATGCCACTTGAAGCTCATTTACCAAGCCGCATGCTGGAAAAAAAAACTACTCCACAAAGACGCGGTCCTTTTTTTTTGGCGGGAAACGTGATATAGCCGATACAAACACTAAAACATCCCTTCAACGCCCACTCATATAAAGGACATGAAGACCCGGGCTTTTCAACAGACGATAACTAATGTCTATACAGCATCCTGGTTTTTTTTATTATTTCCAGTAATTGTAATATTTATCTCCGTGTTGCTTCATATCTTCTGATAGATCATCCCATTTGGTGTGAGGTTGACCTGTGGCTGGGTCTATTTTTCTTCGCTTATTGCGTAAGCGGTCACGATCGTCTCTCAACCATTGATAACACAATCTCATTAATGGCGAATCCAATTGCTTTTGCGCAAAATGGGTCTCTTTCACTCGTTCCAACTCGATGAATTGCTGCATATCGTTCATCGACACAATCGTGCCGTCGGTAACATGAGCCACGTGAGTTGGCCATTCACCCAAACCTAATTTAACCACGTGTCAGTATCACTCAATTTCTACGCAGATGCAGGCATAATCAACTAAAGGCATAGCATAGCCTTACCATCAAAAATATGGGTTGCATAAACCTGAGGTCCAAAAAAAAAAAAAAGATTTACAATGGCTGAGTATGAATGAAACAATTCATCACTTGTGGATTTTTTCAAACGAAACTTACGATCGTCGCGCCACGAGTTTCCGATTCTTCACGAAGAAAATTAAGGAATTCACCGCGTACGAGAACATCCAAATCTACTGTAACCTCATCAAGGAGCAAGAGCTTCCATGGCTGCAACAGTCCCATAACAAGGTGTACACGGCGTCGTTGACCTAGAAACGCATAATAAACCAAATTTGAGAAATTATTATGCAACTTAACCACGTTCCCATCTTTAATATTTACCATCCGACACTTGATGCATGCGCCAATTCACGTCTACATCGAGCACTTGTAACAATCGTTGGGTACGTTCGGGCCAGCGGGAACTGCCCATACTGCGTAGCAAATATTCTACGTTCAAGTCGGATTTCACCACAGGATTATTGGCCCACTCTGTACCGAGATAGGTGACACCCTATGTTGTGCTTCAATAAAACAAAAACAAAAATGCAAAGGCGTTTTCCTCTGAGCGATTCCAACTCACATTGGGAGCGTCGACGAATGCACTTTTGCCGAGCACCTTGACATCGCCTGGAATCATGCGCTTTCCTGCCAGCATGCGCAGTAAAGTGGTTTTACCGGCGCCGTTGGCTCCTACAAGGATACAGCGGCTGCCGTAACGAAGCTGTAACGACAAATTGTCGAGAATGGTGGGTCCACCATAGTCAAAAGACAATGAACGTACTTCGACGGCTAAATCGTCAGACATTACGGAATATTACCAAGTAAGGTGGGAGCAGAACAATGGAATGACGGAAAATGCCATGCTTTCTCGCGGAGATGCTGCGATGTGACTGGCTGCCGCAATGAAAACACTCCGCATGCACCATCTCTCATCAATGATGCATTTTTCAAAGAAAAATCCTGCGAACAAAGAAGGTAAATTTGAGGGTATACTGTAAATCAACACGACAAGATGCCGACACAAGTGAAAAATGGTAGCTATATATATCTGCCGCAGAAACATGAGGCCCACGTATAATGGCTAACAATCATTAATGCAAATTTTACTCGCGCAGAAGAGAGACTATCACTATTGATTGTGGATGGAAAAATTTGATGGTGTTGAGAAGGTTCATTATGACGCTACATAGGCTTTGGGCAAGTTTCTATCCGGACGATGAGCATTCATATTTGTAAAACTGTTCGTCTCTAGGATGTTGGTTTTTGAAAAAGAACAATCCAACGTATAACTTGGAGGTTAAATATTACATCACAAACGAAACGAAAACGATCGATGCAGTACAAACTCGGCTGCTGCTATTATACGTATGGCGGTAATTTAAGCGACATCTCTCCTCTATTTGTGTGTGATGAATGCAAAGAGACAGCTCGGGAGGACAATGGTGTTGAAATAGATTATCACATGTAAGTACATTTTGGTCACCTGTTCTCACAATGTGGATTTGTATAATCGTTGGTTTTGCCATGATGCATTAAAGTGCATACAGCAACGCTGCTAAAAAAAAAAAAAAAAAAACTGCTGATTTGCAAACTTCACATGCTTTTCCCACTGACTTTTAATTAATTGGAATGACTGGTCGTTTTTCCCAGCGTCTGCGTCCCTTTTTCCCCGCATTGGTCCCCTTGATATCCAGTTTTTCTTATTTCTCTTTTCTTCCGCACTTCTTTAACAACGCCTCTTCTTCATTAAAACAGCCGGCCAAATCAACCCTTCCCCGCCCCCCAACTCTTTTTATTCATTTCTACTTTCACTGACTTTCATGGCTCCATTGAAGACGTTTACCAGAGACGAAGTAGCCAAACACAATACTGAAAGCGACTGCTGGATTATTGTTGATTCTGAAGTTTTCGATGTTACCAAATTCGCTGATTTGGTAAATACAATTCATACTGTAATTGGTTGGCATGTGCACAGTTGTTTTAACGGTTTGGTTGTGATATCGTTACAGCATCCTGGTGGCGCTCAAGCGCTCTTGATGTATGGTGGAAAAGATGCCACTGGTAAGCATCCTTTTTGTGCCGCTTCATCGACTATGACGCTTTCTTTTTAACCAACTTTGTTTATCTAGAGGATTTCTATGGCTTGCATCGTCAAGATGTTCTTTTGAAATACGCACCGCGTCTCAAGATTGGAAGCATTGCCGACGAAACGCCTCAAATCGAAGTCGCCGATCCCGCCAACTTCTCCAAAGTTCCCTACGGCGAACCCAGTTACTGGATGGGATTCAGAAGTCCTTATTTCACGTAAAACATCCCAATGTTTTATTACCATCTTTAATTTCAAGCAATTATTCAACTGACTGTCTTTGTGACGTTGTAGTGAAAGTCACACAAAGTTCCGTCAAGCTTTGCGCGCGATCTATGCAGAGATCAAGTCGGAAGCGTTCATGACGGAGGATAGTGGCAAAGCACCTTCTTCGGAATTGTACCAAAAATTGGGAGCCGAGGGAGTGTTGGCTACTCAGATCGGTCCTGGCCCATGGCTCAAGGGTCTTAAATTGCCTGGTGGCATTAAGCCGGAAGAATTCGATTACTTCCATGAACTCATCGCTCATCAGGAAACGGCTCGTATTGGTACCCCCGGCTTCGCCGATGGTATTTCCTCTGGTTACAGTATCGGTCTTCCTCCGATCTTCAACTTTGGTTCGGCAGCTCTGAAGCAGAGAGTAAGTTTCCTACTGCACTTTGTCATTTTTCACAAGATCTCATTTTCTTTTGGCATGAATAGGTCGTCCCTGAAGTGTTACTGGGCAAGAAGCGCATTTGCTTGGCCATTACTGAGCCGTATGCTGGATCGGATGTGGCCCGTATTCGCACTACGGCGAAACGTACCCCGGACGGCAAGCATTTTATTGTGAATGGCGTGAAAAAGTGGATTACCAATGGTACCTTTTCGGATTACTTTTCTGTTGCGGTGAACACGGAAAAGGGTATTACCATGCTTTTCATTGAACGTGATGACAATGTCGAAACCAAGGCCATCAAAACATCGTACTCGTCTGCCGCCGGTACCGCTTACGTGATTTTTGACAACGTCAAAGTGCCTGTGGAGAACATCCTTGGCAAGGAAGGCAAGGGATTCCAGGTTATCATGTACAATTTTAACCACGAACGTTGGTACATTTGCGGTGCCATCACTGGCGCAACACGCTCGGTCATTGAGGAATGTTTCAAGTGGGCGAACCAGCGCAAGGTGTTCGGCAAGCGTCTCATTGATCAGCCCGTCATCCGTAACAAACTGGCTTCCATGGTAAAGCAATGATGTCTATTCATTGGATCAATGTTGTACTTCGATTCTGACATGTGGTGCTTTTGATTTAGGTGTCGCAATTGGAGTCGGTTGAGAACTGGCTGGAGAATATTACGTATCAAATGTGCAATATGTCGTATGCGGAGCAGTCAGTGAAGTTGGCGGGACCTATTGCTCTTTTGAAGTATCAGTGTACTCGTGTGGCTCATCATGTATCGGACGATGCTTGTCAAATCTTTGGGTAAGGGCAAAACGTTTTTCCATGATCGAGAAGGGAAGAATATGAAACTCATTTTGTTGCAAAAATCATCAGTGGACGAGGCATTACCAAGACGGGAATGGGTAGAACCATCGAAGCGTTCCAGCGAACATACAAATTTGCGGTAAGTTTGACATATCGATATAACAAACAGACTAGTGGGATATTGATTTTCTCGAAACCAGGCCATTTTGGGTGGATCGGAAGAAATCATGGCGGATTTGGGCATCCGTCAAGCCATGCGCCAATTCCCAAATGCTCGTCTGTAAAGAAAAAAAATACCACATATTTCCTTTCAGCTTGTCACTGCACATGCACATGTTGTACCTTTTTGAAAAAGGTTACGGAACAAAGTATTATTCACTCTGTTTTCTATTGAATTTTTTCCTGTAAAAATAAAAAATTCAAATCACGGATTCACCGGGCGCTTTTAACCGTCCGTTCTCAGGCCAGATCGATGATTTCCTTGTTTGGTAAATTGGCCCCTATTGTTTTTTCTGACTTTTTGTACGGATATCTCCGCAAACTGTACGTCATTTTGAATTGTTGCAAAATGGGGAATTTTTTTTTTTTTTAGTCTGACTTCGGTGCTTCCCTATGCCACTACCACTCTTTCTTCGTCAACATGACCATGTCGGAATCTTCGCTCTTGAAAGACGCTATACACAACGACGTGAGATATAAACATGACATGTTCAAGTCCGCCGACTCGTCGGAAACCACACTGTCGGAATCCTTCATTGACAAGGCGATTCTCGAACCTGTAAGCGCAGCGACGGCTGACCATGACCGGGACAATGGGACATCGCATCGTCCCAGCATGGTCAAGAGCGAGTCTTCACCACCCACGTCCAAACCGAGCAGCGATCCACTCAAAACGAGTTTCAAGTTGCAACGACAACGGCGCCTATTTTTTAAAGCCCGGATGTCAAAGTTCGATCTGTCGAACCCAGACTCTTACAACGATACCTTTCGTGGGTTTTATACGCTTTTCTGGATTGCTATGGGATTCTATGTGATTCAGACCTTGATCCGTTGTTACGAACAAGAAGGCACCATTTTAAGTGCCGGGTTTTATCGGTTGATATCTAAAGACGGCTTGACCTTGTTGATCTCGGATATGCTCATGGTATCCACCACCCTTTTCAGCGTCCTGTTCTCCAAACTGTTGGTGTGGGAAGTCATTCGCTACGAAACAGTCGGATTCGTTCTGCAACATGTGTGCCAAACCGTGTTTTTGTTTTTCAATGTTTACTGGACATTTTGGAGGTAAATAACCTGCAACAAAAAACAACTGCCAAACGCTTTTTTACTAATGTAGTCCTGCACAATGAACCCTCAGAGATTGGCCATGGGTACAATCCGGATTTTTTACACTACACACCATTGTCATGATGATGAAAATGCATTCTTATACAGCGCTCAACGGTGATTTATCCATGAAGTCTCGTCGCCTTCGACAGCTCAAGGCTTATTTACCAAAGCTGATATCGGAAAGCCAAAATGGACCCAAGGAAAATGGCGTTCCGGGAAAGAAAGAGGATCCTCTCCACACGAAGCATGGACAAATATCATCCGAGGAGGAGCAACACGAGGTTGAGGAAGAGATCAAGTTTCTGGAGGAAGAACTGGTGCATGGGAACACGCGGTACCCGAATAACGTAACCTTGATGAACTATCTCGACTATTTACTTGTGCCTAGTTTGGTATATTGGATGGAATATCCCAGAACGGATCGGTAAGCGTCGTCGAATCATGACTGAGGGAGAAATGGTTGAAATTCCGCCCATGAGCTAAAATGAATTCACCGCATAGTATTCGACCATGGTATATTCTTGAGAAAGCGATGGCTACGACGGGATCGTTTCTGTTCTTGTATGTCACTACGGAACGATGGATCCTGCCGAAACTTTACGATCCTCACATGTCGGAGCCGCGAGTCATAGTTGAACTCATGTTTCCTTTTATGATCAATTATTTATTTATTTTCTACATTATTTTTGAGTGTATTCTGAACGCATTTGCAGAGCTCAGCAGGTACAGTGATAGAGTGGGCTACATAGGCTGAAAAAAAACTAACAATACATTTTCTCTTAGATTTGCGGATCGCAACTTTTACGATGACTGGTGGAATAGGTAGGTCACGATAAAAAGATGATACAGAAGAAAAGAGAGACAAATGGCTTACTATTTATCTATCGACACAGTGTTACATACGACGAATTTGCACGCAAATGGAACAAGCCTGTGCATCAGTGGCTTCTGCGTCATGTGTATGCTCAATCGATGGAATCGTACAAGCTGACCAAAACCAACGCCACATTTGTCACCTTTTTGTTATCATCTTGTTTGCATGAACTGGTATTAATGGTGGTGACCCGGAAAGTGCGCATGTATCTATTTGTACTTCAGATGTTCCAGTTGCCCTTGATTTTCTTTATGCGACGTCCATTTATTCGCAAAAATGCTTGGCTGGGAAATACGGTCTTTTGGCTCTGCATGCTCGTCGGGCCTCCCCTATTGGGCATTTTATACTGTAGAGAAGTGTTCTGGTCCAACTGGTCCAAATCCGTCAGCCCCGTTCATCACGGCGTCGCCGTATAGATGGCCCCAATGTCTCTGACCAATCACCTTTTTTTTTATGGCGTTTTACATCCCACTTTTTTTTTATCTATTCTACGAAAATAAATACAATAATTGAAAACACTTCAATTTGGGGCTTCTATTCACGTCTGTGGCCGGCATTCTAGTGATCGACCTTACTGAAGTGCACACAACACGCAGCAGAACAAGAGGTTACCCGATGCTGCATTTGACGCGCTCTGTATTGTGTTTCCGTCATCCAAGGTTTTGCTGACCGCAGCACATATACGATCAGTAATATCATCACTTTGTCTTCTTTTAACCATTATTTTCTCTAGCACTTGAAATCGAACATTTAAAAGCGAACTTTTTACGAGTATTTGAGGTCATTGTCTACCGTTCCACGGATTGAAAATGCTCGATTCAATGACACTTTACTTGATTCATGAGTCGTTTTTCTCTATGATTTTGCAGAGCGTGACTGGCGGTGCGGGTGAACCAAAAATCATAAAAATGGACCATTGTCAATTTCATGGGTTTCTTTCGTTAACCAACTCCTTTGTATCCGTCAACAATAACATGACACGCTCATCACGAACAGAAGGATTCGGTAAATATACGCTTAATTACTGTTTTTTTTTGAATTATTCAACTCGTCATTGTTATCATGTTACTTGGATCGTCTTCCCGCCCCTCGTCCAAAGATATATCAATGGCGACTGTTTTACTCGAACAACAACTGCTGCTTCGCGCGGCTGTGGACGAAATGAGTCATCCGGATTTTAACAGAACCGAAGTACGAAAGTTCCTCGCGCTTGCGTCACAATATAACGGACGTATGCAGGAGCTATATCCATACGAAGACCACACATCAGAAAGCAACTGGTCAACAAAGCGCCCCAGGCCAACCGATGAAGGTTCTGCTGAAAGAGCATTTATCGACAAATTCAAGCGTGACATTGTAGCTCGCACGGGCCATATGAATTGGAATGTTTGCTTGGCACATGGGCGGGCTCAGGGCCTCTTTCATCGCTTTTTAGCTGGGCAGTCACTTCGACAATGGAACCAACGGCGCAAGTAATAATCTCCACACCCTTTCCTTCCCTGTTAAAATTCTACTAATCATCCAATCTTGCCATCATCTAATAAAGTACCTCCTCCAAATGTGTTATGCAAAAGCCTGCTTTGAGCATTATTTTCAAGTTTGGTTTAATTGATAGTATCAAAGTGCATACAAAAAGTAACCGAGAGAGGAAGCCTCGGGTTTATTTCAACTTCAAGCAGCTCTTCCAATCTATCCATCTTACCGTGGCCTTCCGAATATATACTCTTTTACTTACAGTACACAGGCCAATTTCAGCGGGAAATCGTCATATGCTTCTGGGATATAGCCCTGCATCAATAGCATTCGCTTATTTTGGTCCCCCCCCCCTTTTGAGCCCAAGTATTCGAACGCTCTCCATATTGGTTGCATAATGGAATCGCTTAGAGTACCAGCATTGGGTGGTTGCTGATGAGTTCCATGCGAGTCACAAAAGGTCGGGAAATTGAGAAATTCATGCCTGTTCTTCTTTCTATTTTTGGGTTCAGTTGTTAGAGCTTCCATGGGCACCATGACGCATTGGCTGATTCTGGCCTGGCTGTTGGGCTTTTGTCATTCATGTTGCGCGGCCATTACCGACTTGAAGTTAGTCACTTGCGATGCTGATCGTGCTTGTCCCGATTATCCAGGCTACAAAAAGTTGGCCCAGGATTTAAATCAAGGCACCGGTCTAACTGCCGTTTACTTGCACGTCAAAGATTCCGAAGACGCACCGCCTATCACCAATCTTCAGCTTGTTGAAGGATCGCACCCTCCAGTTATACCAAAATGGACTCGTCTGCCTGTCAATCTCAATGCTAAAAGTACCACAACCGAAGCAGACGAAAATGACGACCATGGTTTATGGTTATACTATACCAAGGACACTTCCATATCACATAATCCGGTCTATTCCATCATCATTAAAAAAGGATCTCATCCTACTGTGTCCACTGATTTTACTCGTCTACCCATCAACCTCAACAAAGGCGTTGTTGGCGAAACCATGTATATGTTTTACAGCACAGACGGTCCAAAAGGTACCTTGTTTTGCCTTCATTTTCTTTGCCTTCAAATACCAACCCTATTTTTTATTGTCCTAGATCCAATTAGTGCTATTACAGCCAAAGCATGTTTTACCAACGATTGTTACATGGAGGTACGTATCACATTTATCAGTTCATCATGTTTTGCTCACAATCACCCCACATTTTTATAGGGATGGTATCGAGTTGAAAAGGATGCTAATAAGGACGTCTTTGTTGGCATGCGTGTCTACCTTTTCTATAAACGCGATTGGAAAGAAGGGGTCGTGACAGAGTAAGTGATGGTATTCAGGTAACCATTGTACGAGTCCATGGTCTCACACAGAAATGCAAAGCGTGGTGCTTGTGGTAGATGGACAAACCGCACCAGAAGGCTATGTGCGAGTGGATACGGATCTCAACTATGTGACCCTCCGAGGAGACTCAATTCACCTGTGGTACAAAGTAAAAGAAAATCCATCGGAAGAAGATCGAAAGAATGCTGTACAGGAATTAGCAATTCAGTACGGGAGCGATACCGTCACGCCGGTTGGATGGACCAAACTCGATGTTGATCTGAACAGCAAAGATGAAGGCAGTGGCTCATTTGGTGAACCTACCTTTCTGTATATCCGAAAAGGATACACTGGTAAGATACCTGAGATTAGATGAATATGGGACACAAAATGGCTCATTGAGCCATTGGTCAATAGCTCTTCCGCCCCAACCGAAGCTCGTGTTTGACTCAAACGGATCCTTCAAAATTCTGCAATTGTCTGATTTGCACTTTACAAACGACCAAGGAAAATGCCGCGATGTACCAGCCACGGTAAACTCAAAGCAATATCAGAGGATAGAGAACACAGTATGGAGTAATTCACATGTTAGAGAGAGTGTCATGGGGATGCCACAACGATTGCACAAATGGAAAAGTTGCTGGATAAAGAGAAACCCAATCTTGTTGTTTTCGGCGGAGACAACATCGCCGGCGATGGTGCGTATTCTACCGAAAAGCTATTTGATGTCCCCCTGGCTGACATTCCTTATTCGTTCTTTAGAGGTCAGTGACGCTCGAGCGGCCACCTTTAAATTTGCAGAACCTGTCATTCAGCGCAAGATACCATGGGTAAGAGGGGAGCTTTCCACCAACGCAGGCTTTACCCAGTTCAGAAAGATTGATTAGTTTCTAGGTAGCGGTATTTGGTGAAACGGATGATCTAGGGGACTTGTCCCGAGAAGAGCTTTTTGAGGTGATGCGTCGTATGCCATACTCCATGATGAATCGTGCATTTTTGCCGGCATCTGGTGTAGGTAATTTTGCACTGCAGATATTTTCAGCCATGAATGCAACGTAAGTTCTCCCAGCTATTATGTGTGCATTTCTGATTGACAATACTTATTCCCTTTGTCTTTCGTCGCGTTAGTGAACATGCGTTTACCCTTTATTTTCTGGATTCACATGGATATCTCGACAGCATTAAAAGAACCTACATGGAACTCCAACAAGATCAAATGGATTGGCTCCTGTCAACATCTACCTCCTTCACAAAAGATGATTCGACCCCCAATGCCATGATTTTCTTCCATGTTCCTATCTGGTAAACGAAAAAAAAAAAAAAAACTGAAGAAACGCTACAGACTGCTTATATCTGTTGCAGGGAATTTCACGATGAGAATGGACTGTACGATGCAAAATTGGGAGACCAACGGGAGTCAGTGTCCAGTCCCGAGAAAGATGATGTAGCGATTATCCAAACGTTCCAGTCGGGTAAGTATTTTCCACTCACTGTCGCAAATCATTACCTGAAAAACTAATCTTCTACTGTACATACAATGATAGCCGGTGATATCAAAGTTGTCGCTTGGTAGGTTTCAAGGAACAGACAAAGAATACAGATGACAAATTATAAATCATTTTTCTATAGTGGCCATGATCACGTAAATGATTATTGTCTTCAGCGCGACAATCTTCAGTTGTGCTACAGTGGAGGATTTGGTGTCGGTGGTTACGGTGCCGAGCACTTGGGCTGGCCTCGTCGTGCTCGGTTATTCGATCTGAATGATAATGGCAACACCATCCATACGTGGAAACGTCTCGACAATCACAACTTGACGATGTTGCATTTCCAAACCTTACTCTAACCACAACATTGAAACATAAACTTAATACTAGTATATCATTTTACAATTTACTGCTCTATGTAGATTTTGGCTACTTTTAATATTCATACAATGCATTGTCCACGGTAAAAAAAAAGTCACAAAAAGCCTCGGTTCGTTCCCTATGCTTTGATACTCATCATGGTATTTTTTACAACTTGTGAAGAAGAGAGCAGCTGCTGCCATGCAAGGTGTCCCAGGTGCCGCAAATGTCTCTGGGAATAAATGCCTACGATGGCGACGGTGGCGGTGGCAGCGGCGACCGCAGACACATGTAACCAATAGTTCTGTCGTTTCCAACGTTGCAGAGCTTGCGAATAGGGATATGTCGAGAAACTGACCATGGTATAAAGTGGAATAATCAAGTGAGGAAACGCGATGTGAATAAGCGATTCCACTTTTTTCCGCGCCATGTAGCGTAGCGAAGTCACTGCCGAGCGCATTTCGTAATAGTTATACAGAGCCAACTCGCAAATCGTATGCGTATCTTTCACATGTTCCTCGGAATAAGCCTCCAGTGCCTCTTTCAGTCCAGGCACATGCGTGTTTCCTTGTTCATCATTGCGCAATAGCGGTGTCACGCCGTATCGATCCAGAATACTGTGAAGGACTTCCACGTCCTGAAAACCGCAATTCATGCCTTGTCCGTAAAAAGGAACCATGGCATGGGCGGCATCACCAATCATCACCGCTTTACCGTCGACATGATGTGGTGACGCTTTCACCGTAATCAATGAACCACGAGGATGAGCAAAATAATCCTGAATCAGTCGATCTCGTCCAATCAGAGGCACCGCGTCCTTGAAATGCTCGTTGAAAAATGCCAGTAGCTTTTCCTCGGTATCAATAGCATCAAACATATCAAACGGCATAAATAATGTGCATGTAAAAGAACGATCCTATGCAAAAGAGAGTCGGCAAAAATTCGTTTCTTTTTGAAACGTAAATATACCTACCGGATTAGGTAAAGCGATCAGCATGAATGTATGGCGCGGCCAAATATGCAAATGATTGGGGTCCAGAGCAAAGGAAGGTTCACCGTCTTTTCCTTGTATTGGTGGCATGGATAGTTCACAGTAAGCTGTATCAATGTACACTTGTTCATAGTTCATTCTACAACCATGGCGCCCAAAAATTAGACACCGACTTATTATCTCCACTGATGTATCTTTACCTTGTTGCTCGCATCATCTGAGATCGCACTTTGGAGTAAGCTCCGTCGGCGCCCACAATAAGGTCCGCTTCGTAAATGTGTTCCTGACTATTGTTCACGAATATCATGTGTCCATCTATGATATTAGCATGCACGAATTGATATTCAAAAAATAGGGTGACATTAGGCAACTGCTCGGCAGCGTCCAACAACAATTCGTTTAATCGCGCACGATCGACAGCATTGATATGCTAATATGTTGCAAACAACTCTTGTGAGAATTCTCATGACGTACGTATTGAGTTGGAAGCAACTATGGAATTTTACCTCGCCGTGAGGAGAATACGCTTGTGAAAGTTGTTGATGACCAATATGAACCATGCGAGCACGCATAGGAACAGCTGCGTTGAGAATTATCTGATCCAAATCAAGATGTGTGGCACGCAAGGCGCTCAAGCCACGTTCCGAAAGGGCTAAATTGATGGATCGACCACGTTGGGCATTTTTGCGTTCCGGCAAACGCATATCTGATGAATATGTCCAACAAGAACAGCTAATTTCAGTCACGTAGTCTCCTTTTTTTTGTCTTTATTTATTTATCTGAGAGCGTACCTGGACGTGATTCGAACAACAGTACATTCCAACCACGTTGAGCAAAGTAAATAGCGTTCAGCGTGCCGACGAGACCTGCTCCGACGACCGCCACTGTAGCTACCGACGATGAAGTAGATGTTGACATGAGGAAAAAAAAAGGTGTATGCGGGGGAACTTTGGGCCAGGCCACTAAAGATCTTAATTTGTCAGACAAGATTCACAAGTCACGCAATCTGATCCATTTGATGTTTCGTTATTCGTATCGTGCCAATTAAATGGAACAGTTAAAATATAGACATCATATCGATACTCCAATGGATGAATTTCAGTTCTACTCTGTTTAATATCATATATATATATACTCGCATTGTCATATTTATGACTGAGAAAAAAGGAGCCATGCATGCTAGAAAGTGCCTGTCTACAGCACTGTGCGTCCGACAGCGAAAGGGTGGGGAATTTCGAAGCAGCTTGACAGCGGGGATTGAAAAGGTAGGGCAACTCTCAAAAAAACTGACATCATTGAACCGAGGCCTCTTAATAATTGATACTCCGCCTACAGTGGGCGCACGAACGTTACATCTGCAATCGCTTGGCGACGCTTTTCTTTTTTTCCCTCTAAACAAAATTGAGTAGACTGCCTAGAGTCCTCTTTTTCAAACATGTCAAATCCTGTTACCTACGAAATTACAAACGCCCCTATCACTGCTCATTGTTTCAAAGACAACAGTAAGTGCTAAAAGCTCGGCTACGGCCCCGCTCGAAAAGGCAAAACGTGCTGAACCCGTTCTGTTTCCCTCGTACATAGAATTGGTGGTTTGCCCAAATACCAACGAAGCTCAGATTTATGAGTACAGCGAAAGTGACTATAAACTGGAAGCCACATTGAAAGGCGTAAGTAGAACTTGGCAGACCATGGACGACTGACTGCGTGGAAAAGATGACTAACGAAGCAGATGATGTTGACGATGATAATAGCACGACAAGGTCATTACAAGCATCGACTTTGCGCCTCAAACCAATCGTATTGTGACTTGTTCGCAGGACAGAAACGCTTACGTGTGGACCAACGAAGGCGGTGTGTGGAAGCCGGGTCTTGTCTTGTTGCGTATCAACCGAGCTGCTACCTACGTCCGCTGGTCGCCCAACGAAGACAAATTTGCTGTGGCCAGTGGTGCACGTTGCATTGCTGTATGTTACTACGAGGAAGACAGCGATTGGTGGGCTAGCAAGCATCTGAAGAAGCCTATCCGCAGCACCGTCTTGTCACTTGATTGGCATCCTAATAATGTGCTGCTTGCGGCTGGTTCGGCTGACATGAAAGCGCGCGTTTTCTCCTCTTTCATCAAGGGCTTGGACAAAAAGTAGGTTGAAAAAAAAAATGTTTGGAAAATAACCCAATTGTATGGGCAGACTTTCGGGACGGTGGATGACTAATGATGTGGGTGTCTGTAGGCCTGCCCCTTCGGTCTGGGGTGATAAGTTACCCTTCAACACGGTATGTGGTGAATTCAGCAACGGACGAGGCGGTTGGGTGCATGCTGTGGCTTTCTCGCCTTCCGGTGATTCATTGGCTTTTGCAGGTAAGGAAAAGAAAATGGAGAGAAAGAAAGCAGTATGACTGCTTGTTCGTGCATGACAAGGTAAATTAATTTTGAACTATGACATTAGGCCATGATTCGTCCATCAGCATTGTCTATCCCAGTCCCGAAGGTGGCCATGTTACCTTGACGGTGCCTTCCATGAACTTGCCTTACCGATCCCTTATTTGGGCCAACGAAAAGCAGATTGTGGCCGCCGGTTTTGACTGTGCTCCTATGCTTGTGGAGACCAATGATGGCCAGGACTGGTAAGCTAACAATTTGGCATGAGCGTATGTAAACGCCGATTTTTAATGGTATCGATCATGATTATAGGCATGTGGCTGGCTCACTGGACACTGGTCGCAAGAAGGTGTCCACTACTGCTTCCGTATTGAGCCGATTCAAGTCGATGGATTCTCGCGGACAAACTGACAAGGATACTGATTTGTCGACCGTGCATCAAAATACCATCAAGTAAGTATTTTGTCGTGTATCCGCTGTCTGTGATCACGTTATCCATGTATGTTGTATGCATGAACGGAGTACTGATGGGCTTGTTCTTAGTGAGGTCCGTATTTACTCTGGTTCCCGTGATAATGTGACTCATTATTCTACCTGCGGTGTCGATGGCAAAGTCTGTATTTGGGAGTTTGATCCCAGTCAGCTGGTTACTGATCTTGCCAACCTTAAGATTTGAGCAATGTAATTAAAATGTCACTTTTTTTGGAAGACCATTTACATTAAGGGGTTGGTATCTGTAAAAAGAATACAACGAAACAGTTTTTAAGTTATCTAAACCAAATCTAAAACGAGATTGATCGTTTGTCTATGGGTGAATAAAGCAAGAGACGGGAAGACAGCAATGAAATGCAACTAAACATGAATAAAAGCACAGATCGGAACAAGGAAGGGAATAGGATAAGGAGAAAGCCAGCAAAAATGGAAATAAGGACAAGACTGAATCATGTGCAGAATGATTAAAAAAAAAAAAAGACTAGATCCCGTCCCTTAATCAGCATTCAGCAGGTCTTTGCACCATTCATAGGTAACAAAACTGACGCCGATGGCGGGGGCCACTTTGAGGTAGTTTGGAATCATACCACGATACATGCCTCGGATACCTTCTTGTCGGATAATAGTTCTTGTTGCATCCCATGTTCCCTTGTATTTATAGTTAACGGAAGCCATACCAGTCATCTGCATTCTTCGTCGTAAAACATCTGAAAAAAGAAAAAACCAAATGGTGTAAGCCGTAAGCACGTGAAATTGGCGGAAATCGACGGAAACCATGGTGAACAACCAAAACTGATTAAAAGAGATCGTCACTCACCAAGAGGGTAGGTGATTGTCTGAGCAATCGTTCCTGCAAGTGCACCACAAACCAATCTACCCACAGCTGATGGTTCTTGTCCATCTTTCGTCACAAGATACGGTTTTAACCCCTCGTAACTAAAAATATTTTGGAGGAAAGGTTTAGTGTGAAGATCAACAGATGCAAGGATGAAAACGGATAATATACCTCGTAAATGAAACACTGACGTAGGGTGCCACACCCTACATGATGGAGCACACAACTTTTTAAGTATACCACAGGATTCGGAAATGCTTCGACACAGAAACACTTACGAGAGTGGTTGGCCACAATCCTCGATACAAACCAAATAGACCACCTTCGGTTTTGTAGATCGTTTTCATTGTGGTCCAAATGCCTGGTAATTTTTCACCCGGGTTTATGGTATTGTTTCGGATACTGTTTTGCATCATCGCCGATTGAACCGAGAGTCGAGTACGAACAATATCCAAAGGGTAAGTGCATGCCACCGACACAACACCGGCCACAGCACCTGCCACCAAACGTCGTGGGGTATCCAGCTCGGTTTTGCCGGGCTCCATCAACAACGTCTTGCACTGCTCATAGGCCGCAAACTGCGAAGCACTGTAAGGCACAATACGAATGACATTGGTACCGTTACCACGCATGAAGCCCATGAGACCTTCCTCCCTCCACATTCGAGCCAACGTAGGGAAAACACCCTCATATGCCCCTGGACCTGGACCTTGAACCTTTTTTTTTATCGGTGGGAAAGGGTTCCATAATAGTAGAATGAGTTTCCCGGTTACTGGTGTGGGGTAAAGTGACTATGTCTTACTTGGAAAAGAATCTTCATACGTTCGACAGGGCTGACGACCGTTCGAGACACAGCTCCTGCCATACCACCTGCAATGAGGTGCTTGGAGGTATCGGAAGTGAGAGCTTCCTTCCAATACTGTAATGAGGTAGGATTCGTGGATGACGATGGAGTTAAAGTGTGTGCGACAACGACATCGAGGATCTTCCCGAGGTGCTCCGAAGTAATATTATTTACAGGCAATTCATGGCGATCGACCAGTGTAGCAAACTCTGAATAAGAAAGACGCAGCGTCGAGACATTGGCGTCGGTAGCCATTTTGTTTTTCAAACCGAGCAATACGACCTGGACATCAAAGGTAATTTCCATAACAATAAATTGATGGGCCTTTTTTTTTCTTTTCTCGCTTTTGTTTGATTGTTTACGAAAGGAAAAAATTACCTGATCGATATGCGAATCCGGATCGGGTTGAGTACACACAGCAACAAGGTCTTGAGCATCAATGACGCCGTCCTTGTTATGATCTAGGAAGCGAAACAGTTGCTGTATACTCCATGGTTTAGAATCATCCAAAAGCATGGGGAAAAAAAAAGGTATCAAAGAACCAGCAAAATAACATTAAGGGAAACCATCTTTCCCTTAAAAAAAGTCGGACCTCTCGCTACGCTCCCTGATTGGTTAAAATAGAGTTTATTTTCAGTCGCAGAAATTTCAATTTCGAGCCTTGAGACTTTCACTTCCTTTTTGATGCGAAATTTGCAAAATCAAAAGCAACCTCATTGGAGAATCTTCATTCACTCTAAAAGACACCATGTCAATGATTTATTAACAAAAGGTGGAGAAATTTACAAAATCAAATTGGGGAAAATAGGTTACATAATAAAATCAAGTAAAGGTAATTTCAAATCCAAAAATTGAAGATATGGGTTCGTTAGGCAAACGAAGCTTAGTCTTCCTTTGCTTTCACCTCTATATCACGGCTCGTCTTTCACATATAGCAGGAGCACGCAGATCTGTCTTTTCGTTGACTAATATGCGTTGACGATTATCTCCAAGGTGCTGCAGGACAGACCGGTCGCATGAATGTCGAGTCCAAACACAATAGCCGCTTCGTCACTATTTTGGCTACAAGGATGATAAGTCATCGATGGCACTGCACAGCGCAGCACTTGTATCTTGTGATCTTTTTCTTGCTGCTCTTGTCCCTTGATTGTTTTAGACGTGTCGTTCAAGATATGGATGCAGCTGTGCCTGGATGCAACAGTCTTATCTTTATTGAGTATCTTGCATGGATAGCGCAATTGGCTGCTATGACATCATATAGCTCGGGAGTCTTATCGGCATCTTGGAAGAACTCGCTTAACTTTGGCTACTGATGTTGCAAGTATATCTTCGGCATTGCCTTTAAACGATGATGCATAACATGATGTCAATAAGCATACTCCAGCCAGTATGAAATTTGGGTCCATTGAGTTAGTTATATACGCGCAATATTGCAGTTCAAAATCACAGTACCCGGTTATTGGATTTCTAATAAGCACTCCATAAGTTCTTTTACTTTGAGAATCTTTGCCGAATGTACGGTTTGAATGGGTTTAGCCTTTGATACACCAAATTTTTTTTTGCTTTGTGACTTAGATGTACAAAAAAGTCAAGATGAGTTGTATCGTTTTCCAGTATTGTCATGACTTGTTGATTAAGGTGTTGGTTGACTTGGTCATGAATTTTTGTAGGAATCGACTCACATTCAATATGATATTTAGCTGAATACTGACTTGTCAGCGCAGAACTCTCTTTTGATATTTTGAACAATAGATAGAAAGGTAAAGAAACATGTGTTGCTAATAGAGACGGTTTCTTTTCCGAAATGATACAGGGAAAGGTCCGTGCTCTGGAAAAGGACGAATTTGGAAATAATGGGCCGGAATCAAAAACGGCAAAACAGGGTTATTTTTTTTTCTGGCGATCCTCTTGTCTTTGTGAGAGGAAATTGAGCTCTATAACAAAAACTTGATGATGGGTATAATTAGCCCTGTTTCTCAAAAGTTGCTGAAAACTGCGATATCAGTCCGTTGTTATCGTGTGAACACGAGATATAGACCGAATAGTATCACGCATTAGTAGTAATAGCGTACTGTGATAGTAATGAAAAACAAAATTGACAACGATTGGTGAAATGTTTATAGGTGATGTTCAGGACGTACAATGATCAGTTAATATTAAGCATCCTATAGGGAAACAGTGAGCTTTTTTATTCTCTCACATATAGTTGAAATCCGTTTCCATCTTATTGGTCATGGTGACTTTAAATGAACCTGAGGAGTATGGCACCTGTACTTGAGCTGTTCGTGTTCGCACGTAAGTCAAATCAGTCACCAATTTCAATGTTTCGAAATATATACTGCAATCATGAGAAATCACGATAAACATCCGGGGTTGATGATTATTGTTGCTGGTGCGATTGCTTAGAAGTCGTGCTGCGTTGCGATATATTTTCGTCGTGTAGTGCTGCAGTTTGTTGCTGTCACGGTTCCCGAACCCACCGGCAAATTCCACTAGCATTATCGCCTTTTTGTCATCCTCATCGCTCATGTTGTTGAGAATGCCGTCCCATTTATGACGCTTGGTCAGTCCTGTGTCAACTTCGATCCTAAAGATACTGTAATAAGTCATTGGATCACAGTTGACCTTTTTTTTTGTAAGTATACTATTGAATGACACACGATGGTTGAAATCAGGAACAAGTTTTGCAGAACTAAGAATGGACCGTCCAAAGCACCGGTTCGTTCAGGGCACGTTGTTGGATGGGGTTGGGTGGTGAAGACATTAAATCGATCCTATCAATCAAAATAAATCATTGGCACTGTTCAGATGCAAATTTTCTTAAAATACCATCGACCAGCAATCATTTCGATCGCCCGAAGATCATAATGGACCAGGAAGCCGTAATCTTTTTCTGCAATAACTGGTGTCCAGATAACCTGGCACAGATCACGCGGATCAGCGTTGTCAATCGATAGGGGCGGTTTCGCTTGTATCCGCAATGAACCCTTGGAATTCCGCGATCGAATTATATAACTCATTCGAGTCAGTGTAAGCGGTAGGACGTTCTCGGCATTGACGTGGTTGACGAGGGTTCCGGCTAGTCGAGATCTAGTCACGTCTTCACATAATTTCATATTCAGGTAATACCCGGAGTCTTGAATACGTCCACGACTTAAGGGCAGTTGCTTGTACTTCATCCGCCAAAGCAAGCTGCTCATCGTTATATCTTTTGAGATACTGCAAAATCGTGAAAAATGCGGGCAAGTAACTTTGCGATTTCTTCTCGGATATAGACCACAAGACGATCGACGGCGTCAAGAAACGCGGGATTCCTGGGTTCAGATAATTTGACAACCGAGTGCAGACCAATTTTTCGAACGAAGTTCGTACCGAGAACGTGCTTGAGCCGTTCTCGGATTGTGTCCTTGTGGTACGGGCAACGTTTGGTACGTGTCGAAGCGTGAGGGTTCTGAGGATCATAAACACTGTGTTCAACACATATCTTACAGGGCTCGTCAGATTGCGTTTGCAGCCCTTCTTGTCGTTGTTGTTTGCCTTTCTGCTTTTGTTTTTTAGCTTCAGGATCAGGCGGACCAGGCTGTCACGTCTTTTTCTAGTTGAAGACGATCCTTCCCCAGTATTGCGTTTATTCATAGGACACGAACAACTTCTTGCGTTTGCATGTCCGGGACGTCCGCATCGGCTAAAGATTACTGTACCATTTGTAAGAATATATACTTTATTTTCGTAACGATGGATATTACCTTGTTCGGCCAGCATGCGCTCAAGCTCGAAGCGCACGGCTTTCCCTTGTTTCTTCCTCTCGATAATCTGCTTGTGCGTCAATCCAGCATAAGGATCATCGCTTTCTTCTGGATTATAACGGGGGAAACCAGATGAAATGTCCTGCGAGGAGGAGGCGGTAGCAGCACGAGGAAGAGGAATGCTAATTCCATTCTTTACAATTGCACTTATAATTGACATCCTTCTATTATTGGTTAATGATAGATCAAGACATTTATTTAGATCAAAGTTTTACTAATGACATTAAGTGCGCAGTAGAACATAACGCTGTAGAGATTGAAAGATCCCGGCTGGCAAACTTGAAAAGTCGGACATACAGAAAGTCCCGTACATGATGTTAAACTACATCATCATCCTCTTCCATGGAAGCTGGGCTGACTTGGATGACATCATACGTACTTTTTTGTGCCATTTGAACAGCGTTCTTCAGTCATAATCGCCCTTCCGACCCACAATATATTCCATCTGCAGGATGGTTGTAGTGGATAATGTCCAGGAATGGGTAATTTCCTTCAATATCAAGGTTCCATACTTGATTCGACGTTCAATCTTTCCAAGAGGTGCAATGACAATGACGATAGCTCTTTTTGCAAGACTTTGTCCAGCTTGAGCGTGGTTTGCTGTTTATATTCAATGAATTTTTGTACGATTGGAACCCATTCGTTCTGATCAACCACGGGCACAATGGCCTCTACCCCCTTGGCTGTATCCTATAATCCCATCATCAATACTCGCCTTTCGTCAAAGAGTAATGTTACCGAGAACTTACCCTATTTGAGCGAGCCACACGTAAAATTAGATGGCAGTTAAGCTGCAGTAGTTGACGTTCGATAAAATCCAACACGTTTGTATTCTGTTTCAAAAACTGGTGGATAATTGCCAAGACAATAAGAACGATATACAATCAGCTGATGAAACATAAAATACATTTTTCAAAGCTCACCTCTTCCAGCTCTTGAGCCGTACGACCTAATATCGGCTGAAGCGCATCTTCATACGCTACATAGTTCTCAAATCGTTGCTGTTGCGGGTTGAAAGCGATAAACTGCAGTTTGTATGATGCCTTTATACTTTGAACGAATTGTTGACAAGCTTCACAGTAAAACGACGCCGTTTGATCGTTGCGGTTTTTGGAGACATAAACGAGACGACCTTTGCATTTCCCACATGAACGAAACAGTATGGATCGTACAAAAGCTTGTTGTATTCGGGCATTGTAAATGACATTCATCGCCAAATAGTCAGACTGGCCTTTGTCGCGTCGTGCTGTCAATGAAAAAGAAACGACGCGGGGAAAATTTTTGGCTTTTTTTTTTCTGCGCACCATTTGGTTTCTTCACTTGTCTGTCACTGATAAGGTCACTTATTCCCGCCATGACCAGTACACCGGATAATAAGCGCAAGAATAGCGAGGACGACAGCGCGAAAAGCAACAAGAAACAAACCGCGACGCGTCAAGCTTCCTTGCTGTCCATGTTCAAACCCGTGGCTACTGCAGAAAAACCATCGTCGGTATCCTCAGAAAAGACAGAGAACACGGACACGTTGACTGTGGCTCGCAATCCAGAAGATCTTTTCCGTAAGCTCGATCCGGAACTGCGTTCATTGTTGGATTTGGAAATCAATACCTTGCAGTACGAATGGCTCAAGGCCTTGAAGCCCGAATTAACCAAGCCATACTTCTTGCAGGTAAATCCTCCTCAGCTACAACAGGAACCATGCTCTTGCGTTTTTACGGGGAATTAACGTGTCAATTAGCTTAAGCGATTCTTGAAGAAAGAGAATGAAGCCAAAGTCACCATTTATCCTGCAGGTAAGGACGCGTAGCCGATACGTAAAAAAAACAAATTAGAGTAGGGCTGGTATGCTCACCGAGACAATAGCCAACCAAATTTACAGCTGGTCCAATTTTACACCCCCTAACAAAGTGAAGGTCGTCATTCTTGGTCAAGGTAATTTATGAGTATTTGTGCGCCACTTTATCGAGCGAATGTTTACTGACACCTATTTTTGCCCTTTTTTCCCAGATCCATACCACAACGTCAATCAAGCACACGGTCTAAGCTTTTCCGTACTCAAAGGTGTAAATACCCCTCCGTCACTAGTGAATATCTACGAGGCATTGCGTCGTGACTATCCTGATTTCAAGAAGCCGAACCACGGGTAAGTCCACCCCATACATAGAGAAATCATTAAAGCGATTTTGATTTCACTCGTTATTTTTGATTTCACGTTAGCTACCTGGCGAAATGGGCGGAACAAGGAGTGATGATGTTAAATGCATCTTTGACGGTGGAAGCGCATAAAGCAGGCAGTCATTCAAAGAAAGGGTGGGAACCGTTTACAGGTAAGTTGCAGGATATGCATGAAGAAGAAATCGGCTGAGAGTAATGTTTGGATTCATTTGAATAACAGATGCGGTGATCAAATACTTGAATGAGCATAAAGCTCACATTGTTTTCCTCCTGTGGGGTGCGCATGCTCAAAAGAAGGGCGCAGGAATCAATAAAGCCGTAAGTGCTCAATGCAAATATTTGTGTTCTCTGACAACGAACGAACGAACGGAACAGCAGAACTAATTGTGGTTGGTTGATTGAATCTGTCACAGAAACATCTTGTCTTACGATCGGTGCACCCTTCGCCATTATCGGCTCATCGTGGATTCCTTGATTGCCATCATTTCAAGCAGGCAAATGATTATTTGATAAAGAATGGACAGCAACCGATTGATTGGAATTGTTTAGCTGATTCCTGATCGTCTCTTTCTTCTTTTTTTCTCTGTATTCTCATTTATTGATTCTTTATCGTTTTTTCACGATTCATCGTACTCACAATTACATTTGGTTTTCTTTTTATTACGTCTTCGTTTCCTTGGTAATATATTCATGTACGTCGTTTCCCTAAATTTCTATTGATATTCCCTTGCTTCAAGCAGATTCCTGTAACCTTCTGCCGCGGGAATTCAGGCGAAAAAAATAAACAGTGGGATGAAAAAAAGCCCCAAAAAACAGAATAGAAAAATAATTTTTAAGGGCATAAATTTCCGAGATGACCATACGTTGAATTTTGCATGGACAAGGAATAAAAATAAATATGAAAAAGCTCTGTTTGCCTCCTTTTTCCGTGTGCGCGATCTTTCCCTTTGTTGAGCTCTTTGTTACTTTATTTCGTTGGCTTTATCCTCTTTTTTTTCCACATCTCTTTCATTATTCTTTCTCTGATCACCTCGTTATGAAACAAGCACCTGTGTTTGGTTCGTCTCTCGTCATTGCCCTTGCTCATTCTACCTATACAACTTCTTCAGGGCTTTGTATTCCAGGCATTCTAGCCAAATGTTACAAGGAAATAAAACTGCGTGGCAAGTAGGCCTTTTTTTTCTGGATTACAATGAATGGCGAATTGAATGATTGAACTGACCTGTGAATCATATTTTCAGGTTTGGGCACTGAAGGAATATTTCGCAAATCAGGTTCAGCCAGTGCCATGAAGCAAATCCAAATCGCCTTTGAAGAAGCAGAGGATCCCTTTACAGTTGCTCTTCATGGCGCTTCCATTCACTCATTGGCTGGTATATTTAAACGCTTTTTGCAAGAACTGGTGGATCCGGTGATTGCCCGACCGTATCAGCATCTATTCTTAGACGCATTCGGTACAGTATCAATGATGTTTGTTGCTCTTTTGGGGATCAAATGCATTGACATTTATTTAATTGTTTTACCTACTTTTTTTTTGTTTCCTTGTCTCCAATTGGTTACTGGCAGAGAAGCAAGACGAGCAACAGCAACTGGAGGGCCTATTAAATGCGTGCCATGCGTTACCCCTGGAGCATCGTCACTTGCTGTATTACATGATTGAAGTGGCTGATGAAATCTATCAGTCCAGCGATCAAAATCACATGTCGCGTGAAGCCTTGGCAATTATTTTTGCCCCGGCTTGTGTCCGCATTGATGCTGTACGCCAATTTATTAACCATAGTGTGCCTTCTCTCGCTCACTCTATCCAGTCTGAATCGTCCATTTACTCTCTTTCCATCAACACCTCCTGCACGTCCCTGGGCAACGAAACATTCACGTCTTCTTCCACTTCCAATTCATCTCTATCGACGATTCCTTCTTTGACGTCGTCTCTGCCGTCCATTTTATCAATGCATAAAGCTCGGCGGATCTGGTCCCACATGCTCAACAGAAATAACCAGCGCATGACAAAACCGCATTCAGTGTACAAAACGCGTGATCATTTGCAACGCGATCTTATTAAGCAAAGTACCACTTGGATCAAAATATTCGAATTCATGCTCTATCGACCGTCTGCCTTTACGGGGACATCCAACACAATCTACCTGAATAACAAGGTAACAAAAGAAAATTGTTTAAAATAGACAACGTCAGCATGACATTGATTTTTTTAAAACTGTCTCTTTTACGGAGTACTGACCAATGATCATCTCTTAGTTTGATGAAAAATCTAGCCACTGTCATGCCAACCACCAGGAACGGGTGTTTCAAAGTTGTTCTGTATCCAATGGCCCTCCGAACCGAACCAACCATCCAAAACTGGCCCGCCTTCCCTCTGTGTCCACGTGCAAAGTGGATTATGACACACTTGAATTTCCGGCTTCCCGAGAATTAGCAACTACTTTTGATGATTTCGCCCACGACGTGAATATGACGTCCTTGGGGCCTTTTTACGTGCTTAAGCCCTTGCCCCCTTCGCCTTGTGCTTCTTCTTCTTCACCGCCATCGCCACCGGCACCTTCACCGAGTCCTAACAATCAAATTACAAGTTCGAAATATCTGGAACTACTCAAAAGTTGGAAACGACGTGAAGCCCAGTACGCTAACACCATGCCCATGCCTGTAACAGGTCATGGTCCAGCAGAATGGGGTAAACGACTGAGGAAAACCATGGCGATCGAATCACTAGCTCATCCTTGTCCCAATAAAGTGCAACTCTCCTCATAACCATATTTAATTATACGTGCGTATAAATAATGCACTCCATCATCGTGAGCCTTGCAGAAAATAGCTGCGCACATAATTATACTTTTTACAAAAGATCACTCAGAAGTTCAGGGGTTCGGCAGAAAATAGAATTCCTGCCTTGCAGTTTTGGTACTGTCTCAGTGTTTCCAAATTCGGCTTATCCGGAGCACGGATCTTCTCCCTGCATCGTTTCGAAAAGAAGCCGTGCTCAATTAGCAACACATGTTTCTTTTTACCGTTGCACTATTGTCAAATACCAAAAGGAAGTTCTGCGTCGGCGAGTGAGAATCGTTTTGTTTGTGAATGGTTCCTACAAGATTTTATGATCTAGTCAATCACACCTTATTGTATAGGGGGTATACCATGAGTATATTGTTGCAAGGAAAGTACAGTTTCTGTGGCGTCATTGTAGCGTACTATAGAGAATCACCTTTGTAGGGAGAATCAAATCTGTTGGGCTATTCATTGGTTTTCTGGATTGAAATCTACGGTACAATTCGTCGCTGAGGCGCGAGCACCAGATATACTGTGGTCGGTATAGATCTGAGAAGTCAGTAGAAATGAACGTCGGTTACAAAGACTGGACTTCCTATCAGAATTGCTGTTACAAAGTTAGATTTTGCTGTTATAATGCCCAATTTTGCTGTTACAATGCTAGATTGTGGGTCGTACCCACCACAATAGCGGTCGTCTCCACTCCGACCTCGGATGTGGTTTTGCGCTTTATTCTCAAAATATATATATATATATATAAAAGTGTCTATGACTGTTATGATCTCTTTTAGATCTTTCAAGGTTGCGCACCGTGGTAATAAGTTTCAAGCAATTATGGACTCACCAAGAGCAAATATTGAGCTCATCCAACGCCACACCGATAACAATGACGAGATAAGGAAGTCGAATACGACTTACCTGAAGACACCATCCAAGATCTGGACGAAATTTCCAGCAAAGAGCGTAAAATCAACGTACAACGCTATTCCCGAGAGGTCATCCAATAGGCTGGGAACCACTGGATGAAAAGTGGAGCCGTCGACAGGGTCTTTATTCCGGAGCACAAGAATTCAAGATTGGAAACATATCAGGCGGTACAAAATAAATTTAAAGATGCAGATCGAATCCGAGTTGCCGCAGGTGGAGCAACCGAAGCCTTTGAGGAACTCAAATTTGTCATCGACAGAAAATGTGGTGATGACGATGGCGAACGCCACGTGCAGATCCTTGAGAAGATAAGACAAATGACAATCTACGGCTACAGCATCGGGAAAATCATTGGTCAAGAAGCCAAGGATATCACAATAAGAGTCCTTAAACTGCCAGGAACCGTCCGCTTCATTTAACGAAGAAGACGATGACGAGAAGGATTGGTCTTCCCTGCCGAAGATGTGGACCCTATCCAACAGGGACGATATCAAGAAGCCATTGTCCGGGGTGCCACCAAGGGATGTTATGAACGTGGACAGCGAAACGATCGACCACGGGGATATGACCAACGCCGAGGCAACCGAACCAAGGGAACAAACGTTACCTGGAAGATGTTGTCTAGCCCGGACACGGAACGAAATGTTACAGATTGTGGATCTCATACTCCGCGTCCTACCAATTAGTGTTCATCATCAACAAGAAGAAGAGCATCCTTTGATCAAGTCACCAGCAGGATTTCCTCGGATTTACGTTCGACACGAAGTAGATGATCATCCGCTCCTCATCAGCGAAGATAGCCAAAACCCACCAACACATCAAGCAAGCGACGACTCGGGTCCCCACATGTCGATGGATCGCAGCCCTTCTGGGGAAAATTACAGCGCTCATTCCGGCAGTGGGAGAAGCACTGTTGCATATACGATATCTTCGCGATCTGGCGAGAGCTTTGAACGGGGCCCAGAGAAGATGGGAACACTCCTGCCCTCTATCGACCTTGGCGATAGAAGATCTCTGACTTGGTGGTTGGGGACTGCCCCTCTGAAGAATGGCTTGCCGATCGTAATACCACCACCAACGAAACCAGTCGTGGCTATTCATGTGGATGCGAGCGACGCGGGTTGGGGTTTACCAGCGAGACTGTTACGAAATTTGGTCTTTGGACGAGAAAAAAGAAGACGAACTCCATAAACGTCCGAGAATTAAAGGCGATCAAGTTTGCTCTGCAAAATGCATGCACAAAGTTGCCACGGACAGAACATTTACCTCTATTCCGACAACATCACGACATTGAAGTATGCCGGGAAATTGAGCGGAACCACTTCCCTCATCTTACAACGGATTGCCTTGGAAATTCAAATGATAATATCGCAGTACAAGCTGCAGGTGACATATCAACACATTGCAGGCAAGCTGAACACCGAAACAGAACAGTCGAGCCGAATACAGACACAGATCCACACTGCAGCATCCCATGGAACTTGTTCCGCAAGATTCGACGTTGGGCACCACCGATGACGATCGACGCCTTCGCATGGAGAACGGATCACAAACTCCCACACTGTTGGAGCTGGACAACGGAACCCGAGGCGGAAGCAACAGATGCTTTCCAACAACGACGTCCCACGAATGCCCTATTTTTGCACCCACCTTGGCGCCTATTTCCTCAAGCTTTACGCAAGTTACAGACAGACAAGGTGAAGGAATGTGTGCTGGTGGCACCATTATTATGTGTGATTTCATCCTTCAACCTAATAAGTGCCTCGAACATTATACAACTTTTTTTTTGAAAGGGTATTGTTTTTTATAATTCTTAGTTCATCACAGTGCAGCCTGGCAATCGGCTGCAACCGGATGTACAGTGGTTCCTTAATAAAGATATATGTACATTCCGCATAATGACAAGCGAGATATTCAGATGAGCCCAGAAAAACTTCAAATTGAGAAAAGTTTGGCTTAACACCAAATCAAGTAAACTTTCTTTTTCTTCTTTCACTAAAAATCATTCTTTCAAGCAATTATACTTACAATACCAAATAAGAAACAAAATTACTTCATCAAAATAAAAAGACATCCTTTCTCTTACGATATAAAATAAAATAAATAAAAAAAAAACATCTGTTGCAACGGGACAAACTAGGCAATCCATAGACGTCAAAAGAGCGGAAGAAACTCGCCCAATCACAAACATCACAACATGAATCCCCGCCTCACCGGCACCTAGTCCGACGCCGTTTGCCCAATCACAATCCCTAAATTGTCGGGGATTTTTGCCTTTTTTGCATAATTTGACGATATCTATGTATCCTTGATTAAATTTTCAAGAAAAGCCCGGCTAGCTCAATCGGTAGAGCGTGAGACTCTTAATCTCAAGGTTGGGGGTTCGAGCCCCCCGTCGGGCTGTTTCTTTTTTCATGTTTCCTCGAGAAACATATATTTTTTTTTTTGTTTTTTGTTGCTATAAGTTTTTGTTGTATTTTGTGTCGTGGCTGAAGCGGATAACGTCCGAAAATGGTAATCAGCTTAGCATCTTGCTAAGCACAATCATCCTTTTATCAAAGTTTTAGCCGCTCAGCCATTATCCTCTTTAAGAACATAGACCGAATAAGCACATATAAATATCATTTATAATTGACAAAATAAAGGGTTATCTTTCCTATCCCTAATCCTCTTGTTTCCCACTCTGGTGATCTTGCCGGTATATCAGATCCGAGTGAAGTACGACATTTGTTATTGTTTGTGGCCTAATCTGGATACAGTTTCCACAGCTAAAGGCACACAATGCAGGATACTAAGACTCGACTTTCGACTAAAGATTACGAGTGAAACCGATGATGTTCTTTATTTTGTTGGCACTGAGATATTTTATATTCTAAATTCTAAAAGCATTAAACGTTATTTGCAATTCCCAAAAAGGAAGCGCCGAAAAACTGAGGCACGACATTTTTGTTTGCCATACTTCATTCGATCAGATCTGTTATGTACGAGCAAGGGCAGAATGAACAGTATGTATATTTTAAAGTTAGAAACATGATCAATTTTGTAGACTTTATGGTGTATTATGGTTGCTTCTGCATTATGGATAAATGGACGCTACATACTTCATTGGAGCGCAAAAAAAAGCATACACATATCATACTTGTTTATAAGTTAGACTGAAAAAAGTTGAAAGCATCTGTGCAATAGCTAACTAGTGACATTCTTAAACTTTTAAGCCAAAAATATTTTGGAAACTTTTTCGGGTCCTCGGTTACCGTTAGAAAGCTTTATACCATAACCTAGACTAGTAGCTTGATGGTGGTTTGGTTTAAAGCTCTGGGGATCAACATTTTATCTCAACCTACTTGGACGTCTGCCATGAAGACATTTCTTTGTTATTAGCTCCAATTTTTGATCTGACGAATTCCTTAAGAGCATGAACTCCTCAAGGACATGGTGACTCTAATGCAGTATCGACAATTTCAGTTCTCAAAGCCTGAAGCTGAAAAAAGCAACTATAAAAGAAACAAACCGAGCTTTGGGGTTTTTATCGGACTGATGTAAGCCCATAAAAGTATCTATCAGAATGTCGCCAGCAGGGATTACAAACATTTATCCTCGCCATTGACACAAAGCGCTTTTACCTCTTCTGTATATTTCTTGAAAGCCATGGCGTGCTGGGCTCTGCAACAAGTCATCGGGGAACATGCACACCGCCAATAAATTATTGAGTGCATGTTTTACGGAACTACGTAGCGACAAATGAACGCTTCTTGCCGAGATCCATAGTACCTCTATAAAGGCGGTTATGATAAATAAATGTCATTTCTGTGAACGAAGTCGGCCAACATGTTTTCTGAATGCAGTAACCAAAAATCTATTATGGAGCTGCATAGTGCGACTTTTGACTCCGAGAATCAAAGTCGGTGATGCCTAAAGCACTGCTTATTGTTTGACCTCATCCTATGCTATGTCTTTCGGACGTGAAATGATTATACAGAAATGGGGAAGCCCGCTTGGACTTCTTCAATGCACTGTCCTTTACCATTTCCTTGAAGACGTGTGTGAAGCTCTTTACAGTGATAAACCACATCTATCATCTGCGTTGTTACCGGGATTTTAGTGGATTGATTTTATGCGTTGATACAAATGGGGCACGTCTTTCTACACTAAAATATCTCAGAGTTATTGTTTTGGGATCCATCATTCGATGACTGTCTCTCAACCTATTTTGCATTAAAAAATATCATAAAATCATTTGACCATGACACACAACATCTCTGTCCTCAAACATCATGCTTGCTTTCAGTACTGTAAGGATTAAAAACCGTGCTTGCACCAGAAACGCACCGACTGAATAGACTGTGGAGGGTCACGGGTGTGATGTTCAGCAAAATGTTGTTAGACTGATGACTGCCCTCATTGGATCACGTGAAAACCAAAGCTGTTGAAATAGACAGCATAAAAATGTCAAAAAAAAGGACAGCGTTTCTCTTCCTAATATCCCTAACATATTATTTTCTTGATTGTTTCGCCTAAAGTCATATTCATATTCATTAACGTTATCTGAAAAGCCTTATCAGTTATAGAAAGCGAACATATGCATAGCTCCATTCCGAGTAACTTGTTCCCAGTTACAACCGCACCGGATTGACTAAAACGTGAACCCGTCTTTGTTTCGTGTCCGAATTTCTACGGCTTCAACAACTCCAGGAGTCAAGTTTCTTTTATACTCGACGCACGGTATAGTGAACACAGTCTTTATCGCCGCAGCAACATTGATCACAGTCTCTAACTTAAATATGCTGACCGAAGACGAGGCTTCCTGTCTAATCTGGACCTTGAGGTCAACTACGAAAACCGCCAAAAGACCAAACAGATCATGAGACAATCACCCTTTAGAGCTACATGGATCCATGAGTTGGGTCCCTACGACCCTTTGCCTTAGCGGCCAGCTTGCTCGATAAATTCAAATACAAGCATTATCAGCCCACGCCGCCAACAAGCCTAATTTGTCCCCAGCAGACATCGAAACGAATCGCGAACGTCACTAGTCCCATAGGAATCACAAATAACATTTTGCTTCAAATGTTAGGGCGCTCTTCTATCTCAAATCCCCACACATAGAAAACTTCAGCGATGGGAAACAATATAGTTTTAAATGTTTATCAAAAGAATCAGTACAATAAAGATGACCGAAAAAAGATCGTAGGGAAAAAATGCGTGTCATGACAATTAGGCGATGTTTGCTAAATAATCCCGCACTTCGTTCAAGCTTAATTTTCTGAACAAAGGCATCGTCTTTCGCTCACCACCGTGGACACCGACCGTGCTTTCACCGATAATACCAATTTCCAAACTGTTTTCCGTCATTTGACCCTCGAATCCTTCCTTTAACTAGACAAATGGTCAATCGCCCATTCCATTACAGCTACCATTTAAAGAATACTTACTGTCAGAATGGCTGTATGTACTGCATCTTCAAGTTCCATGTCTTCGTTGTATCTGTGGTATGTCTTAGCTATAAGGTGCCATACGTGATTGGATTCCTTCATACATACCGCTTTTCCAAGAATGTCTTTGCGTTGATCATATTTTTACCAATGGCACTTGCTTTCCACGCCCAGTAAGAGCCAGAAGGATCCACTTGGTAAAGAGATGGACCATTGACTTCATCGTAGCCTGCAATTAAAAGAGATACACCAAAGGGACGGACACCACTGCAAAGAGCGGATGAGTATTGACTGGCAGTTCAACATTACGAAAAACGATAGTTACCCGCTCTGTGTATACTCTTGCATCACACTTGCTACTTCTTGAACAAGAATGCGTGTCGGTGGTTCTTCCATGTATACTCTCTTGTATGCTTGCGCTGCTTTACGTGCTTTGCTCACTAGTACGCGGAAATCGGGACCCATGCCAGAGTAGATCATGCCAATGTTCGCGCAAATCATGGCGACTTTCTCCAGAGATGAATCGTCGACTAAATTGGAAGCCGATTTCTTTTCGGTAGCAATGACAATACCGTTGTTTGCTAATGGAATCACGTTGGCAGGTAAGATCTCTCGTTGTTGCTGTGTGTAAAAGGGTATCATGTTCAGTTACCTTTAATGCCGACACTGGTGACACCCTGATTCACTGCATTCAGAGCATATTCAATCTGTACAAGTTTTCCGGAAGGTGAGAAGGTGGTGAGAGAGAAGCTGTATCGATCGGCCATGGTATCGTCCGAGATGAAATTGAATAAAGGAACCACCGAAAATGAAGCACTGCCAACCTTCAGCAAATACGCGTCGGCCTGAGTGACGTCAAAAGTGCGGAGTTGGTAAATGACCTGATAGAATATGGCAACCTCGAGAAAACAAAATCCTGCAAGTCATTCGTCCTTGATGCCCTATTCCAGTCTCCTCACGACTAAAAGCTCACAGCTAGACTTGCTTTAGACTATTACCCTGTCTTCCACTATTTGCGATCCGCGAGATAAAGCTATTACATGGGAAAATCAAATGGTTTTTGGAACCCTGAGCTCTTCAATAAGTGGTCGTTAGTCTAAGACTGTGCTACTTTGTTGTTGAAGATTTTTGCATTGCTATAATTGAATGCTTGGAGCCGTGGTATCGAATACACTGTATTCATATTATTAGCCACTACAATGCAGTTTTCAATTATTATGCTATGTTAGGTTCAATATTGAAAGGATGTTATCAGTATGGCAGACATAAATGCAGTTTTGTCAAGAAACAATTGGTAGGTTGAGGAATTTATGTCTCATAGAAGCACTATTATAGGCCAAGATTAAACAATGTATAAGTCTACACAATGCTGCGGCCGAAAGCACGCCATTGAAAATGGTAAACAATAGGAAAAAGAGACATCGTGTAGCATAGAAATTTTTACAAGGAGGTGCATTCTATCAATATGTAGCGCAGTCTTCTATGTGAGGATAGCTATTTGTTTTGCTTATTCTGTTTTGTGATCCACAACGGCAGCCAGCAGTTTTTGATCACTTATACATCGTTATTAGCTTGTTTAAAGATCGCATTGTTCAGTTGAGGTGCTAGACGAAAATAAAAAAAAGAGGATATACCGATATAATGGGATATTAGTGTACCGATATACGGTCTACGAGAACCTTTTCTTGATCAGATGGTTGAACCAAAACAAATACCGCAAAGGTCATGACTTTTTTTCATTCAGTGACGCTTCCCGCTTTTCGTGTAACGAAACAAGTTACCACTTTGGTGCCCATTTCGGAATCAAAAAATTTTTTCTCTTTTTTTTTTTTTTTTTTTTTTTCTTCCTTTCCTTTTTGACGGTCCTTTTTCTGATTACTTTAATACAGGCAACATGGAGGTAAATGGACGATCGCGGTGAAATTGGCCAAGGAGAGTAGATGGACTCAAATATTATTTAGCAATTTGTAGCCGGCCTCGATGGATTATTGACGAAATTGGTGTCAGCTCAGGATTCTGACACTATCCGAAATGTACGTGATATTACTTTCTGGATTGGCTTGGCGTTTGGTTTACTCATCACGTTTGGGGCACTTTTTTTTTTCTTTATCGTAGATCACTTCCACGTTGAACACTCAGTTCTATGCTTCCCAGAACTGTGTTCCCGCTCTTGTTCAGATTATCAGCCAGTCGCCTCACCCTGAAGTACGACAACTTGCAGCTGTCGAACTTCGCAAGCGTATCTCCAAGTGGTGGCAAGAGGTGCCCGAAGCGACCCAGGTCGCTATTCGTACTCAGTTGCTTCAGATCGCTCTTAATGAACAACAGTAAGTATATTCTTTTTTATTGGATCGCGTTTTTTTTTTGTGATCGGGTGCGGTTTTCGATTTATAATGAACCACTCTTCGTGACTGGTAGGGAGCTCGTTCGCCATTCAGCTGCTCGCGTCATTTCCTCTATTGCTCGTATCGATGTACCAGAAAACAAGTGGCCTGATTTGCTCTCTTTCTTGAATGAAAGTTGCGCAAGCCCCAACGCTATCCATCGTGAAGTAGGAACTTACTGTTTGTACGCGCTCTTTGAAGTGATCGCCGAGTTCTTCATGAACCATTCCAGCTCGTTGTTCGATCTTTTCAACAAAACCATCGTCGATCCTGAGAGCAAGAACGTCAGAGTCACCACTGTTTTGTAAGTGAACCAAAAAAAGGAAAAATTCACGCGAGAGATAAGATAATGAACCATCATCAAAGGACCCTCGGTAAATTGGCTGAATACATCGATACCGAAGATAAGGAGAACATCGTAAGTGAAGATTATTCTAAACAGTGAATGTAACCGCGTGTATTTACAAACCGTAATGTATAGAAAATGTTCAGAAACATGATTCCTGCTATGGTCAGCGTTCTTGAGCAATGCTTAAACGAGAGTGACGAGGAAAATGCGGGCGAAATCTTTGAAGTCTTTGATAACCTGTTGATGCTGGTATGGTTTTTGTTTATTATCACAACACCCCTATACGTGATGTTCAGAATGCTGATTTGCTCTCTTTTTCTAGGATGCTCCTTTGCTTTCCAATCATTTGGTTGACCTTATCCGTTTCTTCTTGACCGTGGGTGGCAACCGTGAGTTGGATGAGACTCTTCGTGTCATGGCCCTGTCTTTCCTCATGTGGGCTGCTGTTTAGTAAGTGCAATTTTTACCATTTCCATTCGTAAAAAAGCTAGTATTAACCATCGTCGTGTTTTCATCTAGCAAACAAAACAAGATCAGAAGCCTTAAGCTTGTTGGTTTTATCGTGGAGAGCTTGATGCCGATCGGTACCGAAGAGGATCCCGAGGATGCCGATGAAGATTCGCCCTCTCGTGTAAGTGTTCATATAGAGTTGTTTTGATGTTGTGTGAGTTCAGCCACTAAAATTAGTGTTGTTCATAGTTGGCCTACAAGGTGCTCAATGCTCTTGCTACCAACATGCCTCCTCAGCAGGTCTTCCCCATTGTTATGCCCATGGTCGTCTCCTACTTGCAGAACCCCAATCCCAACTACCGCAAGGCCGCCATGATGGCTTTCGCTGTTATCATTGAAGGCTGCGCTGAATTCATGAGCCCCAAGTTCAACGAACTTTTGCCCTTGGTTTGCACCGGTCTTCAGGATCCCGAAATTATTGTCCGTCGCGCGGGTTGTATGGCCCTCGGTTGTCTTGCCGAAGAGTTGGCCACTGAAATCTCGGAACATCATCAAGTGCTCCTTCCTCTTGTCTTCAACCTCATGAATGACACCAATCCCGAAGTCACCAAACACGCTTGTAACGCTTTGGACGCTATTCTTGAAGGTCTTGGAAACGAAGTGCTTCAGTACCTTCCCATGTTGATGGAAAAGCTCCTTTACTTGTTGGATAACGCTTCGCAGACCGAAACCAAGGCTACCGTCATGGCTGCTATTGGCAGTGCTGCACACGCTGCTGGCGAATCGTTCCAACCTTACTTTGGTCAAATCTTGCCCCGTATCCGTCACCTGATGTCTCTGAAGGAAGGCAATGACGAAACCTTGCTTCGTGGTGTCGCTACCGATTCCGCTGGCGCTATTGCTGAAGCAGTTGGAGCCGATATGTTCCGACCTTACACTCAAGATTTCATGACCTTGGCCATTGAGCAGCTCCAGTTGGATTCTCCCCGTTTGAGAGAGTGCTCCTATGCATTCTTCTCCATCATGGCTCGCGTCTTTGGCGAAGAATTTGCTCCTTATCTGCCTACCATCATGCCTTCCATCTTGAGCTCTTGCCAGGCTGAAGAAAAGGACGACACCATCCTGGAAGGTGAAATCGATCTTACCTTGGGCGATGGTGACGAAGAGGAAGATGATCTTAGCGCCCTCAACTTCAACTCGGCTGTGGCTGATGAAAAGGAATTCGCTGCCGATGCTCTCGGTGAGCTTTTCGAAAACACCCGCTCGCATTTCCTTCCATACGTCGAAGCCTCGATCAACGAATTGACCCAGTTGTCGTTCCACTTATTCGATGGTGTGCGCAAAGCCGTCACTGGCAGTTTGTTCAGCTTCTTGAAGACATTCTATATCATCTCTGGTCAAGGCGATTGGGTTGCTGGCTTACCTCCCAATTACACTCTTCACGAAAACGTTCAGAATATGGCCGCGATGGTGATGCCTACTATCTTGAGCATCTGGAAGGATGAAGATGATCGTATGGTCGTGATTCAGATCTGTCACGAAATGATTCAGGCTCTTAAACTGATGGGACCTGCCATCATCGCTAACCGTAAGTGACCAGATTTTGAGAAAATAGTTTGATTATGCACTCATTTATTTCTAACTCTACTTTAGATGTTGAGGATATTGCCCGCAACTTGTTGGATATCTTTGAGAAGCGATCGATTTGCCAACAGACCTTTGATGACGAAGACTTTGTTGATGAGGATGAAGAAGCCGAATCCGAATCCTTGTTGATCAGTGCTGCCGGTGATCTGGTGGCGGCTCTCTGTGAGACCATTGGTGAAAGTTTCTCGTCGTTCTTTGACGTGTTCCTTCCTCTTATCTCCAAATACTATGTATGTATTTTTTGACGTGATGAAGAGGGTGCCATGATCCGGGGTATTGACATTTATCTTTTTTCTTCACCTTTTTAGAAAAAGACAAAGACGTCGTCCGAGCGTTCGATGGCGGTTGGCTGTCTTGGAGAGTGCATTACTGGTGTGAAGTCGGCCGTGACTCCTCATACCGAACGTCTTTTGCAATTGTTTATCAAGGCATGCGGTGACGAAGATCAAACTGTACGAAGCAATGCCGCTTTCGCCTTGGGTATTCTTACGACTCATTCCCAGATTGATTTAAGCTCGTAAGTCCCACTCTCCGTGATCCTGCGTGTTACTGTTCCAAAACCGCTCATTGAAAACTTTTGTTTCTCTAGCCAATATAACTCCATGTTGACCGCTCTTTATCCGTTATTCCACAACCAATCATTACCCAACACTACGGATAATGCTGCTGGTTCGGTGGCCCGTCTTATTCTGGCCCATCCCGACGCTGTTCCTTTGGATCAGGTCTTGCCCGTTTTCACCAATGCTCTTCCTCTCAAGGCGGACTTTGCTGAAAACGAGCCAGTGTTTAACTGCTTATTCCAACTCTTCCGTTCAAACAACTCATTTGTAAGTGTTTGGTTTTTGCTGAAAGAAAATGTGATAGACCAACATGCGTTAACACATTATGTATAGGTTTTCAGCCACATTCCCCAGTTCCTTCAAGTGTTTAACCACGTTCTTTCCGATGAAGAGCAATTGAACGACAGCACACGTTCTCAGCTGATTGAATTGCTGCGCGCATTGAACGCTCAATCCCCCGACTTAAACTTGGCTTCGACCGAGCTAGGACGTTTCCTGTAGATCAGAGCATGATCTGTTTAATATTGTCTGACCACCGCCCTTTCTGCGTCATTCTTGCTATTCTCTTATACATTTTTTAGACCATTTGCATCCGAGATTGTGATCCAATCCATCAAAGAAAAATCCAAAATATATTCGTTACTGTACCCTTTATGATTAGCTTGTAAAAAAGATGCACCATGGTCACAATGTGCTTATCATGGTACGCTTCCACTTCCCATAATCGCGCATTATTGGATGTATGTATCGAATCTTCCACCAACTGAGATCGATTTATTGCAGCTTTTTCTATTAAGGAATGAAGAGAGCTGTTGTAGGGGATCATCTTTATCATGCGAAAATACAAATACTATACACAAGATGTTTTCAAGCCTTTTGTTTCTTGGTTCGACGGCTGGAGGCAGCAGCAGCAGCAGCAGGAGCAGGGCGTTTCTTCGGCGACGTTTCTTTGATAAGCTTATCTTTTGATACATCTTCGTCGGAGGCTTCATCTGCCGCATTTTCCTCTTCATTCGTACCGTCATCTTCATCCTCACCGAAAATCGTGCCTTCCACATCCTCAGTGGGGATTGCGATTTGTTTCTTCATCATTCCTGAGCTTTGGAAGAGCACAGGATGCTCCCGCTTGTTATATCTACAACAAACAACCATGAGTTTCTGAATTTTGTAGATCACCAATGTTTACTCCAACATACAGCTTTGTAAATGTCGTCCGTACTTCACTCGGTAGCTTGGACATTGGTTTCTTGGAGGCGATCTCCAAGTCATTGAGTGTATCAAGATTTTCTCTACTTAATCCATATTCATCCATGATTTTGAAGGCTTCATCGTATTGCCCCTGTTCAGAGGAGGTGAATATGTATTCGACAAAACCATACCAAACCTGTTTTACTTACATCTTTCAGGTAGACAAAGATACGTTGGATCAACGTTGGTACATAATTATGGCGAATCTCAAATTTATCGCCAGAAGCTCGCATGCGCATACGATTCTGTACATCCTGGAGTTCCCGAATATATCTGGCCTTTTTGGAGTTTTGTCCCAGCCATCTAAAGGAGGTCTGTTTACTTTTATGTTCTAATACATCAGCTAAAGTGGCTGTACTTACTGAGGAAATGTAAGGCGGTTGCCTGCCAAGCTGCCTTCCATATATGACGCCGGTCGCACGCAAGAAAGAATCGCATGTACCGGTAGTAACGACCAATGCTGTACAGAACTATATATGGATCGTAAATCGATGTGTATCTTCAAGAATTTGTATCTAACATACCCATGCATCATACGATCTACAAGATCACCTTCACCCATGGCTTCAGCCGCTTGCGCGATTAACTCCATTCTACGACAATCCGTTTCTTCAGAACTCTCTTCCTTGACTCTGTTTTTGGCTTTCTCTGGATCGCTTTTTGTATAATTATCCTGAAAAAAGAAAAATGAGATATTGATGACCAAAAAATAATCGATGTAAAGCAACTTACAAACATCATGAGATGGGCCATATTGTAATCGTGAAAGTATACGTCGGATTTCTGCGACAGCGTTTTGCTTCGCCATGAAGACTGACTAAGCAATGCCAGCGGAATATCAAACAAGGTCATTTGGGAATATTTTTCATTGCTTTTGCCAACTGCCTTTGCGCGATCGTAATCCATCGATGTTTCTTTAAGCCGAAAGGTTGAGAGAATATTCAATATCTGTCGAATGTCGTTGCCAGTCGCGTGGACGAGTTGATCGAGAGCATTGGGATCAAGTTCCAGTTGTTCTCTGTGATGCCATGGGGCAAAATGATAAGTAAAGATCACTTCATTTGAGATGAGAAAATAATAATATACCTGGCTGCAATGGCAGATATACGGTTGCGTAAAACATTGGCTGGAGTTCTGATTATTTCGGCGTTAGAACAGAAAACAACTCGTCTACTGCTTTTTTGAACATGTTACCTTTTGAAACGAGCGTCATAACACACACGCAATAAAGGCTGGACTTTAGTAGAACGGACATCGTTACAGATACAAATTACGGGAATCTGTCATGATGCAATCCAGTAAGCCTCGCTTTTTGGTCTCACTCGTGTGTGTCCGGTAGAGGACCATCCTGTAAGTTTACCTTGGCTTTTCGAATAAGAGAAGCGAGTTCAGCGGACCCTCCTCGGTCACCGCCTGACATACCGTCGACTTCATCCATGATGAGTACTACCTTTTTCCCTTTCAGCATACGCGTTTCATTCTACAGAGACCGATCAGTTGCAATTCTTTTGCAGTTGACGTGAAGCGAGCAAAAAATACCTGCTCTTGCTTGCCCATAAAGAATTCTGTCATCGTCCGATTGTCCATCATTTCAGTAATACTTTCCTGTCAAAGGGGCGACCATCAGCTAATTGTTTTTCTTTGCGCGGGCCGTAAATACTCACTTTGAGGACTTGCTTGCTACGGACATCACTGGCATTGAATTCTAAGGCGGCATATCCGTACGTCTTGGCTACAACGTGGGCTGTTGTGGTTTTACCGATACCGGGTGGACCGCTCAGGAGCATGGCTCGATAGGCAGATAAGCCATCCTTGTCTGCATTGGCCGGAAAACCTTTGGCCATATTTTCTTGCCTTTAAAACAACCATCATGAGTCCTCCATGGCTCGAAACAAGACATGTTGATCTGCTCACTACGTACCAGTGTTCCAGCCAAGTTGAAATTTTTCGCACGAGTTCCTTGTTACCAAGAATTTCTTCCACTGATTGCGGTTTATATTTCTCGGTCCACAGTTGATGGCGAGACGATGGGCTAGAAATGTTCATCATAAAATGAGAAGGCTGCATGAGCGAACAAAATCAAACGATTGCCTACTCGTCTGGGGTCGACAGTATGCTAGTGTCTTTTTTGCCTTTGCCCTTGCTGGTGGTCTTTTTCGCTGGCTGGGCTGCTTCACCGCCTTTTGACTCTTCGCCTTCCACCAATTCATAAAACCCATCTTCATTCAAGATCTTGGTCCCGAGTTTCTCTGCTTTCGCTGTCTTTGATGCACCGGCATCCCGTCCACGGACCAAAAACGTTGTTTTACCGCTGACACTACCAGTAATACGACTAGACAAACCATGAGTTACTGTCTTCCAGAGGAGACTATATCCATATCCATACCCTCCGTAACGCTTAATGACGTCGCTGGTTTGCTCCTTTGTCAATGTCTCCAATTCACCGGATAATACAAATGTATAGCCTGCAAGACAATTGGGCTTGCCTACAGGAATAGGACGTGTGCCAAGGGCTTGTGGTGCGGCACGATTCATCACATTGAAATATCTACATGAATATCCGATATGCCGTCAGTCGTGATGAAATCCTTTTGACAAAAAGATTACGGAATACTTGCGATGATTTGGATTTGGCCGGTTTAGCTGCTGCCTTGGGTTCAGATTCTGCTGGTTCCTTGTTCACCGCTGGCAATTTTCGTTTAGTGCTAGCGGTTTTCTTGGTCTCTACTGGTTCAATTTCGTCGTGCGCGTCGTTATCAGGCTCTTCAGTCGAAGGATCGTATGCATCATCGTCGTCATCATCCTCGACTTTTTTCCTAGTTTTACCGGGAGCCTTCTGACCATCCTTGGCTACTTTTCTTCTTTTACTACATTGAACTATTTAGATAAGAAAAATGCGGTTCATAATTTCTTGATTTACCTTGGTTCGGGTTTGGAAGCAGCTGCGATACTGTTGAACTCATATTAGACGATAAGAGCGAGCATAAAATAATTGGTGTGCACCTACGGCTTTTCTTTTGATGGACCTACATTCAAGATCGGTTAGTACCCTACAAGATCTCCAACATCATGGTATTGTCTTTGTCGTTTACCGGAGGTTTTTGGCTGCGCGCTGCTCGGCGCGTCGGTCGAGGATTCCAGATCAGGTTTCATTCCCGCGGATTTTACACCCTGCTGAACGACGCCCGATAAGTATCGTAAAAGTAGGGTCATTTCCAGATACTCGGTTTTCCAATGGTCTTACTTTTTTAGTATTGGTTGGACTGAAATACTTTGAAATGTTCATTGCCAAACGTCAAAATTGCAGTAATCTGGAAGAACTGCAAAAGTTCATTCACGCGTATTCAAAGACCGTGTGACTGGGTTGTTTCGAGCAATTGGCGCATGATGAGAAATTGAGCGGTTTGGCGTGGGTGTAACCTGCCATGTAGAACAAAAACAAATCAATAACCCTTTCATCCCTTTTAATAATGCGCAGCAAATTGGTGGATTACGAGGTTTACATAGTATCCTGCTGTATAGCAGCGAGTAGGTTCTATGTAGGACGTTCAGTAGTGGAGTCGCAAGGGTCTTTCAGCCGAGTGTGAGAAACTGCCGTATAAGCGCTTGATGGATAGTGGAAAAGGGAAGGCATTGGAAAGCCGTTGATAGGTTATAATATACCTTGAGAATGAAAACGATAGTCTTATTTAAGGTTGATGCTTATAGGAAAAACTGAGCAACATATAAGAGTGGATGACTCAGAAAAACACGCGAGCAATTCGACAACATTCCCGATCCTGACTTTGAAATAACTCCTAAAGTATTATTTTATCGGTTGTCTCGAAACTGCCTTTCCTTCTTCCGAACTCCTGTACACGAACCACCTTTTGAATGACAATCAAATCCGATCAAAAAAATCCCTTCTTACACTTGAGTGGAGGTGCCATGTCCGGCATGGTGGCATGCATTGTCTTGCAACCTTTGGATCTTATCAAGACGCGCCTTCAGCAGCAGCGGCAAGATCACCTCGCTTTTCTGCGAGAAGCCAAAAAGAAAGGGTTGCTTGTAGCGCCACAGAATAGGTAGCTCTACTGTCAAAACAAAGTGATACTTTTTTGGGGAAATACAAAAGACTAATGCCCGAATGCGCAGTACCATTGTTTCTACGGTGCGCGACATTGTTCGAAGCAACGGCCCCAGCGGACTGTGGCGAGGTACCATACCCACCATTCTCAGGTAAAAAAATTGAGTGATATACCGGATATGTGGCAAAATATGCAATGCCCAATAGAGAGATAGGCCAAAGGTATTTATAGTGCATATGTTATAGAAATGTGCCAGGTTCAGCGTTGTATTTTGTTGCATTGGCGGAAATTCGTGACATCTTGAGCCGAACTCGAACCACATGGCAACCCTGGGTTTCAATGAAACAACAGTCAGCCATTGAACAAAAACGCTGGGAAAATCTCGTCTCTGGCGCTTCTGCTCGAGGCGCCGTCGGTTACATCATGATGCCCATCACCGTCGTCAAAGTCCGATACGAGGTATAAGAGTCGACATAAAGTCGAATCATGAAGCAGATCATCCTAATATGGATCACTGACTGCGCGTTCGGTTTAGAGCAATTTTTACAATTACCACAGTATGACCGAAGCATTTCGAAGCATTCTAAAGCATGATGGTGTGCGCGGTAAGTGACCTCTGTTGGAAAAACAAGAGTGGACGAGAACCATGGACTGACGGCCATTTGTTGTATTGTTTTCGTTTTTCGGATTGGACCAGGGCTCTTTGCTGGCTATGGAGCGACCTTTATCCGTGATGCACCGTTTGCAGGCATCTACCTCTTTTTTTACGAAACATGTAAAAGCTGGGCTAATGGTAAGCAAGGATTCATCAGATCATTTGGGTTCACTTTGATTCATCAACCCACCGCTTTTCTCTACCGTCGGATCATTATTAGCATGGAAAGATCAATACAATGTTGCGTTACCAAATATGGCGGTTAATTTGGGATCCGGTGTTTCCGCGGGCATGCTGGCGACCTGTGTGACACAACCCTTTGACCTGCTGAAAACACGCATGCAGCTCAAACCAAACATTTACAAAAACATCATGCAATCGGCCCGTAAAATTTACATGGTATGGATATAACTGGTCAAACAATGAAGAAAAGAGGAGAGAGGGCTAATCATGGAACGCGCTTTTTTTCTTGTTTTTTGTTTTTTGTTAGGAGGAAGGCATTATTGGATTTTTTGATGGCATCAGCGTTCGCATGATACGCAAGCCACTGAACTCAGCCATTTCTTGGGCTATTTATGAAGAAGTAGTGCGATGGCATGCCCGAAAATCGATATCCACTAATGAATTATAGATGCTTACTGCCAAATCATAGACCTGTACACCTTGCTTTCATTTTGTTTTTACCTTTCATACTTTGCATAATCCTCTCCCCCTTATTTTTTTTTCATTTGTCTGTCTCCTCGTCATGATCTTGTATACATACCCGATGTTGATCCATTCTATCCGGTTCTTTTTTTTTTTTTTTTTTTTTTTTGTAAACAGTTGAAATAATATAATACATAGCAGGAATTCTATATGTACAATGTTGATTGTTCGTCTTCCACTCGCTGAAATTCATAGAGTCCGCATCTACAAACAAACAATCGTTGATGAGTGTCCTGAGACCTATCCGTTTGTTGCTGTGGCAACTTACCCCAAATCATTGTCAGCATTGCATATGAACAATGCCTGATCATCCGGAGTTAAGGCTAACATGGGTGAAGGTACGTGAATAGAGCAAATTACTATGAAGCATCTATCGATCAATCAACTCACCCACACCAGCTACTGCGCCAAAGAGATTGATAACTTGCTCGGTGTCAAACGTCTTTGTATGATACAGATGAACATAATCAATAGGTTCTGCAAAAAAGACATCAAAATTAGTATCCCCAAACCACCCGTGTAGGCAGCAAGCAATGATTACCAGCGGCTATCAGGAACTCGCCATCGTTGGAGAACTGGACACTTCGAATCGCGCCTACGGAGCCTGCCAACAGATGGAGTGTTTTTGAAGTATTTCTGATATCGTAAACCCTTTACAGACGTCATATCAATGATACAGCGTTCCACATGGTTGCGCAGCCTTGATCTTCTTACCTTGCTGTCTTGTCTTGGTTACCAGTAACAAAAAATCGACCATCAGGGCTCCACGCACAAGAAAAAGAAAAATCATGGTGCTCATCAATAGCAGACATAACTTTTCTCTTGTTGGTTAGTCGTTGTACGGGATGTACAATCAGTAATAACTCACCTGCACCCGAATTTGCATCGGCCAAGATCGTTTGAGTAGAATCGCCCACGGAACAAAGTAAATTCTTATCAGGCGATATGGCTGTACACTTGAAAATGACAATCCATGGTTGAGCCACGCTTGATTGCAAAAAGCAGCTTCTTGTTCTTACATACATTCACCGGAAATGGCATGGATAAAGTGTCGGCAAACGTCATGGTATCGAAGCGCAGATAGCGCACTTTATTGTCGTTGCCGGAGACAAGACCGGTTTTCACTACGTTATTTAGATTGAGTAAAGGTATCCATGGCGTTTGAGCTTGTATCAAAAGCCTCGTTTTTTTTTTTTTTTTTTACCTCCCGTCCTTGACATGAATAAATCCAAATGGTTGGTCGTTCCATTGATATCCTGAGTCGTCATACCGTAACATACATTGCTTTCGGTATTATCCAAACGTTGGCAAGCGTATTCACCCATAGCTCCTCCAGCGAACAAGAGATCGTATTTGCAAGCCATACTGATCACTTTGAAGGGAAGACTGGCGATAGGACGACTGTAACCTCCTTGGGGAATCCATTGGCGAACCGTATCATCAGCTGTGCCATTGTTTAGCCCGATAATGAGACTAAATCAAGTTGAGAGTTCTTATAACTTACACAGATAGTAGACATCGTTTTTGCTCGTTGCCCACACCAACTTTCTCAGTTGAAAGTGGCCAATGCTGCATCGTTCAGCCATATTGCCGTATTTGAATCGATAGAATTCTTGATTCGATTTGATACTCCTTGCCCTCTAAAATAACCGTCCATTTGAGTCTCTCCGTAGCTTGGATATCCTTTGACGACAGTAAATTACCTCCATCTGTCGTCCGACAGGGGGCTCCACAAGGCTCAGATAATTCTCAAAGTCTTTTACCCTACATTCCATCGAACATGATCAGTTGAACCTCCCCACGGAAAACGTTGGGTGATTTTTCAGATTACCGTTGCTTCTTCAAAAATTCCCTTGGACAATGAAGGGCATCCCAATTGTATCCTTGCTGTTGGTATCTAATTGTTAGATCGTGCCCCTCCTCCAGTTGATTCCGGCGGTAGTCTTTTTACCATATCCAGTCCCGCGGTGACCATATCGTCTGTAATGACAGTGCATTGCTGTTTATCGATGAGCGTTGGAGCAAGTAGAGGGAGTAGAAAAGTTCATATAAGTTACCAAAGGATAATCATCAGCAATACTCATGGCATATCGTCAAAGCCAAGTTTTGCAAATAGGTCAAGTTCCGGTTTTGTATTTCTAAATTTGGGGCGCACTTAATATGACTTGTGACGATGAAGCCGTCCTATTGTAGGTCAGTCTTGGCAGATGAGACTCACCACTTGATTGCATAGATACACTAGAGAATACTACTCTTGGGTCATAACTGGATCCCACATAACATAGGCGTTAGACTAGAGAACATAAAGACCTGTCCTTGTCGTCATTCTGCATGCCCGATCTACCTAAACCGATGGATTGTTTGCTTTCACTGACAAGCCCAAAGAAACAATGAGTGCTTTTCCAATGTTGCAAAATTTATGAATCATCACTTAAATGAGATACTGTGAGAACAATGAAGTCGATTTTTTTTTTTCGCAATATCCTGTTTATTCTATCATTACTGCTCCTTCGGTAGCAATGTGGAAATCATGGGAGAACAGTCAGAATACAGCGACTAGATACAGTAACGATTGTGGGAGATGCACGATGGAAAAACAAGATAGGAATTCCATCACTCTTCAGTAATAAAAAGCAATGAGGGCGAGTTTAACAGCAACCGCCAGATTGTTTTGGCTGGACAGACGTGCCCTGACCAACGTTCACGGTCTGCTTGGCTTGCTGTTGTTGCTGCATAGCTGAGCCCATTCTATCCTTGATTTGCTTGGCCATGGTCAAAAAGGCTTGCTCAACATTGGTAGCATCTTTGGCGGAAGTTTCTAAGAAAGGTATGCTCAAGGAGTCCGCAAATTCCTAATTGAACCAGGTTGAGCATCATCGATCCCGCCACCGCTTCGCTGCAAAACTAGAGCAGTTGAATGCGTTTTTTTTGTATCACCTACCTGTGCTTGCTCCGTGGTAACGACCTTCTTGTCGGTCAAATCGTTCTTATTACCAACAAGTAACTTGTTGACACCTTCAGCTGCGTAACGCTCGATTTCCTGCATCCATTGCTTGACATTGTTGAAAGTGTCTTGCTCCGTCACATCGTAAACAACGATAATGCCGTGAGCTCCCCGGTAATAAGATGAGGTAATGGTACGGAAACGTTCTTGTCCTGCTGTATCCCACTACAACAAAGAACCAAACGAGCCAAATTGAATGAGGTCATGTCAGAGAACAACAGATATCATCTAGTCTTACAATTTGTAATTTCACGGTCTTGCCTTCCAGTTCTATGGTTCGGATTTTCTGTTTTTTTTTTTTTGTTTTTTGGCCCGTGGCCGCCGTTTCATTAGCAAGATGAAGCAAAGTTTAGGTTGCAATGATAAAGGACACTTACGAAATCAACACCAATAGTGGAAATATAACTTTCTGTGTAAGTGTCGTCAGCAAAACGCAACAACAAGCAAGATTTGCCAACACCAGAATCGCCAATCAACAAAAGCTTAAATAAATAATCGCTGTCAAATACAGCATGTTAATAATAATGTTCGCATATCAAATGGTGAGAAAAAATTGTCTCGGCCAATGGTCTGCTTACTATTCAGGATTCATAATGGGTGGTTTGTTCACGATAGAAAGAAGTGCATATCGGTTGAGCGCCCGCGCTGGTATCTATTTTCGGCTTCCGCCCCAGCCATGTCAGCCAACAAGTCACACGAACGGTCAAGGAGAAATTCATTAGCCATGTGGTCTTTCAAATGAAACAACCATACATACAAAAAAATATATGTATACTTTTTACTGCGCTTTTCAGGTTTTGAGTGGTTGAAATTCAAGCAAATCTCTTGTCTACATCTCTATATCTTTCAAAAAACGATCACTGGCGGTCAATGGCAGTATTCGATGCCCGACCAGTGCCACGACGGTTATTTTATCCCATCACTCGCTTTTGCACTCAAATAGAATCACAGGAGCACGTCATGCGAAGCTGCCAGTATTGGGCTATTCGCACCGATGAGCCAACTTTGTGCCAACTAAACAAATGCCAGGCGATTTTTTTTTTTTGGGGGGGGGGTGTTTAAAGCATGGGGATACAGGATGTAGCAATAATACTAGTTAAATTCTATTTGGATGATATACAATGTTATTTATGATTGTTTGCCACTATGATGAAATCATGAGGAGGTAGGATAGGCTTCTGGATCAAATGTCGGGAAGAAAAATTCGATTTCTCGACGAGCCGTTTCCACGGAATCTGTGGACACATCAATGTTATACACTGACAGGCAAAAAAGAAAAATCCACTTACCAGAGCCATGAAAAGAGTTTCTCGTATCCGTAAGACCATACAATGAACGTAGCGTAGTGGGTTGATGGATTCTTGCTCTGCGATACCGGGAAAATGAGATATTTATTTAATTCACCCATTCGCCTGAAAACCTACCGCACTGGATGTGTAGGGCCAATAAGCGAGCGCCATTCTTTAATGGCATCAGGCCCAGAGAGAATCAAGGCTTGAAAGGGACCACTATCGGTGCTTACGATGAATAACTAACGCTAATCAAGACAGAACTGGGTGATCTACCTCGTCATATAGCCGCACAGTCGTTGATAAAAGAATTTTCCTTGATGCTCCGCATAAAAAGCCCCTGCCTGAGCTTCCGTCCACAACACATCACGTTGTTTGACAATGGTCAAAGAGCGATTAGCAATGGCCTCGTACACTTTAGGTGGTAAAGAGGCATTGGCACAAATGTCCGGTTTCAGTAACGCTAATGTAAGCTGTTTTCGGATAACCGATGGTCTCATGGCATCCAGATTCAGAAAGCGACTGAGGAAAAGCAACCCAATATTGAACAATGAGCGACCCAGTCAAGTAAACAAAATTCGACTAATTCAACTCCGCACATGCCATCGGACCAAGCCAACATCCATCGATTCAACCTTTTTGATAAATTTATTCTATGGAAATGCATCATGGTATCTTCGTTTCTCTGCGGGATCCTGATGAAGCTGCTGAATAGCATTTTGTTCTAGCGCATCCAAGTCAAGCGTATCCAGGCCATAGTCGTCATCAAATCCAAAGCTGTCAGAGTCCTCTCGAATGATTTGCTTCACAGTGACACTGCGTAACGGAGACGGGATCATGGGGCTTCGATTGGAAGCCTCTTGCAGGGCTCGTAGCGGTGATGAGGTGGCAAAGGCATAATTAGGTGACCATCGCCAGCAATTGTCACCTTGACCATCATTGGCCATATCATTGATATTTTCACGGTTATTTGTCGAGGGCGAATTCACCATCTTTGGCGAAGCTTCAGTAGGCGGCCCATCCTTGGAGGGTTTATCAGATAAATCGGCTTCTATCCTGAGCTTTCCTCTTGTACTTGCATTTTCCGCAGAATGGTCCTTCTTTTCAGCTGTTTCTTTGTTCCTTGCTTCGATGGCTCGGCGCCAATGATACAGCTCCATTGTGAGATCACCATCCACAGAGTAACTATTCAAAAGACAATGTCATTATCGATATGGTTGCTTCGAATCCAATTCTCAGTTGTTTACCCGCCGCAGTCCACTACATTCTTTTCATCCAGTCGACGCACACATCCAAGAATGGTGACAGAGGAAGATAGCGTTAGGAGGTTTGCGTCAGGACGTCGACATAAGCGTGGTGATAAAAAGACACAAATTGTATCGGTGCCGTCGTCTGCATGGAAACTCAGAATATAGGTAACACACAGGAATCACGAATAGCAGTCATCTTCATTACCTAGAACAATGCATCGTTCCGCGCCTGTTAGCTTTTTATCATTGACTGATAAAGCCTTGTCTGCTACTATGATGCCATTGACTCTGTGTGTAGAAAATTTAAGTATGAATCCCATCGTGGGTGAGACTAGGCAGATCGCCCTATTAACACTGTACCTAATTCTTGTGAATACAAGCTTTCCGTCATGTGCAGCGAATGAAGTATGTACGTTTGGGTTGGAAGTGGAGGAAACGATATTGGGTTCAGCCCTTGTCACGTCTCGAATAAATAAGGGCGCATGCCCTTCCATGGAACGAGCACTTTGATCGTTCATATCATGATCGCACAACCCCTCGGTCGTCGAACGCGTTGCAGTCAATTTTCTCCTCCACGTGATGTACCAAAAAAAAAAACGCGCTTTCAAACTCCACACGTCGCCTCATGTTCCGACTGGAAAAGTAAAAAGCTACGCGGCTGTGATATCAAGAAGAGAAGCCTACTTTTGGATTCATACATTGAGAAATAAAATACATGAATGTTACTACTAGATAACTCTCTTTGATGAACCTAAATTTCATATGCCTTTGGAACGTAGTACCCTTTTCTCTCCGCAGATAGTTTTTGGAATATCCGTTCAATTGGAACGGAACTGAGTCGGTCGAGCGAACACACAGTTTAGAAGCCCGATTTGATGAACTTAGTCAGGGACTTTCTCTTGGGCCTAAACCCATTAACGATTTATCGCTCAACGCAAATCCGCACCAAACCATACCGTGGATATGTCAATACTACCTTACAGGGTTTGCTCCGTCTCGCGATATTTTCCAAGGAAAGCATGGATATCAACAAACTCTGATGCATGCATTACATTTCGAATACATAGTAGATATTGTCGTATAGTTAGGGCTTATATGCCACCACATAAAAATTACCTTGGTTCAAGAAGACAAAAGGCACAAGATAGTGACACATCATTTGTATATTGGATTATTCTCATTCTATGCTCCAAATAAATTTGGGTAGAATTATAACCGAAAGCAAGATGAGCCATCCAAAACGTGATTTATTAACTCGCCCCAACATTTGTAAAAATATGCTCAAACAGAGTATGGTCATTGACCATCACCGTAGGCGCAAAGCCAATGCGACAAGCTCATTTTTCATTTTGGCTGAGTGTTATTCGTTTGAGCGCCCTTTCTAACCGACATGTTCGCCCTTCAGACGAATTCTTTTCTTCCACTGAACCAATTTTTATTTTTGTACAATGTGAATTTTGTTCTTACCATTGACTGCATTTTTTTTCCGTTAACGGCGAACTTACTTTGTGAAGTGTGAAATCCACTTATTTACTTCGGCTGTTGTCCCCCCAAGACTTTTGGCCGCGAGAGTCCGACGGTTGAAATACCGCCGATGGATTTAATTCGACCCCCTTTGATCATATTTTGCTCGAACAGTCTTTTCGTGCAATTGCACGTTCAATGCCTATGATAGTTCCTCCACCACTAGCCAAAAGGGTTGTCTGAAGAAGGTGAATGTACTGAAGGTGAGATGGCGTTTGAAGGACCAGACATGAGGACGTGTAACAATGGTTATAACCTTTCGAGCTCATTGTCAGGACCTGGGCATTTTTTCTGTCTCGGCGCAGTACATGCTTTGAGCGTATCAATGTACTATGTGAAGAGAAAGATGGCTGCTCAACCTGCAAATAGCATGAATTGCCGTATTTGCATAATGCAACTAAGAATAAAGTGGAGAATTTCGTCTATTTTGCGCTTTCCTTCATCATGGTGGACTGCTTTTTATAGTTTAGCTTGGATCAATTGACCATGTCGCACATATACTCAGGCACTGCAGTCAAAGCCGCGCAAAGCATGTCAATGTTTATGAAAATATCGAGTGAAATATTTCCAGGTATTTTCATATGGTAGCCAATTCAATTTGTGCAAATACGCATATGACCATTGTTCGACTGCGTCGCTTTTGGCCGTAAAATAGGTTTGAAGCGCAGCCATTACACTTTTCTACAACGCTGCCCATTTTATAACCACAGATACGCTGAAATCGAAAAGCCACGAAATTTTTTCCGCTGCTGATGATTCCCTAAAAACAGGGTATGTGCACAGGCTCAATGGGTTTCCCGTGTGACAAAACTTATTGGGCGGGACATGATACGTTTTGCATCACGTTAGATATTGACATCGTACCGTTGCTGTAAACATGGGTGCATCAATACGTACACCATGAGAAATATTGTTCAAGCAGGTTTTGGAACCTTGTTTTTCTGTCGCATGATCATGGTGTATGAAGTTATATTATTCGTATTGCCATGGTCATTTAAGTTCGGCAAATGATAGTCTCATGGGATGATGATATGACGGAAAGAGAAAAAAAGAAAGAGATGTCGAACTGTAATATTCTGCAGTTACAACAAACCCAATGAGGAAAGTATAGCATTGCGATCAAGAAAAAAATACGATGAGTTTTTATTTCACGGATCGGTATATCAAGCCTCGACTCAGTCAATAAAGATGCTGAACACTGGAATGAGAGCAGATGATAACGGGTGCCAGAAATATGTCGGGGATCGTGCGAGCTCTTTGAACGGTATAGCTGCAGTTTTGGAAAGGCGCCGATTAAATTCTTTTTTCATGTTTCCATAGCAGAAATAAAGTAACTAGGTACATTGATACTCCAGGACGCAATTCCGTAAGCAATAACACGAATCATTGCGTAGCATACTGTTTTGATCAGTGTAATAGATTCAATAACTTGGACACATATTCAAGATCTTGTTACTGCTTGACAGTTAATTTCAGACGTCTCCTATCCAGCTGGTGAAGCGCGTTTCAATCTGATGAATCTTCAAGGCCAACCGTCCAATTGCTGGTGTTTAAGCGCGATTATCAATTTTGGCAATAGTACTTGATCTTTTAACAACAGGGTTTGCCACAACAGCATTGCCATGAACGAAAGTGGATTGGAACCTGGCGCCTAATACGAATGACTGATAATCAGAGAGGTGTAGAAAAATATCCCAGTAAGATTTTTGCTTGTTTCCATGTGAAAGGTTACAGAAAAAGTTCTGGCGATATGCGGCGGGCGTTCTGAATAAGAAACTGAATTATATCATGCTTGGTTGTTGCAAATAAACTTTTTTCTGAATCTTTTTTGGATTTTTTTAATCTACGGATTGGAGGAAACAAAAGATTGATATCACCGAAAGAGAGACGTGACTCAATGGATGAATTTTAATTTGTACATTGTTGTGGCATCGTGCAATTGCCGGCAGTAACATTCGAATTTGGAATTATCGCGCGCGGCTTAGCTGACCACAGGATGGAAAACAAGGAACCTATTGGCAACACAAAAGTGTGTCAATAAAGTAATGCAATCAATGCTTGTACCACCTCGAAATCTGTAATATAAAATTTTTGCTTATAAGCCAAAGGTTCATTTGCCTTCCTCCAGTTTCCCTTCTTTTTTTTTTTTTTCCTTTTCTTCCTTCACCTCAGCCTCTTCGTTTGCTCTTTTCGAACCAAACCCCTCCCCTTCCCTTCCCTTCCCTTTACAACAGCCCGGAGCTGTAATTGAGTTATCTTTTCCCAATCTTTTTCTGTCAACTACAGTTCTTGATTCTACAACATGCGTCTTTCATTGGCCGCCATCGGTCTCCTTACCCTTTTCAACACCCAATTCGTCGCCAAGGCCGACGTATTCTCGTGGAGCAACAAATTGGCCGTGATCCATGGTGATGCACCTGCACCCACTGCCAACGAGGTCTCTGCTAGCTACCTCGCCCCTTTCGCCAACGAACATGAACCCGAGGTTGACTTCGAACTCGTCGAACACGACGACGATGATACCGCCAGCAACCGATTGTCCGTTCTTCGAAAGCGTGGCGATGACTGCGGCAAATACTACTCTGGTAGGATCCTGAAACTTTTTTTATGGGTGCCCTGAAGCGGCGATATTTATGATGAAACTCAATCATTAAATCTTGTGTACACAGCCAAGCGCGGAGACACCTGCGGCAAGATCAGCAAGAAGTATGGTATCAAGCTTGACCAATTCTACGACATGAATCCCCAGGTCAACCACGCTTGCACCAATTTGCACACTGGCAAGAAGTACTGTGTGGAAACTGGATCGACTGCTCCTTCGCACAAGCGCGATGAATCAGGCTCGGGCTGCGCAAAGACCCACAAAGGTACAATAACCGCGTGATCTAATTAAATCGCAGCCTACTAAATGCAATTTTATTTATCCACCATAGTTTCCGGTTCCGATACTTGTGTCAAGTTGGCCAAGAAGTACGGCATCTCCGTCAACGAGTTTTACGATATGAACCCCCAGGTTCATCGTGGTTCGTGCGATAACCTCGACAACGGCAAGCAGTACTGCGTGAAGGCCGGCAGCAGCGGTTCCAAATTCAGCGGCAAAGTGGCTAGCTTCTCCGAAGACAGCGGCAGCAAGAAGAGCGCTTCCAAGAAATCGTCGTCCAAGAAGTCGTCTTCCAAGAAGTCGTCCTCCAAGAAATCTTCCAGCAGCTCTTCCTCCTCCAGCAAGGAAAAGAGAAAGAAACTCCAAAGCAAAGCCGCCTTCACTTACTACTGGATTGCCCACCCCGATGACTACAAGGGTGGAAAGTCTGTCGCGGTGAAGACCTGTGGTGGCAAGACCATTGGCAAGGTTGGCGAAAAATATGCTGATGCACTTGTCATGGAAGGCACCGGTGTCGTCGGTAACAAGATTGTCAATCTCGGTGGTTGCTCCTGCAGCGGCTACAAATGTTTCGAAGAAGTTGACAAGAAGGATGATCCTTACGGTCTCACTGGTAAAGTATTCACTCATTCCAACGCAGGTTATTCATGTTCACTAACGTTGCATCAAACAGCTTATGGCAGTGCTTTGCGTCCTTACATCACCATTGCTGCTAATGATCTCAAGAAGAATACCAAGATTTACGTGCCTTCCATTGTCGGGTGGACTCTTCCCGGCACCAACAAGAAGCACAACGGTTGCCTTTTGGTCGATGGTACGTACCGACGTCAACGGTTGAATCCACCATTTTTCATCGACTAATTAGTAATTGTTTGTTTATTAGATCAAAGCTGGAGTTTCTCGAGCCATCACATCGATTTCTACGTCTACTCGATGAAGCATTACAAATCGTTGGATAAGCAGCATCGCGTCAACAAGGTCGACATTTACGAAGGTGGAAGCTGTAAACTTCTGAACTATCTTTAGATATGGACTTCCTTTTTTGTCTATTGCTTTAATGAACGACAGAAATTCGAACCTTTTTTCTTAATTGATTTCTTTTTTTGTATTTTTACCTTGTTTTAGCTACTTCGTTATCGTTGCTATCTGCTACATTATCCATTATAAGATATAGTATACCTTGAATTCAATTGGTGAAACAGTGCTTTGATATGCTACGAAACTTAAGCTAGCAAGTTTAATCCAGTGATGTATTTGAAAAAGCTGATTGAATCTCCTCTTTGTTTGCATTAACGGATATCATCAGACGCCAACCCCACCTTACAGCACTGCATTAAAGCAAGAAAAAGCAAGCTTGGGATAAGTCAAAGTAACCGCATGCATTTTTTTCCGAGAACGCGTTAACGTTTATGGTTAAACAGCACCGAGAACGGACCATGCAGTTAATCTAGTTCGATGCCGACTTTTTACATAAAAAGCCTAAATATTAAGGAGCTAACGGAAATGTATCTAGTTGGCAGCATTATGAAAATATTTTTTGTGACTGATGGGCCGCAATAGTGGTGGGCATCTGTCAATAGATGGAATATTCTACTTGTTTGAAAGGACCTTCAGGGCGAAAAAAAAAAGGGGGCCGCGGTCCTTTGTAGGAAATAACAACCTGTTTCTTGCACCGCGGACTTGGCTTTTGACAAATAAATTATATACCAAGTTCAAAGCCTTCTGACCCTTTTATCGAATGACTTGACATACATAACCTATTGAATGGCAGCAACATCATGATGATCAATATGCCTTAGATTTGATATACCTTGAGCAAGGATCTTTCTCTGGTATCACGTTAGGAAGAAATAATACAATAAAGTCTCGGGAAGTCCTCAGCGCGTGCTTCGTTTTTTTCCACGATTTTATGTTGTGCCTGTGGTGACGCGAGTCAAATGAACTTCTCTAACTCCTCTGCTTACATTAAATGTTCTATCTCAATGTGCGAACTCACCTTTTTGTAGAGTTCGTCTCTGATGCTGAGGTTCTGCCGACTAAGTGGTAGATAGAAACTTGCAACCAGTGGAAATAATACCACCGAGTTGCCGTAACTACGTGATTGAGACCAGTAGGATAGGAACGAGGCAAGTGGAATATGATTCGCGGTTGTAGGGTCATGTAAGCTTTTGCCATGGTTTTTTTTGTTTGGTGTAACCGTGTCCAACCTTATTCCGAAATACAGAAAAAAAGAATATTGACAAAAACTGCAAGTTTTTTATTTCACTTGATCAGGCAGAATGTGAAAAAGCGGAGCACAAGATGGTGTCACACCAAAAGGTGGCCGTTTTAAATTGCCGTAAGCGAAGGCGAAGAAAATTGACTGGACAAATATGGAAATTAGACACCGAAAGCGTTGCCTATTGCAGAACAGATGCTTCTGACCTTTTTTTTTCTCATTTCATCTGCAGAAGATTCCCAAAGCATTACGCTTGTGCAGTACGTGATTGCATTATTTACCCGGCTCTTGTTTTTTTCTGTATATTAGCAAGCGCCATTACTCGTAGCGAAAAACAGAAACGAACAAAAAAAATTAACCTGATTGAGGTATTTTCAAGTGTTTGGAAAATTGATGTCACCATTAGAATGCTTGCATCAAATAGTGTTTGAGAATTGGTGCAGTGAATAATGACGGATCAATAAATGAGGAATTAGGATTTTTTTTCCTGAGTTGGAACACTGATTTATGAATTAGACTGGTATGCAAGACGACAGGGAATGGATGCGTGATATTTTACATTCAATGGTGTGATATGACAGTATGATATGGGTCGGAACACAAATGAAAGAACTGCGCAGAACTTGCGATCACAAGAACCGCTTCAGTTGCACAGGCAAAGGAGTTACTCCCGCGAGCGATCGATTAGATAGCATTCTGGTAAATGGTTCGAATAAATGTTTATGTTCCTATACAAGAAAAGACAACAGGTGAACCTCGGCTCATGAAAAGAGATAGCGTCAACTTACGTTATTGATAAAAGTAATGGCTCGACCGCGTTGGTGTTGATGGTGTTTTGCTAAGGGTCCATGGATCACGGCACGGCCGATGCGATGTACGTAATCTTCCACCGTGGGAGCCATATCGTAATTGATGACGAGACGGACACAGGGCAGATCCAACCCGCGAGCGAGAATATCCGTGGATACGATAACATCCCATTGGGGCTCTTGATCGTTGATACCAGCGACGATCGACGCTCGCTCCGCCTGTGGTTTATCTGCATGCATCGCTACCACTCGAAGCACTTTGTTGCGTTTGGCGATCGTTCGACTGAGGAATTCGGCTCCAAGGCGACTGTCGACAAAGATCAAAACCGGTGGAGCGAAGTATTTCGGGTCGTTCAAAATCGATAATAGTCGTTTCGCTTTGCTGGAATTTTCTACCCACAAAATGGTTTGGCGCACCATGCTCGTAGGCTCAGCCAGAGGCTTTCCGGGCTTTCCTGAGGGCTGCTCCACTAAAATGGTGATGGGAGAGATCAGCTTTCGGGATAATTTTTCCATCTCCTGTTGGTTGCTATTGGTAGCAGAGAAAAAACTGGTTTGACGGAGGGTGTTATCGTTCAACTTGCCGAATATCTGTCGGATTTGGTGATGAAAACCCAAGCTGAACATGGCATCGGCTTCATCGACCACCACCATTTGCAACTTCCACGGTCGAAGGATGTGCGCATGATAGGTGATGATATCGACGACTCGTCCCGGCGTGCCAATCAGAATTTGACTGCCGCGTTTGAGTCGATACAGCTGGTTGGGTAGGGGCTGACCACCAATGAGGAGCGCGGTTCGAGTATTGGCTATGCCTTGGATAAGCTGTTTTGCGGTTTCTTCAATTTGCTGACACAATTCTCGCGTGGGGGCCAAAATCAGTGCAAAGGGTCCTGATCGTCGTTTATATCGATAAAATTCTGCCAAACTTTGACAGTGAGCAACGATGGGGATCAAGAAGGCCCCTGTTTTCCCGGAATTGGTAGGGGCAATGGCATAAATATCGCGTCCGCATAGGCCCGCCGGTACAGCTTGCCTTTGAATGCCGGTGGCCATGGACCACCCCATTGACTCCAAGTTGTGAAGCAGTGTGGAACCAAGGGTATTCTGGCATTGAGTGAAGGTTGCGATTGGCTTTGGAATCGACGCGCCTTTGACGACAATATCATGCGCTTTACGCATCGCTTCCACTTGTGATGATGGCATGGTACTGATATCGTTGGATTCGGTATAATTTGTGAGTTTGGCGTGTATATTATCAGCAATTGAGGGATGCGTGACGATGTTATCGATGTCCTTGTGGGATGCTTTCTTTGCAGATATCGATCTCTTGTTCCCGTACTTGCTGGTATCGATCCGCTTGCATTCCAAGCTACGCAAAAAAAAATTGAGCATTTGTCTTTACTTCCGGAACATATGTAATAGGTAGGATTTTTACCTGCAGACATCATTCTCTGTATCATCATTGATGTATTCTCCGTATTTTCCGCAGATAATACACTCTGGCTCGTCTTGGTTCGGATTCACCAGCCGTTGATCAGCAGACCAAGCAATAATAGGTTCACTGTCATTACTATCGCTCTGCTCAAAGTTGGTGGGATCGGTCTTTACTAAATGGGACGTAGGTTGCTGGACGGTGGGGACATCGGCCGACGTGTGTGATCCAGGAATGATCGAAGAGGCACAATAAGAAGACGATGGTCCAACTGAAGAAGAATCAGTAGCCAAACGAGCAGACTTGGCCGGATACAATTTGTTTACGAAAATCGAGTCATGATCTCTTTTGAGAGACGGCGATCTCGACATAGTATCATCAAGGGAATAGATTCAGGTCAGTCAAACGGGTCAATGTGTGGGTTTCGTTGAGTTTCCAAATCGGAATGATCGGCTGAAGCGGAAATTGAACCACCGCCGCGTGGCCGGTGATGGCAGAGGTGCCCGCGAGTTGTTGGTAAGCTTCAATCGATTATTCCTCAACATTTCAATATAACAGGATCTACATGGGAGTAACAATAATACATGCTATGATAAAAAAAATGCATCGATGGAACAGAAATGAATAGATAGCATCACGTGTTTTAAAGCACCTTCCCATGCACCTTCACGTCATAAGAGCGAACTGAGAGCGATTGCATAGCCTTTATCACGCTAATCTATGTATTGCAATATGGTCTTACCGTTCATGTTTTTCTTTTTATTCTTTAATCGGGTGATAAAGGAATCTTATCTACAACATGTAGACGATTGGAAAGGCACCGTCACTGAAAACTGCCTAACTTTGTCTATTGATTCTACAGTGGTGTGACCCGGAGAAATCCTTATCGATGCGGTAAGGGCATCTTTTGCTTTTCGCAGCAATCAGGAGATAGCAATGGAACCTTGTGCGTGTCATTTTGCTGTAACGACGACCTTGCTTAATCATCGTCGTTTTGACCGTGGTATTTGCGATGATGGTTTCTGTCCAAAGGATAACGTAACTTCACGCCGGATGGAGTGACTTTGGTTGGCTGTAAGCCAGAGTCCAAATGAATATAATATTGTTCAAGTTGATCCAACAACTTTTTGGATGCTTCCAGCACTTGCTCCAATTCGCTTAGTACAAGCTTTGCTTTGGCTTTGGTTGGAATATGGGCAGGATGAAAGGCGTTGTTGGATGGCGTCGTCATCGGATCGGAAGCCAGGGTCACTATAAAAGATGTATCATGGTGGGGTTGCCGTGGTATTGTTCCAGGTGTGTGTGGAAGGTGGGCTAAAATGGAAGCATAGCGAACAGAACGAGTGAGTGGTTTTGAGAGGGTGAATTTAATCATAAATAGGGCGAGAAGAAGGACAAGGAGGGTTGAGAAGATGGAGAAGCAAGCTATTTATCAGTGGTCTATCCCGAATATGCCTCCTGAAGACGCATATTGTGTAACGACCGATCAAGCGGTGTGCTCCTTGCCCTATGACATAATGCTGACCATTTGAGATCTGATAGAAAGATATGCAAACACACAGATACCGTAACAGCCCCACATTTTATGACCCTATTTGTTCCATCCATTATCACCTGCTAATCCACTTTTTCTCGAACTTCTTGACGTGACCGTCATTCTATCTATTTCTAAGGTAATCGGTATTCCATGAGATATCACTGGTAGTTTTCTTCTCTTACAATTGATTCAATGGGAGCTGGGATCATAAATAAAATAAAAACGGATGTATAGTGACTGTCACTTTTATAGTCACATTTGTGCCTGAAGCGTGTAATCCAAGCGATTTTTCAATGTTGGCGAAAAAAAAAAAAAAAAAAAACGAGTGTATTTTTTTTTCCATGTCCTAGAATTTTTTTTTTTTTTTTTTTTTTTTTTTTCTGTTGAGCTTACGTCTGCTAATTTTTTTTTTATAGCTGAGGTTTTTGGTGTAAACAAAAAGATCTTATTCTTTCTTTTATTTCTTCTTTCGTCTTTTTTGGGAGTTTCTTTTTTGTACTCGTACAATAATTATATGCAGGTAACGGAAGAAACGATCGTTCATCCACCACCACCATCACAACCGTTGTTAAGGACACGGCGATCGCCATCGCCACCGGTGGCCTCATGCTCTTCCTCGCCATTACCTCAATTCCAGTCCTTGTTACCGTCGAATGGCTCGAAGCACCGACGTCCGTACTCGTCCAAACCCGCTCTTGCATCCACATCGAAACCATACACAAATTCTCTCGTGATTGAAAATCGATATATTTCGCTGTTATCGATGATCGACGCTGTTTATCCACCACGACTGTGTACGATTTGCGATATCGTCTCAGCGACGGTGGCCGAATCGGATAACCACTTTCGCACTCACCATCCTTCTCAACCACGCTATGCATGTGTGCATCCTCACTGTGGCATGCAGTTTGTCTCTCGAGGAGCGCTGCGATTTCATTTGACACGGTCGCATATTATTCGACACGCTACAAAACCCATTCCAGATCCCCCATTTTTGCACTACACCATCACCCCGCGTTCAGGAACGTTCTCACCACAACCTACATTGCACGATCAAGATCAACACCAGTCTCATTCACCAACCGAAAGTCTCACCCAAACCCAAATCCAAACTCAAACTCAAACGCAAACGCAAACGCAAACTCAACCACCACTCCCACTTGCCACAGCAAAAGGTCCTGTGGAAACCTCGCCGCATCTTCGATTTCCTGTTGCCGAACCGTCGCCTTCTATACCGTCTTCGCCTTCATTGACCGATCACGAGCAGTCCATGTCTCCGACCACTCGTTCGTTGTCTCCGCCACGACGGTCATCCTTCAAAATTCATACCATGGCGGTGCCTCGAGCTCCACGTGGGTCCAAGAAAATTATACTCTCTCATGCTTCCGAATCATTACTCAACTCTGTCTATAATCCTCTCCAATGTCCGGCCTGCCACCAATTATTCAATCGAAAAACTAATGTTATTAAGCACTTGGCCGACAAACACCACGGCGAAGAACCGTACCACTGTGTGTTTGCCAACTGTGTGCATCCCCGGCGGTATGCCACACGAGAAGGGCTTGTTTATCACATCCTAAGAGCACACGATTCCAGTCCCATCCTTAGAGACGCCGACTTATCCGAAGAGGAAGCGACTTCCATGGCTCGGATACGGCGACAAACTGTATTTAAAGCGGAACTGTATGCACAAAAAGCTTGATATAAACAAAAAGAAATAAAAAGTGTGTTTGGGAATGGTTGTCTGGGAATTTTGTGGTTTTGAGAAAAAAAGAGAGCAGACGCGAGTTTTGGCTAAGCAGTCCATTTCAGGCATCTATCATTGCGAGTCATTCGAAGAGGTCTATTTTTTTTTATCGTTGTGCATTCATGAAAGACATTTACCTTGTTTCTTGATGTGTGCCCAAGCATTGAACCGAGCAATATTTCATCCCGCATCGCAAGCACTTATAGTTGCTGGAAAACCCGCATACAGAACAAAAGTGTCGTGGTGGGTAGTTGGACGGTGCGGCATTACATGTGAGATAAGAAGGGGTGTCAGGCGGCAAGGTTTCCAGGTGCTACAAGTGGAATGCATAAAGTAAGTCCCCATTATACTTTTGGGGTAAGCTGTCAAGATCCATTGCTTACAGCGTCTTCGATTAGTATGTTGAGATTGGTCTTTGAAGAATACAAGTTGGCCTTTCCAACCTTGTGCCGTGTTTTTCGCACCGATGGATCCTCGTCTTTCTGAGCGGCAATCGCCATGGTGAGGAATCCTTCTAGATCATTCAGTGACTGGTGATTGTCTCGTTCCAGAGAATCCAGTTGTCTACGCAAGTGACGTTGTTGAGCCTCCGGATCGGTGTGGACCACCCCATGTCCTTTAGTTCGATCGGTCTTTTTATGCATGGCCGTAGATTGATAGATTCGAATGGTGGATTTACAAAAACGGGCACAGGAAACTCCTGTGTGGCGCATGAGTGTGAAATTCATTCATTTTGTCAGTCACTGCGGACATACGTTTGGTTTTTTGCAGTTCCGCATCACGCACGGAACACGCGTGGTTTTTTTTTTTTCTTGGCTACTGCGCTTAACGATCGATCGACCGTGTCTTATGACAAAAAGTCGCCTGAATGATATTTATTCCAGTCACCGATGATAAGGAAGAATGATACAATGCATTCACCTTCATTTGACGATTTTTCCATTGATGAAAGTCTGCTATTTGATCTGCCGGATGGATTGCCAGTGACAACCGCGCATAATCGGTCATCAACGGCAACGCAACTGACCAAACATTCACAATCACCTTCATTCGACGAATTTTCTGTAGACGAAACTTGTTTGCAGTATCTACCCGACGTGCCTTTGCAAACTGAAGGCTTGGATAGTGACAATCGATCCCCTTCGTTTGGCGACTTTTCAATCGACGAAGCCATGCTATTGGATTTGCCGGACGAATCTCTACAGTTAACCCCTACCTCGTATCCCACTGAAACATATACTGATCCGCTACAACTGACATCGGTCATTAACAACGGCAACAATGCCACCACAACGGGATCACCAATCGACCCGCAACGCTTGTGTTCTTCGGTCAAAACTGATCTATGCGCTCCGATCGATCAGCAGAGGAATGACTTGACTGATCGTCTACCCGAAGCGCAAGAAGATGAAGAAATTGTGTTTATTAGTGACTCTTTCAATCTGCTCGCCAGTCAAAATGACGACAGCAATAACACGCAGAACCATCAGAGTTCTCCAGCTCCTTTACACAGTCAACCTCCATCTTCTGACAAAGCCGAACCAGTTTCTACGGCTGAAGGTAACCAAATCACCGTCATCTCCAGTGACACGGCGCCGAGTCAAGCGAGTAGTCATCATGATATCAGCAGTCCTATACCACACATGACGCATTCTTCATCAAAGGTGGTTTCGTCCGAAATCTGCATCCAGGTCCCGAACTCCTCTCAACCGTCCAGTTTAGCTGAATACGATGAACGTAGTTCCCCGTTTATTCCCCACTTTCGATCGAGACGCGGTTTGCGTATTGAAGACGAAAGTGATGACGAACCCTTGATGAGTCAACCTATTGTCGTATCTGCAAGAAGAAGAAGAAATAATGTCCCCGATCGTTCCCCTTACTTTGATAACTCAGCTAGCCAATCTACCGAAGGGACAATAAGACATGGACAAAGATATGTCGACGAGGCAGGCACATCCCTGGCCAATCCATTTTTGGATATAGAAGCACAAAGGAGCGATGATGACTGTAGTACGGGGGATGACGATGATGACAACGGCGAGCATCATGGGCTGGATTCCGTGGACAACTCTTTCATCGATGATGGAAGCTTCGACAGCCCCAGATATGAACGTTCTGATCTGTCCGCTGCCACACCAACGCGTCCCGACATGTTCGCCATATACCAAACGAGCCTTGTCAGAGGTGGGGGATCCGACGGATCGCCTTTGCCATCTGCATCGCGTACCAAAAGAACGTGGATGGATCGTCTGGATCTTGCCAAATGGGAAAACATGGGCAGTCAAGAGGACAACGAGGATGATGACGACGACGAAGAACACTATCTTCAAACGGACAACGAAGCGGCCAGTGCTGACGATCACATTGAAGAAGATAGTGGTTCCGTGAACGAGCGCAGTGCTGGTGTCTATAATTCTGTCATTTTCGAGAGTGACGATGATTTCATGTAAAATAACCCTAAAAACCATACCCCCTCCCATTGAAGGTGAATTCGATATATTCCGCTTTCATTTTTATACAGAAATAAAATTTTTATAGAATACGTCGTGTTTTGGATAATGTATGAATGAGAAAGAGTTATATTTGGTGAATCAAAAGAAAAATATGCAATAGACTGTAGCTGATGGGTTAGGAAAGGGGAAAAAGACGACCTATTTCTCGGCGGGCACTTCAATCACATTGACACCAAAGCGGCGCTTCAGTCGAACGATATTCCAGTAGTATTGCCAGCCGGCCGACAGCAAGATCAAAAAGGCAATGAAAGCCAACATGATGTAAATTGGTGTGCTCACCAAATACGAATTTCGATGGTACTGGTTCCCATCGAATATCGCCAGCCACGAGTTAATAAAACCAGTGTGGATGAAGAAGTCAAGACCGAATATGAACAGATACGCGCCAATCACCGCCGTGGAGAAGATAATGACGTAGCTTTCGGCCAAGAACACCAGAATCGCCATGACCACGCCCATACCCACAATGAAACAGATTCGTGCAACTTTCTAAAATATTGTACAACAAAAAGATCAGCTCCGAGAAGGCACACCGCAACAAGTCTAACGAGAAACTTACAATGGTAATGACAAGGTTTTCTTTCCAAGATAAGATATAGACTGCCAGATAAAATCCTGCCAAGGCTGTAGAAAAAAAAAAGATTCATAGTTAGCACGAGTGTAAGATTGGTGATTATTCTTATGTTCTTACCTCCCACCATGTAGAGACCCAGTGGATACAAAAACATAAACAGTACAGCTCCCAGGAGACCGAGGCCAATGCTGACGCAAATATAAATGATTTCGGTGTGCGGGTATCCATAAGCAGGTTCATTGTTGACTAGACCGATCCATGTCATCGTAGCTAGTAAACAGGAAAAATTCATTTATAAGTAAAAATGCCATTGGCAAGGAATTGTTAGAGAGGAGCATACCAAAAAAGACAAAGCCAGTCAATGCTAAAGTGGGGCGGAAAAATCGGAAACCAAACAAGATAAAGTAGATGCCGATGAGCACACATACAATGCCAGTAAAACCTTGGGCGACAGAGATGCCGTGGCCATAGGTATCTAATGAAAAAGAAAAAAGAAAGAGTCAGTACATGGAAAAAAGCGGCAGTGATAGGCAAAATAACACTCACGCCAAAGGTAATCGCTCCAGCACTTGTCATCACACTTGGGTTTTTTGTTCTTGTCTTTGTCAACGTACACCGTAGAGGTTGCTGTGGATTTGGCGGTAACAGTTTTGGTCACCGTTTTGACCTGACCGTGGCCACAGTAGACAGTTTCTGTCACGGTTTGCCAGAGTTGTCGCACGTCCTGGTTATCGAGTTGGATTCTGACATTGTTGCCTTTTTCATTATTACAGACATCCGCCCAGTTTTGATACAAGCTCAGGTTTTCTTCCAATTGCCGTCGTGCTAATCGCCGATTGGAGCTGCGACTATCTGGCGCGGCGGTGGGGCTTGCCAATGCTTGAAGTTCGTGGTTGCCTTTGACGGTAGGTGTGGGGAGAATGACATAGGCTTGCACCCAGCCAACAATACTCAGAAAAGCGAGCAGTAGCCTGATGATGCTGTGTGAGTACATGACAGAAGAAATATGTAAAGAATAGTAAACGCAAAAAGCGACATCGAGTCGGATAGAAATACCCTGACGACGTCTTGGGATTGTTTTCGCCTTTCCATTCCCAGTCGATACTCTCCAAACCGAACCGGTTGATTTCAGTCTTATTTCGCTGCGTGGCATTCCCTTTTTTGGATCATTGTTTTTGAGCAACCTGCCTTGCCAGTTTTTGGTATTCCCTGGCACCCGTCCTGAAGATCGTTTTTTGGTATCTAAAATTAGAAAAGATCTATTCCAGAATCGAGCGTGATTCAGCAATCTTGATGATCCACATGAAACCCATAATAAGGTTCATCCTATTTTATTACCATGCCATCAAAATCGAAAAAAATGTCAATAGATACAGACAACGTTGCATAACAACACCAAATATTTTGATACGATTAACAACAGTCCTTTTTTAGAAGCTTTTGTAATAACGACACCTTGACGTCGGTTTTTGTGGATAAATAAATAGAATTGGACGGCATCGTTGTTATGCCACGCAGTGAACGAACATGGTCAAAGCATAGGCCGGATATTTCAATCTCAGACAAGAAGAAGGAACATTCTGATCCACCGACGACGCTCTGGTCCCCTGACTAGTTGCCTATGAACGCAACGTAGTCATCTACTTTCTTACTTTTTATTCTATTTTGTACGCCAACGTCTTCAGTTTACTGTGATATTCATGTCATTATCACTATAGCATTCATCTGTTTACGATGATAAAGATAGTCACAGTCCGAGATTCTATAAGGAGGCACGTAGACTGAAATCGGCCTATATGCAAATACTACATTGCCACCACAATCAAAAGGGCTAGATGATTCATGTAAATGACGATAGGTATGTATTTTGTAGATAAAAGGATTGCTTTATATTTTTTTCGCCCCGATGCCAGATTTTTTCTTCTCACGAAGTTCAGCCATGCGCTAAAACGGACAACAACTTTTTTCAGTACCGGTTTTTTTTGTTACAAAAACACGCAACCTATTTGGTCATACCTGCCGCCGTTCTTCTCTGCGCCGTTCCAACTCCGCCTTGCGATCCTCTTTACTTGCAAATTCCGGTTGCATGTTGGGAGAAGTGGCGTTTGAGTGAGAGGCAATGGAGGATGGATTGCTGGTGGATGCACTATTCATTCTCATCGATGATGTCGCTTCTTCTTCGAGTTGTGAAGCTGTGCAATAAACGCTTAGTATGATCATATTTCGTACCCCTTTCCCTCAAATGATTGCTGCCTACCAAGCGATTTTGTTGTGTGACCTAGTTTCATGGATGTTTTGGAACCGCTCGGGTGATTCGCTGTTGCAAACGTTGATATCCGGGTTTTAGGAACAGCAGGGACAATATCGGAAATGGGAACCGGTTTTTCAACTGTGTTTGTTTCAAATGGCTCTATGAGAGGAAAGAATTCAGAATCACTTTCTTGAGTAACGCAATACTTTGACATTTTACCCCATCCGTCGTTTTCTGAGAATTCAATTAGATCGTCTTTAGAATCATCGGGCCATCCATCTTCTTCATATGCCATGCCTATTTGTGCAAGGCGTTCAGACGATGCTATCGGTCTCGCTAGACCCGTATCTCTTTCAGCAGGGATTGCTGAACCATTTGTTGGCAAGGGGTTGCCACTGTTAATTTCGCCACTCGGAGTACCAAACTAAACCATGCAGCATGAGTGGATTGGCCAAGACATGTACAAATAACAGATCCTCGAATTTTTGTTATTTACCCTAGCGTGAAGGGAAGACACGGCCCAGCCAGCCAAGCCTTTCGTAGCTCCTCCGAAAACGCCAGCCACGCCCATAGAAGACATGGGAGAACTTGTTGCATCCCCTTCGATTTTTGAAGCAATGGCAGGAGAAGACGAGGGTTCTAATGCGGTCTCCGGCTAGTGAATCGACCCGTTAGTTGAAGGCCGAAATTTGACAATACTGAAAAATACACCAACCATATTGTCGGCAAATTCTTGCACACGAGTTAAAAAGGTATTCATGGCCTTGAAAGCTTGATCACGAACAGGTCTACAGGATGGTCAGGCCTATCTTTATACGTTGATCAAGTGTGATGGTAACCTACTTTTCTTTGTCAATAAGCACTGTCGCAATGCATGGTATGATACGATTAGCGCATTCCGGCGCAGCATAGTATTCTGCCGTCGCTAAAAAGTCAAAGAAAAGAAAGAGAAAAGGAACCAATGGATAAGTCACGATGACATTTTGGACAAAATTGAACATGTCATAGTTTACCAGTCAGTGCCATCAAGGCAGCAATTCTAGCATGATGAAAACCATCTCGCAAACTGCGAGTAAATGCCGGTATCAGTACCTTTTTCCGGGTCTAAAGGGCGACGATATAAATACACAGATCAACGTCGATATCGAGGCTAAACTCACATCATCACTGAGGTGCTTTGCAATTTTGCCCAAGCAAATTGTGGTGTTGGTACGTATACCCGGCTCTTCATCCATTTGTAGTTTGGCCATGTACTTTAACAGATCATAGTTGATGATGCGATCGCTCAGCTAATAGGAAATACAATCTTCAATTATACATGCCGCTGTGTATCCAGCTCAACTGATAGATTGTTTACAACTCCTACGAACCTTTGGCACTAACAGCAGCGTTGCCTTGATGGTTTGTTCTCGTATCAGAGGTACAGTGTCAGTAAAACCGGTCGCCTAGACACAGCGATGAGCCTTTAAATATTTTCGTTCAACCCTGGTTCTTAACTTATACATACGACGTTGGGAAATATTTGATTCACAACCACTTTATTGGGGATGTGAGAGATGAAACGTTGCATGTTTTCCAGCAAGCTGATGCGAATGGCCCGATCGGGCGAGGCAAACATCCGTACGATCGGTGCAACAATAATCTTTTCGTACTCGTCATTGGCGAGCTGATCGCCAATTTTCAAGATCGCATTCAATGCTTTGGCACCACCTTCAAATATTATCCATGAGCTTGGTTCTATCCAGACGATCATTGCCGTTTGTTATCATTCTCTGCTTACCGGATCCAAATTCGAAAGCTTTCGTGAGTTCAGGCAAGATTTTGTATTTTGCAAAGTCTGTCGGGAACGATTCAATAACTGTATCCAATTTTCTGTAAAACGATGTTAAGTTTTGATGACTGTTTTTGATTACATGTAAATTAGGTACACTACCTCAGAAATGCGTCCTTTTCGTGTTGATCTTTGATCGTGATATTTTCCAAGAACTGATTGACGTGGATAAAATCCGTATCAAAAAATCCATTGGGACGCGATCCTTCTTCCAAAAATGAGGCAGCATCGGCTCTTGTGCGACCGGAAGGACGAAGCAATGCTTTGTAGATGGGATACATGTTGGCGGGAATCTCGCCTCGTTGGGAAACAAGTTGATCGGCCGTGTCGAATCGACGATTGTAAGCTTCGAATATAAGGCATCCCAACTGATACGAGTCTTCGGCGGTGGGTGGTAAACTACAGTGTCATTCGATGAGCATCCCCACGCTTATTCACAGTTTATCTGTCGATCTTACTCTTTGAGAACCGTCCAACCCGATTTCTGAACTTCAGGCGAAGCATATTTTTGTGCGTCGGATACCAAACCGCCAAATGTCTAAATTCAGTCACTGAGTTGAATGATAATGCCCATTCACTGCTGTTTCTCCTTCACATACCAGGATCATCGGACTTTCGTCTTTCATTGAAGAGAGTACCTCGAATCCACCCAATTTCCATTCCCCGGCTTGATTTATAAAGATGGAAGATAAACGAATATTGCCATGCACCATGTCACAATCTTGGTTGATAAACTGAATCGCATGCTGACATAGAAAGTATTAGGCACCCTGAGTTGTTGCATGCCGAAATTCATTGGTTACCGCAATTTTGTAAAGACCCCATAATATTAGGTTCTGATCAGGGGCTTGACCGAGCTGGCTCGAGAGCGGTTCGACTGGATCGGTGGCGAACATTATAGTCTGCTCATCCTAATAGAGCACCATGAAATGCGCCTATTGTTACGGAATGGCCTGAATAAAAACTGTGCAGCGAAACCTACCTCGATGCCATCCAAGTAACATAATAAATCAGGATGTCGCATGGTGCGAATACGACGGAACATGTTACGTGCAAGCGGTAAACTGTCTCTGTTTTTGCTTCCGTCGAACACGAAAATGGAAGCTTTCGAGTTGTCCTCCTAACATGCTGGTAAGTTGCCGTGGTTGTGAAAGGTACAGAAAGCCGATGAGAGAGGTACCTTTTTCACGCCATGATGAAGGGACCAAATAGATTGGCTGTCAAACCATTCGACTTTATCGCCTACTGTATAAGGAAATGCTGAAGAATCCTTTCCGAGGAGGGATAGACCGGTCTTGACGAAGCCAGACAGAAAAGCCATGCGAATGGATGCGTGAAAGAAAGGTCAAAAACGTGTCACAATGGCCATCGCCCAGTTATCACATTGGGCAAGTCAGATCAGCCAATCATATGACGCGAACAAACCGCCAGTCGTCGTTTTGCAGGATTTGGACCTGTATCCATGTGCAATGAAAACCCCTCTTTGCTATTATTGAGTCTACTCGAAATCTCACCCAAAGCGTCATTAAAAATATCTGACGTCTCTCTTTGAAAGAAAATAACTTCCATTATCAATATTGTCGCTGGCCATGGAAATTCAACTACGCAAACCTCTCTCTTGCGAGCAACAATAAAAGGATACCCATTTATTTCTTTGGCATTAATGCTTCACAAAAAAATGAGCTCATCATTTACATGTAATCATGCGCCAACACGCCTAACTTTTGGATGCATGTCAAAAGTTGGACGGGTTTTCATTAGCTGCATTTTCTTTTTAAGCCCATACGCTTGCTGCTCCATAAAGCGCACCGACCCAGATGTTTATCACCGTAAGTGCGGGTGCGCTCTCTCTCTCTCTTTCTTTCTGTGTGCATACAGTACTACATACAATCAATCGATGGCCATATGAAGGGGAGTTTGGGGATTCGGAGTTGCGTTTATGGCAATATGATACGGCTTGCTCCAGTTTCGAACCCCGCAGTCATTCTTTTTGCATTCTTTTGGGCAATTGTGTGCTTGGAACCAACTTTCAACAGCTTTTTTGTCATGTCCGCAGTTGCTGTTCCTACGCCGGATTTAAAATCACAAAAATACGATCGTCAGCTTCGGTAATAGATCGATTGAAGACAGATGCAACGCGTATATTCATTTCTCACACCTGTTATTCCCCTTGTACAAGTCTTTGGGCTGCTACGGGACAGACCGCTTTGGAAAGTGCAACGGTTTGCCTTCTCGGCGCTACTTCGACAGGCTGCGAAGTGTTGAAAAACCTTATCCTTCCAGGTAATGAAACGAGCATCGGTATTCGCTGAGAAAGGTTCTAAAAAATTGGCGTTTCATACCATTGTAGGTGTCGGTAACATCACTGTTGTCGATGACCAGTTGGTGCAGGAAGACGACATTCGCAGTAACTTCTTTCTCGAATCGAGCAGTCTTAATCAGCCGAAAGCGAAATGTGTTGTCGAATTATTGAAGGAACTTAACGAGGACGTGAAAGCCAACTGGACAGTCAAGGTAACGAAACGCATAATTTTGCGATATTTGTCCCAGCTGACCCGAAAATCTCAATAATGGTAGGCTCCATCGGACATGATTCTTCAGGAACCCGAGTTTTTTACACCTTTTCATACCATCATCGCTTCCAATATTCACGAGGATGATATCATTCGCTTAGCAAGCTTCTGCGAGCAGACGAAAAAAGTCCTTATCGTCATTCGCTCCAAGGGTCTTTGCGGTTATTTCCGCATTCAAGCACCAGAACATGCCAGTTCGTATTCAGCATCTCATACGCGTCACCTACGTACTCACCGGTTGTTGTCTTTTTTAGTCATTGAAACACACCCGGAGAACGTGACGGATCTGCGCTTGAATCAGCCTTTTGTTCAGTTGGTGGAATATGCGAAAAAGTTTGATCTTGCCAAACTGGATCAGACCGATCACGCTCATGTTCCTTTTGTAATTGTTATTCTCAAATATATCGAAGATTGGAAGGCAAAGGTAATATGGATGACCTCATTCTCATTCGTCTATGTTCACTAAATGAAAAAGGGATAGCATGACGGAAAGTTACCAAAGACTTATGCTGAACGAAACGAATTGAAAGAAAACATCAAGGCTGGAAAACGCACGGTTGACGAAGAAAATTTCGATGAAGCCATTGCCAATGTCTGGCGGCTATCTTCCTCATGTGAGGTTCGTACAGGGGCAAAGCGCTGTTTTGTTGAACTGTTGTTTACTCACCGTCTTGTGTAGATTCCCAGTGACGTCCGTCGAATATTTGAGGATCCTGCTTGTCAAAATTTGACCGCTGATGTAAGGTCACCAAATTCATTTGTGAAATAGGTATTCATACTTGTGTTCTGTAGTCCGAACCGTTTTGGATCATTGCTCGAGCTATCGCCGACTTTGTAGCCAATGAAGGTGAAGGCCAGCTTCCTTTACCAGGAAAATTGCCCGATATGAAATCTGATACAAACAATTACATCGGTTTACAGAATGCGTAAGCGCCTTTTGAAACAGGGTCAATCTCCCAAATGTGTGCTCAGCTCATGTCTTGTTAGTTATCGCCAGAAAGCTTTAGCCGATCTTGTTATTGTCCAATCTCGGGTTCATCAATGGCTTGAGGATTTGGAACTCTCCCGTGATAGTATTCCCGCTGATACGATTGAAGGCTTCTGTAAAAACGCGGCTCACATCAAAATTATTCGATACCGAAGTTTACTGGACGAGTATGTTGCCAAGCCAAAGACACAAAAGATTGGTATGTCAACAGATGGATCTCCTTGCGCCATGTATATATTATTAACCTGGGTTCAAAAGAAACTACGCTGCAGCAAGATGAAAATTTGGCCTATTACATCGCTTACCGTGCTGCGGATCGATTCTACAGCGCGTATCAGAGATGGCCAGGTATAAACGGGATCTTTTATGTTTTTGTGAACTTGGAACTTATTTATTTATATATCAACTTCATAAACCAGGGGATCGAGGTGGTGATAATGAGGAAGATGTACAGTTGTTACGACAGCAAGTGATAGCTACGCTGCATAACCTGGGGTTGCCGGAATCAACGATCACTACCCTCATGCAACGGTCCGACACCATTGACAAAGCCATCATCAATTTGTAAGTGTTCCGAGTGGCGGGATCATATTATAAGACAGTTCTGACATGAGAGACATGTAGCGTACGCTTCAACAACCAAGAGACCCCGAATCTGGCAGCACTCATGGGAGGCTTGGTATCTCAGGAAGTGATCAAACTCATTACTCATCAATATGTTCCGCTCAATAATACGTGCGTCTTCAATGGCATTTCTTCCACAAGCAGTGTGTTTGAATTGTGATAATTCCATGTACAATTTTTTTTTATTTTTTCGTCAATAAAGAAGTTATAATTTTAAAGACACATTTACCCATAAATACATACATACGTACAGGATAGAAATACATTGGTCTCCCTCTTTCCTCTCTAAGCTTTACTCTTGATGTCCTCCATGCGTGCTGCAACGCAAGCGCACAAAGCTGCACCTACACCGCTGCCATCTCGAGCGAGACCCAAGCGCACCACCTTGGTAATGTCGGGATACTCGGGCATGAGTTCACTGATGGCTTGATATGTACGCTTTTCGAAGGATGGATAGAATTCGTACAAAGAGCCGTCGATACCAATATCGGCTCCTTTTTCGTTAACACCGCAATGTTGGACGATGGCAGCAATAGCACATCCAGCTAGGCGGGCTGCACGCGTACCGACAAGTTCACAGACACGCTTGATAATTCGACAATCCGTTTCGGATGCATTCTGAATACTGAGATTTGTATCCAGGACTTCTTTGGTTCGCGAAAGATTGCTAGTTGAATCGTCTTCTATATTCGACATGTACGAGGTTTCGAAACCCCATTGGACCGAAATTTCCTTGGACGCCGTTTTGGCGTCAAAACCTTCACTACGCTGGAACAGCAATTCGCGGTCCATCATATCGGTGAGGACGTTGCGCACAATCTCACCAAGATACATGCCGGAGATCAGTTTTTCGAAAATCTGACTGTGGGGATTGATAGATTCTCTGTCAAGCTTATTATCATAGCGGGTCAATGGCAGGACCACCCGTTCGTTGTCGAAAGCACCGAATTCCATGTTGATGATCATTTCAGGGAAAGCGGTTTTACCGCCTTGCCATTTACCAATTTTGTCCATCTGTTCAATGTACGCACCGTTGGAGCCAGTGCCTAAGATAAGACCGGCAATCGTATCTGGTTTGTTATACGCGTTTGACAAGAGCGTGCCGACCGTGTCGTTGACAAGGGCCGTCACTTTAACAGGCAAATGCTTCTTTAATAATGCGTCTTGAAGGAGAATGACAGGATCCTTGCCCACGGCGCCGGTACATGAGAAACCCTTGGTCCACGTCAACAAAGTACCGCGATTGATCTGAACAAAAAATAGGTATCCAATTAACCGGACTTGCGCATGACAAGAATATTACCAATAAGGTCACCTACCTTGGACTGCAGTACCGGGAAAGAAAAGGTGTAACCAAGGGGAAGTTCTGTCTCTTGATCTTCTAAACCTTGTTCCGTGAGGAAAGTATCAATACAATCGGCAATGTAATCTGTTGCACCAGACATATATGGTGAGATCCCTTCGTACTAGCATCTTGACATGTGTTTGCTTTTATTTACCACAAAGATCACGCATGGGGCCCGTCTTCAGCGTATCCGAAATTCTGGCCTTGGTAGACACTGTCTTGAATTTGCCTTGACCTTCCAGTGTCACAAGCACCACACGAAGGTTTGTACCACCCAAGTCGAGCGCCAAAAAGTTGCCTTTTTCCTCACCTAAGAGGCATTCATGCGTGTTACAACGTCTCTTCATGGACAAAAATGGGAATTAAATATAAACAAACCTGTGAGGCGGCCTTCGACGTACGATGGGATCATAGCAAGTGTATGACCTTCCTTGTTGAGACCTTTGGTCATTTCACCCTTGAAATGTTCACAGATCCTCGACAGCTTATCGGGGGTAATGGTAAGCTGTTCAATAAGGCACTTCATATAGGCCTCCTGTTCGGGACTGCCATTGATGTCCTTGATAGTCGTAGCTTCAGGTGGAGCTGGCATGTTGATAAAATATAAAATTACAAACACGAGTAAGGAAAGCAACAAAGACAAGGGAAAAAATAACGCATTTCTCAAAAAAACTAAAAAAAAAGTGGCACAAATTCAACGGTTTGGCTGGTTTCAGATATCCCAATGCAGAATGTTTGTTATTGCTGGGGATTACTCGAAGATTTTATTCGACGGGCAATTAAGCTATTGTCACACCTAGCAACTAAGAAGCGTGAGCCTGGCACTCCTTGATTAGCGGAACACGAAATTTCGTCGAAAGAAGTAGGCTGACAAATTTGTATGTCATTCGATTCTGAATAAAAAACCAACACCGGGCCGGTGTTGGCAAATAAAAAAGAAAATGAGATACGCGAATCCAGCACCAATGTCGCAGCTGATTAAAATCAATGTCGTTGATCATTTAAAACTGATGTCACAGATCAATCAAAAGCGATGTCAGAAATTTGCTGAACCCTGCAAAGAATCGAAGGGAAAGAAATGATGCTTTAGTATGCTTTTCATCAGTGATAGGTGGCCACATATTTTTACTTTGACGTCAGGGAAGTAGCATGCCCCAATCACGGTCATAACAATATGATGGATCATACCTTTTCCCGCGAACTCGTCTTCAGCCGTACAAGTTTTACCCAGTCATTCATCATCACCCGAGCAAGAGACGTTACTGTCGCTATGCCGGTCCAGATACTCCCCGGTTACGTCGAGCCTCATCTGCTGAGTAAGAATTTCAGGTCCTCTCAAGGTCCCCGTCTATTCGATTCGCTGGAGTGATCGCCTCCCGCCAAGTTCACCAATGAAGCGGAAACACGGGCCGTATATTGTGTCTAGCTAACGACGAGCAGAAGGGTGAAAAGAGGCCAACTTACAGGAATGTCGTGGATCCCAACGACGACTCGTATACAGCATTCTTTTCATCTCCACGTCGCACCAGGCTATATGCTTCGCTTGAGGAGCGTAGGAGTTAGGGTATCTTATCGAGCAAAGTGGACAAACGTAATTGTACGATTTTGGCAATGCTTCGAAAGATGAGATCTACCTGACGCGTATTCAAGGTATAGCTTCACGGTTGTTCTGAAAAAAAAATTCCTGTGTTGCAAACGCTTTCGCTGTTTGAATGTTGGTTACCTGTTTTCATTTCTGCCAAACAGTCGCGGATGGAAATACCCAAAGGGTTGTCCTCCAGCAAAGGCGCCTCAAGAGACAAGTTCACCATATGATCAATAGACGAAAGACACGAATGCACTGAATCAGTGAATCCAATTTAAAACATCTGCATGCTACATTTTTTTTTTTTTTTTTTTTTTTTTTTTTTTTTTTTTTTTTTGTTCTGAATAGTTGTTGGCAGTTATTCATTGTAAACGTTCTATATCAATATGATTTGGATGATGTTTCAACTCAAAAAAAAGTAGCTTTGACGAAGGCATGTGCGAACGTGTGGTAAAAATCTCTTTTTCTATTGCAACCCGTAAGTTGGCACTGTTTATAAAAGCTGCTCCGATTTTCAATATGCCAAAAAGAAACTATAAAAATAAATCCTGTAATGCACAAGATGAGGTTCTTTATTGTAAGAGAGTTTGAATTAAAAAAAAGAAAAAAAAAAAAAAAAAAAACTAGTAAAAAAGAACTATTGTATCGATAGCATTCAGCTATGAGTTAAGACGGGTGACCTCTAACCAACAACTTGCCCAGCCAAGTTGTTGTAACTTGTTCCCCTATTCCAACCCCCGTCCAACTTATAGCCTATACTATGGGCTCGGAAGCCGGCTCTTCTGGTCGGAAGCCTACAAAATGTTAGTACAGCCAAAACTTGCTGAAACGCCAACCAGCGGGCACCAAGTCGTCACCGAAAGAGCAGAACAGAGCAGAGCGGCTTGAAACCTACAAAATGTTAGGCCCAGCTGCCATACAGAGGTTAGTACTATCAGGAGGTCGGTCGGCAGTGACGGCAAAGGGTGTTTGGGGAGAGGAAAAGAAAACGAAAGAGGAGCAAAAAATCAAAAAATTCTTTGCCGTTCTCTTATTTCCTTTTTTTTTGTATCAATGGTTGAAAGGCGGCCATTCGATGAAAAGTGGAAAAAGACTAACTTTGCGAGAATTGGGTGTAGAGAGACGTGCCGAATTTGTATCAATACGTAAAATTAATTCATTGGTATCCCGGCAACAATAGGGAAGCAACAAGAAGGTTTCTCATTATGAAAAGTTTCACATACGTCTTCAAGAAAAAGAAAAAGGACGGTGCATTGAAGAAGTCCAAGCGGACTTCTTTGATGATTTTCAAGTCCGAAAGGCATCGAACAAGATGGAAGCGGTCCATGGGTCCGATTCACTTGATCCTGTCCCAAGGCACTCCATTACTTTTGTTCAGATTTTCATCCATCCGAAACCGCCTTAGAATCCGTACAAATTCGAAGCATCTCTGTAGAGGCGCACCGGGCCGAGTTACGGTTTTTTCCTATATTTTTGATCCAACCATTAGGCTACGGCTTATGAACCCATGATAATGAAATATACCACGAAGAAAACGATGCTTTATATTTTTTGAGAACACAAATCAAAGGCATAGGATAAACCAAATCAACAAGCGGGCCCCACGTACTGGGGTATCCTCGGAGTTGCAAGCTCTGGATCATGCAGTTACTGAATTTCAGGACGCGGTTACTGAATTTTATACAACAGATCATGTCTGAGACGTTCTTTTTATATGAACATGCCATCAATCAAAGATATTCTACTTGCTCCTCGCCTTTGTTCTAAAGTCATCAAGCTCGTAAATGATTCCAATAAATTATAGCCCTTTAACAAAGAATCATCGGAATAATCATCAGAGAGAAAGATATGCACTTGGAGCAAAAGAAGCGAAAGCTCTGTTGTTTGGGTTGGAGCCGATAACGTCTGGCGCAAAATCAAAATTCAAGCACTCATACGCACAAGGTTGGTGTCTCAAAAACATATCTGCAAGCCAATGACATTATCAAGTTTTAACTTGCGGGCGCACATTATCTCTATCTACGCCTTAATAATAAATAATAAAAAATAAAAAAAGCTTTCAAGAAAATGAGAAATAGTGTTCACGTCAATCGGAATTGGGATGATGATGATGATGTTGAGTGAATCTCGAACAGTAGTGAGAGATGAGGAAAGCTTCGATATCTTCATCTTGGAATTAGTGTTGTTATCGAGGCCAAAGCTGATTTTATCAGGTCGTCATTATATCTTGATTAAGACAAGTCATCGAAGGCCGAAGATCCCACTATCGCTAGTACAGTCCGCAGAAAAGAACTTTAGAAACGGATTCCCCTGGCCATATTGATATGTTATTGACTCTTTATTCAAGGAAGTCTGCATGTATTTTGATCAGTTCAATAAAGTTCAATATCTACGGAAACCCGTTGTACCGATTTGGTCCTACAACTAAATTACTGTCTGCAGCTTTCATCCTCCAAAAGTTGCTGACGGCTGTGGCGCTCCACTTTGTAGACCGTCAGCAGCCTGTCCACGTATATCTCCGCGATGTTTTTATGACTCTAAGTAGTGAGGCAGTAAGCTTCAAATAGCACTGTAATGCAGTAATTCTGTCGGATTTTACCTCACAAACAGCAACAGGTCATCTGGATCCGTTGTGAGACCAGCGTAATCAATAACCACAGGGATTACTTCGCTTTGCGCGCGGTTATAAAAGCGATCATGTCTATCCAAAAGAGTGAGACAGTTAGAGTACAGTAAACCAAACGAGCACCTTACCCTTGCTTGTGCCATCTGCACCTTTCACCGTTCGGACAGTGGTGTCATCACGATCGGCGATTGGTTGCGAAGTCGGCAGAATGATAAGATCAACCAGAAACCAAGCTTCGCAGCTGTGTGACCATGGCCTCAATCGGGCTTGCACTTCCTCCGGTTCAGGTCCTGGAGACTTCCTGGCATAACCGATGACAACAGTGCCATTGGTCTTGCATGCATTGATGAAGTCTCGGTATCGCTGCGGATACAGGGTGATATCCTTCACCAGATTGTCTAAACAAAAATTAGTTCACATAAACAAAAAGCAGATACCTATTTTACCTTGCCATCTGTCTTCCATTACGTGGACCATCCAGTGTCGCACGGCTCGACCCATGCTTCCTCTTCCTAGCTTGGGTCTCATTCTGCTTTACAAATGCCACTTGACTCTTGCCGCACAAGGATGCGACGCCGTTTTGTGTCATATCGCTCCAACATTCACTCCACTCAATTTTGAGGGCCTCACATTGATGAAGCATCCGCAGCCAAATTTCGGGCTGCCCATGATGAGTGGCCGGGCAGCCCGAAGTTTCTTCGCCCTCGACGGCTTCATCGTCGACACCACCCTTACGAATTCTACTGCCACCGTAATGCTTGCATCTGAACCAGGTTACACGGTCGCTGAACCATTTGACCACTGAGTACGATGTTGAACTTCCGTTCGTATTCGGCAACAACGTCGGGAATGTCGGCACTTGAATGATGTTCGCGTAGAGCAGACACCGTTTTTTTCACTTGCACTTGCACAAGATCATTGAAAGTTTCGATCGCAACAGTAATGTTGGAGACGTTGGTCAAAGTTGATAGTGGAAGAAAAGAAAAGATAACAGTCGACGAGTCATCGTAGTAAATTTATTGAACCCCGAACAGCAGCGGAGGCTAATGGGACTGCTTTTGACAAGATAAACGCGAGGATATGATTTTTTTCTTTGCTGATCGCGCGATTGATCAATTTTCCTGCGCGACGCGTTTATGGCCGAAGACAGTAGAAAACGGCGATTCTTCGAGCAGGAGCCTAATGAGGTCACTCCACCCCAGCCGATCGCTGCACCAGAACAGCCGCGATCACCACTATCCGAGAAAATGGAGCATCTGCGAGCCATCTTGGGCAACGATGCCCCAGATGCTTGGCTTCAGCATCTTTTAGTAAGGAACGAAGGCAATCTCGAGGCCACCATCAACGCTTTTTTTACAACGTCCATGAGCCCCTCTTTTACACAATCGCCACCTGCCAATCCAGCCCAGTCCCAGCAGCCAGACACTAGTCAGCCTAAATGGAATCCTAATAGATATTATATTGGCGAGCTTGTCATCTCAGGTAAAAACGTTTTGACATGTTACCGATCGGTCGGTCGGATCGGATCAGATGATTGACTGGATTAGGAGTATAGGTTGGTCCATTTACAAGGGTGTTAGCCCTGTGAAGGAGGGAAATTCCATTGCCATTGAGCGATCGAAACCTGCGGCCATGATGCAACCCCCGACCAAAAAGAATCGATTTGGACATGCGCAAAAGAAAGAAAACACGATTGTACGATTTGCTACAGTAGACGGCCGCGAGATTGGCCGATTGCCGCAAGACGTTTCCAGATATGTTTCCAAGCTCTTGGATTTTAATTTGTGTCAATTTGAGGCAACCGTTGTCTGGTGTCCTCATGTGTTAAAGATCGGTGACGATATTATCCTGCAGCTGCGATGTTACTTTAATGACAACGCTTTCAATCGAACGCACATCAAACGATCCATTAATCAAGAACGTTCAATATTAAATCAAACAGCCGAGACTGATGAGGAGCGACAGGAACGCGACCAGACTTTGGCGTTGCTTGGGATTATTCGCTCTCTTGGCTTAAAGTCATCCCGATCAGCTATTCAGCGCATGAATCTGGCCAAAGGCTTAGAAGAAACCGAGGTGCAGGATCTCATCGCGCAGTCAGTGCAGACCTTAGAAAAGGTTACGGCGACAGCAACCGAGGAAGAAGAAACGGCAACGGATAATGACGAAAATAAAGAAGTGTCGGATAACCAGCTGGATACCATCTATGAAAAGGCGCAAATATTCGATGCTCAAATTACTCCTATGGAAACCCCAGAAACCATGGCATTCGAGTTGAAACCATATCAAAAACGTGTACGTGTCTTTGCAACCAAAGTGTCCTGTTAGGTCGGCAACGAACCTCATGTCTTTTTTTCATGTGGTAGGCACTTGCATGGATGTTGGCCAAGGAGGCCTTGGATACGGATAATGAAGACTCCCATATTCGTGCTATGCATCCTTTATGGGAAGAGTATCCGTTTCCAAAAGATCCCGATGCTCCGTTGAACCAGCAACTTCCATCGCATTTTTACTTTAATCCATATTCAGGTAGACATCATACACACTCTTTTGGTACCCTGAATGATTTGCGCTGACTTTTTATCTTGTCCAAATCCAGGTGAGCTTTCACTCCGGTTTCCCGAATCAAAGCAACAGGAGCGCGGCGGTATATTGGCAGATGGTAAGTGATTCAACGTTTTTCAGCATCAACAACAACTGACTGTGTGACGAATGTTATTATTCACAGAAATGGGTCTGGGCAAGACGATTGAAATTCTCAGTCTTATACATACCAATCGATTTCAGCCCCATTCGCCACTGCCGTCCAATCATCCCAATGCTTCACCAACTACGCTGATCATCTGTCCCATGTCACTGCTGGCTCAGTGGCGTGATGAAGTTGTTCGAGCGTCAAAGGTGGATACGATTAAGGTGGAAGTGTATTACGGAGGACAACGTGATACAGATCTTCGTACGCGGCTGTGTCGATGGAATGGATCTGCGCCCGATGTGCTTATCACCACTTATGGTACGGTCATGTCGGAATGGGATCGATTAGAAAACAGTGTTTTCGACGTTGAATTTTGGAGAATTGTGTTGGACGAAGCGCATCACATCAAGAATCGTCTCAGTAAAACTTCACGAGCATGTTGTTCTATTCCATCCCGGCGACGCTGGGCTGTGACAGGAACACCTATCCAGGTAAGCAGCTGAATAATTTGCATCCATCAGAAATCATGAATACTGATCTTCCGACGCAGAATAAACTGGAGGATCTCTTTTCCCTCGTCCGTTTCCTCAAGCATGAACCTTGGTAAGATAGCAATGGGAACGCAATCCGCATGTTGCCATGATACTGAATGCCAGATGTGAACAGGGCAAACTACACGTTTTGGCGAACGTTCATCACCATACCCTTTGAAAAGAAAGATCCGCGCGCACTGTCAGCGGTTCAGTCGGTGTTGGAACCGATTGTATTACGGCGTACGAAAAATATGCGTGATGTCAATGGTGACCCTATGGTGCCGCTTCCTTTAAAACAGATCAATATTGAATACCTTGACTTTTCTCCCCCGGAACAAGATATTTACGATTCCCTGTATACCGATTCCAAGACCAAATTCTCCCATTTTTGCGCCGCAGGCAAGGCGCTCAGCAACTATGCGTCCATTTTTCAACTTTTAATGCGACTACGACAAGTATCGTGCCACCCTTACCTGGTGCTTGGCAACAAATCAGTTACCGAAAACAGCGATATCATGACGAAAGATGGTGGGTTCATTTCGCTCGAGGGGCTCATTGCCAAGTATGGTAGTACGGAAACGAACCCCACCAGCGGAGGGAATATCAGCAGTGAGCAGCAAAAATTTGGGATCAGCGTATTGCAAGGTCTGCTGGATCGACAAAAGGGGCAATCAGAAGGTCAAGATGATCTATCATCGGCCGCTCCAGACGAATGTCCCATCTGTTTCGAAACAGTCGATGTACTGATCATGATGCCCTGTATGCATATGGCGTGTCGACCGTGCGTCATGGGTTATCTCCAGGTAATTGCTTAGTGAAAAGCAACCGTCTAGATTGGGTAAATAAGAAATGTTCACCTTTCATTGATTAGAAAAAAGAAGATGAAGGATGTTTGGGCGAATGCCCGATTTGTCGCCAAGGTTCCTTTACCCAGGACAATCTACTTGAAGTGGTCAAACGACGGTCAGAAGACGGAGTCAATAACGGAGGCAACGCGGTAGATATTCGACGTGCGGTGGGTGGCTACCGATCGTCGACCAAGATCGATGCCATGTTGCGTCACTTGCGTGTATATCAGCGTGAAGGTCGAAAGACAGTGGTCTTTTCGCAGTTTACCAGCTTTTTGGATCTTATCCAGATTGCTCTGCAACAAGAAAATATCCGATTTAGTCGCCTGGACGGTAGCCAGTCGCAAATGCATCGCGAAAAAGTGCTTGCAAGTTTTTCATCGGACGATCCCAACAATATGTCGACGGTTCTTCTCATCAGTTTACGCGCGGGTGGCGTCGGCCTCAATTTGACGTGTGCTAGTCGAGTGCTCATGATGGTAAATAACGAGCATCCATTAAGGTGACCGAACATTTGTAATTCATGCTCTCTTTCGTCACAGGATCCGTGGTGGAATTTCGCTGTGGAAGCCCAGGCCATTGATCGCGTGCATCGATTGGGACAGCAGAGTGATGTAAGTCGAGTAAATAGGATGAGTCAACGTTTACGGTAGATATTGATGGATCGTCACTAGGTGATTGTTACTCGATTTATCATGCGGGACACAGTGGAAGAAAGAATTCTCGAAATTCAGGATAGAAAACATGTAAGGCATTATATTTTTAAGGTGCAGTGGTATGGAGACGATTGACATGGCAATGACTAGGTACTCGTGAATGAGCTCTACATGTCCCATAATGAAGCGAAAACCCGACAATTGCAAGATCTTCAGATATTGTTTGGCAGTCGCCGACATTCATAAACATTGTGCATAATTCCTTGTATCTTCTTCATTTATTTCTTTCGTTATTAGCATTTCTGTATTTAGTTTACTCTTCATTTCCTGATTTCTCTTTTAATGTGCGCTCTTGTACAGTCCCCCTTGAAAAATTATGGATAGAATTCCCAAAAAGGCGCGTACCCCTAAACCATGACCAAATTCCTACCTAAACTTTTTGGAAAGCAGTCTACGTGCGTACAAATAATGCACCCATCACTGTGAGTCTTGCAAAAAGCAACTGCGTACATTATTGTATGGTTACAAAGCATCCCCCAGAAGTTCCTGGGATCGCCGGAATTGCCATTTTGATTCCGCCTCAGTTTTTCTAAATTCGGTCTATTCGGAGCACGGACCTTGCCCTGCATCGGTTCAGATAGCCCTATTAGCAATACATGTTTCTTTTTACCGCTATATCTATCGTCCAAAATACCAAAAATACAAATTCGACAATTCGGCAAGTGATAATCCCGTTAAACGATATATTCAATGGGAATGGACCCTACAGAATTTTATGACCAAGTCAACCAACGCCTTATTTAACCAGTCATGCAAATGCTAGAAAACAACACAATCTTGTTATACAGCCAAGTTACCAGCCAAGAAGAAATAACCTGCCATATACTCGAAACAATGCAAATCATATATATTTATCGAAGGTTCCTCAAAAAAAAAATCTATACGACGTCTTTTTAAAATTACAGTAGCCAAGCGCTGCGGTCTGGGATGCATACAGCGATTTTGTAACTCCGTGGATCCAACTTATTATGTTGCCTGAACCAGCTTATTTTTCTGACATTATGGCACGTGCTTGATCATCCTGTTGAAAAACCATACCTTTTCGGTGTCATATATCTTATTACAGCTGATCCCTTAGGCGTATGTTGATGGATGGGTGCAAAAAATAAGGAAAAAAACCGTAACTCGGCCCAATGCGCCTCTACAGAGATGCTTCGAATTTGTACGGATTCGTCATGAAAAGGCCGGTTTCGGATGGATCAAAATCTGTACAAAAGTAATGGATGCCGTTCCTTAAGACAGAATCAAGTGAATCGGGCCCATGGACCGCTTCCATCTTGTTCGATGCCTTTCGAACTTGAAAACATCAAAATGTCCGCTTGGACTTCTTTTAATGCCTGGTCCTTTTGTCTTTTTCTTGAAGACGTGTGTGAAACTTTTCATAAGGAGAAACATTCTTGTATCTTCCCAGTTGTTTCCGGGATACTCGTGAATTAATTTTGCGCATCTATACAAATGCGGACGTCTTTCTACATCCAAATCTCGCAAAGCTCGTATTTTTTGGTTTTTCATTCGATGGCTGCGTTTCAACCTTGCCATGACTTGCGAAAAAGAAAAATCATATAAAACGACGGCGAAATCCTTTTTTTTTTCTTTTTCTTTATCTTTATTGATTTACAAGCTTCTCATCATGCCGAACCGCAAGTTCCTGAAAAACACCTCTTCGCCGTGCATTGAATGCAAGCAAGTCCTCCCGTTCCTCTTTGTCTTCCGTGGCCTCAGTGCCTTCGATCTCTCCTGCCGTCGTGCGTAAAGCCGTCGTGCCCACTTCTTCTGCGGCCTCCATGCCTGCCTCTGTTTTGGCCTCTGTGCCTTCCTGTTCCTTTATCTTTTGCCGGCGTCTTCTTCCCTCGCGGCCTTTCATCTTTTCCTTCTCTTTGTCCTCCTCTTCCGCTTCCGTTCCTTTGCCTCTGTCGGCCTCTGCGCCATCGTCTGTTTCGGCCTCAGTGCCTTCTCCTCCGGCCGTTGTGCCTTCTTCTTTGGCCACTGTGCCTGTTTCTTCTTCGGCCTTTGCGCCCACTTCTTCTTCTCCTTCGGCCTCTGTGCCTTCTTTCACTGTTTCATTTGCCCCGCACCTGCCTGTGGCTCCCATCCAGGACGCCTTGGACGATCCCATGGATTGGGAACCTCTTGGAAAGACCGAGGAGTCTGACTGGGAGGCACCCGCCTAGGTAGAGTACGCAGTTCATGTGGTTCCCGACGACCCAATGGATTGGAAGTACACCCCTCTCTTGGATCCCATGGACTGGGAATGGTGTCACTAGCTTGGACCACTGCAGCAAGTGATTAAACGAGGGATCTAATCCCTTCACGAATCCCATCAGTTTTGATGCGTTGCGCTTTTTCCACTTTTTTTTTCCCCCTTTCTTTCTTCTTTTTCTTTTTAAAAATTTGTATATACTTATCTGTTCTTTTTTCCCCTTTGCTTGCTTGCTTCTTTTCTTTGTTTGTTTGTCTGTTGTCCTGATCGCTCCGTTGTGTTTTGTGTCCTCGGTTTTCTGGTGTCTCGTGTGGCCTTCTCCTGTGGTTGCCTTTCCTGCCGCCCGGTGTCTGTTGGTGGCGTCTTCCTCTTTCTGTTGGCTGTTGTTCGCAGCTTTGTCCTTTGGTCTGGCCTTTGCGACCTCGTCTTTGGTCTTGGTGTTCCGTCTTGTTGCTGCTGTTCCGCCTCGGTTGCCGGCGCTTGCTTCCTTTGTGGCCTGTTCCTTTGGGCCTTTTGTTTTCGCGCCTGGATCTCTGGTGCCTTCTGCCGGCGCTCTGGTCTGGCCATGCTTGGCCTACCGTCTTCTTTTCGGCCCTTGTCCTCTGGCCTTTTGTTGCTGCTGTTTTGCTTTGGCCTCCTCTGGCCTATAACTTGGCCACCTTGCCGCCTTTTTCGCTTTTTGGCGCCCTTTGCTCTTTGGCCCCCACTCTGCGTCTCTCCTCTTGAGGTTTGGGTGTTTTGCCGCTTCTTCGGTGTTCCGCCTGCCGTTTCTGTGTGACCTTGCCACAAGTATCTTTGCTGTGGCCCCAAAAAAGGACCATTTATCTGTGGCAATTTCTCCTGGGCCACTTTTTTCCTGCGGCCCTCTCTTGGGACGGTTTTTCTGTGGCGAATTTCATCCGGGCCACTTCTCCGGTGGCCCTCTCTTTCGGACGGTTTTTTTCTTGCGTTTCGCTCCGCTCACCTTTTTGGTGGCCATTCCCTCTGGCCAGCTGCCCATGTGGCCAACATTTCTGTGGCCACCTTTCCATTTTCTCTGGCTGGTCACACTTGTGGCCACTTTCCCCTGGCCACCTTTTTTCCCTGGCTTTTCTTTTGGCCCAATTTCCTATTGAAATCTATAGGGAAGCCTAAACCATAGCCCAAACACACAACAACAAAAGGTGTATTTAAAATAAAGCATTTCTTTAAATCCATAACGATGTCTTTTCTTTACCAATGGTTCCATTATCATATTGGACAAACACTCGTTCCCACTTTATTTCGCAAGAAAAAAAAAGACTAGATCGCTGCATATCATGTACTTTCTATCATAACCATGGCTTCGCGTGCATGTATCCGAACAAAGAAGGTAAAGTCATCATTGTCAAATATGAGGCTATTTACCTCATGGAAATACCGAGCATTCACGGCATACATTAACAATTCTCAATGCGACGCTGTTTGGAACCGCCATTAATGTTCATCTTAAAAAATAATCCATGAACTTCCTTACGCCACAGTCAAAGTTCAATCATGTCAGTGTAAAAGAACTATCAAAGAACTAACAACATATCACTTTCAACTTTACTTTACTTTATGATTACGTAATCTACTTTTTCCTTTTTTATTTTGTAAATTTATTTTATCCAGTTTTTCTTCAATCGAACTGTACGTTATATTACAAAAAGTTTAGACCGAGACCAAGTTGCAAACCTCTCTTCACATGATCGCCCCGAGCCGCTGTCAGCGGAATACAATAATTTAGCTCTATTCTGGCAATACTGTGGCGGTAAATCAGACCCAAGCCAACGGAAATGCTTGGCGATTGTGTTAAGGATCGCATGGTATCTTGTGCGTTTGTCGTCGTCTTCCACGGTACAAGCGTACCCGCATTGATAAATGCGTGAGCTCTTAACGGTTTGCTTTCCAATTTAGGTACCGGTGCCATTGCGCTGACACCCGTAGCCCAGTACAGGTCACCGCCCAAGGCATCATCTATTACAAGTAAAAGATCGATGAGTATTTGTCTACCGTTTCTGCCATTCAAAGAAATAACATACGATGATCGTGAGGTCCCAGTCCAGCATTTCTAAACCCACGAACAGACAGAGGTCCACCCAGCAAGAAGCGATCCGATACAGTGGCAGCTCTTGGATCGCTATTAAGCTTAGCGAGCCAGCCCGCTCTGAATCCCATACTGAATACTAAACCAGGATGAAGGCCGAGCAATTCGCCTTCTTGGCTCTTCAATAACTGTCCACCCCCTAACTGATGGCATACTTGGGTTTCCAGTTCTGTCTTGAAAAATCGCGCATTTCCAAGTCCAAATACGCCTGCTAATTCTTGAGACCAGCGGATGTAATGACCTGTGGATGGAAGCAGCATGTCGTCGCGGCGGTCACGTACAAATACATGGTTAATAGAGGATTTCAATGAATGACCGGCTTGTTGGCGAATGCTACAATCATCGTCAATCGCAAAGCACATCATTAGATCATGCTAACACTTTTTAGATCAATGCCGCAAGAAAACCCCTTACCTTAACGAAGCCGTATCTGACACTTTATCAATCGATCGCCAAGTGCAGTCGTAGCTTAATTCATGGTAACCAAAGCGTGACAAGGTTTTGAGGCGAAGGCCTGCACCGCGAGCAAGTTCTTCGTAAGAAGAAATAAGCATGTTGTTTCGAAGAACATGATGCGCATTCAAGTCAACTCTCGAGTTGGGTGAAGCATTGACGGGAGATGACAAAGAGAACTGGAAGGCGGAGCTGTCGCGTGTGCCGAAGGATGCCAACGAATCCAATACTTCACCCCCACCAAAAACGTTACGAAGCGTCAACGATCCGTTCACGTTGCCTTCGTTGTTGCCAATTTCAGTGCCTGTTTTGATATACATGCGACTCTTCTCTTTGACTTGATACAGAACATTGATCGATCCCGGGGCTGCCAAGGGATCACTGTCCGCGGCATGGTCCAAAAGTACGTGAACGTCGTCGAAAATATCAAATCGCATCAATTCGTCAGCGACGATCTGGGAGTTGTTAATAACGTCGGCCAACGTGCCGGATTCAAGTACGCGCGAAGTGGCGGCTTCGAGAAAACTGGGTCGGGTGGCTCGAGCTCCTAGAATGCTGACAGCATTGACGTGGGCTGAGCTAGCCGCCGTGGCATTTAGCTACACAAGGAAAATGGCTGTCAATGGGAGGGCGGACGTTATGAAAGCAGAAGAGCGAGCTTTTTATACCAGAGCAAATAAACGCTGCGAGGCTTCCGTCGCTTGCTGACGCAGCAATTCTTCGTGATCAAGGTCGGATGCCTGCGGAGGCATTTCTGGCTGTGTAGTACTTTACGGTAAGAATCAAGACACAAATAAGTTCGTGGCTCATTACACATACGTTATCGTTCATCAGGCGTGTGGTTTAAATAGCAAGAGAACGCTTCTTTCACCTTGGTCTTTTGTTCATCAAATTGCGGCTGGCCGATTTTCCTGAGGCGGTCGTGACTTGTTTTTTTTCGGTCGCCACCAGGTGCTCATGGTTTCGCAGTACTGCATGTTGACCATCAGACAAAAAAAGGGTTTACATCACTACGATATACGAGAACAGTCAATAATATTATGGATTACTTTGTCGTCTGAAGCTACTAGGTTTTTTGCAGGGGAGCAGCAGTACGCTTGTTTATATGTACTTTCAAGGCCCATTTGCGTATACCGTATGTCCATCTTCATATTGTATTTAAAGCATCATTTTATCATATCATAATCCAAAAAAACCTTTGTAGATAAATTGTTAAACACCCCTGATTGCTGTTTTGTATCATCGATTTCTGCTGTGTGATAACATCGGTATAGCGTTTACTACACTCGTTAGGCAGAAAGCAAAAATTGCCATCAGATTAACAACGCTGACATGTCACTTGGAGTACACATTGTGGTGTTCAGTCGTATCTAATCTGGAATGGCTTTCTCTACCAGAGGAAAGCCATCAATGAAGTATGAGAATACGTCAACTTTATCAGCAGCTCATGCAATTTCATGATCATTGTCCAAAAAAGGCAATTCTTCCAGCAGGGCCAAATTTTCAAAAGACGCAGCCACAAAAATTTTCTCGTCCAAAAAAAAAAAAAAAAAAAGTTTGGTTACTCTGCGGATTGTCGGATCTAATCGTGGCACTTTATCATTGATGGTTGCAGCAGCAAAGACAGAAACTCCCAAAGGAAGCGGTGGGTCAGCACTGAAACGTTTGAAGGCATCCTTGCGTACGGCAGGCATCGTCGGCCAGCAAGGAAAAGCAAGCCGATCCAAGAAGGAAAAGAAGCGTGGTAGACCGTCCGAAGTTGGCAAAAACGATGCCAAGGACAAGTTGCAGCTGATTCGCGATGAGTTTAATCCTTTCGAATTAAAGACCAATCACACTAAATTCGAAGTGATCGGACGCAAGATGAAGGGTGCCGCCGGTAAACCAACACTGAGCAAACAGATTGGTGAGGAAAACGTAAGTCGAATTTCCCGGATCAGACAACGTATGTATGCAGTTATTGACGCTTACGGTACACTCTAATAGCGCAAGAAGACTCTCTTGACCGAATTGAAAAACAAAAACCGTATTGGTGGTATCATCGATAAGCGTTTTGGTGAAAGCAATCCCCACTTGACACCTGAAGAAAAGATGCTCGAGAGATTTACCAAAGAACGACAGGTTCGTCAAATGTAGCCAAAGAGGATCAATGCTTCAGAAATGCTTATACTATGATTAGCGTAATGCTCGTTCAGCGACATCCTTGTTCAATTTGAATGACGACGACGAAATTGAATTGACTCATTACGGTCAATCTTTGTCGACCATGGACGATTTCGACGATGCCGGTCTTGCTCTGAGCGATGACGAGAACGATAAAGGGCAACTTGACCGATCCATCGTTTCTCAAATGCATTTCGGCGGTTTCGATGAGGATAAGCGGGAAGGTGAAGGTGAACATCGCAAATCGAAGAACGAAATTATGAAAGAACTTATTGCCAAGAGTAAGATGCACAAGGTATGACTGCCCTTCCTGTCCTGTAGTCCATTTTCACGAAATTAATGTGTGCGATTTCTATTGCTCATATTTAGGCCGAACGACAACTCGCCAAGCAAGAAGATGAAGCATTGCGTGAGGGTCTCGATGATGATCTGGAAGAAATTCGTGGACTGTTAGACACCAGCAAACCGGCCGGTCGAAAGCCTCTACCTTCGCAAAGCTCTTTGTTCGCCAAGGTAAATTTGGGAGAGCTTGGAAATACTAAAATAGCCTAATTGACCCGAGTTACTTTAGACCGAGTATGAAGCATCGGCGGAGAAGGAAGAAGATGAAGACAATTACGGCGATTACGATAAGGCGATTCGTGAGCTTGCCTCCGATCGACGTGCCATGGCCACCGATCGAACCAAGACGGAAGAAGAAATTGCTTTGGAAGAGAAGGAGAAATTAGAAAAGGCTGAACGAGCGAGAAAGCGACGTATGGAGGGCCTCGATTCCGAGTCCGAGGATGAAGATCGACACAAGCGTGGTCATAAGAGAAAGAAAGCGGCCGGTCCTCAAGCGGATGACTTGGACGATGATTTTGTGGAAGAAATGGAAGATGAAGCTTCTCGTCTCGGCAAGGGTCTCACTTTGGAAGATATCCAGAGAGGTTTTGTCGATGATGATGATGAGGAAGGTGACATGGATGACGATGAACAGTCCGATGATGAAGATGAAGAAGAGAGCGACGAGGAAGCGGATGAGGACGAAGAGGAAGAGTTTGAAGAGACCGACAACGAGGATTTGGAAAGTGAAGACGAAGAAATCGCTCAATTCGACGAGGACGAAGATGATATGAACGAATTCGGCGCCACGGGCCAGCTGAAGAAAAAGACCACCGCCAAAAAAACAAAGCAGAGTGACGAAAAGCGCGAAATTCCGTATACCTTTGAATGTCCTACGTCGCATTCAGAGTTATTGGAGATTTTGGACGGTCTCACCGTGGAGGACGTGGTGGTGGTTGTGAAGCGCATTCGTGTTCTCTACCATATCAAACTGGCTGCGGAAAACCGAGCGAAGCTGAGTACATTTCTTGGTGTGCTTCTGGATCATATATCCTATGTTGCGTCTACGGTGGATCCTTTGCCTAATAAGGTCTTGGAAGATTTGACCGCTCACGCTTACGGTATTGCACAACAAGTTCCTGAAAGCGCGGCCGATGTGTTCAATGCCAAGTTGAAGCAAATGCATAATACGATGGCACAGAAGATCAACCAACCCGGTTCCGCATGGCCCGACGTCGAAGATTTGACCACTCTTCGAGTGATAGGTCAGGTTTTCTCGACTTCCGATTTAAACCATCCCGTGGCTACACCCGCCATGCTTTTCATGGGTCACGCCTTGGCTCAATGTCGCATTCAAAGTGAGATCGATATCGGACGAGGTCTGTTCTTGGTGATGCTTTTCTCAGAGGTAAGCTTTTTTTTTCTTACTTTTATTTGGCCAAAATGACAAATATTAACTCGATTGGGATTGATAGTACCAAGTTGTCTCCAAACGCTATATACCCGAAGTGATGAATTTCCTGGGTCGAGCACTGATTCTATTATCGCCGGTTGAGCTGTTTAAGAAACATCTTCCCGGTCTCTTTCCTATGCCCGAAGAAAGTGTGAAGCTCCACATCAAAGACGCGGTAGCAGACGATATCGAACACATTTCATCCATCGGTTTAGCACAGCTCGCCACGGAAACGCTGGAAAACGATCAAGCAATGCGATTAAGCTTGTTCCAGGGTGTCCTGCGTATGTTGGAACGATATCTGCAACTTTATGCATCCACACCCGCCCTGGTTGAAGTATTCGAGCCTTTCTCTGCCATCATCTCGCAGATCCGCAGCACAACATGGCACAAGGATATCGAGGTAAAGTAGCCATTACTAAATTACAATTGTCTGTCATCATTGCACCGTTTATTGACTCTCTGTTTTTGATAGGCTTTGTTGACTGCTCTATATGATCGACTCCAACGACAGATCAAGTTTTGCAAGGATAAACGAACCAAGACTCCATTACGGATGCAACAACATCGCCCCATACCCATTGCACAGCACTTGCCCAAGTTTGAAAAGGCGTATTCGATGGATCGTCACTATGATCCTGATCACGAACGTGCCCAAGTGAGCAAACTCAAGTCGCAGCTAAAGAAGGAGAAGAAGGGAGCTATGCGCGAATTACGCAAGGACAATATGTTCATTGCTAGAGAGAAGGCCAAGGAGCGCAAGCAGAAGGATGAAGAGTATAATAAGATGATCAAGGGCGTCATGACCATCCTTGAAGGCGATCAAGCAGAGAAGAATCGCTTGGAGCGCGAGAAAAAGAAATTGTAAAAGCTAGAGTTTCAATTGTTCTGTAGATCATTGAAAACTGTTTGTGTAAATAATATAGACTTCTTTTTAATCAACCAACTCTTCGTGCAATGGATGCGCCTTGCTTTACATCAAATGATATCAGAGGCAGAAGAAAACAGATGGAAAATCATCATAAATCACCAAATCCATATGCTTGTTCCACGATCATTGATCTAGCCAGTATAGTATACCTGAGCATAGCTACGGAAGATAAGAGAAAGTGCTTTTGATATCAGGATCAGTTGTCGCTGGTCTCACATTTTTTTTTGTGGTGCCATTGTTGAATACGACTTCAATTTTTGAAATCAAGCGACTTTATTAAGCCACAAATTTCACCAATCTTTGTTCAAAAGTCACCGTAGGAATTTGGGAATTTGAAAATTTAGTTTCAAGCATGGTTGGGAGGTGCCGCGCTGTAATGGAGAAAAGAAGGTAGTCAATAATCCTATTAAATAATATTTCTTATATTTATACATTTACAAGTTACCGAATATTTTTATCTATGAATTTTGGAGTTATTATGAGGATCTTTTATTATGGACACTGTCCATCCAAACAATATCAATGCGTTCTTCGCTTTTTTAAAAGACAAAATTTTTTTTTTCAAAATCCTACGGTGACTTTTTGAACAGGAGTATGGTAGCACGACATTAATTTTCTAAATTTGCGACTTTTATTTTCTGGAATGACTGTAAAAAGGAAAAAAAAAAAAAAAGAACAAAAAAAAAAAGCATAGACCCAGTGAACAGGAAACCCTCGCGAAACGTTTATAAAAGGATAAGAAAAAACCTCCTAATTCCCACCATGGCGTCTATAGAGAAGTCTACAGACTCAACCAAAGATGCTGTGACGTCGGGTTTAGGTTTAATGCCCATGAGGACGCCACGAAAGTTGTTTAGGCTTTGTACGTTTATACTTGACGAACTATTATCCTTTCACGACTGCTTTCTGTTTGTGTCGCCTGTTCCGAAGACTGCCACTTATTATCACCAAGTGATCGAGTATCCGATGGATTTATCGACGGTGGAACAGAATCTCTACGACGACAAATACCATGGCTACACGGAATTTGAGAATGACCTTTCACATATTTGGACCAACGCCAAACTCTTCCATCCTCCCTTGGAGCCGATTTACCAGCAAGCAGTACGCTTACAAGAACGTTATCAAGCGTTAATTAATTCTCTGCAAGGAGGCTTACAGTAAGTTGTCTTTTATTACAAATTAAATTGTGCAATTGATGTGTACTGACAATAATAAAATAGAACCGTTAATTTATCGGCTCCAGTAGCCGATCCAGAAAATCAACCTATTCCTGAAGAAGCCGATTTTGATTTACCACGATATAGAACCATTCCAGACAGTCAAGAGAGGTAGATACCATGAGAATGGGAGGCGTAATTAAGGTTTTTGTGATCTGTGTTTATGTGAGACTAAAAGATAGATTTTTTTGTTTTAGTTTTCTTTACATGATCCAGTGCATAAGACCTACGGAAAAGAGCAATAAATCGATCCGCGGATTCTCGAAAGTAAGGCATTTTTATGACCAGCTCAACGGACCTTTCTTCCGTACGGTCGACCAATTTCTTACAGACACCTTGCCATCCAAACCGACGCCGCTGCCTCGTCTCTACATCGGCAAAAATCGTACGTTATTAATCGAAGCGCGAGATAAAAAGCAAGCTGTGTTGGCGGTGCTTTTCAACGTTCAGATTAAAGTGGGCACCGGCCCTCGACTTCAGAAAAACCAAGTCCATCAATTGAAAGCCGACGTTGCGCTCGCACAACCCATTGGACTTTGCCATAGTTTTGATGAAACCGGGATTGACAGCAACCTGACGTACGAATATTATCCCAAGGCGTGGATGAAAGTCAAAATCATACGGGTCGTGAAAGACGTGGAAACAGTAATGAGCGATGCAATGGATCGAAACTTTTTCCGAAGAGCGTATTCCACCTACCGATTATCGCATTCACGGACGGATATAAAAAAGGCAAAAGATGTTCTCATTATGGAAGCATTTATGAAGGCCATCATGACTGGTAAATCCACGCAATTAAGCGACACCATTTCCGCGTCAAGGTCACCAACGTCAGCATCGATTTCTCCTGCTTCGCAAACCTCTGTGACAACGAGTGAGATGACGGGAGATCCGCAATCTTCAGCTTCATCGACAGACACCAAGGAAACGGTGACAACGCAACCAATTTTGTCTGAAACCATCCCAACCGATTTTTCAGTCACTTCTTCTCGACCTCCTGCTTCCTCAGTGTCTGCCGGCTTGCCACTAGACCCCCAATCTACGTTCAGTGAAGAAAAGAAGGTCAACTTGACAGAATCTGATAAGACGACTTTTGTGAAGGATCTGCAAGATAAGCCGGAACTATACGAAGGTGTGGATGCCGGAGAGGTAGCTTACATGACCTCCAGGACATCGGCAAAAGAGAGCGGGCCCATGCTTGCCGATGATCGATCGGCTTCTATGACCTTTGAAAAGTTGCGACAGCAAAAGCCGATGGAGACTTTGACCGCCCATGCAGCAACCGACGATGTATCAATGTCCCATGCAAGTGGGCCCGAAGAATTATGGTCAAGGCTTCTCAATTGTAAGTGTCTGCTTATGTGATATTTTGGGCCAATGGTGCTGACACATGTACTTTTTTATAGTTTCCAAGGAAAAGCAGGTCGCGACGACCAACGTGAAAAAGTATCTGGCGAATACATCTTCATTTCCGAATGCGCAGGGTTTCTTCAAGCACGTCTACTTTGTAAAGGATGATGATCGTGTGGTGGTGCAAACATTTCGACGCATGACCGTCAATCAGCGTGCCACTGAACTTGTTAGTCTTTTGTATTTGCGCGACTTGCCTCACATGGGACAAATTTTTGAAGTGCTCCAGGAAGATAATGGCGATGTGGTAGGATTGTCCATGCAGCGGTACCAGAAGACGCTCAAGCAGTATACACATTTACACTCTCATCATCGATTGTCGGCGTATCAAAAAATGGATCTGATCGAGCAGATGCTTCAGTGTATGAAAACCATCCACAGCATCGGGCTTGCGCATCGTGATCTTTCCGAGGTGAACTTTATGGTCAACGAAGGCGATGAACGGCTTGAAGATGGAATGCCGAAAGCGCATTTATACCTGATCGATTTTGGAAAAGCCACATTTACTAGACCCAAGGATGTGGGTGCTTGGTGGGTAGAATCTCCCAAGGTGGATGGCGAATATGATGGCGAAGTCATTCCTGCCAACGAGGACCAACTAAAAATATGGTGTCGTCACTTGCCGTGGATGATGGCGAAACCCGATCACGGTTATCTTCATTATCGCTCGATCCAAACGCTACCAAAAAATCGCTCCGACACCGCCGTTCTGCCTTGGCTTATTCATCCGCTGGCCGAAGATATGTATTCTATTGGCACCATTATGTGGAAAGTCTTTGCCGAAACCGAACCTTGGCATGGTATTTTGGATACGGATCTGCGAGCTTTACGCGACACGGTGAAGGATGATTACCGCATCGAGAAGACCTTGGATCGCGAAGTGGCAGGCCAATTAAGCCGTCAGCTTTTGTTATTTTGCCTGAAAACAAAACCGGAAGAACGGAAATCCGCCGTGGAAATTTTGGAATGGCTCCGTTCGGACGACATTAGAAACGAATTGATCAAGGAGTGGCAAGCCTATGCGCCAGATAGTCGAAGGAAGAGGCATGCCAAAGTAGCTTTTGAAATCGAAGAAGAGTCACGGGAATACAAAAGAGCCCGAGGTGGTGGACGAGGTCGCAGTCGCGGTAGAGGTCGAGGCCGGGGTCGGGGTCGGGGTCGGGGTCGAGGTCGAGGTCGAGGTCAAGCAGAAGGACGCGGCCCAAGTCCTATATCATCATCGTTTGTACCCGCACCCATTGCAAACAGCCATGATACAGAGCTGCGGCATGAACAATCAAGGCGTGGACGTCCAAGAGGCCGCCCTCGTGGTCGGCCCCGAGGCAGACCCAGGAAATTCACCGAGTCTTTTGTGCAAGAACAGCCGAACGCGCCTGCTGCACCATTGCTTATCACTTTACCGGCACCTCCATCTACTTCATCGGCTTCAGCAGTTCCTTCTCTGTCAGTTCCTGCTGCTCCTACTGCTCCTATGGTTTCATCTGCGTCTCCAGTTTCATCCACATCATCCATTAATTTTCAAGGAAAATTTTCGACGCATTCGTCGAATTTTCCGCCTATACAACCCCGTCCTAATTCTTCCTCTCCTTTGTCATCTTGGGATCCGGCATCTCACCCACAACCAAGACTTCTTATTCGGGTTCCGCGGGTATCTAGAATGCGTCCATCTCCTACCGATCCATTATCGGAGGACACTGCAAGGCCGAGTGGACCTCGTCCGAGAGGGCGGCCCAGAGGGCGGCCTAGAGGTCGTGCAAGGGGTCGTCCCCGACTTACTGAACGTTTTTAAAAAAGGTCAATATATTATTTTTTATTTACGACATTGTATCATATTTCGTACTGTCACTATTATACAGCTTCATTTTTTGCTTCGCTTTTTTTCCCCTTAGAGACTTAGCATTTTCAGTTGAAATCACCCTAGAAAAACCTTTTAACGGTGTTGTTCAACCACCAATTTAATAATGCATATCATTACCCAGATGTTTCTATTAAAACTATTATAATAAGTTCCTGTTTATAGAGCCTACCGTCATGCAATGGTTTTTCAACTGTGATAAATGGATTCTGTAGTCTGATGGTCGCTCAGCAAAGAAGCCGCAAGGCTTGTAGGCAAAAATTGAAGCGTAAGTGAGACGAGACAAATACAGGAATTTATCTGTTTGGTCGAAATGTTACTGTGTGGTGTGATAGGATCTTTTTTTCCTTTTTTCTAAGAGTTCGAAAATAACTCTGTTTCTGAAAACAAAAAACAACGACATAACAAGTGATTTATAAAAGGAGCATGAGTCAGGAGTTTGTGATAATGGAGTCTAAATCAATCAAATTATGTTATTTGCATTATGTATAGATGACTAATGAAAAACAAGCCAAACAGAAAAGTATGGGTACATTGAACTAAATGATAACAAAGGAAAAAAAAAAAAGAAAGAAATGGATATATTCTCTAACACATGGGCACATTCACGGCCAATCCTCCCTGACTGGTTTCCTTGTACTTGGACATCATATCGAGACCGGTCTGACGCATGGTTTCGATCACTTGATCCAATGAAACGCGATGCTCGCCTTCACCATTCAAAGCCAACTGAGCGGCAGCAATGGCCTTGACGGCCGCCAAAGCATTACGTTCAATGCAAGGCACTTGGACAAGACCAGCAATAGGATCGCATGTCAAACCCAAGTTGTGTTCCTATGACAGGAAAATGAGTCATCTTTGCAGTAAGAAACGACCCTATATTTGCAGTGAATCTCTTACCATGCCAATTTCTGCAGCGTTCTCGACTTGTTCAACGGAGCCACCCATGACAGCGGTGAAACCGGCGGCAGCCATTGAACAGGCCACACCCACTTCACCCTGACAACCCACCTCAGCAGCTACATAAAATGGTCAGCAACAGCTAACGAAAAAGAATAGTGTACTATATGCGTACCTGAGATACTAGCACCACGCTTGAACAGCATACCAATGGCAGCGGTAGTGAGCAAAAATTCCATGACATCGCGTTCGGGATTTTCGGAGATGAATTCAAGGTAGTACTTGAGCACGGATGGGATAGTGCCGGCAGCACCGTTGGTAGGAGCGGTCACTACACGACCACCGCAAGCGTTTTCTTCATTGACAGCGATAGCATAGACGGATAAATAATCGAGAGCTGTGGGGGTGGAATAGATTGTGGTCAGTGATCGAAAAAAGGGGCGAAAATATGAAACGAGAAAAAAATAAAACTGTTCGACTTGACTTACCGGGTAACAAGAATCGCTTGGGTTGGCGCTTGGGTAAGACCGACAAGGAGAGAGGGAAGTGGCTGTTGACGATGGCGGCGTCGGTGCTGTCACTGGCGATCGGCAACTTGGGATCAGGGATTTGATTGTCGTGATAGGTGCGTTGGGTTTGAACGGGACCGTACAAACCCTTGAGAAGTTTATTATACAATCTAGGAGCACGACGACGCACGTTGAGTCCTCCTGGCAGATATTCTAAACAAATCGGAAGCAAGCAAATGAGTCAATAAAAGTAAATTTTTTTACAACCAGAAGGTTCCCTTTTATAGACATACCGTCGGGTGAGGCCATCACACCATTGCGAATACTTTCATCCATGGTGTTCCAGATTCTCAACAACTTGCTGCGGATTTCATCAGGAGTCGACCACTTCAATTCGTTTTCAAAAACAATCTGAGCGATGGTCATGTTCTCTCGCTTGCACACGCTGATAAGTTCCTCGGCATTACGGAAAGGCAAGGCCACCACCGCAATATCTTGTTCACGACGTTCGGCAACGGCTTGATCGCGATCGGCCGCATCGACAGCGTCTGCGCTCTCGGTCTTTTGAATATCTTCCTTGTAGTAGACATTTTCACCGTGATCCAACTGAGTCTTTTCATTCACGACGAAACCGCCACCGATACTGAAATATTCATTGGTGGCGATCAAATTGGCATTCTCATCGTAAGCGCAGAATCGAAGACCGTTGGGATGCTGTGGCAAGGTTTTGAAGTAGTTGAAGATCAAGTGTTTCTCTGGATCAAAGTGAATGCGGTGGGTGCCATCCAGTCGAATGGACTTATTTTCGTGGATATCTTTGACACGGGATTTGATCGTGGATGTTTCCACCAAATCGGGCGTCTCACCTTCGATACCCATCAAAATAGCATCAGGAGTACCGTGACCAACACCAGTAAGCGCCAACGATCCAAACATGTCTATGATCATAGGTTAACAAATGAAAGGTAAAACATTGGGTTTTTGATAAATGAAAAAAAAAGTGCTGCGGGATCCGCAGGAACATTTTCCTTTTTTTTTTCGGCGGCCAACTTACCAACTCTTAAAGTATGAATTTTTTCCAGAACGTCATGCTCCTTGAGGTCATTGATGAAAATTTTCGCCGCTCGCATGGGACCGACAGTATGTGAGGAGGAGGGTCCAACACCAATTGAGAACAAATCAAAGGTGGAAATCACCGCATGATGGTCTGCGTTAGGATCTTGCTTGGTGGGATCAACAACAGCTTCCGAGGCTGCCGTCGAGTAAGCTCTCCAAGCAGGACGAAGCTTGGAAGCGGCAATTAGACGGGGCGTCTGTCGAACAGCAATACGTGTTGCCGGTTGAGCAGCTAAAATGGTGGAGAATCTCTTGAGTGCAAGCATTTGTTGAAAATACAGATTCAAGAAGAGAAAAGGGAGGGGAGCTAAATACTGGATTTCCCAATCTGGGGATTTTTATTGAGAAAAAAAAATCCGCGAATTACCAGTCCTACTTTCTCACGATTCTCCTCCAATCAAAAATCTTTCTGCACTTTCTACATTTTTAGGTCTGTTTTGACATGGAACAACGTGTTCACAATTTCTCCTTGATACGACCCAGCGTTTTCTTCAAATCATCTTGAGAAGGCTGCTGTTGAGGCCATCCGATCTTCAAGCCTTGCTCTTGGCTTGGCTTCGGGATGATGTGGAAGTGAACATGAGGCACCACCTAAATAGAGTAACTTTTAAAACCGACTACTATCCCTATTTGTCCTGTTTATACCTGATGAGCCATTGCACCATTGTTCTATATTAAAATAAGAAAAAAAAAACAGACAGCTTAGTTCTATGCGATGATATACCCGGGGTAGCCTATTCCCGTCCTTCCCCCAACCCCAGATTTTATAATTATTTTTATCTTCATTCTCCACTTCCTAAAAACTCTTTTTTGAAACTCTTAACTGTCATAATTTTTGCCCACGTACCTGCAACAAATTATATTGATCTAATCCGCTCGCCACAGCCACCTTCTTTGCCAATGGCAATAGATCCGCCAAATGATCATCGGGAAGTTCGTGGAAGAATTGCGCGTGATCTGTAATTTCCGAAAACATCAGTAATGACAGGAAAATGGCCAATGCTTCTTAATATGTGAACAAATACGTGCATTTGGGAATCACAAGCTAAATTCACACACACACAGAAAAAACCCCCTCATGTGTTAATGATTGGTCCAGAAACTATCTACATGTTTTTTCAACTAATTTATCACTCACAGCATGTCCTTCACTCAAAGGATTGATATCCAAAAAGCAGTAACTGAGAAAAAAGAAGGGAGGGCACTCGGAGTTCAGTCAAACACGAAAATGACAATTCCAAGCTTGTCAATTCAGTTTTATCACCTCTTGTCGGTTTCAGCCACTTTGTGAGAAGGAATCTCTCCTCTATAACAGTGCTGAAGTGAGCTTAATGTTACTACTTTCTTTTGTTACCATGACATTACCTGATAATCTTGCAGAAAATGCAATCGTCAGTCAAATGAGTGGTTGCCATGGTGTGAAATAGTTGCGGGGAATTCAAAGTAAAAAAAACAGGGAAAAAGACACACTAAACACCGCGACGGTGAAAAATGGAAGACTATTGCACTTCAAGTCCGCTTGTTTGTTGCACAAAAGACCTTTTTTTTCTTTTCCATCGTTCTATTGAAGATGATTGAAGACGGTATACTATGAAACTCTGGGTGTAGGTAAGCTAATACTTGAAAGTTGATCATCCTGTTGAATTGTGAGTGATTGAGGATATCTGATTGTGGGTGGAAGCGTGGTTCTCACCTTCAACGGACATTGGAAGTGCGCGGAATGACGCAAAGTCAGGCTGATGGGAATACCAGCGATCCTCACCGTCGGAATAAGGTCGTAGAGGACCGTCAAATCCGACTTGGTTGCCCCTTGCCATCCACATTTGCTGCTTATATCGTTTAACATGGCATAATTCGGATCTTGCTGAGGGTCATAGTATAATTGGAAAGGAAATGTGAAATTCGTGATGCTGTTACGCTCGATAAGCAGATTCTGCATTTCTCCACCGCCTACAGACTGCTCCGGATTCGTGGGATAAAACGCCTACCGTCTTCGATGAGCTTCTTTGTATTTCCGCTTAAAAAAGTGATCACCAATGAAACACACCACAGCTTTGATATTCTCGAATGTGATACTTTCCACATTTGGGTTCTTTACACCAATCTTTAACCCGAGGTTCATCGTGAAGGCCATCGACGACGCATTCTTTTGCAACCTCGGTAGACCGCTGGGATGGTCGGTGATTCCATTGAACTCTACTTGGGGCTGTTTGAAAAGTGCAGCTAGTACGCCAACGACAATCGCTAGCCCGATGATACACAAAATACAAAAGCAGCAGATGCATCGTACCCACATCGGCAAACAGGGACAACATACACAACACAAATTATGCAGCCAAGTTTTCCGCTGCTCGGCATTATTCTCCATGTCACCTGCGTGAAAAAAAAAACAGCGGGCTCAGATGAAAATCGCTTTATTTGGCATAATCATCACACTGTAAAAGCGGTAACGTTACTCACGTTTCTCTAGTTGGTGTTCATCCAAATTTTCATATATTGGTGGAGGAGTATTAACGGAAGAATCACTTTGGTATTTTGAGCTATCGATCTGTGGAACATCATTGCTGCTATACTGATAAGCCATGTGTATTAAAAGAACCCCAATCGAACCAAAATCGGGATGAAAAAAAAGAAAGGAATTCCAGGCGCATAATATGGAAATGGTCTTTATATAAGTCGGTCATGGATGATCTCCCTCAATATAAACAGAAGCTTTGATACAGCCTGTGAGGAGGGGGTGAGCGAGTGAACAAGAGGAGGCTCCAATAGCTCAAAAGGGGTGATTGTTAATTTTATCCTTCCTATTCTGTAAAACGACGCGGCAATTATCATGCTTTCAACAGGGTCTCAACAAAAATCAAGATTGCATATCACCCTTGGGTTATATGGCCCATTGCCCATCTTAAATGTCTGGTAACCATTTTCTATTCAAGCCGGTACAACTGTGATGTATTGCATTTCAAAAGGTGATATTTTCTTCAATTACAAATGTGATGCGATCTTATTTCGTTTTCTTTTCTACCGTATCTTTGCCATCTACATCTGGTAGTGGCATACCGCCGGCTTCGGCTTTGCTTACGATCTTTTGCGCCCATTTCACAACCGGCATATCAATCCTGTTGAATCGCGGATTAAACGACACGTAGTTACCCGCTGCATGGCGAAACGAAAACTTACATTTTTCCATCCAAGCTGAATGCACCAACACCTTTTTGGGAGTAGTGCTCATAACCGTGCAAGATTTTGACGGCTCTCTCCAAATCTAACAATAGGATATATAAGTCCTCGATCCATTTTTCATGTCCAACAGCGCTACGCGTCCCGTACCGGCAGCATCGGGCAGAAACATCTTTTGAATGATTTCGATTTGTGAAGGATGAATTGCTTGCTTTCCAGCAAAACCAAACTCTCGTCCTTCTTGACATTCTTTGATCAGGACATCTTCGTTCTGATAATCAACGCACACCAAATCAATTGCCTGCAATCCATAAGCGGATGCTGCCGTGACCATCATTTGTCGTGCAAACAGCATTTCCTGGCGAGTCGATGTGCGAATCATTCCTGTTGTTTTCCAATGGTTTTGTGAATCCTTGCTATTTGCGTTACTGACAGTAACTGACTCTTTACCTATATCAGCGCAATAGTCCTCCGCGGCGAACTACATGTAACTTGTTAGCCATCGATGAATTAAAAAAAAAGTCGCTTATCTTTTGTACATACAATCATTGCATCCAACCGTGGATCAGCTGTTGCTATTTCTCGAAGGTTCATAATACCAAGTGCGCTTTCTACTGATGCGATCAATCGAATGCGATCGCGTCTAACCAAAAAGAATTAGAGGGCCATTTTTCGGATCCAAGACGAATTTTCGGTCAAGAGCAGCAATTACATACTGAGATTCCACTGCCACCGCATCAATCATACGACTCACAAACTGGATATCCTTTGCGCTTTGGACTTTGGGTATGACAATGGCTTGAAGACGTTTTGAATGAAGCTAAATCAGAATGACGTAAGAATCAGTGGGATTCTGCTGCATCGCTGTTTTTTGGGGGGTTTCGATACTATACAATCACGTTCAAGTCGTCCAGCTCTTCACCTGAGTAAGTTCACCATTTTAAGTGTAATGAAGATTTCACAAAATGTTAATACCTCTCAACTTACCTGAGCCAACGGCATTGATACGTACGGCCTTTTCAGCTTTTCCATGTTCAGATGCCTTTTTCACATTTTGATCAATGATATCATCAAAATACAATGACGATGGATGTTTTTCCCCTTACTTCCAAAGCGTCAATGACCATATGACGTGCTGATCCTTTCTTCTTACTCGATACACTATCTTCCAAATCATAAACAATGCAGTCCGCTGATATCGAAATGGATTTATGGATTTTTCGTTCGTCGCTGCCGGGAACTATCGAAGGCACGTCAACTATCTTACACCCCCACATTCCTCATCCTCAACACGCTTTACCATAGAATAATGCCCGTCGTGAGCGCACTTCTCTAATTTGTTCGCTTGTTGTACTAATCGTTCGTAATGCACAGACATGAGCTTTCCGCAGTGGTAAGCTTGACACGCGTCCGCCACCTAATACAGAGAAAACAAAAAGTCGGTTGCTGTTACAATGGTAATAACTATTTGAGTTTTTTACCTGCTCTTAGAGCGGGAATGGCAGCCAGCAACCCTCCAGTAAGCATTCTCATTGTTGAGAAAGAAATGAAGACAACAGAACAGAATTGAGGATTCTCAATTGGGGAAAAAATTGAAAGTCCACCTGTGACGCTCCGGACACTCGTTTATCTTCCATCAGCTTGCAGTGATATTGGAATAGTTAGTTTCCAGCACTTGCACTGCGTCAATAGTTAATCTATCACTTGATTAACATTGAATAGTGTTTATTTCTTATTACGCGAGTTGAAATAAATCATAAATAAGCGTTATTGTACTCATAGTTATGGATGGGATGATAAAAAGAAAATTCCCTGCAGATGCCTTCTATGGCGCCACATATTGAAGGTCAGATAACCGCGTGTTGATTATTGCATCTGCCACACATAATGATCCCTTGTCATTTTGGATACATATTTGCCATACAACAATTCAATGATTGTAAAGAAGCGCAGGGATTAAGTATTTATTGCGGTAGCTATTTGACAAGATAGTAGTACATAAATTTAGGTGAGGCTCTTATCCAGACCCTCTGTGCGACGGGCATCTCTCAGTTCTTCTGCATTCAAATCTCTTTCTGCGGAAACCTTGGGTGCCTCACCAGTGACCATACCCTTGGCAATATTCCACACTTGTACTGGACCGAAAGTATCCTTCATGGAATAGTGAACCGTGTCGGCTTTGACGAAAATCAGAGAGATACGAGGGTCAGTGGGACCACCGTCGTGAACACCGTCACCCATATCGGCAAACCAAGCCTTAATATCGGGAGCATACAGTTCCTTGACCTTGGCGCGATCGTTGACAACTTCAGCAGTTCCAGAAACGCTCACCCATTCAAAGGTACTTTGGCTGAAGAACGCCAAGTTCACGTTGGGATCTTCTTGTAATTCATCGAATTTGTGGGTTGTGTTATTGGCGAAAAACCAGAGATCGGCCGGTTGATCTTTCTTGGGTGTTCGTGGAGCCATGGCTCGGCTGACGAGTCGACCGGTCTTGGCACAGCGAGTGGTCATCATACAAATCTTGATACCTTCGATCAACTTGTACAAGTCTTCGATTTTCTTCTCGGTACTGGTACTCAAATCGAGGTTCTTCTCATGAACAGGATCTCCGTGAGGTAAAGTAGTGGACATTTTTGTTTTAAAAAATAAAGTAGTGTTAAACTGTAGTGAAGAAATAAAACGCAACCAAAGCGCTTTTATATTATCGCGTGTGCTGGTGGAGATGATCTATGAATGAAGTCATACTGTCATTCAAAAATGGGGTTTGCATGAAATTTTTGCAGAAAGCCCGTCACTTTTTTATTTCCATTTCCGCAACCACCTCGCCGTTTCGTCATTATCAGAGGCCGGCGTCCCCATTACGATGTCCGCAAGCCAACCCCTTTTGCTTCTGAGGACGTAAATCGTAGACCTAATTCAACTTCATCTGGGCCAGCAAGAGAAATACGCAGTTTATTTCGACGTGGAATGCAAAGGTGGTTATGGCGACGAAACCTTCTCGATGGGTTGACTGCATTGTTTCCTGCGTTTTCCAGAAAAAAACGGAAGGCATCAGTTCGCAACGATGATTTTGACTACTGTTCAGCAGGTTTTCGAAACGACTACAAAGAAAAACCATCTGTACTTGAGGTCTCAATTACTTTAAGAAAAAGCATTATGAGTTTCTCGTTTTTTCATTTCTCTCAAAACTTCAGTCTGATTGGAAGGAGAATTAGCCAGCAAGCTTTTTGTGTGCCAATGTGGGAATAGTTATATATGCGAAAGAAGGTCTGAGCTCACTCATTCAATAATTTCAAAGTTTAAGGACATCATAGAGCACTGGTTCCAGCAAGGCTTTGTTATAATGTCCTATGCAAGACCGTCAGCAACAAGACGCTCCCGAGTTCCTTTTACAGTTTTCGCCATCTTTTGTTTGATCTCTGATTTTGCGACAGAGACCCCTAAAGATTTTGGCCCATCGTTGTGGGGTGTGCAATCAGAAAATATTTATCGATTTGATTTGCGAAAGATACTGGTCGTGGAACTACATGGCTTAAAGACCGTGTCAAATGGCATCTCTCAATAAAATCGAAGAATCACGGTGTCTAACCGGTAGCCCTTTTTATAAAGAGGATAGACAATAGTGTTCATCTTTCTACACACTCTTCAACGGATATAAAAGCGCGTCAGTAATGTAATGCCTCACGAAGTATGCGGATATACAGACTTTCTTTCGTGAGTATGGTATCTGAATAACTGCAAGATGAAGCTGTTCAAGATAAGATTGAACAATTATAAACAACAGTTCGAAACAAGAAACAGCAACATTGATGGTAGACAAATCTGTATTTAGCGCGATCGGTTTATGGTCATAAATATTCTTTTTTCCCCTCCACAGGAGGGGTAAAGGTTTTATGGCAACCGATATTTTATGAAATTAGGACGTTTTGTTTATGAATGCTTGCGATGCTAATTGTAGAGAGTTTCCAAAACGATGGGCGGTCAAAAAGATGGGACATGATTGTGGGAGATATATCTATGGGATTTGAGAAAAAAAGTTTGTCTTAGTCCATTATCCTGAGCATCATTCGAGAAAATTCCATATGAACATACTTTAATGTAGGAAGGCTGATGTGATCTGTGCGGTATGACTAGTAAACTGGCTTGTTGCGTAAGGTTCGGTGCCATGCACCCGCAGGGATTTTTGTGGCATGGATCCCACAGTAAGCGACGCCCGTCAAGGCACCTCCAACGATCACCATCAACGGTAGTACTTCGGGTCTAGAAAATTTGAGAAGATTGACAAGTGCTGCCATGGTAATCGATATTTTAACAAAATTCGGTGGTGGGAAAGTCGGAAAAGCCTTCGAAAATTTGGAAGGTACCATTAAATAGCAAATGCTTTGATTTCATTTGCGGTTCAGCTCTTCTCGAAAAAAGTGGTCTGATGAAAAAAATTTGTAAGGAATCTTTCCATGAATTTCGGAGTGAGAAAAAAAGATCGGCCACTGTTTCACTGAAGCATCAGCACAACCCCAATTCATGTGGCAAGTGATAAATGAAGCTAGATTCTGAAGCAATATTATGAACGAGGTACTATGTCTCTTTTAAAATAAACCTTATGGAGCATGAGAAATAGCATCATCGCCTGTATATACCACATTTATCAAATATCGAGTACTTGGGATTATGTATAGCCTTTGCAAAGCATATTCCGCCCTTTAAGCTGCGCGTGTGAAAAACAACATTTGGGGCCGACACTTATGCATCGGTGAACAAATGCTACACCATTAAAGGCACAGTCAAAAATCGGTGTCCATGACATTAGGATGTTTCTCAAACTCGGCTATAGCCACCTCAATGATGTAGGCAATGAGTAACCCGAACCATGGTGTGCCCCGAACTATAATCCCGAATCACAACCCGAAACCGTATCCCGAGCCGCCACTAGAAATTATGCATCATGATGGGACATGCTAAAAAATACAACGGGCAGGAAGAACCAGCAACACCTTTTCGACCTCATTACAGGGGGCTTATGGCGTGGTCACTCACAGGCCCCAAACTCGATGTCCCTTAACCATCTATCTCTAATTTGATGATTTATCTTTCACTTCACTTACAGTGTCTGGCATTCTTGCATCTTTTCGTAAGGAAGCATGTATTCTTTCTCTAACATAATCTTATGCTTGACAGTATAGTTGGTTTTAACAGCAGCAGAAGCATTTTTTTTTTTAGAAAAAAAAAAGGTCACTACCTAAAGCTGATTATCTAATACCAGAATCACCATAGAAATAGCCCTATTGGTTATATTAGTATGAGGTCAGAGATATGTATTTCAGTAAAAAGTAGTCCATCACCGAGGTAAGTAGAGTCAGTAATTTCATTGATCAGCGACCCTCTTATCGCAGGCAGGTGAAAAAGGTTAAATATCCCAGGAAATCTGCGAATCATAAAGGGAGAAAACTTAAATAGAAGCTTACTGCCCGGTTATCAACCTTAAAAAGGAATAAACAAGAGCGCTTCTTCAAGGCATTCCCTATTTTATATTTTTTTACACCGAATAAGTGAACCGCAACGCATGTACAACCTTCCACAATGGCGGGCTATTACCTAAATCTAATGAATAGAAGCCGAGGAAAAAAAAAGTATATATATCCCACAGCTGTAGAACATCGAGTGCCTCTGTTTGCCACTTTCTGGGTTCCCGCATGTCACTTAACACTCATGGATATCAACGAGGGCCCGCTTTTGCTGGTCCTGCTCGGCAAAGGCACCATCGACGCCCCAGCCACAAGAGCAACGACGACGTCGAAACTGGAACAATCATGGAGGATGACGGAGGCATCGAAATCCAGGATAGCGCTTTGACGCCCACAGCATCCAGATCGTCTGTATCCATGTCTTCACGTATCCACCATCATCTTCATCAACATGAAGGCCTCACGGCTCCTCTTCACGATCGGGCGGGTCGACCTATTCGTCGGCACGGTACCGAAACTTTTGGTGAACTCCTTCTTCATCCTCTTAAAGAATTGGACCTTCATCGTCAGCGTTTACAAGAGTATCAGGAAGAACGTAAAGAATGGGATGAAAAGCATCCACAAGCTTCAAATGCCCCTGAAGCAGTTATACCAGAGATAAGAGTACTACCTGAAGAAGAGTAAGTGCATTAAGCCTTGGCATCTGTCCATGCCCAACTTGAGTTTTTCTCATGCAATTTTTTATCAGAAAACCGTCAGTAAGAACGAGTAAGTTTGTCAAGCTGGTGGATGACTATGGCAGGATCCATTGATCCGCTCCATGCTATTTAGTTATTCATTTCCGTCACCTCATGGGCGACCAAAGCCTTCGTATTACCAGCCAAATTGCCGATCAACTTAAAGAACCGGTACGCGATCCGTCTTTATAACTCCGTCATTATTGTGCCTCCGCTCATGTTTGAGCTGTGTAACCTAGCTTTCACTGCAAGACGATGAGCTGTTGAAGCTGTACAGCATCAAGGACACGGATAAACTCATCGAGTTTTTCCACAAAACCAAAAGAGAGTATTCTCTGAAAATTCATAAAACAATGGATGTGCGTGCAGAAATCAATGCAAAGAAAGAAGAAGTGGCGCAACTTCGCGAAGAACTCGAATCAAAGAAGGAACAGCTGAAAGAACAAAGTAATACATGTGGACGATTTGATATTTTACGGTTACGTTACTCAACCAAAAATGGCGAATAGTTAAATCCAAAGAAATGGTTGTCGATCCACAGCACCCCACCAAGGGACCGCCAGAGGATGAAAAATTGGATGAGAAAGGAGAATTTCCGAAAGACAACATAGTCAATCTGAACGCCAATGTATTTTTGGAATTCAAATTCTACTGGCCAGAAGGGGATCCCACTAAAACAGCCGAAAAAACGCGTCGACCCATCTTTGTGTAAGCCCTGATAAAACAACATGTCAGAGTAGCTATATGATTTACATCGTCTTTCCTCGGTAAACAGCATACCGGATCCAGATTTATCAGATGACATTGGCGAAGAAAGTTCGGCTACCTGGGTAGAACTGTTCGCTGATGTGTTCTATGTCGGATGGCTTAGGTAAGTTGAGAACCGGGTTGCAATCGTCAGTAAGTACCAGCAAAAATCTGATATGATGATAAAGCACCTTTACACACGCAAATCACATCGTTGACGGTCAGACCCTTGGCAAATATGCTGCATGGTTTGTTGTGATGTGGTGGACCTGGTGTTCTAGCGCGTTGTATTCTTCTCGTTACGATACCACAGGTTAAAGAATGCGAAGTACTATCTAAAGGAAAATTTGACTCACACCGATGGTTAGATGTTATGCATCACATCTATAAAATTGTGGAACTGTGCGGTCTCATTGGTATGGCAGGTGCCAGTAACGTTTACTGGGAAACCCCTCGTGGTTTCATTATCGGATATATGGGTAAGATGGACCCAAGCTGCTACCCTCGGAACATAAATAACTGAAATCAGCGATTTAGTCATGAAGGCGGTACTGCTCGTCGAATACTCAGTGGTGTTGTGGGCTTCGATCATGTCCGGCTCTTTCGCCAAGAAACCGCTTAGTGCTTATGTTGCTGTGAACATGCTGTCCATTCTTTTATGGGGTATTTCGCTCATGTTCACTGCCAAATTGAGCGCTCGATTCGCGCTGTGGTATGTCAGCATCTTTATCGAAGTCGTCGTCAACATGCTATTGAAACATAACAAGCAAGTATCATTGGCGGCAAGCCATCTCGGTGAGCGATTTGGTTTATTCACGATCATTGTGCTTGGTAAGGATAGCTGTGTCGATATATGATCTTTTTTGTTTTCTCACGCCATTTTTTCTTCAATAGGCGAAAACTGTATGGGTTTCATCAAAATGGTTGCTGAATCAGATTCAGAGGTCCGAGTGGTGTACGTAACCAAGTGTACTCTTTAAGCGCGTTTCGCCAACTCACTTTTTTATTTCCAGAGTAGCGAACATGTTTGGTGTGGTCATCATTTTTACCTACTTTTTCATGTATTTCGATGATTTCAGTGCAGAGGTAAGTTGGAACATGAAGCTTTAAAATCGTCCTTTGTTACAGGAGACTGAAATATGATCTGAACTGTAGGTTTTATCGGAAGTCGAAATGAGTCAAATATGGATGTATCTTCACTTCCCCCTGCACTTGTGCCAGGTGGCGTTTGGTATTGCCCTGACAGATACTATTACTATTTATCGGAATCGTTGGGACGATCCAGTAAATGGAACAGCCAATATGGCGCATTCATGCGCTGGAATTGAGTCTACCCTTGGCGAACACAGCGCTAATGCCTTGAGCCGCTCGCTGATATCCGCTTTACGGATGGCTGCCGCGCCGATTTTCGCCGCACCTGAAGGTGGACACGCAGAGGAAGCAGAATGCGAAGAAATTCATAATATCAACTTTGTGTACAAAGCGTTCTGGGTTTCCGGTGGATTGATCCTGTGTGTCAATGCTTTGATTAAACTCGTAAATACGCCTGTTGCAGCCAAATGGTCACGGCTGATCTGCGCGTCCCGCGTGCTGAATGCCATTGTATTCTTTGCTTTAACGGCAACCACGCATGAAAATATGGACGGACTAAAGATGCTTGGTGTCATGATGGCCTGTCTTTTATTCCAATGTGAGTGATAAACTATCAAAGTCGTGTTTTCGCAAAACTAATGTTTAACTTTATTCCAGCTGCGGTGGACTTGTTGGATTAGAATAGGAGTACCTGCACGATTCCTGTCCTTCAAACAACTTATTTTATCGACCAATTGTAGTCATCATTTACCCATACTTAGACGATACCTTTAGGCTTTTATCTTATATCCTTCTTTGCAAGAAACCACCAAAAAAATTTTGCTTCTAGATTGTTTAAACAATGGAACTCTCCTGATCGGACATATAAAGTGAAACCATGCTATCGCACGGCGTGTGTGTCCCTTTTCCAGAGAGTGATGGAAATAAGGCTCTCAAAAACGCTCGCTTTTTAAACATCCAAAATGTTCCCTTTTATATCTTGATTTTAAGACGAAACACAGCCATCTTATTTTAAGCGCGCACTTCTCTTTTCAGAGCAGGTTTATCAAAGTTCATTTTAAGGTTTCAATATCCGAAAAATCCGCGATCAATTTCCGACACTCATGATTTTTTAATTGTGTAGAAGAAAGCAAATAAACTCTATATTGCAAATAATATCACGATGTATGACAGTTGGTAAATGGCCAGTCACCAATAGTATATTGAATTGTGACAATACGGCAGATCGATAAGGTAGCATTTCTGCTTATCTGTGCCAAGAAAAAAATCTCAGAGAAATCTACGATTGAAAATGGAAAAAAAGAGCCCATGAAATAACGGACGAGAAAAAAAAAGTGAATAAAACATTAGCAGCAGGAGAAACTTGTTCTTTGTTTATTCGTTTGTTTACTCATTCATCAACATGCCTCGAAATCAACGATCTGGCTCCAAAGATTTGGCTACACAAGTGACGGATCACTTTATGCAGTTTGGCCGTCGTGAAGAACATCCCGCTCATCAAGACAAAGATTGGGCGCTTCTACGGGACCCTACGATCCATAATGAACGTTTAAACGCTATTAGACAAAAGCAAGGTTATATTATTGATATGGATGGTGTGATTTACCACGTACGTATGATGGTTCGATATTGTAACGAAAAAAATGGAACACTTATTCTTTAATAGGGAAGCAATTTACTGCCTGGGGCAAAAGAGTTTGTTGACTTTTTGAATAAGAATAACAAGAAATATCTTTTTTTGACCAATAATTCCGCCCCAACGCCTCGAGAACTTCAATCCAAGTTGGAACGTCTTGGTATTGAGGTATCGGCCGATCATTTCTTTACATCTGGACAAGCCACTGCCTATTTCTTAAAGTCGCAGATGCCAGAGGTGAGTTGACACACGTAAACTGACGTTGGGCCAAGTAAAACGTCTCGGAATATTTATATGAATCCATAGGGAGGAACTGTGTATGTCATTGGTGAACCAGGTCTTGCCTATGCGCTCTATGATATGGGATTCTTTATGAACGACCACAATCCCGATTACGTCGTACTTGGAGAATCTTCGATATACAATTTCGAAAAACTGACAAAAGCGGTTCAGTTGGTGCAGAATGGGGCAAAATTGATATCTACCAATTTGGATATTGAGACCCTGGACTCGAAAGGACGCAAGATTCCTGCCACTGGCGCTTTTACCGCCTGTGTGGAAGTAGTAACCAAGACAAAGGCTTTCTTTTGTGGCAAACCATCAGCGCTGATCATGCGATACGCGCAACGTGTGCTTGGTCTCAGTCGAGGTGAAACATGCATCATCGGGGATCGGATGGATACAGAGTAAGTTATTTCGTTTTGTGGGTCAGCGAATAGATTGAGATATTGATAACTTTATTCGTCTGAAAGCATCGTTGCTGGTATCACCTCCGAAATTGAATCGGTTCTCGTACTGTCTGGCGTAACAGAAATGAGCGACTTGTCGATGTTTGCCTATCGTCCGTATATCATTTTGGGTGGTGTGTACGAAATTACGGAGCAAGATCGTCGCGAGACAGAAACTGAACCCCAGGCCAGTATACCATGAAATTACTTGTAGTTTGTCCAAATTTACGCCCTTTATATAGTATCTAGAAGTGAAAAACATCTTTGATTTTTGTATAAATGCTGAAGCACTACTTGTATCTCAGGATAAAACTGCCAGTTGGTACACAGTCAGGTCAGATGTCGTGCAATAGTGTTTGCCCAATAAATTCATTGTCCCGATACGCTTTGTTCAGATAATGGATGGTGATATGATTGGAGTTGGGTGCTTTCTTAATTTACAATAACTATATTATGAAACATATATAAAGCCTACGCTGCGGCTGTATTAATTTTATGATCAAGCAGCGGACACTTCTTCTGGGGTGGGTGATCGAGGAGGGATTTCCGGTGGCGTGGAAGCAGCAATCATATCTGCTATATGACCCAAAGAGCGATCCTCTTCCTCAACGGCGTCTCGAATTCTGCTACTCGTTGTCTCCTTTTGCGTCGCTTCTTTTGCCTCACGGTTGGTTGGTGGCAAACGCTCGTTTTCAATATCGGATCGTCGTGCTTCCTCGAAAGTAGTAATGGCTATAGAAATGAGTGTTAGGGGACGGACGAACTATGGTTTACAATCGATAAGTTATCATACCATGCCGGATGCCTTCTGCTCCCAATCCCAATGTGCCTGCCGGCAATCTGCCACTGCCCGACAGGTTCTTCAATTCCATGACCAACTCTGAATTTTCCCGCAATACAGAGAATGTCCTCGATATTTTGCCCACGGCCAAAATCTTGTTTCTAATAACTTGACGACGCTCAGCAGTCCATTCCGTGGTCGACGCAGGTGCTAATGTTGGCGATAACGGATAGCCTGACAATTCTTCTGTGGAGGATGCTTGAAGTTCATCTTGAGAGCAGATATTGAGAATGGCAATCAGCATTGAAGTAACTACAATATAAATGGTAGTACGTTAGTGGTGGTTAGGTCATCGAAAGGACGATTCTTGCTGATTGACGTACTTTTTTCGCCCACAAACGGTAAGCTCCAGTTGAAGACGTTCATAAAGTTAGGTAACCAGTACGGATGAGGACTTGCATTGAACTGCCGAATATTGAGCACACTCTTATCATATCGCAATACAGCTGCCTTGTTGTTGTATACATCGATATAATTGGGAGCGGAGAAGATGGTCATCAAGACCGGAAATCCCGAAGCTTTGCTTTTTCGATACATGCGGTAACTATGGCAGCAAAGTATTATAAATACAGGTTTCTAACGCGCTTGATGCCAACCTACCCGTTTGCTTGAGCTTCATGAGCACGTATAATGGATAACAAGTTATTTCTATCGAGGAAATTCGCTGCTGCTCGATAACTGGAGTTGTCACGGGGTTAGCTACCGTGATCGTATCTCGTCTTGGAATGGAAACTAATTTGGTATTAATTTTACCTGTAAAAGTATGAACAACCACGCACATGGTTATGCTCAAACTTGGAATTCGTATCAGCGTCAAAGTCCTCAAAAGGATCGGACCACAACAGATCACACATCAGGCCACTGGTCGGAGTTTCTTGGAATCGGTCAATCTGAAATGAATAATAAAGCGAGTATTAGGTGCCATGTAAAAAAAACCTAACAAAACGTATCGAATAAAACATTTACTCCATCCACATCTTTCAGTGTCGCCAGATCCGGAGATAATCCACCGTGTACACAAAAGAACTGCTCGTTCACTACCGCAGCCAAAGGCAAGCTATCAAAGCATTCCATGACCACGTCATACACTCTCTCTGAATACTTTTGTTCACCTAGGGTATGGGGACATGGTTAGTTGATTTTAGCAAAGCAAAAGCAAAAGATCGGTAAAACACTTGCATTCCAGTTTGAAGGTAAAGTAATCTGTGAGATGACGACATTCATGATTGCCACGTAACAAGAAGAAGGTTTCAGGAAACCACAATTTGAAAGACCATAAATACAGCACGCACTAAATGATCAGAATGTTCAGCACTGTAAATTGATACAAGAGTTTCTCTTTGACCGCGCATACCTCGATAGAGAAATATCCACGATCTACATAGTCACCCAAGAATAGATACGGTGTCTCGCTCGGATCTCCACCCACTTCAAACAGTTTAAGCAAGTCATAAAATTGGCCATGGACATCGCCACAAATCGTAATAGGAGCGGGTAAATGCAAGAGGTTTGGTTCAGCACGTAGTACTTGTTTAGTTCGTTGTAAAATCTGTAAAGCTTGCTCTTCTGTTAACCGTCCTTCGTGAAAAAAATGATCCTTTAAGAACGCAAGATTGGGGCGACCGGGATGTTCTCGCGACCATAGCTGTTCGTCAGTTGCTTTGCTGAAAACAGGCGGTTCCACCTCTATGAATGCCATACACAAGTGAGAACGTTACTCATGACAGTATTGCACCAGAATCAATTGAATTACCTTTATCTACGCGTTCTTTGGTGCTTACGACACGTCCGTCGTCCATTGTATAAGAGGAAAAATTAACGGGAGATTTTTTGCCATTATTAACATTCATTTTTGTTAAGTCAAGAAAAAAAGAGAGAAAAAATGGCGTAGCATAAACTCCTCTGTCAATCGGTGAAGAAAACATTTTCTCTTGTCAAAAAAAAAAAAAAAAAAAAAAAAAAAAGTGGGTTTCAAGTGAAACCGCTGCACAGACGGGGACGTCAAGGGACCGGGAAACGAAAAAAACAAGTTCTATTTTGCTATATAAATTACAGTCAAAGCCAACCAGAAAACAGCAGAACTTTTTGTCATCTCTGCCACAGGACTTTTTCTCTTCAAAAAAGCCTGATTATGTTTTACTGGGCTCTTATCAAAATTCAGAATGGGATCAGCAGGATATGAGGGCAAAAAACCACAGCAACAGTCTTGAAATGTTCTATACTTGGCAGTTGCCTATCTTACGATAGCATCATTGTCATTCCACTTATTCTAGGAAAGGATATGATTGTATCATTTGTGCAGTCAGGTTATTGAATGATCCACCTCTTTTTCGGTGCAATTAAGCTTTTCCTTTCAGGGTGCGCTTTTTTACTTTTCAGTCGACCATTGGCATATGTTATCATGTGAATTGTGGCACTCAGGAATGTGCAACATGTGTGGCACCAAGGGACATTTTGAGTAAGACGAAGCCATTGAATCGATTTTTTGTTACCGTCTTCCTTTTTTGTCACCTATGTCTGAGATATGCCCTACATCTTCGATAACGTATCGAGGCTTCCGGCTTCTGTTTCAAGGCATAGTCCACATTTTCTTCCGTGAAGTTCAAGCCAGCGGTCTCCATCACATACCAACCAATGACCCGTGCATCTTCATCGTCGGTCCTCATGCCAATCAATTTGTTGACGGGATTGTCTTTTACAGTACGAATCCAAGACAATCTTATGCCCTCATGGCGTCTGTGTCATATAATCGTCCGATCATTGGCCATGTTGGCAAACTTCTAAGTGCCAGTAAGCAAATTATTTCGTAATATAAAGATATAGTCGGCACAGATAGTTGATATGCATTCGATCCGTAGTTCCTGTTGTTCGACCTCAAGATATTGTGAACAAAGGCACGGGTTTCGTTCTATATGATCTGAATGATCCGTATAAAATTCGCGGTCATGGCACTCGGTTCTTGGAGGAATTGCATCCGCGTGACTTTATCATTTTTTCGCGAAATTACAAGGGTCATGTTGCGCGCATTATTGACGATACCACACTGGAAATCACGCATGTTCTAAATATCCCAATTTCCGACCTTAGTGACCAAGGTCACAGCTTCAAGATTGCACCTCACGTCGACCAGACACCTGTGTATAACGAAGTATATCGGTATCTCGATAACCATGAATGTGTCACGGTGTTTCCTGAGGGTGGTAGTCATGATCGAACAGAAATGCTGCCACTCAAAGGTAACAATAAACCTATAACTGATACTGTAAGAAAATAGAATCACTTATTCTTTGTATTAGCTGGCTTTGCCGTCATGGCACTAGGAGCAATGGCTGAAACCCCCAACCTTAACTTGAAAATTGTTCCAGTTGGTACGTTGTACATTGTTTGGTCTGAAAGGTGGATATAGAGTAATAATCAAAATTCTACCAGGATTGAATTACTTTCATCCCGACCAATTCCGATCGCGAGCGGTGATAGCTTATGGACAACCGATTTCCATTGATGTCAAGGATGTGGAGGCGTTCAAGCAAGGAGGACAGCAAAAGCGGGAAGCAATTACAAGGCTGCTGGATCAGAGTGATGAAGCGTTTAAAAGTGTCACAACTACTGCACCTGATTACGAGACATTGATGGTACCAAAAGACGACACTGATACATGCTGAATTCATCTAATGGGTATATTGGATTTAGGTGATTCGAGCAGCTCGACGTCTTTATCAACCAACAAAATTATGCAAGCCAGCAATTGAACAAAGCGTGAAACTGAATCGATCATTTGGCGTTGGGTGGACAACATTAAAAGATGATCCACGGCTAAAGATTCTTACGCGTAAAGTCAAACTGTACAACGAAACATTATTATTCTTTGGGTTGCGTGATTATCAAGTTGAAAAACTCAATGTCACTCCCATTCGAGCTGCTGTACTGCTATTCCAAAGGATCACCAAACTGATCCTTCTTGCTGGATTTGGCCTTCCAGCGTAAGTGCCCGACTATCAACTATCAGCATATGGACCGCTTAACACCATCACCTCTTTGTGATAGATTGATATCAAATCTACCTGTTATCTGGCTTACTCATTTTATCAGCAAAAGGAAACAAAAAGGTTTGTCTTGCATTGGAGACTTGGTTTCTGGGTGCCAGTCAGTAAATGAATTAATATCGTTCTAAATTAGAGGCTCTCGCTGGTTCAATGGTCAAAATTGCAGCTAAAGATGTGATCGCCACCTGGAAAATAATTGTTGCTGCGTTTGCAGCACCTATGCTTTACGCTGCTTATACTGCAATCTACATTGCTTATCTTATAAAACATCGCCCCACCATGTCAACAAGATCAAAGATGATAAGAGCTGCCATATCTTGGATCATGCAACCCCTAATGCATTACGTTTTGATGAGGTTGGGAGATTCAGGCCGCGATATTTACAAGTGAGTAATTTTATATTACCGATGGATATGAAGACTGAATGATTCCGCTAGATCCATCAAACCATTGTTTTTGGCTATCCGAAATCCGGAATGCGGGAAGCTATTGCAAGCCTTCCGCAGTGAACTTTCGCGAGACATTACGGAATTTGTCAATGAAAATGCGTCTGTCATGTTATCGGACGTCTACAAAGAATCCAATCCAGAGTCCAGGGCACAGACAAACATTGTTTAGCTGTCATTGACCCTGCCTTCCCGGACGCGCCCTGACTTACCCTATTAATGTTTAGATCGAAATAGACTATTATTGATTCCTCCGGTGCAATTTAAATTCAATCGTAGGTTGTTTGGTTCATGTTGCCAAACTATCATAAACTTCCGTGGGGTGTATATTCCGATGAAGACTTGTGATGAAATATACTATTTGTTCTTGCCACTTTGTTGAGAAAAGTCTATTTTTGATTCCGAAGAACTAGATACAAACAGAGATATTAGGATCCATTTGCAACTTTTTGTTTGTAGCAGCTCGGAAATTTGACGCCATCGAGAAAACATATAAAATGAAGCATGGTCCTTTGTTAGACTATCGTCACCTTTGATCTATGCCCAACTTCAACCATACATACATCATCTTCTTGTTGACCCTCCTGGTGTCAGGTACGTTGTACACACGATCCAGCCTAGTGGCATGTAATCTCATTATATTAATCGTGATCTATGTTCAACAGCTCGTGCAGCCGACCAGGAGGGCCAAGGTTCGGCTGAAATGTCCATGTTGAACAATGCTATTGCTGCTGCTGCTGCGACGCGCAATACACCCTCCTTAAAAGCTACCTCTTTCGAAGTCGATGAAGACGAAGACGACGAACTTATGGAAGCCGCTGAAGTAGAGCAAGAAGCAGAAGAAGAAAGCGTAGACGAAGATGATGATGACGCCGAAGTACAAAAAGACGACACGAGAGCTGCTGTCACTGTTACAGTTCAAACTACCGTGACAACCACTGCTAGGCGCGCACGTGCTACCAAAACGTCGCCTGCTACTGCTGTCCCTACCGATGGCAAAGCCCGCGACGGAAACGGTAACGGAAACGGCAACGGCAACGGCAACGGCAACGGCAACGGCAACGGCAACGGTGGCAATGGTAATGGCCACGGTGGAAACGGCGGCGGCAATGGCAATGGCCACGGTGGAAACGACGGCGGCAATGGCAATGGCCACGGTGGAAACGGCGGCGGCAATGGCAATGGCCACGGCGGAAACGGCGGCGGCAATGGCAATGGCCACGATGGAAACGGCGGCGGCAATGGCAATGGCCACGGTGGAAACGACGGCGGCAATGGCAATGGCCACGGTGGAAACGGCGGCGGCAATGGCAATGGCCACGGTGGAAACGACGGCGGCAATGGCAATGGCCACGGTGGAAACGACGGCGGCAATGGCAATGGCCACGGTGGAAACGACGGCGGCAATGGCAATGGCCACGGTGGAAACGACGGCGGCAATGGCAATGGCCACGGTGGAAACGACGGCGGCAATGGCAATGGCAATGGCAATGGCAATGGCAACGGCAATGGCAATGGCAACGGCGATGGCAATGGCAATGGCAACGGTGGCAATGGCAACGGCAACGGCAACGGCGGAAACGGCGACGGCAAAGGCCACGACGGAAACGGCAATGGCAATGGCAATGGCAATGGCAACGGCAACGGCGGAAACGGCGACGGTAACGCGCTTGGAACAACCGTACTTCCAGATGTGTCCACCGGTATTGCTTCGAACGTTCAGAGCGCTACCGCAGTGCCTGTTCCTGCTGTACCAACTGCTACTGGTGTCCCCGAAGAAAACAAAGGTGGCAACGACGGCAACGGCAACGGCAACGGCAACGGCAACGGAGGCAACGGAGGAAACGATGGAGACAACGATCACAAGAAATCTACCAAGACCACACGCACAGCTTGGTGGGAAACGTCGTCCTCTGATATGTCATCCTCGAGTTCTGCTACAACTGCAACCATGACGACCGAGCCTAACCCACTGTTGGTGACCGCTACTGGCAACGCCCATTCCAGCATGCTCGGTTCCCTGCTCACTGCCAAACCAACAATTTCAGGTTCTCCCGCCAACAGCAAGGTCGCTTTCGGATCCAAGTTGGTCAGCATGTCGTCCGGTAAAATGCGATCCAGTGGCAAACCAGATCCTACCAAGTCAGCTGCCCCTACGAGCGCGTCCTTTGCAAGCTTTAGCCTTGGCTCCAGCAATGACTCGAAGAATGCCAAAACTGCCTCGGCTATGAATAGCAATGACTCCACATCCGCCGGTATGGTGACCTATGGAAAAGTATCCGCTTTCACCGTGGTTATCGCCAGTATCATTATGAGTGTTATTTTCTACTAGAACGATCCTTCATTGTATCGACATTTAAAATTAAATAAAATTGCCTAATTTAAACTCTCAAAAAAACAAAAATCGCATGTACATGGTAAAAGATCTTAGTTAAGGGCATCCAATGATACCATTATGGTAGGATAAACCAGTTTCTCAACGATTCAAAAACAGACATGCTAATAGCCGAGTTGGGAATACCCCAAGCAATGCGTGCCAGCATGCCACGAGTGAATGCTCGCCATTCGCCTTCCGTAATCCACATGCGCTCGATAATCTTCCAGGGACCTTGTCGATAAGCTGCTCCTTCTTCTGCAGATGATATTTGCCATCGCGTTTTCACAATATCAAGAGGAGTCGATACCACCGTGGCTAACCCGCTGGCAATGATCGCGCACATCAAGTACACGGGAAATGAAAGCTCTGTAGCAGACCCAGCTAACATCTTTAAGCGTTCATAGACCACGAAGTAAACCATTGTATGCGGCACAAATACAGCCAGGGTGATCCAATAACCTTTGTAAAAGCCGAGGATCCCCTCTTGTTTCCAGATTTTGGACGCCAGATGTCGCAGTTCGGTATGTGATTCGCTCTGCATGCAGCTTTTCAGAACCTCCATAGGAGTGAAGAAAATACCACCGGCCATCTCTGCTATGCAACCCGATATAAGATGATTCAACGCACTGTCACGATGCATAAAAGTATATACGCTCAGCCAATCCTTGACTGTTTCATAGGAGGTCAGATAAACGGCCAGTGCAGGCACACAGAATAGTAACGATATAGAGAGGCCGCGATATAAACTTGTCAGCGGCCAACGAGCATAAAACGCTGTCCTGGTATCGGCAGCCGACTGAATCGCTTCATAATTGGGATTAGAGCGGCTGATCTGGATCCGTGTCTTGATTGTGTCCACTGCAAAACAAAAAAAAAAGTGCAAGTAGATTAGCAATCCCAATGCTATCAACTGCGGCCTCCATTCGTAACGCATGTTTACATGGGTGGGTTATAAAACGTGCTAGTAAGGCAGCAATGGCTGAGGCTACAAGCGTGTCTGCATCCATTGCCATGGTTAGGCGAACTGGAACTGGGCTGGCTTTTCACGAAAAGTGGACTTCAGCTGCTGCAGCTGAAAAAGTTAATTTCGTTCCTGAATGGTCTCAGCGAACCGCAAATTAAAGTGTCGTTGAACAAATGTTTTCTCTTTTAAAAAAATCGGCAAAACAATCATAAAACCATCATGGAGACATGTGAGGATACATGTTCTGGATCAATAAATCAGTAAATTCGTCTTAATTTCGGCACATTGGTGGGACATACCGGTTACGGCTTGTTAATTTACTCACATCATCAAGCACAGTCAGTGATGATACCAAATGAACTATCATCTACAGATGAACTGTAAGGTCCCATTATCTACAAAAGTTACGGACACAGTTGAAGTGCCATGTTCACTTGTTTATGATCATGCTTTGCGAGTCTAACTACGGCCGTGGTGGATGGATACTGAACCATACTTTGACCACTGTACAAGTTTAATAACCTACGGATACATACAATAGTACCACAGTAGATGGTATATATGCTTCGCTTGCTGCAGGCGGTACTTGCCTCAACTGACTGTGGGCAATCATTATTTCCCAGGAAGCCAAAGCAACGATCACACTTGTTACAAATGCTCTTCATGCAATGTATCGATTACCTTGCCTCATTTTTTTTCAGCTTGTCTCCCCCAAAATAATTCGATGGACTGATAAAGAACCGATTGAGCGCACCATAAGAGAGCATCCACCCTACTATTTTATCGGAGCTTATGATACGATACTATCTATCATCATATCGAGATATAAGTGAACATAATTCACGAATCTAAATAAAATCATTTTTTAATCAACAAATTTCTTTTGGGAAGATATCTGAACTGAAAGGAATTTTCTTTTGGTTATCGTCAGTATGGGAGATGATTATAAATCCAGCGATGGCGACAGTTGGAGCCCTGACATCAAACAGCGCCAGAGATTTTCGTCTGATGAACTGCAAATATTGGAACAAGCATATCTGTGTGAGCCACACCCACCGCCGAGTTTAAGAAACGATTTGGCTCTGCGCATAAACACAAATCCTAGTCGCATTCAGATCTGGTTCCAGAATCGAAGAGCCAAAGAGAAAAAGCAAAGGTTAATGATTGCTATGCCGAAGCAGACTTCATCGGATCCGACGACCGCTGGTATGGCGAGACCTTTCCCTTCTTCCACGTACCATCCAATGGACCCATGCAACGCAGAATTCATTTCGGTGATAACTCCATACGAGCTGGGAGCTTCGAATATACAAACAATAGCACCAGCATTACAAACTGCATCCTACCCGTGTACTGCTAATTTAGGAAATACAGTGTTATCAGAATCCTTGCCATTTGTTACATCATATCCTCTAGCTTATAACGCTGATATATCCACGAAACATCAACGGCCCACTGAAGCAAGTGCCGATGATCTCACTGTGATTATGGAACAGCATAACCTGACAATGAACCGTCCCACGACGTCAGCAAATGCTGTCAGGATTTTATCACATGAAGCATGCCATGAACGCCAACAAGGAGGTAAATATAACCATTAATTTACATGCGTATACTTAGCAGGGAGGATGTGTCATCCAGCGGACAAAGTATTGACCTCAATAGATGATAGGCGATTGGATTGTGACAACAGCGAACAAAGCGGAAGGACATACAGAAAATGATAGGAAATAAACCTAAAAGCCTGGCTCTGTGGATAGGATTTTCCATGAACGCACTTGCAAAATATGTTTAATGATAATGTGGTACTTCATTTCTCGATGTGCAAAGTGATAAAGTCATTTTCCTTTTGGTTTACTGTTGTGAATTTTTCAACTGGTGTTTATTCATGATATGTTTTTGTCCTCCCCTTTTTTTTACACACTAAAACAAACAGATGGAGATGGGCGCCAATCAACAACAGAAACGAGTCTATTGAAGGCAATAGGGGACAAAGCAATTATTTTGTATGAAGCGAGAAATCACTTAAAGTTACTCGGTTTTCTTGGCGGCAGTTTTCTTTATCATACCAATGGCTTGACCATAGACGGCTTGAGCTTTTTGATTGGCCACGTTACCGTACTCATGTGCCAAAGAACAAGCACGATGACTGTACTGCGCCACATGGCTATCGATGATGTCTTGATTTTGGAGGTATAAGCGAGGCAGAGTAAACAAGCCTACCAAGAAGACACCGACCAGATACTTTGTTGACACGTATTTAGCCACGGTCCAAATCAGGTAGGAAGCCATGAAAGCAACAGCGGACCGGGTATTATTCTCAATCAACACTAATTTGGCAAGTTGTTGGGCAATCAATTCGGTGATGTCCACTGTCAACTGCGCAGCACGAGTAACACGATCACGGGGAATGTACGGACCACCTTTGCTTTGGAGTCGAGCACTATATGTTATAAAAACAAAGGATCGTGTCAGCTATCGTCTAATAAGCAACATTCAACAAAAAGTGCGGCCATGTAATCAGACGCATACGAATGTGTGTACACGCGTTATCTCTTCTCGCAACACTTGCAGATACATCCCATCGTTTTTAGCTTTTTTTTTTCAACTTACACATGAGGATGGGTGATATTTTCAGCGGTTTTACCACCAATGATTCTTTGACTTTGTTTGTGCGTATTGACATAGATCCAGTTCAGACCTGTGAGGACCGTAAAGAAACCGGCAACAATTTGCAATAATGAGTAGTACTGAGTCAGGATTAAGACGCTCAATGACAGAGACAACACAGTGACGCTTCGTTTGGGGTTTTCCCAATAGATTAACGATTTGACTCTGGACTTGACGTATCTTGTTGGATCTTTTGAAACGTTTTAGAATGTGCAATCAAAAAGTCACGTATTTTCTCCACTGCATAGAACATCCAGAACAGCGAAGATATGCTTACCCTCATCGAAGTTGAGTTGCGGCGATGTGTACACGTTCTTGCTGAAACTGTTGGCAAGATTGGTTGCAGCTGTCTTGGTTGCCGAAGGCTCAAAAGGAGCTGTGGTCAAAGGAGGCAACTGGGCCTCTTCTTTCTTGGCAGGCAAGGTTGCCGAATTGGGAGGAGTCATTTCGCTTGGTTGGTTCATTGGTGTTCCGTCTAAAACAACACGTTGATAAATACTCTTTGAAAGGGTATACGCCGATAGCGTACAAAGTGCGCCAAGAACTTACTATTAACATCTTTCTGGGCATCTACGGTAGGTGCAGTGATATTGTTGGATTTATTGTCAATATCCGTAGTGTCGGTCATGTTACAGAGATAGAAGCAGATAACAAAGTACGAAACGGAAAGAAAGGGAAAAGAAAAGAAAAGGAAGAAGAAAGAAAACTACACAAGAAAAAAGAAGGCAAAATAAAAAAGAGAAAAGCGGGTTTTTAGTGCAAATAGGAGCAATATGTTTCATGCTCGAAGCCGTCCAGGATGGAACACTTGTCGGCATTTGGTCATTCTTTGTCACACAATGAAATGCATATTCGGAGGTTGTCTAACCAAAGCCAACTATTTTATGGCTGAATCTTTTATTCTTCGTCCTCATTGTCCCTGAGCATAAAGCGAATAGTCTCTGTAAATTTTTTTAATCGCTCCAGCTGCTTGATGGGCAATGCCATGAGATCAAAGCTTATGCAGACGTTATTTTGATCATCCGATAGTGCAGGCACTTTTGGATAACGTTGGCTAAAGTGGTTCAACAATGTGTACCGTGCATTCATTCTAACGAAGAGAGGTCAATGATTAGCTTTTCCATTCATGTCTGTGCGATAATAAAAAAAAAATAATGATTTCTTTACCGTTTTCCTACGTCGATGGCTTCTGAAGTAGTTGAATGTCTTTTCGCAATAGCTTCAGCTTTCATTGAATCTTCCAAGGTGGCTTCATGGATAAGCAACGTAGCGTCTCGGCCCGCTTCGACTAAGCTATCGCAAGGTCTTGTGTCACCCGAATACCTATTCCGATCTTTGTTGAGTACTAATTTTCAAATGGGAAATATGAAATAAACAAAAATACTCACACGAGCTTCCAGCCTGATTCATGCTCCAACGTAAGCCCGTAAGCCCATCGACAATGGATAACCTCTACAGTCTGCATGTCTTTCAAGCCCAAGGATCGCAGAAGCTTTCCCAACCTATATAGGGAGGTTAACACTTCACGAACGATGATGGCAAAAAAAATAAAAAAAATTGGTCAGGAAGCTGGATACGTTACTTGGCCCTGTTAAATTTTGGATCGGAAAACCTCTCATTCTGAATAAATCGAATCTGTTTCGAGGGTGGCTTTGGTCCAAAATATTCCACCTCACTGTATTCTTGTAGCCAACGACGATATATATGCGGTGCAACGACGTATAGACTTTTCTTTCGATCTTGGGAATTGAGCTATACACGAGTCAGCAAAGTATACACCTGACACGCTGAAACGTTGGCCTACCTTCCACCATTTAGTGAGCAGTTGCATTACGCCCAGATGATGATCGGCGTGTAAATGCGATACGAAAATGCATCGAATAGCATTTAACTCTTCATCGAGTTTTTCTCGTCCAAAATGACGCATCATTTGACCATAAGTGCCTTCGCCAGCATCAAGAAGAATAGACCCAGATCCAGGAATCTTTACCAAGGTGCCACTCACTGCCGATCGTGTAAACATTTTTTTTCATTCACTGTGTGTAACCGAGAAATATCACCTCGTCAAACTTACCATTGCGGGTTTTAGAAGGAATGGCGCTGCCCGTCCCTAGTGTGATGATCTGCACATCGGCTCCTGGAAATTGTATGTCCATACTGACTTTATCTGCTTCCGTTCTCGCAAGCTGGACTGCTTTCACGCTCTTTTCATCTCCTTCATATTTTTCCACTTCAGAAGCCAGGATATTGTCATGGTCAAAAGTCCATCGTTCCAAAGACTGTTGATATAAACCGTTACGAGGTTCCAAGTCGTATTGCATCATATTGCTCAGTGGTGTAACTTTGGGTGGCAATCCTGTAACTGCCAATAGGGAGAAACTTGTTAGTTGCAAATTGTATTTCATGCACAGACACACGTCTGCATACATACATTCACTGAGCAATTTCGCGGGACGGTTATTGTACTTTGGTATAGAAAATATATCTTTGTCCAATCTGGAAAGTTTGTACTGCTGTAATGCATGACTCTGGAATTGGACTGTTTGAGCACAGATCTCTTCGGAACCGACAATGTGCTATCAACGATAAATGAGCAAACAAATGTTTGTAATGATACAGCATTTTTCAAGCTTACATCGGTTTTGGGGCTAAACTTATTCATCCAAGCTCGGTATCGTTCGTCTTCAAGTACTTGTTTTCCCAGTAGATGGATAATTAAGTTTGGCCGGGAACTTTCGTCTGTCGTCTGGTATTCCTTGAACATGGACGATGTAGTCAAAGATTCAATGTAATCCACGCTGGGACAGTCTATCACAAGAAACAACTGGAGGGCGTTCTATTGTTTAGCTTTTTTGCGATACAGTAAGACTACTTCAAGGTACTTACATGACCAGGAGCAGCCGGGCTAACGACTTGTTCCGGTTTGATGACCCGTCCATCTGCCAGTGTGACGGGAATGCCCTTGTGTAGTTTACCTATTATCGATTAAACATATATAACACATTTGCTGGGATCACACAATGGCTTACCATAGTCTGGACCTGGTTTCACACCAAGGTCTAAAGCGGCTTGCTTGTTGAATTTACCAGGCAACTCAGGGCCTCGACAGATATAGGACACAGCGGCAGGATACGGAGTGGTACGAGGAAGAGGGCTCTTCAGATATGCTGTTTGTCGCTTATTGGGCTGTGATTGGATCCGGTCGGGCACAGGTGCAATTTCTTCCACTTCCGCTTTGAGAGGTTCACCATCTGCCGCAATTAACTGAATTTTGGCATCGCTTATCTGGGAGGTCTTGGATAGTGGGTGTTGTCGTGGTGTACAAGGTGACTCGATGGTGTGTCCGGGAGCATTTTCGGGACCTTTATTACTGAACATTTGTAATAGCACGTCGCGGCGATAGGCCATTTGCTGTTCCGCTGACATGTGTTCAAATGGATCAGGCCTGCCTGATTCAGAGTCGGATCCGGACTCGGAGCTAGATCCCTCAGAAGCAGACTCTACGCGACGACGCTTTCTAGGGCTTTGATCTGGAAGTCCAGAGGCCGCAGTAGGGAGTATGACGACTGGTGTTACTGTTAAATTGCCATCCGAGAATTTGGAAGTTGGGTTGCCATCGAATTCATGCGTTTCCACTGCCATACTCGTTCTAAGTTTTATGATTTCGAAATTAATATACGGCTCCATCAATGAATAACTGATGCTTCAGTTTGTTATACCTATACACAAACGGACGAGTGGCGACCATCAAGTGAGTCAGGTTCCTTCCACCGTGAATATGTAAATTTTGTGTACCGGCATCTGCCAGCGTCAGAAGCATGCCTAAAGTTTCAACAGGTCAGAAAAAAAAACTTCATGCGGCTTCTTACTCAATCATAAAAGTGATCGCTTACCTATCATGCCACCGACACACTCCCACTCAAGACGTGTCAAAAAGATATTTTTGAGTTTGCTCAATCGAACTTTCTCCTCCACGCACAGTCTTTGCGTTCCTTCGCGGCAGTTGAACATATATCTCTGAGAGTCATAATGAACTATCAAACTAGGTGGACCCTCAGCTGAAGCCTGTCCAACAACTTGAATATAAGCCTTCATTCCACGTCGTTGACCGTATAAAGATGATGCTTGGGATAATAGAGAATCTTGGAAACGCCACTGATAACCTGTTGTTCTTCCGACAAAACTAAATCTCTTATCGAAGCGAGTAGTATGGATTGATCGACGTAGAATGTACAATGTCGATGCCACAACGGTTGATGGCATATAAGAAGCAGCTCGAAATGGTCTTGTCTTGATATCTTTCCGAAAATCGTTAATGCTTCAGCCTTCCGAAATTTTCGGCAAGAAAACGAGTCCTATTAAGCAACGCCACTTGCCAATTTGCATGATTTCTTGAATACGAGAGAGAGGAGTGAAGCTGATTGTGGCAATGCTGTTTTTGTCGTAATTCCTTTAGTTTAGAAGAATAGCGAAGATAGTAAAACGAGTTCGTATATGTATGAATTTATTGAATGAGTAAAAAAAAAAAAAAAGCAACGCGCCTGCTATCACTTGTGAAGGTATATGTATTATATTAAGGAAAATGAATGAAATAAAATGCAGTTACACGTTACGATGGCCATTCTCGTTGCGCTCATTCTCATTGCGCTCATTCTCGTCTCGTTCATTTTCATCCCGTTCATTTTCGTCTCGCTCGTTCTCTCCGCCACCAGCAGCAGGAGCAGCTCGCCCTCCTCCGCGTCCACGTTCACCACGATCGCCACGTTCGGGACGCTCATTCTCGTTTTCGTCAGGTTCGTTTTCGTCAGGTTCGTTCTCACGTTTTTTATGCTTCGCTCCGTGAACAGCAGGACTAACAGTGGAAGAATTATCGGCGGCTACAGGTAGTTTGCGGATACCCGAATGACTGGCGGTTGCAGGTGCTTTTTTGAAACTAGGCTCCTTCGTTACTGGTTCAGCGGCTTCTTTTGCTTCCTTTGTGGCGGGTTCTTTGGTCGGTTTTTCGGCCATGGTCGGTACTTCTTTTGTGGGGGCTTCCTTGGTAGCTGGATCAATGGCCTCTTTTGCTTCTGTCAAAGGTGCTTCCTTCGTTGCAGGTTCGGAGGCTTCTTTTGCTTCGACAGTAGCAGGCTCCTTGACCGGCTTTTCAGCAATCGTGGGTGCTTCTGTTAAGGGGGCTTCTTGGGTAACAGGCTCGGATGGTTCTTTTGCCTCTGTCATAGCAGGCTCTGGAACGGGTTTCTCGGCAATCGTTGGAGCTTCTTTCAGCGGTACTTCCTTGGCAACAGGTTCAGCGGCTTCCTTGGCCTCCTTGGCTTCTTTAGCTTCCTTGGTAGAAGCTTCCTTCGCTTCTTTAGCCTCCTTGACTTCCTTGGCTTCTTTCACTGGAACTTCCTTGACAACCACTTCCTTTGCTTCTGGCGCCTCACCAGCTTCGCCTGCTTCACCGGCTTCTCCAGCTTCACCAACTTCACCAGCTTCACCGGCTTCACCAACTTCGCCTACTTCGCCTGCTTCGCCGACTTCACCGGGCACAGCTTCGGGTGCAACAACTTCCACGGCCTCTGGTGCGTCGGGAGTCACCGGATCTGGCGACGATGGTTCAGTGATCTCGGGCGGATCGTTTGAAGGTGGGTCAGGGGAAACAGGTTCCCATACTTCTGGCGATTCCAGAGAAGGAGGATCGGGCGTTGAAGGGTCTACGACGGAAGGAGATACACCGGAGGGTGGGTCTGGAGACGATGGCTCGGAAATCTCTGGAGCTTCTGTAGAAGGTGGACCGGGTGATGGTGGACCAACGCTCGGAGGGGCTTTAGTAGATGGCATACCGGCCACACCAGGTTCACTGATCATGGGAGAGTCAGTAGATGGTGCATCGGGATAGGGTAAGCTGACTTCTGATGGTGTATCAGGTGAAGCCAAGTCAAAGTCCACTGTTGTGTCAGGACTTCCAATGTCTGGAGATGAGGGATCAACATTGAACCCCGCACTGGTCGCATCCGTATCAGGCGAGAAGCCGTCAAATGACATATGGTCCATAGCACCAAAGCCGGCAGAACCAAAATTTCCATAACCCCCACGTTTGTGGAATCGGGGTCCATATTCCTGTTCGTCAGGTTCTAATTGCGTGTACCACAGATTAGTATCAATACAAATTTCCACGATTATATCCTACACGCAACATTACCGTTTTCGTCAGGCTCATTTTCGTCGCCAATGTCCCTCCCCATTCCGTTGGGGTTAACCATGGGACCAATTAACGACGGTTGGGCATTGTTTGCAGTTGTGTCATAGGCGGGATCCACTGGAGGATAGCTACCGGGTTGTAGATAGCTGGTATGCTTTCGGTAACCGTTGGGCGATGGGTTACCGTAGACCGGGGGCTTTCCTATTTCTGAAGGCAGTTGCAAGGCTTTATCACTGATAAGGAAATTTTAGAGGATCATTATTTCGATTTACGTGAGCGCGACATCACTTACGCAAGAGTACCAATAAATGTCTCGCTTAAGCCACGTGTTTCGAGACGATACGGGATTATGGCAGCTGAACACAGTTCGGCCGCAAACAGTGCTCCTACTAGAGCAATAGCTTTTGTAATATACATTACTTATGGCGTAAAAACAGGAAAACTGCATCGGCTGGGCCATTGTACTTTATATACAAGCAAGGCACACGCAGAGATCAGAAAATGATTAAGTGGAATGAAGAATAGGTAGGAGAAGAAGATCAAGCCATGCATAGCTCTTACCCTGGATATCCAGGGGTAAGAGACGTACTTGTTGAAACTTTGGCTCTATCGCAGGGGACAGAGGGACAAGTACAGAATCCATTGTTCTTTCTTTTTTGATACTGTCAACATTCCATAAAACTTGCATTCCAAAAGAAAGTTGATGATAAATGACTGGCTTTTCATAATTAAAAAGAACATGATGGCCAATTTGCAGGAGCCAAGGGGATCCATTCAGTAACTCACCGTTTGAACTCTGACGATATTTTCGATCAACATGCGCATATCATCCAGCCTAATTTAAAGCTGTTGAAGACACATTCTATAAAAATATCAGCTTACGTTAGGAGTCTGTGCGATGACGCGTAGTACTACTGATTCCCTCCACGTTAGCGTGTTATTTAAAAAAGATCTTCCATAACGTAATAAGCGATAGTCTTGAAGTTCCACCTAGATTTCATTTCACATCGTTGTCTCGTCTTGACGATCTGGCTAAATATCGAAATAGCCATCTGACCAACTATAATCATGTAATGAAACACTATTACCCAAGTACCTCGAGTGACGATCTTGGCCTTTTTTATTCATGCCATCTTTGGTATAGCAATTATAGCCAGCACCATCAGGGTATGATTGATGACCTTCACTGCTTGGGGTCCTTTTTCACAAGTCACGTCGCTCATTTATTTCCTTAGAGAGAAAAGCGACCTCTCAAGCCGTTGTCGCATTTCTTTTTAGGAGCGTGGGAGTTATGGCATAGTTATGTTCAGATGCAAACGTCTGAGGATTTGTGTCTTCAAGGCCTTCATCACAAAAAAAAAAAATTCCACCGACATAGTATAATCATATGATGAACGAGTATAAACGAAAAACATACATTCTTCCCCCGACAGTAATCGCTCTTCTGATGATAGTACTGACCCTAACCGTAAAAACATACCAACGGTACTCGTATTCTTCATTTGACTTCTTCAGCGTCACTAAGAAGAAAAATGGGGCGAAGCGAGTTGACGACTCTAGCAGGTGATTAGTACAGACCGCAGTTTGGGCAACTGCCAATAAACTTTTTGCATCTTCAATTTGGATAATGTGCCCATAAAGCTACTAAAGGGACAAAAGTAAGTTTTTCAACAAATGCTATAAAATTATAGTGCTGCCAATAGGGGATATGTGGGATAAAACTAACACCACTAGACGTTGTCTTTGGTAGGATGACAACTTTCGCAAGCAACGATTGGCTCCCATAATTTCATAGACAGCTATATTATGTAACACCAATTGAAGATGACGGCTTTTCTTACTGATAAGATGCTTACTCATTTGGTGCTGGCGTCAAGAGCACTAAAAACAAAAGAACTTTCCCACCCCACATTCGGAGCTTCAATTGACATAGTTTCGTGTCTATAAAAACGGTCTATGACAAGAAACCTGTCTCAGATTGTCTTTTTTACTTTTGTCTTCTTCTCCTGAAAACTAGACAGAATTTTACAACAATGCTTTACATCAACGGTACTATTATCACAATGAACGCCAAGCGCGAAATTATTCGCGATGGTGCCATTTTGGTTCAGGGCAACCGCTTCGTCAAGGTTGGCAAGACAAAGGCTCTCCGAGAAGAGTACCCTGAGGAATCTACTTACGACTTAGAGAACCGTGCTGTTATCCCTGGTCTCATTGACACTCATGTCCATCTTGCTCAAGCCCTTCTCCGTGGTTCCGGTGATGATGTGGAGCTTATCCAATGGCTTTGCGAAACCGTTTGGGTCTTGCAGGGTCAAATGACCCACGAGGAATCCTACGCCAGTGCTCGCCTCTGCATTGCTGAGATGCTCAAGTCCGGCACCACCTGTTTCTTGGAAGCCATGTTGGCTGATCGTTATGGTTTCGATGGTATTGCTAAGGCCGTCACTGAATCCGGTATTCGTGGCTGCATCGGCAAAATCGTCATGGACGTCGGCAAGTATGCCTCCCAGTCTGCATGGTCTATGCACCCCGGTCTTGTCGAAACTCGCGAACAGAGTTTGCTTGGTGCCTTGGACATGCACAAAAAATGGCACGGAAAGGCCAACGATCGCCTTCGTAAGTATCCTGTCTGGTCTGCCATACACTGGATTTCGACGGAAATCTTTTGGAGACTCCTGTCTAATTTTTTATCTGTATAGATGTTTGGTTCGGTGCCCGCACTCCCCCAGGTGTCAGCGTGGAGCTGTTGAAGGAAATGACCCAATTCTCTCGCGAGCGCAATATTCGTATCACTATGCACTGCGCTGAAGTGAAGGCTGACCAGGACCACTACCGTCAAAACCACGACATGACTCCCAGTGAGTTCTGTGACCATGTCGGACTCTTGGGTGATCAAACTGTGCTTGTGCACATGGTCTGGCTGGATGACCGAGACTTTAAGCTCTTGGCAAAGACCGGCACTCACGTTTCTCACTGTCCTGCATCCAACTCCAAGCTTGCTTCCGGTGTGTCCCCCGTTCCTGCTATGCTCGATGCCGGTGTCAATGTTAGTCTGGGCTGTGACGGCGGTCCATCCAACAACTGCTATGGTATGTTAGGAAATTACCTCGTTTGTATGCTTTCAATGCTGACATGCCCTTCTGCTTCTAGACTTGATCCAGGAGATGAAGCTGGCTGCTCTGATCCACAAGGCGGTTTCCTGCGATCCTGTGACCATGTCTGCTGAAACTGTTCTCGAGATGGCCACCATCAATGGTGCCCGCGCTGTTGGTCTTGAGAAGGAAATTGGTTCCATTGAGGAGGGCAAGAAGGCTGATTTCGTGGTCCTTGATTTCGAAAGCGGTCTTGGCACGACTCCTAATCCTAACCCTGTTTCGACTCTGGTCTATGCTGCCACTGGTGGTAGTGTGTACACTGTTGTTATCGACGGTGAACTTGTAGTCGAAAAGCGCAAGTTGCTCACCATGGATGAAGAGGAGATTTTGCGCGAAGCTCGCAAGAATGCCGATACCTTGTATGCCCGTGCCGGTGTGAAGGGTCAACCCAAGTGGCCCGTTGTCTAAATTATCATTCTTGATAATTTACTGTGGTTGCAGTAACCCACAGTCCAAAAAACTGAGTGAGTACATATCTTTTTTTTTTCTTTTTCTAAAGGTGGTTTCAGGTAACCCACCGTGTAAAAAAACGGGCCATTTCGTTATTATTATTTTTTGGTGGTAGCAGGAACCCACTATAAAAAAACTGTAAGTATAAAATTTCGATTCTGTGATGGATTCAATAAAGGTTTATCATTTTTATCCGAGCAAAAATGTAATATGGAAAGCCTCTTTGTGGACTGGATAGAGTGAATACAGGGAAAGTATCGGTAAAAGTTGGTTATATGAAGAGCAAAGGCATATCGCAGATGCATGGATGCAGGGAATATTCAGATGTTCGACTATTGCGCGTCTCTGTAGGTTGCCCTAGGGTTCGAAGATGTGAACGTTTGAAAGGAATCACAACATCGTATTAGGGAAGCCTGAGCAGCTGCTTCACCGCTAGATTTAACATATTACTAGCGGAAATGATGGGCCCAGGCAGAAAGCGAATAGAAAGCATAGCAGTTTTGTTTTTCAATATTTCAGTCAGTCAGCCTCCGTTTGCCTAAATTCCAGGAAGTTGGGAAGGCAAGAAGGATTAAAAAATCTCACCTTGGTATGATGATGGCAAGTTCTTCTGAACGCTGAAGCAGTTTTCTCAGTAATAGCAGGAATATAACTTTTCGAATTATTTCCCAGGGACACGGCATTAGGTACCGAAGCTTAGCAATATCATTGGTGTCACCATCAGACTCTCGTGACTTATCTATGTTCTGTTATCTTACTTGTGCAGTAATGATAGTCTGCTATCGTAACGAATAGGGCAACGAAAAAGGTGGATGGAGAAAATAATTCTGGCGTATAATTTAGAGCCTTAGTTGGGAATAATGCTTCGATGAACCGCACCGAAAGCTTCCTTGACTGAAACATAAAAAGCGGTTCATCCAAATGTGCTTCCGGGGTTGAGGCTCTCATCGAGAGTGCACTCATAAGCAGGCAACGTTGAACAAGCCTTTGTCAACAATTCCAAGCTGACAGACGTCTTCTTGCTAAAATATCAGCTGGTTGAGCTACGGTGGCGAGCTCTGTTACGGTCTATCGTCTTCATCGCAAGGGTCCAACAGCTCCCCGCCTATTACATTCCTTTAATCTTGTTCATTAAATTCATTTCCCAAGGCCCTATGGCGAGAAATAGTCCGCAGTGGGCATGCCCTCGCTCATCCTTGAAGAATAAAGGAAAAGCTTTCGCTCCACTTTACTCTATTTTACATGCTTTTCAATCGCAAGGAACTTTTTCGTTCATCTTCTGTCATATAGTCAGCCAGCTCATTGGAACTTGGCCTTCTACACGTCCTAACACTTTTTCTGTCACCCGGTCGAGCCACTAACCTTCCACATTGACTCATCATCATTCGATGATGTTGTCCAGTCCGTCAAATGTATAATATATATTTATTTCTTTTGGTTTGAACTAGTTATGTCAGATTGGTGTACACATATTCCTGGATCGGAATACGTAGGCCACGAGTGAAGCGGTCCAAAGCTTCCGCTTCCGAGACATCACCAGCGATCGCTCTCAAATCCTGGAACTCTTCGGCATAACGTTGCACGGAACAAGTATGTCGTAGTTTGTGCAACTTTCCACGGACTTGTCGATACACACCAGTTGGGACAAAGTAATGTCGAATGGCATCGCATAAGTCTTCCCAGTTATCGATCGTATCGTCACCACTAGTCTCCTTGTGACGTCGCCACCACATCTTCGCCTTGTCTTCGAGGAACATAACAGCAAAGTTGAACTGCTGTTCCTCCGGCATTTTCGTAAAGGAGAAATATTGGTCGACATCATCGATCCAGTTTTCCACAACGACGGGGTCCTTGACACCTCGGAACTTCGCAGGCAGAGGAACCTTGACTTCTGCACCTTGGGTCTGCTTTCCGGCGTTCTCTTCCTTCTTCTTCTCGCGTTCCAGAAGGTAAGCCAAAGCTTCGGTGAGAGTCTTCGTTTGTGCGTCCATAGTTCCGGTTTTGTCGTAATAGTAATTGGGCACAGGTCGGGTTTCTTTTCAGCCGCTACCAGTTGTCAGATTTGAGTACTCCTTTAGAGTTCAGTTTAAATCTGTAGTTGATTGTTGTTTTTATTTCTACCATAACATGGTCATATTTATATTTTCTACCAAGCTACAATCTTAAGGAAGGTTCTCGCCAACTCCCTGCATATTTTCTATTATTCCGAAACATAACGAACCAAGAGGTATGAGGGACCACTTTAATGCTGAGCGGATTCGGCCTATATTTCTTCCGTTTTCCAGGCAATACCTTTGGTATGCCTCGTTCATCACATTGGTCCTTCATACCTTTCGAATGTTCCTCCAGACATCGATCTACGGACGAGCCAATGCGCTGTCTTCCGTATTTGCTAAACTTTGGTATAGCAAATCTACTCGGCGCAAAAGAAGAACCGGCGTAACTGACAGTTATCTAGTTTTAAGCCATTTTTAGCTTTCACTTCTTTCAGAGAGTACAAATTTTATACGGCGTTAATATGAGCGATCATGGACGCCTGCGTGTGCATCTACAAAGAAATAGCTTTTTATTTATTTTCTGACCTACCACATCTACATTTTCCTCCTGAGCCCCAGTTCTCAGTTTAATCAAAAATTTTAAAAAATGTATGCCAAATAATGAGGTAAAAAGGAAAAATGCCGAATGAAGCCAACAAAAATAAAAGAAAAAAAGAACTCTCGGACGGGGAATTGAACCCCGGTCTCCCGCGTGACAGGCGGGGATACTCACCACTATACTATCCGAGACTTGTTTTTTATCAATCAGTAGAACTATGACAGCTAGTTATATATCACGTGACTTTGTTGTGTTCTAGCCAATGAAATGCATAGATTTGGAAATTTCGTATTATCACATTCCTCAAGTGGAAACTGTGCGTAAATATCATTTTTCCCAATATGCTCGGATAAGTATGGCATGAGAGTGAGTTGAAACTCCATATCTTAATGACAATACATTATCTCCTCTAGAGGAGTTATGAAGCGACTTTTTTATTGCACGATTGCAAACATCTCTTTATTATTATCTTTTGTTTTTTTGTAATATAAATGATTTACTGTCCCTTATTGAGAATGAGCATAGGAGTATCTTACTGATCGGCATAAAGATACATAAGCCTACTGAATGAAAAGAGCCATCAAGTAATTGCTTGTTTGCAACGCTGATCATATATTGGCCACTCAAATTCACAAAGTAAAGACGACACGCAAATGCGTGATACGCCTACTTGCTCGTAATTTCCATCTTCGGAAGCTCTGTCAACCATATCTTGGTGCAGGTTTATTTACTACCCGTGACATAAACCCGCCTCTATGATAAGCTATTAAAATCTGTTACGACGATGGCTTCGACGGTGGGTTTTCATCATCCAATATTTTACAGTGACGCGGCTGCCCCTGAAGGTTCTCACCATGGATATTATGGCGGTTTGTAACCCATTATCCATTCTCGTATTCCACCTCATATTTCATGCCCTATTGTTGCAACATATTTCCACTGTTCGTCAAATGAGTGTAATCTTCGCGTTTTGCAACTTCCCTTCCCCCAAACAATAATTATCACGTAGTGATGCTTTCGTTAAATATTGAAGTCAAATTGTAGGCCGTACCACGGGTTTAGAAATCAGAGTTTTTAGTAAATGATCGAATGATCAAGCAGCCGAGTTCGCGAGTTCATGTAGGTTGTGCATCCAATTCTCCCCGCAGGCAATGTAAGTGAGGTATGGTCCAATCTGGGTGTCGAGAGACTCCAGTATGATCGTTTCTTTCTACTTTTTAGGTTCGATACAAGCAGATTCTCCTCTTATAGCTTTCGTGCAATTCTATCTGGCATTTATATCTGAACCTGTCATTTGCTCCGGGAACATTCCCCATCAGCCTTCCTTCAGTCGAAAGAAACTGAGAAGCTTCAGCGATTGCAGGATCTAATGTCTCAGACCCCCATGTTAACAGGAATGAAGGGAAGGTGGATGCTATCCATTAGGCAACAGAGATGCCTTTGAAGAACGACCGTTTGCCGTAGGGGTTATAAGCTGAGTGGTGTTGGACTAAACAATAAAGACATTAACGAAGAAACTCGGATATAGTTTTGGTACACTTGCTGGCAACAGCTACACAGACGGTCAGAAATTGTATAAACGAAGACCTCCATTGGATGCATACATACAAGAAGCATTTTTGTGTTTCGACTTGGTCACCTTCGAACTGCGTTCGTCTACCTTTCTTGACCCATTGGTTTTATTTCCTATCCTCCGACCTGACTAGTTTGGCATGTTACTACAAATCAATGCCACCTATTTCTTATAAAATATTCAAACAGGGTATTGCCTTGGGTGGGTTTTTCTCGACAATGTTAACATGGCTCGAAAGTCATCCAAAACTAGGTTTCTCTTCCGCATGCAGTATCATTCTGCAAGACTATGAAAGAATGAAATCGTTGAACAAAGAAGTATTTTCCTATTACTGAGTTTTTGATTGTCATGTTTCGGAGCGAAAGATAAAAACCAAGGAAAATGAGTGGCGCGTTTCGATGGTTGGAAGACGAGGTGTCAGTTAGTCGTTTTTTGATCGGCGACTGCATGACATACACATTGATTTTTTTCTCTGACAGTCGGAGAATGAATCGCGCGCCTTTTTTTTTTGTGACGTTCCAAGCAAACTGGGAAAAAAACTCAACGGATCCGATTCTTTTCCCACGGTAAATTTGTCTGTTCTTCTTTTTCAACCATTGGCAGGTTTCCCCACAGGTCTTTCTTTGACTTCTTCCTCTTTCTCCTCTTTTGCCCTTTTGTCGTTGCGCTCGTTTTCTCCTCTTTTAATGCTTTCTAAGTCCATCCAGCAAACCTGTCGATTAGCTCCTCTTTTGACCAAGGTACTTGAAAAACTTATTCAACATATAACGCAGTACTACGATAGCTGAACAGTTGGGTGTAGTGCAGAGGTTATGCAACAGGAGCGCCATCACTGAGCGGCATCCAACAAGGTGTAGCGCACTCTAAGCTACTGAAGCGCGCACCGGAAGACGCATTAAGGTCCCCAGAATTGGCTCACTTGAGCGCTACGCACAGTAAGTCTCTCTCTCGATGACCTGTTTTCTTGGCTTGTTAATTCCATTTACTAACGCCGTGTTAAGGTGAGACGAAAAAAATGAATCTTTTTCAAGCAGTAAATGATGCAATGTCCATCGCTTTGACAACCGACGATACAGCTGGTAGGCCAAACCAACGCATATCAAAAAATGATGACAGGAAAACTGAAATTATCGCCTACAGTGGTCTTTGGCGAGGACGTATCGTTTGGTGGTGTTTTCCGCGCAACATCAGGCTTGGCCGAACAATTCGGTAAAGATCGAGTCTTCAACACACCATTGACAGAACAAGGTATTGCCGGTTTCGCCATTGGTATGGCATCCGTTGGACATACTGCCATTGCCGAAATCCAATTTGCAGATTACATTTACCCCGCCTTCGATCAGGTAAGCTTGTCCATCTTTTTCACATCTGAAGAACTTTCTTCTCATCAGCTATATTTTACTTGAATATTAGCTTGTCAATGAAGCTGCCAAATTCAGATACAGATCAGGCAATCTGTTCAACGTTGGAGGAATGACAATTCGTGCTCCATGTTCGGCTGTCGGGCACGGTGGTCATTATCACTCTCAAAGTCCCGAAGGTTTCTTTGCTCATGTTCCCGGTTTGAAGGTAAGAAAAAAACCCATCCTCACCAAAAAATGGGAATTTTCTCACGGCCTTTGGTTACACCAGGTTGTCACTCCTCGAAGTCCGATTCAGGCGAAAGGTTTATTGTTGGCTTCTATCCGTGACCGCAATCCCGTCGTGTTCTTTGAACCCAAATGCTTATACCGAGCTGCCGGTAAGCTCTTTCTTTTTTTTTTTTATCAGCGAAAGTAGAGTCACACTCACTAACCGACTACTTATGTGATTTATTTTAGTTGAGGAGGTACCTGTTGGAGATTTCGAACTTCCATTGGGTAAAGCCGAAATTTTGAAGAAAGGCACCGACGTTACTGTCCTTGGTTACGGAGCTCAGATTTACACTCTTGAAAACGCCATCCAGCTCGCAGAAAGAGAAATGCCTGGTTTGAGCTGCGAACTTATCGATCTGCGATCGATTTTGCCCTGGGACATTGAAACAGTGGTCGAATCAGTGAAGAAGACAGGGAGACTTGTCATTGCACACGAAGCACCTAAGACAGCTGGTGTTGGAGCTGAAATTGCTTCGACCGTCATGGAGCATTGTTTCTTAAACTTGGAAGCACCTATTCAGCGTGTGTGCGGCTGGGATACACCCTTCCCATTAGCCTTTGAGAAGTTCTACATGCCTTCCATGATCCGATGTTTCGATGCTATTAAAAACGCTGTAAATTATTAAACTTAAAAAGAAAAAAAAATTCAATAGAATTATACCGCCATGATTCGAACTCAACCATTTCAATATCTGGCTTCAATGTAGACGATCATGAATCATAAAACGAAAAAAGAAAAGAATGGCCCCTTCTACAACTTTGGATATTTTATTTGGCAAATTTGCAATGAATAGCTATTTTGAAATTCCGGTACTTTTGACTGCTTATTTGTTCCACAGCTCGGATGCCACTTTGTGAGATTTTTGTGCGCCAGCATTTTTGTCATTTCATTTTCGCGGATTGTCTCCAGTTGTTGTTCTCTTCATTATGTTTCATCCTTCTCGAGGAGGTAAATTTTTGACTTTTTGCTCACGTAGTAAGATCGTTATTAACTCTTACTGAAATTAGGTGTGCGAGGTGGCGCTGATCAGGTTGGTTAGCCGTTGATGTTCAAATTTGTCGTATGATGCGCGATACTCATGGAACGATGCTAAATTGTTGTTTAACAGTTCAGCTGGGAAGATGTCAAAGAAGATAAATACAGAGAAAACTACCTCGGCCATTCGTTGATGGCTCCCGTGGGTCGATGGCAAAAAGGTTAGACAAAACGTCATGGCTTGGAAATTCTGGTGGGGTTGTTGCTGATCTTTTGTATAGGCAAGGATTTGACTTGGTACGCCAAAAATAAAACTGATGATACAAGGACAAAGGCCCAAGCGGAGGAATTAGCCAGAATAAAAGAAGCCGAAGCTGAAGCGATGGCTATTGCGCTGTAAGTCATGCACTCATGGGATCATAAATTCGCTTGGAACTTATCATTGTGGGCTGTAGCGGGGTGAAGAAGAAAAAGACGATCGAAAGCAATGTAACGCAGGAAGAACTTCGCCATGCATTGAAGAAAAATGACTCGGACGATGAACAGGGAGACAATGCAATTAACGATGAGAAAGGTTTAGGCTATGGAAGGTACTTGCGCATGCGACAAAAAATAGTAATTTTTGAGAATGGCTTGGCTGATATTCGTCAATTGGATATGCTTAGAACATCGAACCGAATAATACCACCGGGCGGTCATGCTGTAGAAGTGATGAACGCTTCCAACAATGTTTCAAATGGTGACCTTGTCCCATCCACCTCTGTTACCACAACCGACGAAACACGTTCCGCCATTGTAGAATCGATTACTGTTGCGAAACGCAACGAGGAGAGCAGCAAGAGCAAGAAGAAGAAGAAATCGAGCAAACACAAGCACAAAGGAGAGAAAAAACGACATCGCCATCACAGACATCGTCATTACAGTGACAGCGACGGCGATGAGAGCGACAAGGAAGACAGTCGAAGCCGTCGTCACCGCCGTCGAAGCCCATCCCTGGAACGACGTTCTACTTCCGATCGTCGCTCTCACAGGTCTCATGGTGGGGCATCACGTTCTCGCTCCCCAAGATCAGATCGTCATTCCAGATCCGCTCATCGGTCTTCCTCTTCTCGTTACCACCGACGTCGTTCTTCCAGCCGATCGCTCTCTCCAGACCGTGACAGATCTCCTCCATCTATCAGGAAACATCGCCATCGTAGTCCCGAAAGATCTTCTTCCGTTGCCAGGCAACGTCGCACCACTCACCGCTCGCCATCACCTCACGGACACAGAAATGCACGCAGTCGGTCACCACGGTATGGACGTGGTCGCGATCGATCACGTTCGCCAGTTCGCTCAAGTCAAAGACGAGATGAAAGCGATGTCGAACCCTCAAGAGATTCTCGTTCATCATTCTCCACTGCGCGTAATGCGAATGGGCCCTCTATAAAGAATCCTCCTCGTGAAAGATCTCTTTCTCCTTACAGCAAACGCGCAGCCATGTCCCAAAAGTAGTTGCATAAAAATCCCATCATCAGAATCGTGCTGAATTTTTGTCTGTCTTGTCGAATAAAAAATGTCTGTTCATTGAAAAGGAATATGTAACAATTTATAAAATTTATGCTTCGATCTTAAACTTGAAGAAATCAGGATCATAATGATGTACACGAACGTAACCATCTTCACCACCGCTTGAATAGCTAAAATAAAGAAAAAGGCTCAGTTTCTTTTCACATCGAAATAAAAATGTCTAGACATACCTCTTGCCATCGGGATGAACAGCGATTGTATTAATAGGACCGAAATGACCACGTACACGACCGACTTCTTCTTCCAAAATTTTGTGATAGAAACGGCTTTCGAATTTACCAGCTCTTGCTGAGGTGGTTGTAACACTCATTGCATCTTGACCACCACCGAGAATGACGAATTCTTGGAATTTGGGGGTAATTGCTGCCGAGTTGAGAGGTGTATCAGCTGTGTATTTCTTCATAGGTTTCAAAGTATCGGATTCAAAGATTTGAGCTGATTTGTCCTTGGAGCTAGTGATGAAGTAGGTTCGGTCGGGACTGAATTGCATGTCGGTAAGTTCAGATTCGTGAGGTTTGATGGTGTTAATCTTCTCCTTCGCTTTCCAATCCCACTGGCAAATGGTGCCATCTTCGTGACCGCTGATAATGTATTTGTTGATGGGACCCCAACCAGCCACCACGGCCTTCTTTCCGTCGTTGACGATGACAGCAATAGGTTCGTCCGATTGTTGAGCCTTCACATCAGGATTGACAGCCAACACGGTCACACTACCAGAGTAACCCATACGTTCTTCGGTCACACACAGCGCCATGGTATCATCTTCGCTGAATTCCACTCGCTTCACTGCTGTCTTGAATTCCCATGTCTTCAAGCATCGACCGGTTTGAACTTCCCATAATTTAGCAGTGTTATCAGCAGCACCGGTAATGATCATGGTCGAAGTAGCTATATACAATATAAATACACATAATACAGCCGTTTTCCAAATCAATCATCACTTACAGTTGACATCGACAGTCCACACACTGCCCTGATGGCCGTTGTAGGTACCGAGACGCTCGCCATTGTGGGAATACCACACATTGATGACTTTATCCTTTGAGACGGAGAAAAGCAAATCGCCTTCCCGATTGTACTTGATTTGCGTCAATGAACGCGTGTGGCCTTGCAAAAGGATGGGTCTCATACTAAAGGTGGCTTTCGATCAAGAGAAAAAAAAAAGCTTCAACTTTCCCAAACACTTTTTTTTTTTGCCAAAATCGAAACTGCGACGTCACTGTGTGACGTCACTAAATCGGTCCGGCACGTTTATTGGCGTGCCATCACGACGTTGAAAAAGACGGTTGGATTGGATCCCTGCTTTTCACGATCGATCACATAGTTCGACGTTGGTTGCGAGGTGCTTTTCAGTGGTTAAAAATTATGTTTATGAAAAAGAAGTAAAGTTTAGCCCATTGTTCGTGCATAAATGCTTCTTATTTTTGAACTGTCTAGGCGGAATACGTACAGCTGCAGGAGATATCTATTTTTTTTTTTCTGCCCAGGAAGCCCCACTATCTGTAGCATTGGACGACGCTGTACTCATATTCTTTGCCGGGAGACTGACATCAAGAAGCAGCAATGGCGGGAAGGTCCATATATTGAAGCACCTGATAATTATTTGAGGGCAGAAAAATCAATTTATGACAAAAATGTGATCAAATCTTCTAACGATACTTTATAACTACAAGAGTACAGCCGACAAGGGTCATGACGGCACAGATGGCAAACATGAAAGAGGTAGTTAGAGAGCCCACCTAAGAGTAAAGTGGCGCATTTTCGTCAAAATCATCTCCTTGTATACTAAGGAAAAAAAGGCAAATAAAAGCTTACCTGCCACAAGATGATGCCCACTCCGAGATTCATGGGAATTCTCAGCAAAGTCATGATAGACGCTCGCGTTTCTTCTGGTATAGCCTCGGCTTTCAAGGACGAAATAGATGGGTAGTACATGCCGGTGGTGAATTCAAAAATGTGATAGGCAAGGAGTAATAAAGGCAGCTATTTCCAATATATTTAGTTTGAAATCCCGCTCTGAGAAGGCGACGCCGTTTGATACAAATATATTCCCTTACCGATGTCGCTCCATAGATAGCCATGATCCAAAACGACGTACTGGCCAGACCTAACGCCAGCATTAGCAGCCTGTTCGTCTTGATCTGCTGTCCAAATTTAGAGGTGAAGGAGGTCGCTTGACGTTCCAAAGCCTGGAAGGCCAATGATCCAAGCATAACAGCCAGCATTAAAGTCGCAAATAGGTAACCAAAGGGTACTTCTTTCGGACCATTTTCGTCTTGTACTACCATGCCGATCGCGTTAGGTTTCTTCTTCCCTATCCGTTTCAAAATTCTTTTCACAAACTTACAGTACGATTCGGCATTTGCTTCTACTGCCGGAGTATACAATAATACAAAGACGTACATGGAGCATTCAAAGAAGGTTTGCGCCGCACCGAGTACGAGAATGTTACCGTCTTGATAGCCTTTTGGTTAGTCACTCGTTTCGCCTCCTGAGATTTGATGAGCGAAACAAATACCTGTAAATAAAGTAATACATCCTTCCTTGAGCGTGGTAAGCATGTTTGGCTGATCCTATGTACAGTATTAGAATGGGGTGCCTGAAGTTTTGGTCCCCATCATACACGCACGATCTTTACCCTTTGCTGTGTTTCGCCATAGTTTTCGCTCCATGTCGCCTGTACCGTCACAGCTGCAAAGGCCAGCAGCAGCATCGCTGCCATATACGGAGCACGTAGACTCCAGATATCGACCAAAGCGTTGGCAACAATACCGGCGCAGATCGCCACCAAACCATTCAAAAATGTAGCCGTAGCAAAAGTGCGTGCACGCCAGTCGGCAGGAAATCCTCTTGATGTATGTTCCGAAACATACCATGCTTCAAACACACTGTATAATAGAGCCGTGGACATACCCGACATGATGTGGGATAGAAACAGGCATATGTACATGTTGATCAGGCGCAAAACCAAAGACACTACGGTAGCCGCACAGAAGACCAGACACACACGACGTCGGCCGACACTGTCGGCCATGCTGCCTACGGCCGTTCCAGCAAATGCGCCACTCACGAATCCGGTGAGAAACAACACAGCAATCTCGGGCAATGCTAGACCATACGACTGATAGAGTTTATAAAGATAAGGACCTTGGATCCAGTCGGCGCCTAGCAATGGACGATGCTTAGTTGGAACGGTTGCCTTGGCAATGACTAGCCCATCCTACCCATGACAGCCAAGTACACTGTAAGGTATACTCGCTGGAAAGCCTTGAATCGTATGGACACTTGGTGTCCTGAGTCATATTCCAAGATGGGAGATTCGTCTGCCATGGTCTTCGAGAAAAGCACGACAGGCTAGCGCCAGGGCTAGACTGATTATTATGCAGGTGCTTTCCTTCTTTCGGCAAAGGAAATTCAGAGCCTATTTCCAGACTTGGGGTTGATACTCCGACTGTCATTGTTCAGTGGTTGGGAATTTCTCAAAAAGCCACACGTTTTCTCTGTCAAAAAGTGCGGCTTTCTGAATTTTTTCGATTCGCGATGAGCAAAGTCGATAGTGACAGTGATGTGTCTTTGCTTGACAACAAGGAAATGAGCGAAGCATTGGATATCGATAAATGGGCTCCTCAACTGGGATATGCCGAAGATCCAGAAACACCTTTAACAGCTGATACTTTTCCCAGTAAATCGGGAGGCAAACCTGTAAGCAGTCCATATCAAGATCTAGCCCGTGAAGTCGTATCGTTAATCTGTTAAACAGGCATGGATGAATCCAGAACACGTGTTGAATGTCGATCGGGCGACCTGCGGCAACTGCGACGAACCACTTATTTTATTGTTACAAGTATGTGTTTGAAAGACTGTTTTGGTCTTTTTTTCTGTCATGGGGAGAATTTGTATGCTAATCCCGATCGCAGTTGTACACTCCTGAAGATCATCCTGCGGAAGCATTTCATCGAACTGTATATGTCTTTTGCTGTAAAAATGGTGCATGCTTGAAGCAGGATTGGAGCAGGAGGTAAGAGAAAAAAGAATATCAGAGGATCATAAGGCTGATCCGCATGAAATTTGAGCTCTAAGCATACGTATGCTAAAATATTATCTATATTAGTCTCAAAGTCTTTCGAAGTCAGTTACCTCGGGAGAATCCATACTATGCTCCTCCAGAAGATGATGGCGCTATCGACAGTGAAGCCATGGATACCGATTTTGTCGCAAAAGAATTTGATCCGCCAGCCTTGTGTGTGATCTGCGGCTTAGCTGGCACCAAGAAATGCGGACGATGCCAGTCGACTTCTTATTGCTCCCGACAACATCAACTCGTCGATTGGAATTCATGTGGCCACAAAGAATATTGCACCAAATCATTGACTTTGGCGCAGAAACACAAGAGAGATCAGCTGCGCGCACTCCGGATATTCGAAGAGAAGGAAATCGTCAGCGAACCTGAAGGCAAAGGAGAGGATGGCAAGGAAGAGGAAGATCAACGGGCTTACAGTGAAGCGAACCAGTCTTCATCTCAGGCGGGTGCAGGTACGATCTTACGAATCATACTGCAATATATACAGACTTTGGATGGCTAATTTCTCTTTGTTAGCCGGTGCTCTTGTTCCTGCTGGTGAAGAAATTTATGAGGAATCGGAAGTTGATGTGGATGAAGCATTTTTAAAATTCCAACTGAGAATCCAGCTGTATCCGGATCAAGTGATCCGATATGACCGAGTTGAATACGATATGCCTGACCGGGATCCCCTGTGGGTGCAAGAAGGCAATCGGCCAACTGATATACCTTTATGCCCGCATTGTCAGGGTCCTCGCACGTTTGAATTCCAAATCTTGTCGACTTTGCTCAACTTCCTGGGTGTTTCACACATTGCATCGGATTCCTTAGATTGGGGTTCCTTATTTGTATATACTTGTAAACACAATTGCGCCTTATCGAGCGATACGTATGCCGAGGAATTCATCTGGAAGCAAGACTTTTCGGCTGATGGCATGAAGCTTGGACCCAAATAGAAAGTCATTTTTTGTGACTTGTCTAAATCACTCAGCTAACGGATGGTCGTCCCCCATTAGACATATTAGTGTATTTTAGAAGACTTTAGCATGGTAGATCAAACAATATAGGGAAGATATACAGTAATGTAAGACAACGATATTAACGGTTTCAATCAGCATGATCTTATGAGCTTGCCATTCTATTATCATCGATGCGGCGTTTCATTGTAGGAACCCTTGGCCCTTGCTTCAGTTTTTTTTTTTTGGCCAAACAGTGATTACCCCAGCATTACTGCCCTTGAAACTGCACTTCCTCAGGTTATACTGCAATTCATCAAATTTACTGCACTTCATTAAGTTTGTTTCCATCAAAAACTATGTAGGCGCATTGGATGCCTCAAAGTAGCTAATTTCACAGGGACGTTGTTATTTTTTTTTTTTTCATTGCGAATGTTACGACTATAAAACGAGTTCCAGTGCCACAAAGACCATAACATCATTGGATAATTTTTTTTTTCGTGTCATAGGCAGTACTTCCTATCTCATTGTTGCAGATGATTATACAAGAACGTTAAAACTCACTGTGACAGCTGGACAATTCGGGTAATTCTTAAATTAATGATCTGTGAACCGATAGGACAGGATAGAATGGGTATACCTTTTTTTTTTTATTTGATGATTAAATTCTTTCCATGAATGGACGCATTCATGATTTCCATCATATTTGCAATCAGAACAGCATATGATTACAAAACATATAATACTCAAACATCCGATGTTTGAGATGACCTTTCACCAGTATAATTGTGCTTTCACTGGTGACATAATCCATCATTTGAAACCTGCATTGATCATTCGAATGAAAATTAGACAAATTTCAATCCATTAATATTGATTGTCAAATGGTTCTATATTGTGAAAGCTGGAAACATGGCATATGAGAATCAACGTAAAAAAATAGCTTTGTAACTTTTATATATATTCTTTTGTTATGCCAAGCTTTGTGTGACGAGCAGCTGTCCTGAAGGAGGCATATGATCTATCAGCGTGCGATGACCCATTTTTAGAAAATGTGAAATCTGCGTTTAGGGATAAAGCTACATCAATGCTTACGGGGCAGAAAATGAGTTTCGTCTGGAGAATGTGATGCTTATCTCTTTTTTTTTTAGAGCGCACGAGCTTTTAACTTTTATGGGAGACCTCCACTTAGGTCAGGCGGTTACGGAAAATGGGCGGATAGACAGCGGATTGGTTCGTTTATTTCATCTTATCCGTATATGTGCAGTGCACAATTAATCTCACATGGCAAGTTCAGCACAAACATAATATTTCCGCCATGATCTTTCAAATTTCCCTTTTTTTGTTCTTTTAACGTTTAGCTATTTCTTCTAATTTTTTTTTATTTCTTTTTCTTCCCTTACTCTAAATGATGATGGAAGTAATGATGACCGCCAGTCTTCCGTTGTCCCAAAAGCAGCACGACGCTGATAAAGTAAACGCCAATCTCGCCCTCTCCTCCACCACCAAGTTAGCCCAATCTTCGAATCGCTCAGTTCTTTTGTATCATTCGCCGTCCCAACCACACGTCTATCGACCGTTACCCAGCATACTTGTTGGTAGGTTTTTGCTGCCCGTGCCCCGGAGTAGACAAACCAACGATTAACCATGGCAAAAAAGACTTTTTTGCTCTAACTTTATGCGATCTTCTTCCCACCCGAAGCGCGAGACCAAGAACAGCTCCTGAACTGCTTTATTTCATTCAGAAAATTACATCGCAGGCCCGAATTTCCTGCCACATTGCCGTTGCGGCCCTTATCTATATAGATCGATGTAAACAAAATCTGCCAAAGAACGCTATCGGTGATCAAGGTGTGTAGAGTCACTGTAAAAAATAAAAGAGGAAAAGGGAGGGGCATACTGATGGTTTTGTTGTAGACACCGCCCATCGGATCGCCGTCGCTTCTCTGCTGGTGGCTTCCAAGTTTTTGCATGGTACAAGTTGGGCAAGTTGCCAGCAAATGGATCAAGAAATTTTGTTGTGTGATATAGCCGACGAAGACCGAGCTTGCTGGTTGACCAACGCGCAGATGGCCAAGATTTGTGTTATCTATACGCTGGATCAAATCAATCAGCTTGAGCGATCATTTCTGAACCTCATCAAGCATAAATGCTGGGTCGATGCAGCGGAAATTCAGGCCTTTTTACTCAAGCATCGACAAGATCTCCTCCTTTGATATTCCCGTGTGATTTGATCGTACACTTTCCCCACATTGCCATCCCCCGATTTATTCATGTAACATATAGCTTATTACGGTTTTCATTTGTTCGTTATTTTCCATCTAGATTTTCCTTTGGCAGTTCTGTAAATACACTATGTCGCTAACCTTAAGTCATCCGTGTCATAAAATGATAATCCCCGCTAGCATGAGAGACTTGTTGCTGGTTGCATGATAGAAACAAAACGGTCAAAAAATACCATAGTTGGCCATTCATCAAGCTATCGTAATGAGCGGACTCTCAACCCTGGGAAAGAATCTAGTTTATGGATGGTACAAAAAATGGGAAACCCAATTAACACGCTGAATGGTCAATTTCAATCGTGAATCAAGCTATCTTACCTAAACATCGCTCTGACATAACATCATGGAATTCTAACCACAGAAATAAGAATGATATCTCTATTTAGTCATCTGTTATCGATCTTGTATGGTAAATAGGTACTAAAAGCTTCTTCGTGAGAGAATCGTAACTGTTGCTTATGTGACTCTTTTTGATTTTTCTTGCCATCACCACTTGCAGCCACAGCAAAAAAGCACAGGCTGTTCTCAGTGAGAGCCTTGGTTATTGCCAATAATCCGTGCAAATGTTGCTGCACCAAAAACAATCTCGTTAAATCGTAAATCGCTGCAGATACGCCTTCTATTTTATAATGCGCCTAAAAAGCCAAACTTTCCGTGTATGTTCCGTTGCGAACAATATGATTACAGGTGTCGCTACCACAGGGTGCTAATGTTTCGAACTGTCACCAGCCGTGACCGTTATATTTTATTGCAATCTAAAATTTGTAATATAAGATGAGAAGCGTAGTGCATAAATGTTTGTACCAAGTAACAAAGATATTTTGAATGGTTATTTTTTTCCAGAAATATGAAAACGCTGTGGCCAACATTCTGCAGTGAGGCATATGCGTTGTCCAATCATTGCAGCTTACCGATGCGTCGGGGCTGCCTCACTGATAACGTCTGCACATTGGAGATCCCGACCTTCCGAGGTCAGTTCGAAGGCAGCTGCCCGATTTAGGGTGTCGCAGATGGCAATAGGTATACCGTGTAAACTTGCAATCGCATTCAGGGGGATGTTTCGAGTCAATTTCTCGGTCAAAGTGTTCACATAAATCAAAGACCAATCATTGTGTGAGAAAAACCAAAAGTCGTGCATATATTAGTGTCTACGCGGCAACCAGTATCAGGGTTCTTGAAATGAAGCGAGGAATGCTACCTTGGCCAACAATCATTGTTCCTGATACACGGTCTAATGGGACCGTCAAAAAAGATCCGCGCAATAAGGGTCTCTTTGCTGTCGCTGTTGCCAATGGGAAGAATGATGAAGGAGCTGTTTGATAAACCAAAAAAGGAAACCGGTCTTTATCTGAAAAGGAAATTCAACATCGGCAATACCGACAAGAACGCCAGATCTTGGGGTTGTGAGTTATTTTGTGTATCGGCGGTTATGTATATCGTCTGAGCTTTCATACAATTGAGCTTTGACTCATATTTAGCCCGGGAGAATTTTTGTATAGCAACGTTGTTGACGATGAGTGGATGTGACAGTTATGGTTCTGTGCAGATAAGTAGGATCGACAGTGAATATGTAACAGCACAGTAACCGGTCAACATCAGAAATCACCAAATAAATACAAGTCCATAGCCGGTTAGCTTAGCGTATTTACCGATAAAATGTTGCTGTACACAAGCGTAGTTGAAACGATGTTTTCATTGAACTGCAGCGATATTCGTACCATAGGATGGTCTCATGCAAAGCAACAGCCAAAGGTGGGCTCGCGTGATGGTGAGGTAATCCCCAATCTTGATTGGGCGACGGGGTTGTATTTCGAGGATGGAAAAAAAACAAAAAAAAAAATGCCGTGTCGTCGTTCTTTTTTTGTTTCTTCACAGGTCCGACTTGTCTTTCTACATTTTTTTATTTTATTTAACGCTCTTGCCTTGCGCTTTCGACCGTGAAATATCATGTCGATTCGGAATCCTGTTACAGATGCAGGTTCAACTACTAAAGATATGACGGCTCACCTATGCGATTCACCTTCCGAGTCGTCTACGAGTGAGCCGCATGACGACACTACCCACATGCAGCAGAATAATTTTATCGACCAGTCGTTCTTTTATAAATTGGATCAGTTGGCACCCGATAATCCGCTGTTCTTCATGCAACAGCAACAACAACAACAACAACAGAACGAACAACACAAACACTTTGACCAATCGCAGTCCCATCACGCACCACAAGAAGAAGACGATGCCTCCCACTACGAGGATCAGCCCATGCACGATGCCGATACTGACGTTTTCATGGATTTCACTTCTCTTAACACAGAACCACCATCTTCACGGCTAACATTGCAACAGCAACAGCAACAACCGCCATCGACCACAGAAAACTCGTCGCTTGCACAAAGTCAACCACATTCAATAGCAGATTCACTTCAACAAGCCACGAGCAGTTCAGCCCCTGAGTCGAGCCAGACTTTTTGGTCAGGATTCAATAGCGTAAGTTAATTTTCTTTGGACATCTTAATCGGAATCGTCTCTCTTATGTATGCCTCTTTCTTTTGTGCTGCCAGTTCTTCTCCAATGTTGCACATAATCCGTTTCCGCAAGCGTTTCCTAATCTCGCGAAAAACTTTACCGAGTACCTCTCGACTTATCCTATTCCCAACGTCCCGCATAATCCTTTTCCACAGGCCATCCCAAACTTGGCAAAAAACTTTACCGAATACTTTAATTATCCTATGCAATTGACCAGCTCTCTGTAAGTGGATCCTTTTTTTTTTTGAACTGTAGCGCTTCTTGTATGCTAACCGCTACGCTGTGGTTCTAGAAACCCGCTCTTTACCCAATTCTCACAAGCGCAAAATGAGCAACACACACCCCTCTCTGAACTAGAATACGAATCGCCACCAGATGTACCTGGAGGTTTACCACATTCCATAAAAAACAAGGGGTAAGTAAACCCATTTTGTCGTCATGGTACAGCGAATCATAGCTGACAAACATTTTTTGGAACTGTCACAGTATGCAAATTCGAGTGCTGGGTGTGCCACAAACCGGTGCCAAGTCGCGTGTGGAAACGCAAATCAAGTTATGCATACAATTGGTGACGGATGACGGTGACAAAGCACAACGTTGGTCGCATCTCAAGTTACCAGAACAGATGGTAGCCAAGGACAAGTTAAAACGGCAAATCATGTTGACCAATTCAGCAAGCAACACAAAAGCTACGAATATGGTGGGCCTTGATAGCGCCAATATGCCGATTAAATCCGATAAGATGCTATTTCTCAGCGCACGTGTTATTTGTGCGAGCGATCCATCCCGGAAAGTCGTCACTTGCCTTGGTTGTATACAGCGTGAGGTAAGAAATGGGTATTCTTGGTGGTAAAGAAGGGTTGATCATGTAACTCATGTGGTATCTGTAACAGCGTAAACGATCTCAACGTCGAAAAGAAAATAAAGTCAAGATGGAAACAGACGACGATAGACGTTTAGCGGACGACGAAAAATCGTTGGCACAAGAGGAGCAGAAAGTGCTACTGTTCAATTGCTCTGACGTGGTGGATTTTAGCTCAGGCGACACTATTTTACCAACGCGTATCACATGTTATTGCCGACATCACAATGAGAAAGTGGGTTTTTGGTAAGTGTTCGGTGGTACATGCCTTAATATAGTCCTTTCGTGGCCTGAAATTCATATTCCTTTGTATCAGCATCTATTTTGAAATGCATGATCATACGGGCGACAAAATCGCCACGGGAATGTCACCGCCAATCATGATCACAGATGACCACAAATCAAGTAAAGTCAAAGCCAGCCGGAAACATTCCCACACCGAATATGAGAAACCAAACAAGCAGACAATTCTGTCAGCTGGGCAATTTGATTTCAGAGCTCCTGCATCAGTCCATTCCACCAACAGCCAGCTTCAAAGTAGTGGCCATACTCCGTCCTTTGCTACATCCTTCAAAGACCCTCGCTACCCAATCCCTTCTCGTCCTACTTCCTCTCATCCCGATATAACAGCACAACATACGACGAATGTGAAAGACACAACCACTGATACGAGTATGGTACCCTCCATGAATTTTCTCAGTAGTATAGCTTCCGGCACCACCCATTCTGGATCACCGCTAGCGAATGAACGTCCACAGTTGCAGCGTTTGATTCCCAACGAAGGACCGACTTATGGAGGACAAGAAGTAACGATTCTCGGCAATAACTTCCGACCTGGAATGACTTGTCTTTTTGGCGATGTGGAAGCATCCAGTACCCACTACTGGTCTCCGAATACGCTCGTATGTATCCTTCCTCCAGCAAGGGAACCAGGAACAGTCGTTGTGTCGTTCAAGGAGCATCCCATGGTGATGGACAGCCAGGAGGTGACGCTGTTTACATACTACAGTGAGAATGATCGAGCGTTGATGGAGCTTGCTTTACAAGTCGTCGGTCTCAAGATGACTGGAAAAGTAGAAGACGCAAGAGAGATTGCAATGCGTATAGTTCAAGGTGGCGGCCAAAACTCCAATAGCCCACCACCACCGCCACCAAGTGGGCAGACGAGAAGCCTAGATCCACAACCACAGCAAAGGCAGAATTGTTTAGAACGCCACATCAATCAGGCTTTCGAGGCTGTGGATCCCATGAATCTATTTGCCTTGTTGAAGGAAGGACTTTAAACGCTTCTGTTACTTTTTTTGTTTTTTTATTTACTCTACAGTATATTATTAACTTCATATCTCATTTTTTTATTCTTTTTGTATATTGAATCTTCATTGCATTTTTTCCACTAAAGTTTTGTAGATAAGAAATTCTTGTCATCCATTTCGAGCCTAACTAACAGCATCAATAGTATGCAATTAGTGAATTTTACACAACATTGGTTTGGGGTTATTTTAGCGGTGTAAAAATTGCCGTGTTGTAACAGCAGTTGGCGATCACTTTCGCAAGGGAATTGATCATACTCCAGCACACTTGTTCTTTTTCCACCGTGGATTCAATGCCGGACCATTTTTGTGCAACAGAAACACTTTGTTGTACAGTTCAAGCATCGTTTATGCAAAAATCCTTCAACTACTTATTGAACAATATCTTCTTGTTAAAAAATACGCTGATCGAAACCCAATTACCCTCTATGCGAAGCCACAGTAACGTTTTTGCACAGATTTTTGTTTCTTTTCTATGTGGAACTTTCCCTGAGTACGCAAAATATACTTCTACTGTAACTGCAGCTTGTTGCTCGTATGTATCCAAATTGCCCTTGCGAAAAAGAAAGAATGTGAAGGAATACTCATATACAACGATGACAGTTCTGTGGGGCCGTTGCCTTGATGGGTTGTGGGCATGCATTCAGTTCCAAGTGTTGTTGGCGCTTGGAATGAAAACGCAGTCTTGATGACGTCAGATTGAAGCGCACCACAATTTTTTTTTTTTGTGCGTCCAACCCAAAAGAAAAAAAAAAAAGAGAAAGTGACCCACCTTTCATTTTGTTTTCTTATCATGGATATGGAGTACGATAATTCGGCAGTTGTAAGTGGCACGATTCAAGCATTTGCTAAGAAAGAACAACTTGCTTAAACTGCTCTATATAGGGCCAAGTCTCTGATGATAGACAAGTTATGGCGGAAGAGCAAGTGAGAGAGGACCGTTTCTATGACGCGGACGGAGGACGACGATCCGCTTCACGTTCTCGAAGCCGCAGTCTATCTCCTAAACGTAGAACCATTTCTCGTTCTCGATCGCGTTCACGCTCCATCTCGCCTCGTCGTGGATCGAGCCGTGGCCATCGTTCTCGCCGTCGTTCGCCTTCTCGCTCGAGATCACGTAGCAGAGATCGTAGAAGAAGGTAAGATTTTGCTTTCATTTTCAGTGAATCCTGTTTTTGCACATTATTGCTTTTTTTTTTGTCGTGGTCATGGCAAAATTTTCACTGTGTTTTGGGATGCCTTTTTCTTTTGTTGGACTGCGCGTGAATGTTTGCTTATCGCATAGCTGGCGCTTTTTATTTTATTTTTTATTTCGTTCGTTTGACATATTCTATTTCAAGATGGGGGGCTTTGAAAAGTTACTATTGTGCTTTTTTACTTACCGACTGTTTCATTTTTAGTGTCACCCCACCTCGTCGCCGATATCGTTCCCGTTCGCCCAGAGGACGCGGTGGTGGTGGAAGCCGTGCTGGCGGAAGGTGAGTTGAATTGCATTTTTTTTTTTTTGGCAATGGATTCACGCATACTGAATGCATTCTGGCACGGTTTCTAGACGAGGCAAAGAATTCCATGGTACAAGAGATGCGCCCGAGAAGTCGCAGGTTCTTGGTGTCTTTGGTTTGAGCTTGAGAACGCGTGAATCGGATTTGGAAGAGGTTTTCAAACAGTATGGAAACCTGGAAAAGGTCACCATCGTTTATGATCATCGCGTAAGTCACAAATGCACGATTAGTTTTTGGAGGAACCGATGGTTTATTTTATGTGTCCATTTTACTTTTAGAGCAACCGTTCCAGAGGTTTTGGATTCATTAACTATAGCAACGTAGAGGAAGCTACTCGTGCTCGAGAAGCCACCGATGGTCTTGTGAGTGATTATTTCGTATGATATGGCATGTAGCAGTTCATTAATACCCTTTGCAGGAAATCGATGATCGTAACATTCGCGTGGATTATTCGGTGACTCACCGTCCGCATACGCCGACTCCTGGTGAGTACATGGGCGAGAGACGTCGTAATGACTATGGCCGTGACCGCGATCGTCGATATCGTCGCGGCGGCGGCAGCCGACGTAGCCGATCCCGTTCACCCGACAGACGTAGAAGATACTACAGATCAAGAAGCCGTAGCAGATCTTGGTCTCGTTGAAGAAGATTGAAAGATGAAAAGTAGTCCTTACCATTAAAAGTATGTGAGTCGGAAGCTTTCCCTAACCGATGGATTCTTTCTCCTCCCCTCCCTGGTTGCATAAGAAAACAAACGTGAAGATTGATTCAAAAAGGGTTGCAAGCATTTGGCAAGATCAGTTTGTATGCACTTTTGTATACTTTTTTTAACCAAGGCTATCCTTGAATGTTTATTCCTTCCTCGTGTCGAAGTCGTGTGAAGAAAGCAAGTGTGACTTTTTGCCAAATCTTAAAAGAAGAAAGTTCCGTGACCTATTGCAAATGGGAAAAAGACCCGTACCGGTCAACACTTTAAGCAATTGGGATCCCAATCAAGCAATGAAGCATCCAAGTGCCTGCAAAAAACGTACAGTAACCATTTTTCAAGTGGACGAGGTTTGCTGCTACAATGGTTCCTTTCGGTGCAAGCATTTCATAGTCTGCCATCAAAAAAGACGATACGAAGAAAAGAAAAAAAGAGTCAAGATTGTACACAAGTCGTCAAGAAAGAAAAAAGGATCAAGGTTACAAAGAAGTTTACCAGCAAAAGAAAAAAAAAAAGGAAAAACAAAAAAGGAAGCAACTTTTAAGGCAAATTGACAACCAGCTCAAGACTGAAAATTATCGACGGAAATCAATCAAATGAATACAAAATATCAAGGCTCGCTAGGTTACGATTCAAAGTTTTCTGTTCTATGCTGCTTTGGTAAAGGTAATGTTATAGTAATAGGGTATTTTGAAAGACGCTGTGCTTAGACATTTGTGGATGTTGCCATGATGGGGAATCATCTTGATTCTCGCAACATCATTTTGCTCTCTCGATAAACCCGCTCCACAGTGACCCAGAAAAACAAAAAAGGAAAAACTTGAGATCCTGGGTTGTTTCCTGGTAACTTTACGTGATTCTCGAATCCAGTAACACGTATCAACAACGGTCATCTTAAAACAAACCCGAAAAAAATAGATACAGGATCAATAAACCCAAAGCAATCATCTTTACAGTACCTTTTTAAATGAATGATTAAAGCCCATTAGTGGAAACCCCGAGTGTTCATTACGCGGATGAAGAGCGACCTGTGCCTACGAACCTAGTACTTTGTCATCTGGGCGGCCCTGTACGCCCAATGATTGCTGGCATTGCTCTGTATTTTCCCTACCCGTCCTAGCTGATGGCCGTTTTGCTGTTCAATGTGTTATGGTGTACAAGGGAGGCAAAAAATGTTTTGGACCCGCGCGATCAAGCTTTGTTCAGTCATTGGAATTTGGGACCGTCGGGAACGAGATTTTCAGTTTTATTCACTATTGCTGTCATCGCCTGTATCTGTTGGATACTTTCTGGCGGAATTCATGTGGCATGCAATGTATTTCGCCACTTTGCCAGCATTAGCCCGCTAAAGCGTAATCACAGTTCAAGCAGGGGAAATCAACAATATATTTCGTTTCCACATTGAGCGGACAGAGTGCGTTTATTAAAAAGACCACCGCTCAGCTCTATGGGAGACCCCTGATCGATGCAGTAGAAGGATCAAGGCGGTGATCGAGCCAAGGACGGTGCATCTCGGTGCGAAATCCAACTGGTGTAATATATTGTCCGCATAGGAACCACCCTGCAATTTTTTTATACAAACAGAGACCAATCTGTTTTCCAACAGTATAATAACGGATAATATTCTTTTGTTGTGCTTCTATCGAGTAGTCCATTGGGTGACCATTTGGCTACAGTATCTTACAGCAATAATTTTTGGTAACTACGCCATTGTCTAGAAACTAGCAAACCAAGTCACCTAATAAAAGAGAATCAGAATCTGAGTGATGCATCGATTGGATACGCGCATGCGACCATTTTCCGTTACGTGATTGGCTGCTTCCGCTGTCATACTGATCGTCTGTGCGAACCGAGGTCGGATCAGACATGGTAACGAATCCAGCCGCGTTTCACCGAACACGTTGTTTCTGGCACGGAACAAGTTTACAGTTGAATAAGTTGGATGATCCATATAATCGCTCTGATACGGTTTTCCTGATATTCTGTAACTTCCATATTGGGTTTCAGGTCGCTTTCTGCCTTTTAGATCGATTGACTGATCATCTTATTCTGAGATTAGTGATTTCTTGTTATAATGAGTGCTACAACGAGCTCTCATAACTTTTTCACCTAAACGATGATTCCGACCTCCTCCTTCTCCTCAACATCAGGCTCTTTATCCGCTTATACAATGACATCTTCTTCCTCCTCTCAAGCTTCTTTATTGCCATCTCCTTTGCCGACCTTGACCAATAGTAGTCGCTTGCCTTGCTCAAAATCAATGGTGTCAAGTCCATCGACTACCACGAGGCATTCTGAAGATATAGGTAACGGAGAGCAGTTGCACCGATCCATCTCGCTACCAGAACCTTATCAGCCACACGAGCACGACAAAAACACGCACCCGACAGGGATTCCAGGCGAAAAAGTGTTTTACGTTGGCAAAGTGTCTTATCAGGCCGGCGAAACAAGCATCCTTTTACCAAAGTCGAGACGCGGCTACTTTGTGCTTACCAGCCACTACCTGCTACGTTATAAATCGTTACAAAAAACTCGGATCAAAGAAGAGATACTTGATCTATTTGACGGCAATAGTGCGATTAATACAAACCACCGCGTACTGTCCTTGAAAGATATCTTTGCGATTCATTATATTTCAAGTACTGCCAACACATTTCGTATCGAGCATATGCACCAAGTCACCAAACAGCCCCAATGTCTCACCATCACAGCAGATACCTTGCACGATTGCCAGCGATGGGTCGATGAACTCCGTCACGCCGTACAACAAGTCCACCAAAGAATGAACTTTTGCAATGCCACGCTCAGTGATTCCGAGAGATATGCAGTGCTTAACCGCATGGCGAAACAAAATGATTCATTGGATAATCCCATGGTCCAAAAAGTTTTGATCAAGGAAAAGCGACCCAAGGCATCAAAGGATGGCACGACGAAATACTCTGAAGTCTACCTGGTGGTACTGTTTGCTATTGGCCGATTCAGCTTTTACCTACTTCCTATTGCTGGCCCGCCGAATGATGCTCATCTGAAAGTTGTCGGCCGAGATCGCTATGGGCTATTGGCGATTCAGAATTTCAGTTTTGAATCGGGCAAAGATGATACCGTAGAGCTAGTTGTACGACAAGTCAACCATCCATCTGACACTCGGAAAAGTTCAAGTCGATTCCTTCTAATATCGTCACTCTGTGAGACAGTGGTCATGTCCTTACGGCAGGCGATCGAGTCACTGATGCCCTTTGCTACGACGCTATCCTATACTATGCACCTACCAAAGCATCTTGAAAACACAAGACTACCACGGTTGCACATAACATTGGACGATCATCAAGAGGTTGAGCAACCATGCAACAAAGACAACCAGCAATTCAATGTCACGCTTCATTCCTATTGTGCAGCGCTCAATCTCAACAAAGCTCGCTTTGCCTATTCCATCACGGGTGATCGTGGATGTCAAACGTTTACGCTGTTGCCGCCAAATGAAATCAGAGACTCCCCACCCTACTATAGTCGTTATGAGCTACTAGCCATATGTCGGTCCCTTGTTTATAACGTAAGTGAGCGAACGGTGTATACTGCTTTTTCCCCAAGGTATGGATTACTAAGGGCTTTTCTTTTCATGTCGATCGCCGTAGCCAATATTTCAGCGGATATGCCTGGCGGATCATTCCTTGCAAGTGCTGGAAGAATGGAGCATCGATAAAGACGATGGATGGACTTGCTACCCGAATGGACCTACAGACTCCAATGTTCTCTGCAGCGAATTGCAAGCTATCATCTGGGATAATCTGTTATTACAAGAAATCGATTTGCGCGGTTGCAAGATTGGATACGGGAATTGCCCTTCCTCGTCTGTCACTGCCGTGACTATATTAGGAGAAGCATTACGTCTGGGTCGATCAGGTATCAATTGCATATGTCTAGCCAGCAATCGCATCAAGCCGGGTGAGTTTCAAGTATTGTTGGACGGGATAAAAGCAAGAGCGCGGTATATCAGAGACATCGATCTCCACCATTGCGGACTTGCGACCAAACAGATTGAGCTCTTACTGAAGATTGTCACAAGGAAAGCGCATCAGCTGAGAGTATTGGATGTTGCATGCGACGAACTTTATGAAGCACACCTGCCACAGGATTTGGTTGACGATCTCTTTTCGCAAGCTTTCCACCCGCATCTCCGTGTGCTACGCCTCCGTGGATACAGGATTCCACTTCACGCCAACACACTTTACGCTTCTCACCTAGGTGAACTGTGCCTCAGTAATAATCCTTTCGGTCAAACAGAAGTCGCACTGCTATGCCAGTGGATAAAGACCCCGTCTTTTAAATCAATTCAATGTTTACATCTCTCAAACTGCGGATTAAACGGAACTCACGTCAGCCAGTTATTCATCTGTATTAGCCAGTCGGGTCATCGGCAGCTGCATTTGAACCTCAGTGGAAATCCTTTGCTGAAAGATGTTGCGCATTCGCCAAAGCTGTTCTATGCCATCCTACAAAGCCAAGGTCCTTGCTCGTTATCGTTTGCCAATACAGAGTGGGAGGACGCTACAATACGTGAATTATTGGATTGTTTACGCGATAATTCCACATTGGCGCATCTCGACTTGACCAATATTCGCGTATCATGTCCCTCACTTTCAACCGATACAGGCCACATGCTCGGTTCGCTTTTTGAGCGAAACAGCACACTGGAATCTTTGAAGCTCAGTATAAAGGCGCATGGAAACTTGGGATCAACGGTGGCCGGAGCCTTGAAAAGTCTATGCCATAACACCACGTTACGACGCCTCGAATTGGATGGCCTGCATTTTGGCGATTCCGGTGCCGTTGCACTTGCAGATGCTTTACGCCACAATCAAACATTGCAAGCTCTCAGCATTGACGATAACAGGGTATGTGCACACTGGTGTAGTATTTGATCTGCGACTACATGTACTGAACCCCATGATGTGGGTTTTTGTTTTGTAGATTACAATTGAAGGCTATCGTGTGTTGGCTCGAGCAATAGAATCCAACATTCACATCATTGATTTTCCAAAGCCCAGAAAAGATTTACGATATCAATTATCGACACTTCGAACGACGATTCACGGACTAGTCCAAACAGAAAATGAAACGCGATGGTTTATTATGCATTCTGCAGGCATGAAAACACGAGACGTCAAAACGCAGCTTCACCTTCAGATGCAAGCGAGGCAAAACGCGGAAAAAAATTACGTTCAGATCATTGCGGTGATTGACGGTTTGCTGCGAGCCGTGGGCAAGAACAAACGTGCCTTTGAAGCACAGGAACAGATGATACATGCTATCGAAAAGCTATCCGCCACAGCTGCTCAGGATCTCACGGCTGCTCAACTGAAACTTCAAGGACGCTCGTCGTCCAACAACGGTCAAAAATCGGAACAAACGTCTCCGAGGTGCACCATTTCTCATGGTTCACAAACGACTGAACCTAACTACGGATATATTCCCAGCCATGCTTCAATGTATGCGGAAGGAAACTCATTCATACACCCAGCTTTTATGGCTGTCCAAGAAGAAGAGGCCGTATCTGCTACTGCCCTAGACTATCCGGATCCGTTTTATAAATGTCTTGCCGCAGGTAATTTGGATGTCTCTCCGTTAAAAATGTCAAAGTCGGCCACGGTCCAATGCAATCACGCGGTCCCGTTTGCTGACGATTTCGGTGTTCGTGAAGCCATGTCTGATACAGACCGGTTATCTTATTATCTATACGACGACGATGGAAATATACCGTGGGAGTAGTTTTTCCCATGCACTAATTACAGTAAAAACTAATGATCGATGTTTTTTAGCTTTTCAAGATACAGTACATTCTTTATACATAAAGCATCAGTAAATGCAGCATAATGACCATTTTATCTCATGATATTTGCTTAGTTGCCCTCCGTTATTTCATCTTTTCTTGCTAGCGCAATGGTGTCTAGACTGCTCAATGCAGAGTCAAGCTTGGCGCCCATTTCCAACACCGTGTGTTCGGGATAGCGATATATTCCCAGACGCTGAAAAAAATGGTGCGTAATCAATATCAAGATCATTTCACATGTATGAGATAATTTGCCATGCTACCTCTGAATCGTCCAAGGGCACTTGATGGTTTTTGTTCTTGATGCCACAATGATCAGCGAGCATGTCCAGTGTTTTGCCAACTGTAATATACTATACAACGCAAATAAGGAAAATTAACCAAATAAATTGATGCATTCAGGACGCACAATACCTTGTCAAAGAACATTGGCTGTGGTTCGGTATGGGTTTCTTTAGGGAAATGAACATATAAGTAGATGCGAGAATTGAGCGGGACTGATGTCAACCCCTATGGATATCGAAACTGTCAGTTGGACAAGACAACGTGGCGCGAATCAGAAGACCCACTTTTGCTTTTGCTTTGATTTTCATCATTTCCACCATTGTATTTTTCTTTTGTGCTGTATCACGGTTGGCTTTTCGCTGCGTCACTGGGGATGAAGGTGGTGGTTTAAAGGTTTTTGCAAGCTTTTCTTGAGCTGCTTCTCGTCGCTGAACTTTTCTCTCCTCATCCGCATTCAAGGAAATACATTGATGCGACAATGGATGCCGATGTCTGTTCGCGACGTTAGGCTTGTAAAAGTGATAAATAATATAAGATGCCACACGACTTACTTGACACAAAAATCATGATCGCATTTATCGCAATGCACTTTCCCCACCACGGATTCTTTATGATTACAGCCGCTCACCGAACACCGAAACTTTGGGTCCTTTGTTTCTGTTAATATACAATGCAGGACACATCTCGATTTTAAATGTTCTTCCACCTATGAGAGATGTTAAAACACGTATCACAAAGAAAAAAACAGTTGCCAAGGATGTGAAACTCACTATCTGTTCGGCGTTCGTCTTTTGGGTGTCAACGGAAGGTGTTCTCAAGAACTTTTGACATTGAGGACATTGAATCGCTTCTCTGTCATGAAGAGAATATTCTCTGCAATCATGATCAAAGGGCAAGCGATGATCACCGCTGATCTCGACATTTTAGCAAAACAGAAACAACCACGATAAATGATAGGTTCACTCGTACCAGAACACCTTGTTACAGTAAATGCACACAACCGGCAAAAAGTCTATTTTATTCATTAGCACCACTCAATGAAACTGCGTTGTCTGACAGAGGACTTTCCTAAAGCAGCACAGTTCTTTAAGCTACAGTGGTTGCCAACGTGAGGTAATTCCATGCTGTGCTTGCCACTTCTGCTGGGTACCCGAGACTTCGGTTTATGAACTGAATGGACAAATATTCCAAAAAATTCATTGACAGATTTTTTGGCGGTGATCCCAGCACGTAAGAGGATCCAAAGAGGATCCACGCTCATAAACATTTTTAGAAACAACTTATAAAATCCGTTCCATCAAAGCTACATTTGGTAAGCACTTTTTTGCATCCGCATGGCTGGGTTATGCTTCTTAATATTAACGTTATGGTGACTTGTTACATTGTTCCTTTTGCATTATAGACAAGCATATATTTGTGAAGAGTCTATTCAGACTGTGAAGCAGGGAAATCAGATGCATATCAGCAAAATATTCGAACAGTCACTGACATGAAAGCTTCATTATCAAACACATGCATGAAAGATCAAAAAAAAAAAAAAAAAAAAAACGAATCGAAAATTATCGTTGTGAGGTGGAGGACTACAGGGAAAAATGACGTAGTTGAGGCCAGCGTCGGTGGGCAAGTCGTTGGTCGAAAATTTACCTGAACAAAAAAATTTCGACTTTTTTTTTTTGCTCTACCAGCCTTTTCTTGTCAAACTGTATTAGTGGGCATTATGAAGTTAACCACTGATCTTATTGCGAATTCTCCTTCGCGAATTAATCCCGTAAAAGACCGCGAGTTGGTCTTACGAGGTAAATGACCCGCTTTGTTTACTTGCTTCTAAACGGCTTCCAAAGACGGCGCGTTTCCTGCCTCGTTGAGATGGAAACAGGAAGAATAGCTCATTACAGTGTGAACGAACGTAGTAACCCGTTGTTGACGCATAAAAATGTCTTTATTTTAGACTTGAAAATAGGTGCCATCGAGAATCTTGGTGCGACAAAGGTACGATTCACCCCGACTTGTTCAGGGATTTATCCAATGGTATACTTATCTGTGACACCCTTTTGCTCAGGATCTCAACGACACCATCGACTTTACGAATAATGATCTGCGTGTCCTTGGCAATTTTCCTCGTTTAACCAGACTGCAGCATCTTTTATTGGCTAATAACCGCATCAGCAAAATCGATCCACACATGCACGAATTTGTACCTAATTTATCGACCCTGATTTTGACCAACAATTCACTCCAAGAACTGGGCGATTTGGAAGTATTAGCACAATTCAAGAAATTGACCAAGCTCTGTTTATTGGATAACCCCGTGGCGAAAAAGCGATACTACCGACTGTATGTGATTCACAAAGTTCCACAACTTCGACTTTTGGACTTCAACAAGATTAAGCAAAAGGAGCGCGAAGAAGCAAAACAGCTGTTCGAAGGCACGGACGGTGTGGATAACGATCTTGCCAAGTCCATTGCGGAGCAGAAATCCAAAGCACTCGATATAGCAGAAGCGACTCGTGAAACACAAAAGGGTGGACAAGGTCTGACGGCTGATGAGCAGATGAAGATCAAGGTAACATACTGGGTGGGGGTGACGACTGTAACTTTTTGCGAGAATGGGTACTGAAATGGTTCATGATTTGCAGGAGGCTCTCAAACAAGCAACATCGCTTGACGAAATTTCACGGCTGGAAAGAGTATTAAAGGCAGGCCACGTACCAAACGAAAAGCCAGCATCACGTAACAACAAAGTCGGTGAGGAGGAAGAGGAAGAGTAAAATATCCTGTATTCATTATGGAGCGGAAAAAGAAAGCACAAACTGAAAGCAATACATGCTATCTTGAAGAAAAACGGTAATAAAGCTTTATGCCTTTGGTTCGCATAATAGAGAAATATGACGTTCAAACTGCTGTGGGAGTCCCCCTTTTCCTCACTGGATATACAGCCCAGCGCAACTATTTTATCTGCATTGTGGTATGGTATTTCCAAGATATATGATTTCGATACGTGACAGAGCTTCCCTTTACCTATAAGAGCGTTGCCAGTCCCTTAAAGAACCTTGTCTGTGAACCACCCGAACATTTGATTTTTCCTGCGCGATGAAAACCAGTCACTGAGTAAGCACTGGGATGTCTTGGGGTGCGCAGCACATGAAGTGACAAATTGACATTTTGTGCATTGAACACCAACCGCTTCATGTTTTCACCACCATGACCGCCCTGACGGACAATACCGATGAAGTTGAATATATTATTCAGCATTATGGTGACGATGTCTGTACTTTGTCCGTGTTAATAGTAGAACATTAAAAAAAGCTAAACGAAAAAGATCCTTGTTAGAATGTAGGTTATCAGTATCTGTGCAAATGGGTAGGCTTCGATATAGAGGCAGCGAGCTGGGAGTCAGCAGAAGAGATAGAAGCGTAAATAAGCTATGCTGAAGAAATCGACGATGGCGTGAATTTTAATGATCTTGTTCTAAAATAGCCAATGTCCCGACGCTGTGGAATCATATTGGCGCAAATATAAACTTGGGGAGCTAGAGGATCGCGAAAGCCTAGATAATATCAACCTTGTCAGTGATCCGTGGACTACCCTCAATGAAATAGATACCTGGGAAGATGCAATACAGGAAATTGCCACTGTGGAAAGATCGAGGAAATCCGGCCTGATCGTTTACGTGATATGGTAATGAAAAGGATGAAAGAAAACTCTTTTCAGTTCACGCATCGCATTCTCACATACTATTTAGGAAAAACGGTATGAAGACCGTCCATCACTCGAGCGAGTTATACCGAAAATGTCCACAAAAAGTACGTCTGCTGCATATAGACTGTCTCAACCAAAAGATATTCATGTATCGTATATATTTGATGTTTATACTAGGTCATCAGCTATTTCGAATCCAAACTCTCATTCAAACCTATATCATCGTAACTCCATCGGTTCGATATACCTTAGTATACCTTGTCAAGCGAAATGCGCCACCAAAGGAATATGCTGTTCCTATCCAAATCAATCCATCTTCTCCTCCTTCCTCCGATCAGGAGACGCGAGATCCGCTGCATCGATGGTTTCTGCATAGGATGCGAACTAGCATAAAACTTCATTGCAATTTTGCATGACATTGTGACCAACTTTCTTTTTTCTGTTTGATGCTGTATTATTATAATATATATCCTTTTTTTTTATTGAGTTGAAATAAAGTAGATATCGAAAAATAAGCAAGAAATAAAGGCAAGGGATCTTGTAGGAAAAAACAAATGAGCTTGGATTTCTTTCTCATTCGTTAGATTCAAACATATCATGCACACACACACGTATAAAATGAGAAATGATCTTCTGATACAAAAAAAAAGAAAACATGATATATAAATAAAAAACAGGAAGCATCAAAGAAAAATGGAAAAGACAAGACCAGTGTCTCTTGATTGCTGAATAGCAAGCATCCTTTTTGCATTTCTTTTTTTCTTTTTTTTTTTTTGGTTTCGAGGGGGGCCGGGGTGTGTTGTGGAAAAAAAGTTTTCGATTTTTGGTGAGTAGGATGCAAGTCTCCTTTTTTTTTTCGGAATGATGATGAGGCTTGTTGGAATATTTTTTGAGATGGACTAATTTTTTTTTTCTTCGGTTGGTCTGCTTTGGTTGAAAGGAGAAAGAATTACAGTGTACAGGCTGCGGTGTGTGAGAGAGAGCGAACTTATGATTTTGAGATACCAACAAGGGAGGGAAGTCCGAGAGAGCCCAGGCGCGACGAATCCATACTGCTATTGTTCTTTATCAGTTTGCGATCGGCTTGTTCTTCTTCCGCTATATAACCCGCATCTTCCATGTAGAACTGAACTTCGTCATCTGCGGCATTGAATGGAGTTAAAGGATCGGGCGACTCCCAATTTTCAAAAACGCTGGTGTGACTGTAACTTCCGGATCCACTGATACCTCCAGGAATAGTGATGCCATTCGATCCTATACTGTTATCTTCGTCACCATCACGACCTCGGTAAAAAGGTACCTTCCACGAGGACGGTTGCTGCGGTAACAGGTCAAACGGAGAATGAGCTGCATCGGTCGACGGTGGCAACCGATATCCTGACAATGAGTCTGACATGGTTCGTTCACGGTTAGTACTGGAGCTAAAGTTGAGCAACGAAGACGAGAGCTGTTGTTGTTGCTCTCTAGCTTTACGTAATTGCAATTCGGTCGGTGTAAACAAATCATTGAGCGAGGATGGAAGCATAGCATCGTTGAGGTCATACCCATCATCCAAGTATCCATGTGACTCTGGGATACTATGTAAATTGCGCATAGGCGGTACGGGTGGAGAAAGCAATCCTGCCGTGTTCGTCGGTGTGGTCGATGAGTATAAGCCTGGTGATCCCAATCCACCAAACGATGAGGATAGATTTGATGATTCACGCGGCGATGATCTTAAACCAATGAAATCGTCCGAAAGCAGGTTCCCTTGCATCGATGCCATCATTTGCGCTTTGGGCCGCCAGAGATCCTCCATTAACGATGGAGCCGATGTAGCCATACTATATGGACTTTGCCCATACTGCTGATGTTGATGTTGATGTTGCTGCTGCTGCTGCTGCTGCTGCTGCTGCTGTTGTTGTTGTTGTTGTTGTTGTCGGTAATGAATGGCGGCGCTAAGATGACTAAAACTTCGTGCGGAAGATTCACTGGTGTTCCTGAAAGAATAGCTAGCAGTTGGTGTACCGGGTGAGATTGGCTGGTGGGATGAATAGGACCGATTTTGAATCATCTTGCGACCATCCGGCGACATGGTATGTAGCAACGCACACTTGCTCCCAAATTTACAGTTCCCTTTGAGAAAATACTTGCATACCGCCGTTTCCAACGTGGGGTCTTGGTTATGCGAAAAGATGCAGTTGGCGCCTGCAGTGCAGGTTCCTTGTTTGAAAAATTTGCAAGGCACATGCGAAAGATTCGAGGCTGTACCCAAATCAGCCAAAAGGGAAAAGAGTAAGCAAAACGATTTTCAATTCTTCTTACTTTTGGTTCCACTAGAAAAAAAAAAGTAGATATCACTTACACTTTCCGTTACCGTTACTACCATTTCTGGTAGACAGCTGAGAAGCCGGAGGCCGCTTGTAGGGAAACGACAGTAATCGTGAGGGAGAGCTTCTGGACAATTGAGTGAGACTCAATTGCCCATAGCTTTCCAACAATTCCGACGGTAAATCTTGCTCTGACATGACAACAGGCACAAGGTCAAAAAAAGGTGGAATATAAATAGACGGACTGGAGACAGCAGGAGACGGTATAAAAAACTGAAAAAAAAAGATAATATATTATTCAACGAATGGCATACACTTTGGTAAAAAGTAAAGAAAAAAAAGATAAAGAGAATAGGAAGCAAAAAAGGAGTGAGAGAGTAAGAAAATAAAAAGCGGGGTCATGCGCCTCTTGTTGTTTCCAACGTTACACAGAGCACCGTCCATTCGGACTTGCAGTGGTTCGTTATCCTTCATCATTTTTTTTTCCTCGTCTTCCGCGCTTAAACTCCCCCAATATGGGAAATCACCAAATGTCACAAATTATGTATACCCACACCGCGTTATTGTATCCTGTTTCCACAAACTGTACATCAAACAAAAAAAAAACCCACATTATTTATTCTAAAGATTTTCAAAGGATCATGGATATCAGTACAATTTATATTTGGATACGGTTGAAATCGGGAAGCTCATCAATAGCACCGATGCCAACCACGGCTGCATTCTTGCTAAGATATTCGCTAGCGACGCGACACACGTCGTTGACGGACACACTTGAAACGGCTTCTTCCACTTCCTTTGGCGACATACGAGCACCCGAAGTCAAAAGTTGTCGTCCAATATCTTCAGCAATAGGCGTGCTTCCGTCCAATCCCAACAAAAGGCCTGCCTTGAGCTGCTGTTTAGCACGTTCGACTTCATTTTCGGTCACAGATGAAGAAAGTCTTGCCCATTCTCGTTTGGTCGATTGCAAAAGATCGTTGATGCGATCTTTGTTTTCCGACACCAAGTAAATACCCCAGAGACCGGTATCTTTGTAGGATGTGTTGAATGACATGAAAGAATTAGCCAGTTGGTTGTTGTGCATGATGGCCGATAAACGAGAATCTACATGACCGGTGGCGCCCAAGGAACGATCCCAAGAGCCAATGATGGATTGAGTCACCAACAAAGGGAAATAATCAGGAGAAGTCCAGCTGGCACCTTCGACGGCAACAGCGATGTGAGCTTGTGGCGTTTTATCGCGCAAGGTGAACTGAGCCCCGGTGAAAACAGGCTTCTTCATCGCACTCTTGCTGGTACTGGCATCCAATACGGTAGGGAGGCGACCAAAATGATCTTCTGCTAAGCGAACTAAGGCATCATGGTCCACGCCACCGGCGCCGACAAGGATCATACGTTCGCCGGTGTAGTTTGTTTTGATGTAGTTGGACAGGTCGTCTCTGGTGAGGGACTGGATATTTTCCTTGGGTCCCAAAATCGTTAATCCGAGCGATTCGTTCTGGAAGGCCGTAGCGTGAAGATGGTCAAAGACCACTTCCTCCATTTGTTTCTCTACTTCTTCCTGTTCACGTAAAATCACATCACGTTCACGCTCAATAGCTCCCAGATCCAATCTCGAGTTTTGCAAAATGTCGGATAAAATTTCTACCGCCTGCGGCACATCGTATTTGAATGCCTTGGCATAGTACACTGTTTGTTCTCGGGAAGTGTAGGCATTCAAATGACCGCCCATATTCTCGATCTGTAATTCGAGATCTCGTTGCGATCGTGTGCGTGTGCCCTGTAATTTAAACCGACGGTAAGAGATCATCGTTTTGGCCTAGTTTGTTCAAATTGGTATACTTTAAGCTCTTATACCTTAAATGCCATGTGCTCCAAAAAGTGAGCCGAACCGTTGTTTTGCACATTCTCAGCACGGGATCCAGCGTCAATCCAAACGCCCACGGTAGCCGTTTGAGAAGCAGGATTTTCTTCGGTTGCAACTGTGAAGCCATTGGGCAAGATAGTTTTACGAAGTGTTGGTGACAAATTGGTCATGGAAGCAAGTGCTCGACGATACTTGATGATACAAAAACGGATTTAATAACAGGCCCAAAAAATACTCCTAATAGAGTGCATGACTCACCACGCCATTGTTCGTGTTGAGAAGCGGCTTTCTCAAGTTTGCAAGCATACGTGACATGGTAGGAAAATGAAAGAAAAAAAAAAGGGTGCAGTAAAAAAACCAGGGACTGCCGCAGCCTTCTTTGATTGAGAGTTGCCATTCGCGCACAGTCACAATCGCACTTTTTCGGACACTGAAAAAATTCAGATGAAATCGTTCTTGACTGAACTATTGCTTTTTTGAGCTCGAAGCCGATAAAGAAAGCAAATGGCACCCAGTCGTCAGTGGAATGGGAATGTGGACGGTAAGGGAATCATATCATTGCCAATGTCTAATATGTGATTGACCAACATTCACTAGTGACAGAAGGAGTAGGCGAGTGGAATTCTGAATTTTGGCTCGAATCTATACAACAGCTGTCAAACGATAACGCCTTGAAGTCGATATTTTGGGGTGAACCTTCTAAAAAACCATCGCCCTCTTTGCAGAAACAAAAGCTTCCGACTGCAATTCCGATGGATACGACGACGACCAATCGACCAGTGGACCGAGGCACAGACAAGGTTGGGCTGAATGATAAAGAGACGTCCAACGCAGCCTCCGTATTCAGCCCTCCGAAACTGGCAAAGGATGAGGAAAAGTCAAAACGAAAGGAAACCTCTCCGAAAAAGGTTGCATCCAAGTTTTCTGATATTGATAAGACACTTCGTGTTATTGACAGAGCTCTTCGTAAAACAAAGGAAATGCAGAGAGATATGTTGGAACAGGCCGAGGCCCTGAAAGATAGACGTAAAACAATGGTCACTTCTGCACGAAAGCAGAGAGGCAAGAAAGGTTCCGAAATCAACCGTATAAACGATTCGCGGAATAGAAAGCTGACGAATAACAAAATGAAAAACGTACAAACAGTTGATCTTCCCGCGCAAAAAGAACCTGAAAAGAAGCAAGACCAGCAAATGCAAGCGTTCAAAAAAAATCACGACACCGATATGGAAGGCACGGTGGATTCTGCCAGTGAAAGTAAACATCTGAACGACGACCTAGAACAAGCTCCGGAAGATCCTGCAATGAATAAAACCGATCAAAATCCCGAGGTACCTCCAGTAGAAGAAGAGGTAGATGAGGCTACAGCGGAGAAGCACACAGAAGTGGCCGATGCAACTGAATCCGATGGAGTTATGGAAGCTGTTCATCCCGAAACAATTGATCAAGATGTCAAGACGGAGGAAATTTTGGACAACATTGCGCAAGACGTCACCACCGAAAGTGCCGATCCAGAGGAAACCGTAGATCAGAAGACGCAGGACACCGGTATCGGCGGGGCCGGTATTACTGAAGCGGTCGATCCCTCGAAAGTGGAGCAATCCAGCGAACATACGAACTCCGAACATGCAGAGACAAAACCGAAGATTGAGCATACCAAAGTGGATGGAATGGTTGAAAACGAGGAGAAAGAAGAAGAAGAAGAAGAAAAATATACCCAAACAAATGTACCACTTCAGGACGATTTATCGGAAACTGACGATGCGAATCATCATGTGCAGCTGGCCGATTCGGAAATTGAACAGATCGCCAAGGACAGCCTTATCCACGACAAGAAGGATGAATGTAGCAAGGCCCACGACGATGCTCTTCAAATTTTGGATGAGAATGAAAAAGCCGACAACGAGGGGACAGCTGTAGCCGATAAACACGTGTATGACGAGGATGAGGATGACGACGAAAGCGACCAAGATGGAGACGACAACGAGAAACACGGCATCGAGGAAGATAATAACGAAGCAGACGATGATGATGACAATGACGAGGATGAGGACGAGGACGAAGATGAAGATGATGAAGAGTCCGAGTCCGAGTATGAAGATGGTGACGATGAGGATGGTGATGATGACGGTGGGGAACAAATCACCATCAGTCTGGCTTCCTTGCTGAATCCTCAAAAGCCTTTGTTCAAAACCCACGTTGTTCGTTGCACGCTGACGGATCTGGTGCTGGGGGAAAGGAGTGCAACCATCCGAAACGCATTGGATAGCTTACGAAGTCGATCTTCTGATACACCACAACCACACCCATCTAGCACAGACAGACGTTCCAGCCTAAATGTAAACGCAAGTTCATTTTCTTATCATCTATCCAACCCTCAAGACACTGAATCGCAGTTACCCGGCAGCAGCCCATCCAAATCAAGTAATGCGCAGCACGATTCAGATTCAATACACGCGCCTCAGCATGATGACGGAGTAGAAGACGATGATCACACATTCTCTCACTTAAACGACAAGTCGCTGGTGTCCGAATTTAGCTTAGCCACAATCACGGCAGACAATGCCTTCGTACCCGCATCGGTGGTCTCCGAAGAAGGCGCAGGATCTCAATGGCTGTCAAGTACCTTCAATTACCCACCGAGTTTTAACTCGAGTTATGCGGCATCACAGGAAACGTACGCCGCCCATCATAGTGCGTCATTCGCCGCCGATGCCACACATAATCTCGATGATTTAGCACCCAAAGACTATGCGGGACGCCAACGGATATCATCTACGGCAAGTTCTGCAAACAGCTTCAACGTGCTTGCTCCAGAATTTCAACTGGCCCCTTGTCCATCCAAAATGAATGTCGATGCCAAACCATTCGACATCTCAGCCTATGATTTCTCACCCGAGGAATACATTGACGATTCAGTGGTTGCTTATTTGAAGCAAGTGTAAAAAGAAAAATTAGTTAGATTTGTCATCAGTTTTTACCGTATCCAATCATTTTACCATATGCCACACGTCATGCACATGACCAAGAGGCGCAATTACCGTGGCTATAAAGTTGAAAATATCAGGGGTGTAGCTGGCTGCATCTAAGGATATAGTCATTTTTTCTGTAAACAAACCAAAGAGCACTCTTGTTCCTGTGATTCGGCACTAAAGATTTGTCTGCAGATTTCCCTAATTGGGGCAAGTCAGAAGTGCACGAAAAAATGTAGAATTTTGTGTGACAGTCGCTTCTAATGAGAGCACGTTCCTGCTAATTTTTGCTAAGCGTAGTTTTGCAGGTCCTTATATTTTTTTTTGAAAACCAATTCGGGTCCACTTGGCATTCATATTATGGAGACCATCCAGACATTTACACAGCAAACCAATCTTGCTACATTGCTTGGAGTGCATTTGGTATGAAGGAACAAGATTTAGGAAAAACGGCAGAATGATAACAGAGAAAGTGTAACGCATATGTAGGGATTGTCTCTTTTTGGTGCCTTAGCTTCCAACCCGACTTACAATATCCCTGTATTCTTCTTCGGCATCTGGGCTTATAACTTTCGTGATTCGAACGCGCCGTTGAAAACGGTAAGATTGGGGAACAGTGACAATGGTCAGAAAAAAAACCAGACAATATTTCATACGCTGAGCCCGCGTTTTTAGTTCACAGGCGTCCTCGCTTTGAGTATTCTACTCGATGTTGTATGGTTTATTTTGCACGGACATAACCCAGCTCAGGAAAGTGGGTTTGTGTTTGTTATGATGTAAGTTCTTAGATCGGGGGCTTCCGTTGTGGCGTACTTCATTTTTCATTGACAACTCCCCTGCCCTTTTTTTACTCTCCATACCTGCTTCGCATCCCTCCAGTATGAACATCATCAGTTTGCTTGTAAAGGTAAAAAAGAAACATAAAAAAAGGCCCTCCGCGGCCCCTTCATCCCCCGTGTGTGCCATCTAATTGGTACTTAAATGATTTATTCATTAATCATTCGAAACTGTTAGCCTATCTCTGTATTTGCAGCTATAAATACGCTCCAAAGTCGCGGCGATACGTTCAATGCAGGGAGTAAGGAAACATTTCTGAGTGACTGAATTCCAACCTCAGCTGACCCGCCCTTTTTTTTTCTTTCTATTCTTATTTTCGGTGATCTTATTTTTCCCTCGTTAGGCTGGTCCGATGCACCTGGCGCCTTCCCCGGTGCTTACCAGCCAGTAAGAGACGGAGACGAAGCTTTTGCTTAAAAAGACCTAGTTGTTGTTATCCCGCATTCGGCTGCCATGCTACAGCATGACTAGTTTACCATTCGCTTTGTGTTACAGCAGAATGTTGTGATGCAGATCCATGCATGTTCTTCCTCAAAGAAAAAAAAATGATAAAAAAAAGATAGTTATGACTCGTTTTGTTTTACCCGTTGCCGAAAATTTCATGCTTTATAAAGTTTTCCAAGTGGGCGCTCGGCCGTAAATCCGAGTGGTTGGCTGGCATTCAGAATCTGAAATGGAAAAAGGTACTGATTCAGATAAATTTTCTTTTGCAGATCAAACAGATGCACTCTGCTACGGAAAGAATATAAATATGCAGCTTTAATTTCCATTCAATCGTTTGCATATCTTTTTTTTTTCCTTCATCTCCCACAGATGTATCGATTATCAATTTGTAAGAAAACTGCTTAATTAACGTTTATTATAAATATGGTATTTATCCGGGATTTATATTGTAGTGGCGAGTTTGGTGGCGTTAGCTTACGGCCACAGCATTACCTACAATGTTATTTCGGCCGGTCCCACCGATTCCGTTGCGGTAGTGGTGGATAATGTCAAGTATCCTCTTTCCCCCTCCTCCGTGGCACCTATTCTGTATACGGGTGAAGCGCCTGCTGCTACCAAGGGTTATCATTACGTCCGCTTGCACGGCAATCAGGTTCAAGACCAAGAATCGTTTACGAGAAAGCCCGTGAACGAGGATACTACCAATGAATTCTATAATCGAACTTGGAATAGCCGAGAAATTCGCCAGTTCCCCAAATTGCTGGAAGATCTTCCTGTGTTCAATCGAATGGAATCTCAGTTACATGTGGTTGGAGAGATTCCAACTTTTTATTTCTCAGCCAATCAAAAGCAAATTGATAATTTGCATGAGAACAGCATTGCGGAGAATGAAGTGCTGACAAATTTGACGTATATTAGGTAATGTCAAGGGTTTAAGCTTACCTACTCATTAGAAAAGAAAAAAAAACCTAACAGATCAAAAATAGAAACAATGAAGTTCACCAAATCGATGGGGTCGAAATGCAACTATCGGGCCGAAGCTCGAGATGGTTTCCGAAACTTTCCTATAGTCTGAAGCTTCCCAAAGAACAGGATTTGTTTGGATATCGCCGACTCAAGTTGCGGGCCTTTGCTACCGATCCATCTTACATCCGTGAACAGCTCGGATATGAAATTCTGCGATCGGTCGGTGTTCCCGCCTCTTACAGTTCATTTGCCAGGTATGGTTTGAAAGTCACAGCTTATGTCCCCAATTTCCCCAAATATTCTATTTTTAATAACTCAATGCCCATATTATGTCATTAGAGTCGTGGTCAACGATCAACCTTTGGGATTGTTTGGCCTAGTCGAAGCATTCAAAAATCCTTGGCTTAAGAATGAATTCGCCGGTGGCGAAAAGTATGACCAAGGCATTCTGTTCCAAGGCGGAGGGGCTTCAGTCAAGTCCATGCTGAGTAAAGCTCCCGCTGATCTTGTGTACCGTGGCGAAGATGAATCTCAATACGTCAACTATAAGATCAAAGAAGAACCTGACGAAGGCGAAGGTGAAGCTGACCGAAGTCGCATCGTTGAGTTTACGAAATTCTTGCAAAATGCTCCTATCACTGGCTCGGATGCAGTCGAAGAATGGGATCAACACGTTGATACACAGACGGTCATCAGAAAGTAAGAAGCTCGAACCCCCTTGTTATGCAGCTTTTTGAACCTTGATAACTCATACATACATTGCATAGCATGGCGCTTGAATACTTGCTTGGCTTCGTTGACGGATACATCACCAATGCAGATAATTATTATCTCTACGATGACCCAGAGAGCCAGCGTTTCATCTACATGTCCTCGGATCTGGATTTGTCCCTCGGATCGTCTTTCAAGGTTCTGGACACCATCTTTGTCAATGACTATGAGAAGTATCCTGGTTTTAACTACACTAATCGGCCGTTGCTCAAGTTGCTCAAGATTCCTGAAGTCAAGAAGCAGTTCCAAGACTTGTTGGTCAAGGTGGCTCGTGAACTGATGGTTCCCAACAAGATCAATCCTTACATTGACGAGCTTGTCAATTTGATTCGTGAAGACGTTGACTGGGATTGCACTCTTCCCCGTGTCAATGCCAATTTCGATGTCTCTACGGTGTTCGACCCTCAACACCCCGACAAGGTGGACGGAGACGACTTGTTTGACGGAAGAGTTGCTGAAGACATGTTTAACCGTGTCTTCCATGACCACGTTCCATTGCGTGCCGCTATCAATGGACCGACGGGCCATATCTCACTCACCTCCATCAAGGAATGGTTTGCCCGCCGCAGCAGTGGTGTGTTGCGTACTTATGCTTAATTGGATGGATTTCCTTTTTTTCATCCCACGAGAAAAACCAAAAGAAAAAAAAAAGACCCCCATCATCTGTATTTTCTACTTAAGTTAAAGAATAAAAAAATTATGTAGCTTTTGAACTTTTTTCGACGATATCATCTTTACGGCAGCACCGTTTTACCGCAGCTATCATTTTCGGCAGGAGTTTTTTTTTGGGGGGGGGGCACAAAAGTTGCACATATTTCGAGCATTGAGTGCAGAGAAACAGTCACATTCAACTTCAGCAACGGTTCTTTTGTGCACCTCGAGCTGCCGCTTTTCAGTACCTTTACCTATACCATGTCACGCCGACCGTTGGATGAGGAATACATCAACATTGACGATAGCTACGATGGCCAGCATGATGAGGAGACGGGCAAAGGAGGCTATTCTTGGGAAGAAGAATACAAACGCAGTTGGGATGTCCTGCAGGAAGACGCTGAAGGTCGATTAAGTAGTGTAGTTGCTCAATTACAACAACAGCGTAAAAGACGAAGGTAAAAAAAAAGGATGGGGGGAATTAATGCCGCAGATCAATTGTCGTTGACATCTTGCTTACCTATTTTCAATGTTAATGTCATGAATTCGATAGATTGCTGAAGGATACGGCTATTATTCAGCGTGGCATTATTCGACACTTGTTTCTCGTTATTGATCTTTCTGATGCCATGAATGAAAAAGATCTACGACCGAGTCGACTTGAACTGACATTGACGTATGCGCAGCAGTTTGTCATTGAATTTTTTGATCAGAACCCCATTTCCCAGCTGGGGATCATCGTGACACGAGATGGCATTGCGGAAAAACTGACAGAATTGAGTGGCAATCCAAGCGATCATATTCGCGCTTTGAAAGCGAAAAAGAACAACGAAACAAGTGGTGAACCGTCTCTACAGAACGCATTACAACTCGCTAGATCAAGCATGGTGGGTGTACCAAGTCACGGATCAAAGGAGATCCTTCTGATCTTTGGCGCTCTTACAACCTGCGACCCAACCGATATCTACGATACCATCGATCTGTTGCAAAAAGAAATGATTCGAGTCAATATTGTTGGTCTTGCAGCCGAAGTCCAAATTTGCCGTGTGCTGAGCCAGAAAACAAAAGGTAAACTTGAACAAAACACATAGTAGATAGTATATCATGATGAACAAATGATGATAGCGCTGGTATATGTAAAGAGTATCCTAACCAGTATTGACGTTTTCCTGAATAATTTGATAGGATCATACGGTGTCATTCTGAACGAAGCTCATTATAAAGATTTATTATTTGAATGCGTTCCTCCACCGGCCGTGACTCCTAATAAGAACTCTTCGAATTTGGTAATGATGGGATTCCCGAGAAAACAAACGGAAGACCACGCGACATTCTGTGTATGGTAAGTATTTTTTTTCTTTTTTTTTCGATTTGTGCATATTGTTATTGCATGCGTTTCATGTTTCATACTTTTAGTCATTCGAAACTCACGACGGGTGGCTATATTTGTCCGCGGTGTCGCTCCAAAGTGTGCGAATTGCCCAGTGATTGTGATGTTTGTGGTTTGACGCTGGTTTCGTCGCCGCATTTGGCTCGTTCATACCACCATTTGTTCCCTGTGGATAATTTTGACGAAATCAGAGGTGGCAGGTACGTGATTCCTTGGCGCGCACCCCCCCAAAAAAATGAATAATGCAAGTTTGTGATGATTGTTTTGACGGAAACTTTTTGATTTTTTGGTAGCGGACATGCATCGCACTGTTTTTCTTGTTTGACACCTTTTGAGATAACCGATGTGGCAAGTGGACAACAGCAGACACAACAGTTCTCATGTCCAAAGTGCAAGCACGAGTTCTGCATGGACTGTGACATTTTCATTCACGAAGTGCTTCACAACTGTCCTGGATGCTGGGGTAGCGATCCCAGCGAAAAAGTCAAAGCCATTGAACAAAGCACAGGAGCCGTTTCTGTTTCTTCTTAGGGTCGAAGTCATGCATTGGCACACTGGAGTCTCACACAATAAGGTCCACGCACGATCTTGTTAGGATTGACCGACATCAAAACAAGAATGTACAGGCTTCTCTTGTTTTTCGCAACGTGACTTGACCATAGCACTTTTTTCTTCTCATTTTTTCCTCCTTTCTCCTCGACTTACCGTTTGAACATCGTTCGACCCCCCGTTTCTCCGTTTTCTTTTCTGTACACACTTTGGTCCTCAGAGTCCGCCCCCCTTTTTTTTTTGATATCACTGATTATGCGTTATATCCGTTGAGACTACGACTATAAAACCCAATAGATTGTCACTTCACTTGCAGCATTCGCCATTTTATTGAATTCTTTTTCTTTTATTACATATTCACATGTTGGAGCATTTACCTTCAGAAATAACGTGGCATATCCTATCATTTCTTCACGTTCGAGACCTTGCATCGCTTCGATTGATTTGTAAGCGCTTGCAAGTACTCTGCGACTACCCTGCGCATTGGCGACATGTCACCCTCATACCGGAAGTCAGTGGTTCACTATCGTCAAAACTGTCACCATGCCATTCTCCATCATTATGGCAGCTTTCAGAATTGCGATCGATCATTGCTCCTCATCGCATGCATATTCGATCCATTCATATTTGGGGTGTGCGCGATACTATTGTTCGTTATCTATTAGAACAATGTCCTCTGTTGGAAAAGTTATCACTGTGTAGCTGGACGACGTTATCCGATCATGCGTTCAAGTTGCCATTGCCAAGACGGCTCCGACTCCGACATCTCGAACTCATCAGTCGATCCGCCACAAGTTATGTGGCCATGGATTCCAACTGTCTAGGACGACTTTTCACCATGTGTCCCGATCTGCAAAAATTAGTTTTGACATGTCCAAGCCATATCCGCGCACAAACGCTTGTGAAGCAATTTAAACGTCATCGACCGAGTGAGTTGATGATTCTAACCATGATTGTCCAGCGTGAATGGCCAGAAAACTTGGAATCCGACATTTTAGCTGCATGCCCGGGATTAAAGCAATTATGTCTGCAGCAATGCATGCTGCCCGCTCCTGTTTCTGACGTCCTGCCGAAACTTACATTGGAGTCTCATTAGATACTGAAGGATACATTGTATATATTGTTTTTTTTTTATACCAATCTCTCTTTTCTTTTATCATCTCGCATAGCACAGAAAATACACTTTCATCAGCGATGAAAAAATAACATTCTTCATGACCTCCTTTGTCTTATGCATAAATTATGGTAAAATGCAGCTAAATTGATGATAATGAACCTCTTGCAGCATTTACGTTTTTTCTATATCTCCTTTTTTTGCTATTGCACCTTTATACTTTTTCAGCAAACCTGTCGAGCTCGACGAAATAGTCCAACATTATGATCCAGATACTGGCGAGCAAAGTCAAAGATACTGCTTGGTACAGTTGGATGAAACCCTTGATTGGGAAATGCAACAAAATAAGGCATTGGGGATTCCCATTTACGGCAAGATTTCCGCTTTACTTATTGCATGAAGGGTGTCATAACAAATACTGTAGATGCTTTTCTAAAAAATGATTCGCGCCAGATAAAGAGGGCTGCACATTATTTGACACAAACAGGGGCGAGACTTTCTTCCATTTTCGCAAAACCGTAATTTGATGAAAAGCAAATGTGGCTAGAAAGACACCGCGCATTTTGTTTAGATTCATCATCGTCAGATAGGTCACTGCGTCAAAAGATTATTGCTTCCAACCCAAATAAGTCTTTGATCTAACAGCTGCAGGCTCTGACAGAATTCTGTGAGGTTATCACGGTATTAAATCCTTTAATAGCACCATTTTCTCCTGATATATTCCTCGATCATCATCGGCTTCTGTTGAAAATACACCTTTCTAAAAGCGGATTCTAAATCAACATGTTCTGCGAGAGAAAGAGAACACCCAACATTTACTTGCATTATCTCATTTTTGTCATACCAAGACAAATTAAGAGACGGCTTGAAGCCTTTGATGGGAAACGAATCCAAAGTGTTTCTATTATTTATTTACAGGGGAATAAAGCGTCCTTCTTGGCTGCTTTGCTGAGCAAGTTCAATGATGCGGATGCAAGCAGCGCCATGTTCAGGCTTTACTCGAAGATGGTTAGGGTCCTTTTTAAGGATGGCCTCGCCGACGTTGTTGTAGAACGACAAGTAATCGCCCTTTTGAGTTTCAATCTTTCCTACCCAATGAAGACCATCCACGTCGGTGTTCACGCAACCCCATCGTGCCTCGTCTTCCACACCATAGCCTGCACTGCTGGGAGTGAGTCCGTTCTTCAGCTGTTCCTCCTGAACGTCAAGATGGTGCTTGATAAAGGCACCGTTCATACCACGTAAAGAGAATCGCAATACAGGCGAAGTACGAGCCAACATACTGGATCGAAGAAAGGCTTTGTGGCCTTCATATTCCAAAATGATGGTAAAGTCATCAATGACATTGCACTCCTTCAGTTGACGTTGGTTCGAAATAGTGGCAAAGACCGATTTGGGAAGACCGAAAAGATCCAAAGCTACACTACCATGGTTAGATAAAAAGAAAAAAGAACCCTCCCATCTTTTCAAAAATTTAATTTCCCAAGACACATTGTCTGACCCATGCAACCTCCAAAGGAGCTGTATCTTTTTACCTTGATCAATCAAATGCGCACCAAGATCGTAAAGCATACCAGAGCCGGGCTGATCGTCCTTCTCTCGCCAGCCGGCTTTGGAAAAGTTGCGGAATCGATCGAAATGAGACTCGTACTCGACCAAGCGACCGAGTTGGCCGCCAGCAAGCAACTTCTTCACCGTCAAGAAATCGCCATCCCAGCGTCGGTTCTGGTACACGCTACAAACTTTGCCGGTGTCTTTGGCGACCTGAACCAACTCTTCGGCTTCTTGGGATGTAATAGTGAAAGGTTTTTCCACCACCACTATTATTTATCATGTAAGCCCATCAAAAGGTCGGCACAAACGTTTTGTTTTTACTTACCGTTCTTGCCCTTCAGCATGGCTTCCTTTGCCAAGGAAAAGTGGGAATCGTTGGGCGTGGTAATGACCACAAGGTCAATATCATTCTGACCGAAAAGTTCCTCGGCGCTTTTGACCACTTTAACGCCGGGATAGGCTTGCGCGCTCTTATCACTGTGGCGTTCCACCACCGCCGATAAATGGAGATAAGGAGAGGATACAATCAAAGGGCAATGGAAGGTGCGGGACGAAAATCCTAGGACAAAGTCAATAGACGGCATCTATCAAGATATGAAAATGACCTACCAAAGCCAATGACGCCAACGTTCACCTTTGCTGAACTCATATTATCAAAAGTAATAAAGATTTGAAAGAAACAAGAGAGAAAAACGAATAAAGAGAAGGAAGACAAAACGTTATTAAAATCTTACTCAGCGCATCGAATTGAGACTATTCGAATAACGACCCGAGCGGGGAATGGACGCTTCAAACCCATCCCACTAACAAAAAAAAATTCAGAATTTTCCCGCAAATGCTGCTGGGAAATAAACGGCAACCTGAACAAAGATTTCGTAAGCAGAAAAATAAACACGACAGCACAGCAGCGTTCACATCATGGTTAAAAACTTATTATATGCTTGTCCTCTTTTTTGATTCTTATTAAAACATTCTCAGCCTTGTATTGCTTTGATTTTGTTTGACTTTTTTGTGATTTTCCTTGCTACATTTGTTAAAAGTGACTTTTGATTGTTTCTCTTGACTTAATGACTAAATCTGGGAATTTATCGTTTCTTTCCTACACGCGGTTTCACATCTTCTTCCTTTACAGCATGTAAGAAAATCTTGTTGGGATTGGTCGGAAGAGCATGCTTATAGCCCTGCAGTAAAAAAACAAAAACGGGATTAGTTACACTCTGTGCGTCAATCAATTCTCTTTTAATTCCTTACCTTGGACCAGTCATAGCTAACAGCATAAGCAAAGATCGTACCGTTACGGTTAAAGGTGGTACACGGAATGGTGCCACCAGCATTACCGAATGGCTTCAGTCGCTGTTTAGAATCCTTATCCCAGAAACTGACCGTGCCATCCGAGCCTGCAGTAGAGAAAGTGCCGTGAATAGGATGGAAGCTGATGGCATTGACGGAGAACACGTTTTTGGAATCGTCACGATGACATTTGAATGAGAAATTTTTGCTACATCATATAAGGACAGCATGCGCCATGTCAGACAGTTAGTTGTTCATTGTCTTTTTTTTTTTTTTTTTTTTTTTTTTTGACAGCATGATAAATTAAAAATAAACGTCACTTACGATTGATCTTTATCCTCCACATATTGAATACCGACTCTGCCTTCAATGGAGCCGACAGCATAACCCTTGCCTTGGGTGAAGCAAGACACAACTCGTGTTTGCCATTTCAATGGCGAGATATTTTTCTATTCAAAATAAAATGTGATTTAGCATGAAGTGTCTACTGATCGTTGACAGAAAATTAAAAGTACCTTGAAGATCACGGTGGGGTTGTTTAAGTCAAAGATACATATGTGTTTCTCGGCTGTGCCGACCACCATCAAGGGGCCTTGAATATCCATGGTATAACAACGATCGGGAAGGGCTACAGTGCCAATAGGGGTAGGGGAACGCAAATCCCAATACTTGACAGTCTTATCCCAACTGCCCGTGGCCAGGATACCCTGATCGAGGAACTTTGCACATTTGATAGGTTCGTCGTGCTGCGCAACTTGGGTGGTTTGACCTGTCGTAATGTCGAACATGCGACCCGCTTTATCGGCACCACCACTCACTAATTTCGTGCCATCCTTTTTTTTCACGCGACATGGTAAGTTACTCCCACTTCATTGCAAAGCCATTTAAATGGATCCCCAAAAGAGAAAACAAGAAAAAAAAAAACGTACTTTGCTCCATGTCACGCACAATGCAGGAGCTTCGTGGCTGAATGATGCTTTTGGAATGGTTTGACCAGAGGGTTGAACTTCGTATATCCGCACCTGTTAAAATGAAAAAAAAAGAATCATGTTAGTAACATGCCATGCGACGACAAAATGGAAGGGCGTCATAGTGTGTGCATAGTTTTCTACATTGACTTGCCTGGTTATCCCAAGAGGAAACACCGAGAAAATCAGCTTGAGAGGAAAAGCTGATATCAGAAATACCGTCCGTAGGCGGTGAAGCGACCTAAAAAATCAAGACAAAAAAAGTAAAAAGAACCCATGGTCAGTTGGACAGCTTATGCATTCCATCGGTAAAAACGTAAGATTGACGGAGCGTCAACAAGGACAACGTAAAAAAAAAAGGGCGTTTCAAACAGTTCAATGGTGTGAATCACGTCTTTTCCTTTTCTTTTTGTTGACCACTGTTGCAAACACTTGCCTCGAAATCTTTGGGATCCATGGAAAAAGTGTGAGTGAATCAACGCTTTGGGCTGTTCAGTGACAAAGAGCGAAAAATATATAACAATCGCACGCGAATGATGGCCAAAGGCCCGCCGATTCCTCCTGGAACAATGAAAAAAAGCCGTCACATTGTTTAAAAGACAGACCTCGCAGCTACTGCGGAGCTGCCCTTGTTGTTCAACAAATGCCAGGTCGCGTGATTCTGAAAAAAAAAGAGTTCAGATCGGCTACGCCCACAATCGATGACTTTTTGTAGTTCGTCATATAAACTTTTTTTTTTTAATTCAATCTTCATTTCGTGTAGCAACTGTGACTTTTTTACTGATTTCCCTTTTTCCGTCTCGACAAGGTGACCAATACGTTCGTTTTTTTCCAAACTAAGGACTTATTGCCTGAAATGGGGAACAGCCGCAGTAACTCCACTTCTTTCCCAATGGCGTAACCTGATCCCTGCTGCGCCGCGTATCTCCGTCCATGCCTTGGCAGGAAAATGAACATCATCGCAAGATGACACAAAAAAAACACAAATATAAGAGTCAATTACTGGTTTTCCTCATTTGTGCCACTCGCTTGTTTTTTTTTTATCTTCTTCTTCCCGCTGGTATACTTTCTGGCGTCATGGTAGCAGACATACCGGTTAGTTTTTGGCCTGCGGCATCTACTGCGGTTATCGCCTGCCTAAGTGGTATCATGTTATCCGTTCAACGTGGAAGCCATCACAAGTCCAAAATCGCTCTTGCTACAACTGATGACGGCAACAAATACGCTGTTCCCCTCAAATTCGACGAGCAGTTTGATCCAAGCGTCCCCTTTACAGATCAACACCGACTCACGCGTCTTAACTTTGGCACTTTGGTTCTCCTCAGTTTGACCGCTTATGATCTGTTTCTTGGTGTCAACGCTTTCTCCAAAACGGATGCTCACTCTTATCTTTTGATTGCACAAGCATTGACAGTGGTATCTTGGACCTACATTTTCACCTTGACTCTGGTATCTCGATGCTATCGTCTACCAAACGCTTGGGGATGGGTCCTCAACGTCCATCTTTTCATACTATTCTCTGTGATGTTTTGTGGCAATCTCTACCAGTGGTTTGAGACGCTACGTTCAACGGTACAAGTGAGCTGGATGCAAGCCATCAAGAGCATTCTGAGCGTCTTTATCGGCATGGATATGGTGTACACAACCGGCAGCACGGAGCGAAGCTCGCCTTATGTGGATGAAAATGATCGCAAGGTAGTGGCCTACGATGTAAGCTCGATTTTCAGTTATTTGTATTTCAACTGGATCACCCCGGTCGTCATGATGGTCTATCGCAAGAAAGAAGTCACTGACGACGACTTGCCCGCTTTGCCCCCGTTATTTCGAGCCTACAACCTATTCTATATATTCAAAATGCACAACAGCAAGAGTCTCTTATGGCGCATCGTCCTCACCAACAAAAAGCCATTTGTTATCCAAGCCGTACTGGCCGTGCTGGTGGCAACATGCAATTATATACCTCAATACTTTATGAATCGAGTGCTCGTGCTGCTTCAGGATACCGATGCCGACCATCGGGATAACGATTTCACTCTGAAAGGTTTCTTATTGGTGACAGGTTTATCCCTCACCGTTATCTTGATCGGAATCATGGACAGTCACATGTGGTTTTGGTGTAAGTTTTGATACGCAGTGGGACAGCCCAGTGCAGACAAAGGAAAATTGAATTGGATTTTTTTGCTAGCTTCATCCAACGTTTTGGTGCGTTCGAGAGCCATGTTAAATATCGAAATTTATCACAAGACCCTGAGACGACTGAACACCGCGTTTCAGTCGAGTGAGGATGACAAGGAGGACGATCAGAAGAAAAAGGAAACCGACGACGATCAAAATAACAAGGAAGCAGATACAAACGAGGACAACGCATCCACAGGAACTATCGTCAATCTGATGAGCACGGATTCCAGCCGTGTTTCAGAGTACGCCACCTGGTGGTTTTTTTGGGTCGAGTCGCCTATTGAACTGGCTGTGGGAATCACTTTTCTGTATCAGCTCCTGGGTGTTTCGTGCCTCTTGGGTCTACTTGTCATGGTGGTCACGTTGCCTCTCAACCATTTCAGCGCCAAATTGTTTGCGAGAACCCAAGATCGCTTGATGAGTGCACGCGATAAACGAGTATCTCTCATGAACGAAGCACTTCAAGGCGTACGTCAAATCAAATTTTTTGCCTGGGAGAAAAAATGGGAAAATCGCATCATGAAATCAAGAGCAACCGAATTGAAACACCTTCGTATGACATACATCTGCGATGTCTTGTTCAGTTTCTTGTGGCAAGCGTAAGTTTATCTCGGGTAACACAGTGAACGGGCCAACACCCATTCTTTTTGGATTCGCTTCTCACAGACATGCCACTTAGCACTCCTCTATTGGTCACCATCATTTCCTTTTGGTCGTACACCGCATTGGAGGGAAAGCAACTTACCGCACCTGTAGCGTTTACGGCTCTCGTCGTTTTCAATGAACTGCGCTTTGCACTCAATGTCATTCCCGATCTCTTTATCGAGCTTTTGCAAGCATTGATTAGGTAAGCTTCGTTGACAAAAGGGGGAAAAAACCAAACGGGGTTCCCTCATTATCGTTTATTTATTTTTTTACCAGTGTGAGACGCATTGAAGCTTATTTGGCAGAAGGAGAAATCACAGCCGTCGTTCCTCAATCTCCCGACGCCCCAATCAATATTCATTTTGAGCATGCCACGGTAGGCTGGTCCACGCCAACGCAGACAACCTCAGATATCGTGCGCCCTGAAACATCGACCGAGTCCAGTTCGACTCATGTTGCCAGTGAAAGTTTCATCCTCAAGGATATCACAGCACACTTTCCCAACAGTCAACTCAGTTTGATCTCGGGCGCTACGGGTTCTGGTAAGACCCTCATGATGCTCAGTCTTTTGGGAGAAACGGTCATTATTAGCGGCACCGTGGCCAGTCCTCGACATGCCGTATTGGAAACAGTAGACGACCATTTCATGTCGATCGAGAAGATCCCCGCCGAGGAATGGATTCTAGATCACGCCGTCGCCTACGTATCACAAACACGTAAGTAGGCAACACACAATTGCTCCGTATGGAGAACATGTGTACTAATTTTGATCTGATGTAAATTACAGCATGGCTGCAAAACGCATCGATCCGCGACAACATTTTGTTTGGCCTCCCATACGATGAACAACGCTATACCGACACACTGTATGCCTGTGCACTTGAAAAAGATCTGGAGATCCTTGAAGATGGCGATATGACCGAAATCGGAGAAAAGGGTATCACCTTGTCCGGTGGCCAGAAAGCTCGTGTGTCCCTTGCACGCGCCGTTTATTCTCGGGCAAAAAATGTACTCATGGACGATGTTCTCAGTGCCGTTGATGGTAAAATTATTGGATTCCATCCCCTTGAAATATTGAGTATTGCCGGCAAATATGTTGACATGAACGTTCTATAGCCCATACCGCCAAGCATGTCTATGATAAATGTCTCACGGGACCTCTGATGCAAGGCCGTACACGCATCCTTATTACTCATCAAGTCAAATTATGTTTATCCGGAAGCGCATACATTGTCCATCTCGAAGGCGGCCGCGTAGGTGTTTCAGGTTCGCCTGCTGAACTTCGACAGTCGGGCCAGCTCGCCTCCATTCTTGACAGCGAAGAAACGGAGGATTCGACAGCCACTGAAAATCCAATTGAAGACACTATCTATAACCCCGAATCCGAAACGCCACGAAAGCGCAACGATAAAACCAAGAAATCTCCGCGAGTTCTTGTGGAAGAAGAAAGTAAGCCAGCCAGCCAGCAGCCAGCAGCCGCTGATGCAGATTCAGCTTTGTCTAATATCAGTGGTTCTTTTTACTAGCACGCGCTACAGGTACTGTAAAGTGGCGTCTGTACACGTTATACTTTAAAACCGTGGGCAAAACTATGTTTTGGTTGATTCTGGCTGTCTTGATTTTCGGTGCTCGCGGTTTGGATATCGTGGAACGATGGTGGCTGAAGCAGTGGGCTGAAGCGGCTAGTGCAAATGCTTTGGAAATGATTAGAACACATATCAATGCGTACATGCCCGCTCACAACGCTCCACCCGTGTATTCCTTGATGGTCAAAGACACAATCAATGTAATGGAGGACCGTCCGGCCGACTACAATCTCAACTATTACCTCGGTATGTATGCCTTGATTCTATTGTCCAATATCGTCGTAAGCACAGTCCGCTTCGGTTTCTTGTATTGGCGAACATTGGGTGCGAGTCGAAAGTTGTATGGTGACCTGCTTCGACGCGTGTTGCGTGCGCCGCTGCGTTTCTTTGATACCACACCGATTGGACGTATTTTGAATCGATTTTCCAAGGACTTTGACACCATCGATTCCACGATTCCCATGGATATGATCAAACTTATTATTCAATGGATTGCCGTGGTCTCTTCCTTGTTGACGGTGGCTGCCGTTCTTCCGGTCTTTGCTATTCCCATGCTCGTCGTTGTCGCAGCCAATATCGCCATTGGCAGAATCTTCATCTCCGCTTCTCGTGAACTCAAGCGTATGGATTCCGTGACACGGTCACCCTTATTTACGCACTTTACCGAAACCATTGTGGGTATCTCCACCATCCGGGCTTTCGGAGCCACACAACGGTTTATGCAAGAAATGCTGCAAAAGATTGACAAGAACGCTCGTGTCTTTTGCTTCGCGTGGCTCGTGAACCGATGGATGGCTACTAGACTTGCGACTATTGGTGCTTGCGTCAATTTCATCACAGGTATGCTGATTATCTTGAATGTGGACAAACTCGACGTTTCCTCGGCCGGTTTCTGTTTCAGTTTCGTCATGGCATACAACTGGGAGGTAGGACATTCTTCAATTTAAAAAACATCTGTATCATGATCGCAGTGACTAAAAAATTGGTTCAGATGTTTTGGGCTATTCGACGCTACACCAGTATGGAAATGAGCTTCAATTCCATGGAACGTGTGGTAGAATTTATGGAGATTGAGCAAGAAGCACCAGCTATTACGGAGCTTCGCCCTCCTCCAGATGTAAGTCATCGAAACAGATTTTCATCACGAACAGCTCATTGACATCGGTTGACGAACAGTGGCCTATTCGAGGAGAAATACAGGTGGAGAATCTTCAAGTACGTTATGCAGCCGATCTGGAACCTGTTCTGCATGGAATCTCTTTCCATGTCAATGCCAAAGAAAAGATTGGCGTGGTGGGTCGAACCGGTAGTGGAAAGTCGACGCTTGCCTTGTCCTTTTTCCGATTTGTCGAAGCGACCCAAGGCCGAATTATCATTGACGATGTGGATATTGCCGATATCGGAACAGAAGATTTGCGCAGTAACCTTACCATCATTCCACAAGATCCTACCTTGTTCTCTGGCACCTTGCGAAGCAACATGGATCCGTTTGATCAGTTTACCGATGAAGACATCTTTGCTGCCTTACGTCGCGTCGAATTGTTACCATCGGACGACGCAGAAGTCATCGAAAATGTCAATGCCAACGTCTTTCAGAACCTCGACACGGCCGTCAGTGAAGGTGGCAAGAATTTCTCTCAGGGACAGCGACAACTTTTATGCTTGGCTCGTGCTTTGCTAAAACGTACTACCATTGTGCTGATGGATGAAGCCACGGCCAGTGTAGACTTTGAAACCGATAAAGCGATCCAAAAGACCATGACCACCGAGTTTGCCGATTGTACCATTCTATGTATTGCCCATCGACTTCACACCATTATTGGATATGATCGTATCCTCGTTTTGGACGCAGGGAAAATCATTGAATTTGCAAGGTAAGTTGTATATTCTGGGGCTTGTTGTACCTTACTAATAATCACTTTTCCATTCTCCTAGTCCTTTGGAGTTGATCAATGATTTCACCTCTGCGTTTCACAAGATGTGCAAGAACTGTGGTGAATTCGAAAATTTATTGGCTCTTGCTAAATCCACACATGAGCTTGTGGACGTGTCTTGAACAAAACCTTAACTTGACCAAAGAAAAAAAAAAAACTCTATCATTCATTATTTATGTATTCTTTACCATTATAAAAAATTAACATAACCAATAGTCGGTTTATGGAATAAAACTGCGAGTAAACATCGCCATGGGTTGTAAGCTTGGTTAAGCCAGGGCAGTTGGAGAGAGCACAATGGCGGTAAAATAATTATCCTTATAGCACTTTGCTGGGTCAGGGCAAATATTTCGCGCCACGAAGCTTTTTTTTTTCTCTCTCTCTCTCATTGAAAGCCTACCATTCACAGAATGAGCCCTGTACCGAGATCGACTCCCTTCTGGATGCGTGCGTGGTTCGTTACCACATCGCTTATTGTGCTTTGGGTAAGCTGGCTACATGATGTTTGTCGTTAATTACAAAGGTCACTGACGTTTGGATGAAAGGATGCTGCTTACTGCTTGCTCAGGTAAATCAAGCATTACTAACCGTATCTACTTAACAAAGAATGATAAGCTTATGCTGGGACCGTTAGACCTCACAGCATGGAAGGTGGTAAATATTTCGTCTTTTTCTCGCCGTATAAGCTTTATGGCACAGTGAGTATCCCTCTTTAGCCTTCTTGTTGCATTGATGTTGTGTCTCACGCTATTGTATTTCATGCAAGGTGGATAAATTATACGGCCCCGAGGCTATTGAAGACAACAATGGGTTTACCGGTGCTCAAGGTACACCATGATAGGATATAGAGGCAACGATGGCGGCATTACTGACAGTCATGTCGCTGTAGCTTTCATGAACTTGATCGAAATTTCTCTTGGCCTCTTGTTTGTCCGCATGGTGGGCAACAAGAACTATACACAGGGTCAAGCTAACCTGGTGGGCTTTTCCGCTTCCATTCTCACGCTTGCCAAGACAATCCTGTACTGGCTTATGGAAGTCTTCTCTGCTATGGAACATACCAAGCACAATGATTGGATGACTTGGATCTTTTTGTGGGTGGTAAGTGAAGCTGATCCGGGAGGGGGATGGTCATCATGTCGTGACCGAGCCTATGTAACTTTTTACGTTTTAGATCCCCAATGGCATTTGGCTGGTTGTTCCTTCCATTATCTCTTTGAATTTGGGACGCGATCTTTTCCAACGTCTGGAACATGGTAAAACCGAGTAATGATACAAGGTGTCTTGTCATTTCATTCTTTTATTTATGGTGTTGTATTGAACAATTCGACCGTAAAGTCATTGATCATTCGAATAAATTAATGAGAGTTTAATGCTTTAGAGGTACTCCTGTATTTTTTACTCACTTTTGACCTGAATTGATGTATAAAAGACATGTTCATAAAGTGGCGGATATAAAATGAAAAAAAAAGGAAACCACAGATTCGATTTGAGGGAAGATCGGTATGATGACACTTACGAAATTAGTTCTTCCGCGAGCTCCTTCTTTCTTTCAATGTCTTCAATTTCTAACGACAGACTTTGAATTGATTTTCCAACTCATCCAATCGAGCCTTCTTTGCTACGCGGTCCTCTTCTAGGAGCTGAAAACCGTCTTCGAAGGCCCTAATCAATCAAATAAACGTAGTAAATATAAGATTCGACAAAATATGTGCATTGAGCTTTGGGATTTGCGTACCTTTTCCAGCCTGTTTTCGTTGTTACCTGTGGGCTTCCTATTCCTTGAGATTGATATCCCGGAGATTCAGAGCTTACTCGTCGTCGCGAGGTATGCAAGAAACGGTCCTTATCAACCGGGCTGTAAGTGGTTTCAATGCAATTCTTGCGTGTTGGTCTGACAGCATAGATTAATCCGTCGATAGTCAAGCCCGTTGAGCGATATGTTTTGTAGAAAACAGAGGCCATGTCATGGCTGGCAAAGTGTAAAAAAGCAACACTACAGCAAAGATGAGAGAGCACTCTATTTATTACTTTTAATCGCCACCTTTGTAATCGAAAATGACCTTGCTTCTTGTTTGGACGATACGCATAGACATGAGCTTCGTTGTAGAAGTTAAATGAACCTGCTTACGCAAGCTTTTTTTTTTTATTATTATTATTTTGTTGGCTTCCTGCGCATTGCAGCTAATGCTTTGACGCCTCGGAGGCAGGAGATAAAAAAAACTTCCCGTATTACCGCCGTAAGTTTACTGTCCTTTCTCACTTTGTTGTAAGGTATCAAAACAATCTTCTTTTGTTTGATTCTTCGGAGTTCTGCTCTATTCCCACCCCCTTTTTTTAACTGTACATCGCAGCTGATGCCATGATAATTCTCACAGCATTTCCCAAAAAGACGGTTTCAACGACAGTCCATCAAAAGAGTCTATAAAATGGATATACCACCGCGTCAGCCAAAGTTCTTTCCTTTTCGCCGAACCTCCATACTACTTTTCAAGGTCACCTTTCTCTCCGAGGTGGTCTTTTTTTTTTCTTTTTTGCAATGAACTGAAGGTGAGCTCAAGGCTGTTATCCTTTAAGAATAGAAATTTGTAATACTAAATATGATTTTCATATAATAGTTTATTCGACTGACCGAAAAATAGCAAATAAAGAAAAAACAGCTCCCTCCGCTACCAGAGTCCAGTAGCAAAAGTTGCCCGTTTCTAGCGGTAAGGATTGTTTATCGCATTAAGGAATCCAGTTACATCACGCAGTATCCGAATATCGTTCAACCCGTTATTTTTACTCATTTTCTTTCGTCCGATCGCACAACCGCTTATTTTCCGCAGCCAAACGCATCCCCAACATTCCCACTCACAAAGACTGCTTTCTATTTTTAACCAATGAGGAAATGGGTAGGAACAGCCACTACTCCTTCCACGTATCATGCATGTTGACGCCCTCACAACATCATGATACCACACCCATATTTAGTTCCTAAAAAATATATAAAGATAGGGAAGGTTCCTTCTCTTTCTCTTTACTCTTATCCTTCGGGCCCAATCCTTCAGGACTCACGTCCTTTGGGAATCACTCTCTTTGGGGATCATTATTCTACCCCTTGGGCATGTTTCCTCAAGGGCTCTTTAAAAAGAGAAAAGAAAATGAAAAAAATGGGATTATGCTGTGGGAAATTAAAAAAAATAATTTCACTTCCTTTTTTTGGGAGCGCTCGTAGTTGGTATTTTTTGGTGGCCACTTTTTTACGGATATTTGTATTTCAAATTTCAATAAATCGCCCTTCGTTATTTCTTTAACTGTTTTTTTTTTTTTTTGGTATTGTAAAGCCTTCTATATCCTCAGTAACCGCTCATCTGTGAATTCTTTGTGGCGTGGCAAACGTTTTCCAGTGGAATGACGTTAATTTTGTCGTTCCCTTTTCTTTTTTGATGAAACTTTTAAGATTTTATACTATGACAAACACTTTATTCCCAATATGCGAATGGGCAACCTTTTCGATGAGCATGGTGAAAGAGCTCATAACCAGTGGAAGGTGCCTTGCCGAAATTACGGGTCCAAACATTGTGCTTGAAACAGTAATAAGCTGCCAGACTTATGTGGCCAATAAACCTGCTGAAAAGAATATTGTGGAGAAAGAGGTTTAAGGAAACAGAGACTTTCAACGCTAAACCTGCTAAATCAGCAGTTTACGAGACTTGTACAGACAAATAAATAGAGGAACCTATTGAGAGAATGATTGATAAGCCTGAGGAGAAAGGAAATATCACTAAACTTACCAAAAAACTCTTAGTTAACCTATGTGTCTCGAAAAGATAATATAGAAAATACTACTCTTCATGAAAACGAAGTTGAAGAATGTGTTAGAGGCTCCAAAAGGCCACGCTTTACAGTATTTCGTTTTTCATGCAGTATAAAAATAATGACCCCCTTTTTTCCCTTCGCGCCTTCAAAAGCTGCGCAGTCGTGAAATAAACGATGAATGATATGGAGACAACAACAACCTCAATACCTTCGAAGACACTATGGAAAGAGCACCAATCGAGTTCACAATTACGTCTGGCGAAAATAAAAAATATGGTACGAGAGAAGATACCCTCGACTAGGCTTGCAGTGCGTTTCTCATGCAAAACAGCGGATATTTCGCGGCAACATTTTAATGGAATCAGATCAGCGATGCATCGGTGTTCAAAGTCATTCACCCGACCGCTGCAATGATACCACAACAAGAAAAAATTGCATAGCTACGTCAAGAAATCGTTATTCTCGGGCACTCTGGCCTGGTCCTTTGGGATACTGATATACTGGCGCAATATGTCAATGATCATTAGGGCGAAACTGAGATGCGAACTCTGATTTCATAGCCATTTAATTCAAGGAGAAAGAGAAACAAGGGTATGAAAAAAGATGAAAGGACTTGTTTATTCAGACACTAATGACAATGGAATGAATACCATGATGCAGGTGCATCTTTGGATCAAGACAATTATAACTGTAGTATTACATGTGGAAGGGACAGACTTGAAACATGAAGATGTTACGCTTTCTGCAGTCCTTTTTCGGTTATCCATTGCTGCAATGTCTCGGGGTCGATCTTCTTGCGTGGATTGTGTTGGAAGACGATGTCCATTTCCTCAAGGGTATACCCTTTGGTTTCGGGATAGCTGATATAAATATGAAGAGCCATAAGAAAGTTGAAAGCTGCAAAGAGCATGTATAAACCGTAGTGAATCTTTTCCATGAGGATAGGAACGATAAAGTTGAGTAACCAGTTGAAGAACCAGTTGGCGGCGGTGGAAAGTGAAACCGCCAAAGCACGTACGCGAAGGGGGAAAATTTCGGCAGGATAGATCCATCCGAGCGGACCCCACGTCGTGGCAAAAGTGGCGACAAACAAGTAGATGCATGCAACAACGCCCTTGGATTCCGAAGGATTATTTAAATAGACGACGGATTTCCCTGTATTTGGATCAAGCGACCACTGTCCGGTACTCAAGATGCCGCCTACCGTCCACAGAAACACAGACATGCCCAAGGCCCCGAGGATCATGGTAGGTCGGCGACCCCATTTATCGACAAAAAGAATCGCAGGGACCGTCATGACTACATTGACCACATACGATACGCCCGACGAGACAAGTCGCGCTTCCTGACTGTCGCCAATACCAGCCTGTTCAAAAAGATAGACGACGTAAAACATGATAATATTCATGCCCGTCAGCTGCTGCCATATCTGAAGACACACACCAAGGAACACGCGATAAGCTAAACCTGGCTTGAAAATATCCGCATAACGATGGCTCGCCTGCTCTCTGTCAAACTGAATAGCGGCCTCGATTTCTTTGATTTCCTGGAGAAAAAAAAATCCCATTTACTATTATTACCTGCAGTGTCACAAAACAAATTGATCGGACCAACTTACGATTTGAACTCTTGGATGATCGACGTCACCATGGCCATGAATGTCAGCAAGTACTTTGATGGCTTCATCCATGCGACCTTTATCCGCGAGCCAGCGTGGCGAATGAGGAAACGCCCACATTCCGGCAACTAAAATGAAGGCAGGAACAGACTGGACTGCCCATGGTATACGGAAAGCGGCGGTACCTGGTATAAATTGTGAACCGTATTGAATCCAAAACCTAGAAACCGCGTGAGCGTGTTACAATCCAAAGCCAATCTGCCAAAAACCGCTTTTACTCACGAAATCATGATGCCCCAGGTGATACTCCATTGTTGCACGGAAACGATGCGTCCACGAATTTCTTTGGGGGACACCTCGGATTGGTAGAGTGGAACAACCATGGACGTGATACCAACCGAGATGCCTTGAGAGTGACGCAGAGATCCCCGAACATGAGATTGCGCAAAATAGTCATGAGGATGAATATCTTACCATTAATAACACGTCCTACACACAACAGGGGCACACCGTTCGCCACCGCTTGAAAAAGTGATCCGATGATGAAAAGAGCCGATGCGCCAATCAAAGTAAATTTGCGCGAGTAACGATCGGCAGGGAAGCCAGCACACAAGGCGCCTACAAAGCAGCCTGCACTCAAGGCGCCGTTGATGCCTCCCTGCAACACCGCATCTGGACGGTGAAAGTATTCACGGTATCTAGAGCCGAACCAATGAGAAAAAAAAAATCATCGCTGCTATCCTCATCAAGGTGCCTACTGTTCTGTTCCAATGACGCCAGAGTTCGATCCAATATCGAAACCAAACATGATACCAGCTATTGCTGCAAATCCTCCGATTGCCTACGTCAGGTACCATACATCAGGACAAAATGTACAACTGTGATGAATAGTCCATCCATCTTACATAAATATTCGTAGTGATGTTTTTCATCTTTTAAATAGGGTGAAGATCAAGACATATAGAAAAAAGATGAACCTGAAAAAAAAAAGACAAAGAAAGGGGGAATATTGCCATATTTATTGTATTTGCACCAAAAACCAAATAAAAAGGAAAAATGTTCTCAAACTCATTTTGTCCAAAAGAAGAGTCGCGTTTCGAGGTACTGCATAGGATGGTTATGCACGGTATGTGGAACAAGAAGGCCAAAAAGAAAAAGGGTCAAACATCATAGTGTAGCACGTCGCTTTGGGCTGCCCAAATTCATTACAACAACTGAATAGGGCGTCAGCCGATATCATGCACGACCCTTGGGATCTCACGGTAAAAAAAAGCCTTTATAGGCAATTTCAAGGTAATTTGACACTCCCTCGTGATGGAAAATATTCTTAACTGGAAAAAAGCTGCATCGCAGTGTTGCGCATCCTAACGTCACATAAGAAAAGAAATTTCGTAGTGAGAGCCGCATGTGAATGGGCAACATGGTTACACACCGTTTGCTATGGTTGAACACTTTTTGTTTTTGTGTTGGATTTTCTCAGACTGTTATCAATCCCATCTTACCTTAATCTGCTCGATTGACCCTTTTACTAGCTTATTTTATCCCACGTTGCAATTTTTGTACCAATGAAAAATTAACAGGATGAACCAGTAACTGTTCTGCTGGAATTTTCCATTCCAAAGATCTACTTTATTTCACAACACGCTAAACTCAGAACCAATGACAACCAGGGACACCGATGCTTTCCTGCACAGGACCCATGGAAAAGAACAGTTGGGTTCGAGCCCTCCATTGTCCCGCAAAAGGAAATCAGCCAATGATTGGATGAATAAATCATTCAAAGTCACGATTCGCACCTTTTTGCAAGCAACCATTCGATTTGGATCGTACTATGGCAACAAAAATGCGTGTCCAAGTTAATTGAAAGAGCGGGTTCCCTTATAGTATGTTGCTTTATGATCCATATTCAACCATCAGACAGAGCTTTAGAGTATAATACCTTGGAAAAATATGGGGAGAGGGATAAAAAAAGATGGCGGCGGTTCAAACCCGAAAAGATTGACAATTTGAGACTCCGTCGTCCCAAAAGTGTTTTTTTTGTTATTTTTTCTAGATCTCGGGCTTTCTCTTCCCTTCAACTCTTCTTCTTTTCAATAAACGTTGCAACGATGAGTGAGCGAATAGCGGCGTTTGACGAAAAGTCGACTCAATCGATTCCAGAAGAAGTTTTGTATACCGACGTACCAGCGACAGAGATCAAATCAGCCGCCAGTTTCGAGCAATTATCACCGCCTGATGGTGGACGCGGTTGGGTTATTGTCGCTGCTTCCTTTTGCGTAAGTCCAATTGAATTGTCGCTGTAGGAAAAAAAAAAGTGGAAGCGTGGGCTTTCAATACTAAACTTGTTCAAAATTCGAATTTTTTTAGGGTTTGTTCTCCATGTAAGCTAATTTGACTTTGCGAAATGCTTGGAGGATAGGCCATTGGTTATAACTGGTTTTTTTGGTGTTCGTTTGTCATCCCAATTAGATTTGGCTACAATTACTCCTGGGGTGTGTTTCTCAACTACTATAATCGATATGTTTTCGTGGACCAGATGCCCACATTGTCATGGATTGGATCTATTTGCGTGGCCTTGTTCTTCATTCTGGGTCCCATCAATCAATTGGTGATTCGTAAAATGGGATACAAGTACATGCTGGCTACCGGCACCGTTTTATGCTCAGTTGCATTGATCTTGGCCAGTTTTGCTACACAGGTAAATGTTTTGCTTCTTCCTGATTTGTCTTTGTGTCCAAGTGGCGAACCATGCTGAATGAAACAAATCGATCCAAACCAGGTGTGGCATGTATTTTTGACCCAAGGTGTCCTGTTTGGTGTTGGCGCTTCATTTGTATGGTTCCCTTGTATTGGAGCTCCGCAGCAATGGTTCTCAGAACGACGAGGACTGGCAGTAGGGATTGCCATGTCTGGATCCGGCATTGGTGGTCTGTGTGTCTCCAATATTGCTCAAGCCATCATCGCTTCGCTTGGCTATCGATGGGCGTTGCGTATCATCGGTATCATGTGCTTTGCTCTTCTTTCCCTTGCCACCGTCTTTGTTCGGCCTCTGGGCACGGCTCGCCAAACCGGTGGTCATGACAAGGTTATCAATTGGTATCTGTTCAAAAATCCGCAATTCACCATCATGTTCTTGCACGGCCTCATTACAACCTTTGGTTACATGGTAAAATAATAACATCAGGGTGCACTCTAAAAATTTATTGTTGCTCACCGCATTTTATTTTTCCTCTTCTTAGACGCCCTTCTTTTTACTTCCAGGTTTGTGTTATGGCGAATTTATTGACGAAAAAAAAAACATATCTAATACCTTTTTGATTTGCAATCACAGCGCATGCTGCTAGTCTCGGATTGAGTCCATGGATTGGTACGAATTTGTCTGCCATCATGTCGGGCGTCAACGCTGCGGCCCGTATTTGTACAGGTTACATGGGCGATAAACTCGGTCGATTCAACAGCTTGTTCCTTTGCACGTTTTTGGCGGGTGTTTCTTGCTTGACGATCTGGATCAATGTGCACAATGCAGCGACCTTGTGGGCATTCGCTGCGTTGTATGGTTTCTTTGGTGGTGGCTATGTGGCGTTATTTCCTACCGTGCAACCGCAAGTGGTTGGTTTGGAACACATTTCACCGGCGGTTGGTTTGCTGTACTTTACGAATCTTTTCGGTTACATGTTTGGCACCCCCATTGCTTCAGCTCTGATGCGTCTTTCGGATCCTCCGGATTACCGTGCAGGTGCCATTTGGGCAGGCTGCACTGTTATTGTTGGCGCGTTGTTCGCTGGTTGGCTGCGCGTAAAGAAAGCCGGTTGGAAGCTCATTAGAGTATAGTTTTAGATCCTTATTCATGTTCCTTCTCATCCTTGTTCTCATTTTCATATTTTTCAAATTGTCGTCATTTTGTTTTTTGTCTTTTTTTTATAAAAAAAATGTATAGAGTCGTTCCCACATCCCCGTTCCGCAGCACAGCAGTCTCGCGTTCCTTATAAAAAATTCAGGCGAATTTTTGATTGTTCGTTTCTCCTCAATACCAGTCAATGACACTCAACATTTCAACGAGTCGACTTGCCAAAGAACTGAGTATGTCGTTGGTTACACTTTTCCAATTATCGTTTCGCAGTGTACCATTGGCTAATGCAGCGAATGTCACTTTTAGGGGCTTTGGATAAAGATCCGCCTCCTGGGATCGTATGCTATCCAATAGACGACGACATGACCAAACTTGAATCATGTAAATTGCTTGTTTCCTCAGTGTGCCATTGTCAAGAGCTAGGCTCATGTTTAGGATCTTTGTTTTTTTTTCTCAATCTAGACATGAAAGGACCTCCTGATTCTCCATATGAAAAAGGACTTTTTCAACTCGAGATTCGAATTCCTCAACAATACCCGTTTGAGCCACCCCAGATACGCTTCAAAACACCCGTTTACCATCCCAATATTGACGATGGAGGCCGCATATGTATAGATATTTTGAAGGGAGGCGAGAAGGGTGCGTGGAAGCCGTCGATGAACATAGCCACGACCCTTATTTCGTTGAACCAACTGTTGGCGTGTCCCAACCCAGATGATCCTTTGGACGCGGAAATCGTAAGACCTAACCATTATCGACACTCGGATTATAATTTCTCACACCTGTTGGTATATCGCAGGCCAAAGAATACCAGCTGGATCATGAACGATTTCTTCGGAACGCCAGAGCATTAACTTTGAAATATGCAACAGGCCAGCATCATGTAAGTTATTGGAAGAGAAATATGTATTTTTACGCAGACCACTGATTATCCTGTGATAGTCTGCCGAAACGAACGATCCAATGGACGCACCATTGAATGAAACAGCTTTTACAGAACCTGCAGGAATCGCATTGTGTAAAACAACGGACACAGCTAGTGCCAGTAATGGCAAATCCCGATTATCGCTATCAAAGCGGAAGCAGAAAGCGAAAACCAATCCGCCATCAAGTGATCCTACTGATAACGATGCCAGCACCGATACTGCACTAACCTTCTCATCCTCATCCTCATCCTCGCAAAAGCAAGTATCAGCAAATAAGCAACCAGTAACTCCGACTGCTGATACGCGCAGCGAAACGGACAATAAGAAACTGCCAGAAGAAGCACCGTCCCTACAGTCCAAAAGCTCCGCAGAAAATGGTGTTGAAATACCATTATGCGATGCAGAAAATTCAGATCATGATAAGGCAGATGGCTTTGGCAGAAACAACGCCATCCCCTGTGGCAATCCCCAAAACCATCTTCAGGAGAGCGCCGTCGAGGAGTCTTTAGCAGGCACATGCTCGGAAGCCCAGGAACCATTGAATGCGTCTTTTGAACTCGCCTTTACGAACATTTCTGTCACGTCATGCGATGAAGGGACGAAAGAAGACGAGGCGCCACCATCAAGCGAGCCATCTCCACCACGTGAGACATCTCCACTAAGCGAGGAAGATGATGAGTCAACAACGCTGAAGATGGAAAAAGAAGCAGCCAAGGAAAATAACATGACAAATAAAACGAAATGCCCGTTGGCAATGAGCCAGGAGCCGTCGGCTGCCGGAGAAAAACGGCCAACGTCAGTTCCAAACAGTGTTGCTTCCGTGGAGGAGATTCATGCGTCGTTATCAACGAGAGGAAGTTCCCAGCCACTCGGCAACGTTCCATCCAAGTTACTGCAGGACCACTTTACCAATTCTCAGCCCTTGTTACCCATGATCAACGATGATGATGATATTGTTATCGAATCCCGGCTCACAAAGGCCAAACGAACCAAAGTGAACAAATTAAGCTTGAGCCGAACAAAGAAGCGAAAGATCAACTGATCATTCAAGTCTATCTCCAGTCCATTACCCACCTACTTCCCTGATCTACCATCACTCACATCCACCTTTTTCACATCCTTATGTACATGACCCTTCCCCTTTCCATTCCTATATAACAATCTTCACATTGCATCATCCTTTACATTAAAAAACAAAATATAGATACACAAGAGCTTTGTAGTGACATTAAAGTATGCCAGTTTCTTGACGATACCTCTTTGTTTACACCTATTTTTCATATACATATCCGATCCCTCTGGATGTATTTGGATAGGATCTCTTTTTATTGATTTGTTTGTGATATAGGGACCCAAGTGCAAGAGTCTGAATTTTTTTTTTAAAGAAGCGGAACCTTTTTTCTCGCGATGTGTCAGCACAATTCATTATCCAGTCACGCACGGTGGACGACCGTTCATGCTGCTGATATAAAGGCGGGGTGCATAGAAAAAGGATCACTGGTTCACCAAGCATGTCCACCGTCGATCTTCCGCAATTAGAAACTTTGGCCATTCAACTCTCGGCCACCGGGGTAGCAGAATTAGCATTCAATCGACCTCAACGTTACAATGCTCTTTCTCCAGAAGCATACAAGGTAACTTGGTAAACTGTTGGTCGAATCAGGGAACCACCCAACTCATAAATTGTGCTATAAAACTTTGAATGACAAAAGGACTGGCTGAAAGCAATCCAGTGGGCGGCATCCTGTGATCGGGTGAAAGTGGCGGTTTTGACGGGAAGAGGCAAGTATTACACTTCAGGACAAGAGCTGCGACGGCCCGACCTGTCCGCGGTTGGTCAAGACGCTCAGGTGAGAAAACTAGACGTGACCAAGTAAGTAGCCATACTATCTGTTGTCGTTTAGTCCAACACTAACGATCCATGTTCCATGTTTTCAGGACCTTGGTCGATGAATTGATCAAATTTCCCAAATTACTGATTGCAGCGGTCAATGGACCTGCTTTCGGATTTGGTGTCACCACCTTGGCGTTGTGTGATGTGGTCTATTCCGTGCCTCATGCCACTTTTAACACACCTTTTATGAAATTAGGTAAGGAGAAACAAAAAAACTGACATTTAATCCAGTCAAAAACATGTTGATTAATTCATGTATTATGCAGCTTATTGTGCCGAAGGCTGTTCCTCGGTTTTGTTTCCAAGGTAATTTGCGTTTTTTCGAGTCTAGAATTTTACAGCAAATGTTGATTGATCTGCGATTTTAGAATTATGGGGCCATCCAAAGCCAATGAGATGCTGGTATGTCTCTGTAAAATGGAGAGAGAGTGAGGGAGAGAGCAATGCCATGTGGACTGAACTCTGTTTCAAACAGCTGATGGGTCGTACATTTACTGCTGAAGAATTGGAACGATGTGGACTGATCAGTCGCATTTTCCCTGCCGAAAATTTCCTTCAGACTGTGTTGACAATAGCTGAAGACTGTGCCAAGTTCTCCGTCGATGCGATGAAAATTACCAAAGAGTTGATTCGTGGTATTGATCGTGATTTGCTTCTGGAAGTGAACGCTAGGGAAATGCAACAACTACTAGAACGTATGAGAAGTCAAAATGCAATTGATACCCTCAACCAATTCGTTGATGGAGTGGAAAGAAAGCGGGCAATGAAGAAGGCCAAACCGAGTAAATTATAGAACGTTGTTGCCCCATGGTTTTCAAAAGCTATTATTAATTGATTCTCGGACCCCTTACTTATCGATTACCAAAACACATTTTTGTCAGGCCCGCTGAATAAACATTGTATAAAATTCCAGATGAAAAAGCACTGCAAGTGGTTGTATTCTTTCGAACCAAGTTAACGTCATAGACTTGAAGTAATGAGTGTACATTATTGAGTTAACCAAAGAATGGTATGATGGTGCTATACATTCTCATGTTTTGGCGATTCATCTGGGTACAGTATTGACTTGCCTGAGGTTTTGATCCATGTTCACGTATGTTCGGTCGGATGCCAGCGCCAAATATTATTGACGGAATAATACTGTGTAAATGTAACATATTTACGCTATCCAGCAAAAATAAAAATAAAACAGTGATGTCAAAACTTTAAGGGGGTTTTTCCATGTTGGCATCTTGGAAACGAGTTGTTGAACGAATTGAATATACCGATTGACCACAGTGCAAATGTATCTTTTGCGTGAGCCATTTAGCGATGCCGCTTTTTTTTGTGATGCTTGTTTGTCCATAACATCTTTTTATTTTTATTTTTTGATACCATAGTCCCGATGATGCATGTTCTCGCCCACAATCACCTTGGCTTCATAACAGTGGAATAGTAATAAAAAGGGTTATCGAGAAATTTCCATGTCAATTTTTTTGCCAGATGGCTTACACAATAATATTCTCGGGCGTAATAGAATTGATCATTATGAGAACAATCAGGCTCAAAATCGACATGAACAGCATGTTGTATTTCCGTGATAAATACTGTAACATCTTTGATTCACCCCTTTACGATTGCCCCTGGATGGCACGATGTCGAGTATAAAAATCGCTAGAACTAGAGACCCTTCAAAGATCCCTTTTTTTTCGCCCTAGACACTACTGTGATGAAGCCTGTTCATTCATTGATTTTCAGCTGCTTGATCGTCCTTGCCAGCGTTCACATAACATTGGCGCAAATACCTGCATGTGCTGCTCAAGCTGTGTAGGTATCTCGTGTGAATAGCCACGGCCCTGAGATGAGAAGAGATTCCCCACGACTCATGCCCCAATTTTTATGTTTAGCTTCAACCTGTGTTTGCAAAACGAAGATGGGTATTTAAAAATGTGCAGCAACGAAGGTATGTGACATTCCATCTTATTTCTGGCCATAGAAACCGAGAAACGAAGAAGAAAAAGGAATAGCATTGATTGAATTGTTAGTTTAGATTATAATTGTCTTTGCAAGGTAAATAGGCGCATGAGACCTGTCAGTTTCAAGGGATGCAAATCCAACCTCGATGATTTCGTGGCATGATTTTCTAGTGGCATACGGCCAAACTTGCGTGTTGGGATAACTGTCCCAATGACCCGGCAAGAAGCGCTCAAGATGGACTTCAGCAAACGTTTTGCGCTATTGCTAAAGCACACAATAGCACGACTTCTGGGTTAGTGTGCAAGACACAAGGATGGGAGACAATTCGAGGAGGTCACAAGTGAACTGATTACACCTTATTTTTCTCTCTTGAACTTGAATTCTATTTATAAAACAGACAACCCAGTAACCCTGCACCAAGCATCACTTCCAGTGTGTTGGCGACGATCTCCATGACGAGCGCTCCCGGTAGTTCAACATCCGTCTCCAATATTATCCATATTCACTCGTTGGCCGCACCACTGTCGATGCATTCTTCCTTGATGGCTGCTATTCTAGGCGTTCTACTGCTTATCTTGACGACGCAGTAATTCAGCCTTCTTTTTGAAGACGATTGTTCCTCATTTAGATCTTTTTTTTTTTTCTCTTCAGATTTCTTTTGTTTTGCATTTTTTCTTTTTATAACGATCTTATTTGCTAAAGATAAAATAAACTTCAGCCTCGTTACTTGCGTCCCGTGCCACATCAACAGCCAAAAGGCTATTTTTTCCCTTTCTTTTTTTTTTTTTTTTTTTTTTTTTTGCTTTATCTCTCAATGACATATTTTTGCGTTTTTATTTCTGGACCGACTGTCGATCGGTGAAAGAAAAAAAAATTGGGATGACGATGATCCTAAAAGCAGGAAAACCCAAAGGGTTTTTCTTTTTATAAACGCATTATACTCGGTATGGTAATGGATGGATGATGCGATTGGTAAATCCTGGAAACCCAATCCAGCCACTCTTGGAACCCCGCACTACTTGAATCCTGCGATTCAATATGCTGTTATGACATCTACGTTTCAAAAAAAATGGAACCAAGCAACAAGAATCCACACAGTTTAACCCATGAGAAAAGAGATCGATCCAATGTAAAAACGAACATCACCTAAAGTAACTTGCACCACTTTAGAGATTTTTTCTCAAAGTAAAGCTATTTTTGACATGGATTTTCATGTCACGCGATGATTCACAAAAATTCAATGTAAAGGAAAAAAAAAAGAAAACATGAATCGGCTATTCTCGACCCACCGGCCACCAGGGTTACACGGCTGGATGTCTTGCCATCCTTTGGCTCCGCAAATCTCAGCCCCTTTTCCCTTTTCTCTTGGTGACTATATATTTGTTGCATTCATTTTTAGTTTTCTTAGTTCTTTTCTCTTCTTTTTATTTCATCTTTAGACTTGGGAAAAAGCCTTCAATTTTTTTTTATTCGTCCATTTCTTTTTCAACGCAAACATGCGCTGTCTTACTCTTCTACTTACTGCGACCATTGTGTCGGTTACCAGCGCCGCCGAACTGACTCGTATTCCGTTGTATAAACGATGGAACTCGCCGGGACTGAAAAAAGAACCTATGATCTACGATGATGGCTTGGTATGTTGAAATGATCCCCCCAAAAAGAAGTCAGAAAATTTTTTCGTTTTACATGCATGCTTACCTATTCTTTGCAGCTCGTAGCCAAAATGCAAGTGGGTATGTAAACTTTGGCAACCTTCCGATTTTCGGTATCAACGTTCCGGACACGAAAAAAAAAAATCTTATGTAATGATGTGAATAGGCACCCCGCCACAAGACTTTGATGTATTGTTCGATACCAGTTCCTCGTTGGCTTGGGTTCCTTCGACAAAGGTACTTCTTTTTTTTTTCTTTCTTTTGACAACCTTATAAAAGAAGGAGATGAAGGAAATAGAAAAGCAAAACAAAACAAAACAAAGAAAATTAGAATTAGAACCAGAACATGTAGGATTAACTTGCTTATTCTGTCCTTTTTTTTGTTTTGATTTGTACGTAGTGCCACAGCTCCGAATGCAGACAGCATGACAACCGTTTTGAAGCTAATCATTCGTCAACTGCCGTCAATCTTCACAAGAAGCAGTCGATCATTTTCGGTGATGGAAAATGCATTGATGTTGAACTTTACAGAGTAAACACGATCGTTCCTTTCAAAAAATGCATATACATTTTCTGAAACAGACCCAATGACTGACTCTCCCTTTTTTTTTTTGCAGGATACCATTAGCGTGGCTGGATTACCAGTAACTGATCAGCTCTTTGGTTCAGCTTACAGTGTGTCTGGCATTGGCGACTCTAAATACAGTAAGTTGAGGAACGCAGGTTCTCTATCTATTTTAATATGTTTACTTAACATTGATTTTTTTTTTCTAGTGGGTATGCTCGGCCTTGGCGGTTTTGCCGAAGACGGTTCAACCGACTATTTAAACTCAACAAACAAGAAGGCAACGGCCGGATCGCGAGGTAAACATGCGTCTCTATTTTTATTTCTGCATTTTGGGCGCAAAATGACAGAGAGAAAAAAAAAAAGATACTGACGTTTTTATCTTTACTCTTTTTTTTTTGTTGGTGAATTGTTTTCGGTGTCTCCCCTGTAGAAATTTGGTCTCGACAATGTAAGTTCTAGACTCCTTTTTCAAGGGAAAAAAAAAAGGCGGCGGTCCCAAAGACGCATTTTTTAGCGACTCCAGAAATCACTAATTAAAGAATTTCTTTTGGAATGCTTCTTTTTATAGATTCAAATACTGGAGGATATGCCCAGAACGGATTTGGGATGGGCTACGGCCAACAGTCGCAGCAATTCGGTATGTACCAAACCGCCGGCAGCGGATTCATCTCCAAACGTTGGAACCAGCCCGATGCCGAGTTTATTTTTGGCGGTGTCGATCATACCGTGTACAAAGGCAAGATCGCCTATTTGCCCTTGCCCACATGTGACTATGGCGATTCGCCATACTGGAAAGCAACATTGACGTGCGTGAAACTGGGCCACAAGGTCGACATCAAACTGGCTCCCAAATCCTTGGCAAGCATGAATTCCGGTACCAAGTTTATCAGCGCTCCTGAGAAACAGGCGGATCTGCTACACAAGGCCATTGGCGCCACCTATGATTCGGAAACCCACACATACCAGATGAAGTGTTGCGAAGTTGACAAGTTGCCCGACCTTGAATTCAGTTTCCAGGGTTATAAAATTACGCTCCCGCCGTCGCAATGGACCGCCAAGACCAAACACGACGATGAGATGTGTTACACCATGATCCGTCGCAACACGCACGAGAAGGACTGGATTCTTGGAATGTCTTTCTTGAACAACTTTTATCATATTTACGATCTTGGTAACAAGAGGATCGGTCTCGCCGTCACCAAGAGTAACACCAAGGCCGTCATTCGAAAGACAGGTAGCCGAAAGAGATCATATAATTAGAAAAACTTTCTAGATTGGTCAGCTTCTACTCACTTTTGTCCATCCTCATTTTTTTATTCCTCCGTTTCTATTTCCTTTTTTTCTTCACCCATTTTTCGTGTGTTTCTTTGTGTCCCCCCATCCCATTCATTACATAGTTTAGTTTTTTTTTTTTATACATCTGCTCAACACCTGTCTTTTATAACGCATCTGTAAACTTTTTTTAGATATCCACAAAAACCCTTTTACAAAAAAAAACCGTAGTTTATCCCGTCTATTTTTCTTTTTTTTTAACCATTGCCCTGTTTTACGAAGGAGAACCCTTGTGGCGTTTTTATAAAAAAAAAATGAAAAAAATAATAACCCAACAATCCCATTATCCCAAACGACGATTGCCTTTCTTGGCTTGTTCCATAAACGGATCTTTCCGTGGAAACGGGTGGCAGTCTTTTTTTCAAACATCGATGGTTGCACAATGTCGTCAATCCATCCCACTGGTCGCCGGTAAACGAAAGAAAAGAGGGAAAAAATAGAAATGATGATGATGAGGATGATGATAATGCGGGCTGGGCAAGAATAGGTATGGAAATGGCCTGAATCAATTGTGCCGGAAAAATTTCATTCCCATCCAGTTCCACACGACAAAATAGATCCACACTATCGCAGTAATAGGGACTAAAAGGCAATAATACTGATCGTGCTTGATCCAGTCCAATATCTAGATATCAAAAGGAAAGCCATCAGTTTGCCCCATTCTATAAATAACTCTTTTTTCCTTTCCCTTCCACAGCTCCACACACAAAGAATACCTTGTTATTCGTGTCAGGCACGTATTGACTCCCCACGAGGGCATACATGGTGGTCATGAACATGAGAAAAGTCATGAGCAGTAAAGCATATCCCCAAAGATACGTGGTGTCGGGTATCGTCTCTGAGGTGTGACCCGCTAAACGTCGCGCATGCAATGGTTGAGCTGCAAGGCCTCCGCTGGCTGCAGTCCTAGGAAAAAGAATCGACTTGGAGGGACGGCGACGATGCGATTGCATCAGATGATCATAACATTTCTATTGCCGTGTAGTTCCTCAACCGATTTTTTTGGATAAAAACTTCAAGCAACACAAGTGACTGCGAACTCCGTTTGAGGATCCGCTATCCCACACAGTGCCGGTATTGCCCATGCTCAATGTGTCTTTTTTTTCATGTGGAAGCTCTATTACCGTATCCCATCATGAACCCTCAAATCTTTTGATGGTAACGGACAGAGACATTCGTGCTCTGGATTTTTACTATTTTTTTCATTTTACGTTTACAGGTATAAAATAATTTTTGGTAGTATGTTCTTCAAGCATAGTGCTAATGAACCCATCTCAAAGTGCCGTTACAGCAAGGCCATCAGCGTGGAGCGTGAAAATAAAAACTTTCTTTGAAGCGGTGTTGAACAATATGTAATAAGTGCCGACAGAGTCAGCCCCATTCGTACATCCAAGCTTTGTGTTATAAGCTTCATTGCCGTTCATCAAATCCAATGACTCCGCCTAAATCATAGCCAACACTTCCGACCGTAAGTTGTGGGTTTAACAGTTATACATCTTTCGATGTGGTTTTCTCCAACAAAGGTTTTCCTTTTTCTTTACTTTTTCACCATTTGCTACAATGATCACAGAAAAATTCAAAAGTGGATGCTTCGTTACCATGGTAACTCACGACTGTGATCAATAAAACCCGTCACTTCTTCCTTTCTTTCAAGTGGCTTAACATATTGAGCAACCACAGTTCTCTTTTCTTCAAATGTTATCATCGAGTGAGATAATGATCATTTATCTATGAACTGCTTTGAATACAACATTGAATGGTATTATCTGCTCCACATACTATCGTCTGCAGTACCAGAAGAGCGGTCCCCATGGATTAAATAAAGTGACTAAAGCTTCCAGACGAATTGCAGCCTTATCAAGGCTTTGGTGCTCTATGCTTATGCCAGTCTCAAAAAGTTATAGAAAAACTATTTTGTATATGTATACAGCAAGTAGGAGTCCCCACTAACAGAATTACGGATATGATAATGAACAAAAGCTGTCTTTTTCTCGTGAAAAATGAAAAGATGTAAAGAATCTGACTAAGGAAAACCATATCATAATGTGAGGATATTGTACTCACAATCGGAACAGCAAGTTCAAAAAGGAAGCTTTACAAATGTACCAAGAGCTTCAGGTTGGATAAAGCCGGTTCAAGTTCAACGCGGTTACAATGTATGCATTGGCGAGTGATTGAAATTTGGGTTGATTCACAGTCCGATAAGGTTGATCAGCATGCAAAGCATCGTTCAGGCAATTATCTTTTTGGTGGGCCGTCTCATCTGTTGACATTCCATCTGTCCTCATTATGAATCCTACCCCGAAAGCCAACCTCTTCGAACTCAATCCCAATATCAAGAGGCTTTTAACCATTGATACTTTCAAGGCAAGCTTCGACAGATAACAGAGATAAACCATAACCGGTCGCGACTTACCATGTGAGATGGCAGGGAAATGTGTCGACGACCGAATTTGTAGAGCAAATTTCGAGTAATGTCATTCAGCAAATGAAGGACTACAGCGGACAAGGTTTGCATGGACCCGCCTTTGTACTCCATCCAAAGGACAGTTCACCAATGACGAAATTTTAGCTGCGTTTGATCCCAAACCCTTTATCCGTACCTTTGAAAATGTGCTTGACGAACTAAAACAACTGCGCACCAGAGTTCAGCAACAATGCGATGAATTGGAAGCTAATACACAAAAGGCCGACCTTCAATACAAGAAAAATATCACGGAACTACAAGACTCATTTGAAGTAAGGCGGCTTTTTTGTCCCGAGTCATGCATGCTTTATCTCAAAAGAAGAGCGGCTGACAAGCTACAATAGGACGTCTATCGATCGTATGACGCATTGGAAAACCGTCTTGGTGATGTGGGAAAGACGGCAATTCGAATTGGTGAACAATTGGAAACTATTGATAACCAGCGATCCAGGGCTTCCGAAAGTCGTGATATTATTGAGTATTTTATGGAATTTCAAGACGGCAGTTCAGAGCGATTGGACATGTTACGATACCAGAGTGGGGATGAAGGGCAATTCAAGGTAATTTCGTCGAATGTATTATGGAAGCCAGGAGGCCCATCATTTTGATATCTCGGATTAGGCTGCTATTATTGGCCGACGGTTGAATGCTGTAGCCAAGGAAATGGATACCAATATGCGTGTAAGTCAGGACTGAATGAAAATTTTTCATCAAAGTGAAAGGTTGTAATCGTGAACCAAAATGACTAGGCGCGAGTGGCTATTGAAAAGTTTTGCGAAAGTTTTGAAAAGGAGATGCTCGAGGAATTTGATAAAGCTTACAAGGAGGGCGATCCACGCGTGATGGCGGTACGTCGATTATGTCACTCAACAACGAAAGCGAATCGTTCGTTTATAACATGGTCCTTCATGTAGCACTGTGCCAAAGTACTATTCGAATTTAACGGTGGAGCCTCATGTGTCAAGATGTACGTGAATCAGCACGAATTCTTCATGTCGAATCTGAAAATCGAAGAAATGGATCACATAAGGCAGTCGGAAGAGTAAGTCAAGACATTGTTATATCACCATTATTGCCCAGACTTCATCTCATGGACCGCTTTCTCGTCTCAGTCATTCCGATCTCTCCGATCCCAATATGGCTCCACCCGAAGTGGATACAAGTCTTGTAAAGTTATATGATGATATCCGCATTACCGCGAGAAGAGAAGCCGAGATCATTTCCGATGTTTTTCCACAACCGGCCATGGTGATGCAAGTATTTTTGCAAAGAACATTTGCTCAATCGGTAAGTGGAAATACCTGCATGGGTGGGATCAAAAGTCATCCATGCTTATCGCTTCACGGCAGATTCAAAATCACATCGAGCTCCTATTATCACGAGCTGAACGATATTCCCATTTGGCATATTTGAGAACATTGGCTTCCACTCACGCCGAGACCAAACGATTGGTGGAAAATCTGAAATTCTACTATGACAAGGAAATGAAGCTAACCAACACAAAGGAGATTAAAGGATTGGTTATTACCGCGTCCCCGGATGAGGTGTTGGATCGGTGCATGGAAGATTTATTCGTTCCCTACACCGAAGGCGATCGGTACCTGAACAGGGAAAAGATCTCTCTCAATGAACTGTTTGGTAGTATTGTCGCCGAATTCTTAAGCTACATGGTAACAGAATAACCGACGTTTTACAAACGGGCGCGCATCGCAAGCAAGGTAGACTCACTTGTCTTTTTTTTTTTTTGATTATCTTTTTAGCAACAACGGAAAAAGACATCCATGAAAAACCAGTCCGTGTTGACGCGCACACTGAATCAAATTTCGGCTTCCTCGTCGTCTGGCATGCTTTCTGCTTCTTCCTCGTTGCAAAATGTCAATGAAGCGGGTAAAATGTCCCCTGCGAGTACAAACCCGTTCCATACGGATTCTCCCCATCATGAGACGGCTGTGGCACCGCGAGTCAACCTTGTCAGAGTAGACGAAGGTGGCTTCTGTTTGTTATCGAAAGATGCCTTGATGCGCCTTTTTACCATCCACGTGGAAGCCATCTTGCGTTGTGTGGAATTGACCGAAACCCAGGAACTGTAAGCTGCGAACACGGTTTACGAAAGCCGTCACCCTGTCTACATACTAATATCCAGGATAGACCTGCCTCGATTCAGGTCCTGTTTGCTCTGTTGATGGATTTCATTGGTACCAAGTATTTGGACATTGTCTTGGACGAGTAAGGGCTAACATGACCCAACAAGCAAAGACATGAGTCATTGATAAACTGCTTTGTAGTGTATTGGAAGAACTGAGTAGCAGAAGCGAGCCTGAAATGATATGCTTTCCAGTCATCAAAGCGTCCATTGAAATCATGCAGCTCGTTCAAGAACATTTCCGCACCGCCATCGTAAGTCTATCCACTTGAGGGCACTCATACAAAATCATTCATCTCGACGTTTACTCTGTGTGACCTTTTGTCATTAGATTCCATTAATCATCAACGCACCGTCCTATCATCGTGATATTCTCAACCAAAAGAATGCTCTTTTATCCGCATTAGAGGACAAAATCAATGGGGTATTGCAAAAGAGCATCACAAGTAAGAATTATCCTCTTTGAAGACGAAAGCCCCACGGTAATTCACTTCATCCAATGATTGTTAGGTATATCGGATTGGTTAAATGAATTACTGGCGAAACAAAAGAAGAATGATTTTAGACCAAGAGATGAAGAAGTCGTGATGATGAGTGCCGGCACCACGGTAGGTCTATGTTGCTTTTTTGGTTACCAATCATCCGATCTGTCGTCCATTTGACTGAGTCTGTGACAAAATCATTGGATAGCCATGTATGTTGTGTGTTGAGTTTATCACCAAAGTCTACCGATCAGCGAGAGAAACGCTTCAGGGGAAAAATCTGGAAAATCTGTTGCTTAGGATAGGCAATAATTTTTATTCGTAAGTATAATGGCTAGAAAAAAGAGACCTTGATCGCGTATCTGATTTTTTTTTAATCTGACATGGCCCGGATAGGATGCTTCTAGATCATTTTAAGAAATTCTATGTGACACCAACGGGCGGACTGTTGATGACAAAGTAAGTGACGACATGTTTGATTTTCGTGTGATTAAGCGATGAAAATGATTAAACGGAATGAAAAAAAAAATCACACAGAGATATCGCCAAATATCAGGAAGTCATTCGAATGTTTAATATACCTGCTTTGAACGATCGATTTGAGATGCTTCGACAGCTGGGCAATATCTTTTTGGTGAAACCCGAAATTTTACGATCGATACTTTCAGAAGGATACCTGGCGCGCTTGGGATCGGATGTACTGCTGCCCTACCTGGAAAAACGGGTCGACTTTAAGAGTGCCAAGCTTGATCGCATGCTGGGTATTACCGTAGACAGCAGTGGTGCGGTGGGTTCACCGGCTCGCCCAGAAAATGCATCTGGAAGAAGTCAGCGTCGATCTCTGTTTGTCAATGACAACACCGTACTCAGAGAAATGATGAGCCATTACAACAACAACAGGGATTTCTTGTCCGCTTTTAATTTGGCTTAATATGGAGATTTCTGTATTCATCCTTTCTGTTTACCCACTTCTCCTTCTTTTAATGGACCAAGAAAAAAATTTAAAATAAAAACAAAAAAAAAAGCAGATGGAGGGTGTTTTGAGTAGGGCATGGTGATCGCCCTTTTGCCAAAAGTGAAGTTGAGTAGAATTTTCTTTTTTTCTTTTTGTCTTATTTTTTCAAAGGGCGATCAGATTAGTATCCCCAGATTTGGTGTTCTGTAACAGCAAGTCCAAGTTGGAATAATGGTGTAACGTGGGAAGCTTATTTCTTTCCGATGCCCAGACTTGTTCAAAAGTCCATATCGACGTTTCTTCATGTTCGATGGATCCACGGTCGGAGGTCCAAGTCAAACCCTTTTTTGGAGGTTCCAATATGACATTCAACAAGATAAATTATTGGATTAGGTCATTATTCTAACCATTTACAGTAAAGAACGCTAATATCTGAAAAGATATTGAGCTTACTCCTCCTCGTGCCTGAATCTTTGCCTAACGAATCGTTGTTTCTCCCTTCCAGCAGCCTATCATTGATATTTATAGAAAAAAAAATTAAAGTCAAAACAATACAGTAACCATGGATTTTAGACCATGTGGCCGGCTTATTCGTTGAATCCTCTGATTTTTGGCGTAACCCGCCGCTTTAGGAAGTCGGCAAAAAATGATATTCTGTGTCACCTGTGTTCAACACCACCATGGTTTCGTACTCTGGATCGTGGGTTACGAAAAAAAATCATCCATTCCACTAATATAGCTAGGTCTGATGAATAAAAAAAAATCACATAAATACAAAAAACCCCAATCAACCACTATTGAGAGAAACGAGGAGCAACTAAGCAACAAAAAAAAAATTCCATGACAGAGGACAATGCGGTCTTTGAACAATCACTGGGGTGTGCACACTTTTGGGTCTATTACGACTTGCCGCTTTGGAACTGAATTTTTTTGGCCTATCCAATCATTTGGGTCCGTCGGAGGCTACAATGATAACATGGATCGGAGTTTGGGATTCTAAAAGATCGACAGCCGTGTCGTTTGATAAATATGGTCAAGTGCAAAATCCCAATTTTCTTTTTCTTCTCTTTTAATTACCTCTTTCTGATCTTTTTTTTTTTTTGGTGTCTCTTCTTTTTCTTTTTCTTCATCTAACCCACTTCCTTCTTTATGGGCACCACAACCACCGCATCTTTGCGTTCAAGGATCGTTTCCTACAGCGCATCGTTGCTGCTGATTTTGGTCATTCTAGGCGCCGTAGGCCGATTCACTTTGGGTAAGAATTTTCGCTTATCAGATGCAACACACATATGCATACATACACATCCGGTGCATCCGAAGAGTGTCGCAATATGTTGGAGGATTTAGTTATTTACCATTTTTTTTTTATTTATTAGAACCGAATGATCGAACCCGGTGCGATGGTATGCTCAACGACGGCTGGTGGCTGGACGATAACTATACCCATTGGCAGCCTTCCGGATGCATGATGCATACCTACAAACCGACCCAGATTGCTACATGTCTCAATCATTCCCATGTTCTTTACGTCGGCGATTCCATCATGCGAGAACAGTTTTATTCCATGTCTCGGTTCATCCACTGGTACGACGTCAAAGGCCCGCTGCACATTGATCGGAAATACGAGTTCAAGGATCATGGCCTCACCTATGAATTTTGGTGGGATCCTTTTATCAACTCCACACGCACCCTCGATATGCTGAGTGGCAAGGATCCTCACACCCGACCGAGTTTGCTCGTCATCGGCTCCGGCGTGTGGTATATGCGTCACCTTGGTGATAAATACTTTGACGAATGGCAGAAAGCCGTCAATCGGGTTTTTGACGCTGTGCAGAACAACTCGCCAGCTGATGCGGTGCTTCTTTCTCCCGTGGAAATGTTGCAGTTCGATTTACTGACTCCCATTCGACAAGAGACCTTGACGGTCGATAAGATCAACACCATGAATGCTTATTTGAAAGATCGCGAAGCTTCTTTAACACGAAGTGTGCCATTTTCGGTGCCTTTTGTTTGGAATAACATCGCTGCCGGTGCTACCAATATGACCCTTGATGGTCTTCACTATCTTTCACCGGTCACAGGCATTCAGGCCGAATTGGCCCTCAACTTTCGATGCAACGAAGGACTTGGCAAGGAATTCCCCATGGATCACACATGCTGCTACCGTTACCCGGCACCGCATTGGTATCAATTCATTTGGTTCATCTTCTTTCTTTTATGGATACCTCTTGGGTTTTATTTGGGTAAGTATCCGATCTCATGGGAAAAAAGTTGGAGTACCACGGCAGGAGAGCAGAGAAGGAGGAAAACGGGATGATATTCGTTTGTATTACAGTTTTGGCTCACAGTCATTTTGTCGTCATTTTTTTTTTTTCGCAGCTTCTGGTCACACACATCGGTTCTTGTCTCGCTTATACCCTTCCGATGTGTCGGTTTTGCAGGCCATTTTCGTGTTTGGGCTCAGTGTGATTTACATGTATTTTGGAGATCGCACGCACATCTTTGCCAAGGCGCACAAGTATTTTGATGTCAACACATTTGCAATACTGATGTTCGTGACCCTGTTGGGCGGACTGGTGTCCCTGCGGTCGAAAAAGGAAGGCGATCAAGGGTTCCTTAACCGAGCTCAAACAAACGAATGGAAGGGATGGATGCAGGTCATCATCTTGGTCTATCATTTCACCGGGGCTTCAGGCACTCCCGGCATCTACAACGCGGTCCGCGTTCTGGTGGCTGCGTATTTGTTCCAAACCGGTTACGGTCATTTCACCTTCTTTTACAAAAAGTCGGATTTTGGTATCAGCCGTCTCCTCAACGTGATGGTGCGACTGAATTTGTTGACCTTTGTTCTCGAATACGTCATGGATACCAACTACATCAGCTACTATTTCACACCTCTCGTGTCGTTCTGGTTCTTGGTCATCTGGCTTACTATGTGGATCGGTCACAGCCATAACAAAAAGTGGTGGTTCATCGTGCTGAAACTAGGCATCATGTCCATTTTTACCGGTTTGTTTATTCATCAGCCCGGTGTGTTGGAGACTCTCTTTGATGGTCTGAAGTGGATGTTCAACATTGATTGGAATGCGGGCGAATGGCGGTTCCGACTTGCACTGGATGCATGGATCGTCTACATCGGTATGCTCTGCGCCTATGCCTACATTAAATATGCCGAGAACAGCTGGCATGAACACAGACTGTGGACACCTGTGAAATATACCGCCATGGTGGCCTCCGTCTTGGCCGTGGTCTGGTATTTCATCTTTGAACTTTCGCAACCCGACAAGGCCACCTATAACAAAAAACACCCTTACATTTCATGGATTCCCATTCTTGCCTTTATCGTGCTTCGCAACACTACTCAACGACTCCGTAACACGACGTCTGCTTTCTACGAATTTATCGGCACTTGTTCGCTGGAAACTTTTATTGGCCAGTTCCACATGTGGCTGGCAGCGGATACCAAAGGATTGTTGGTCGTGCTTCCATGGTCGACGCCAGGGATCCAATGGTGGGTTAATTTGGCCGTTTCCAGTTTTATCTTTGTGGTGATATCGCATCACCTCAGTGAGGCAACAGGCGTCATTACACGATGGATCTGCTCTACCAAGGCCAAGGAAGTTCGCGCTACTCCCACCCATGCTCCTTCGGGAGCTGAATACCAAGCGCTTCCCTTGCTACCTACCTCCAAAAGTGAAGATTCCGAAACCGTGATGGATCCTCCCGCCAACCACCCTGCACCCTCCGCAAGTGACATTATTTTCGAAGTCCCCAAATCGGTGGAAGATACCATGCCTGATAGTGATATCCGATTAGACGAGGAATGGGGAGCCACCGAAAAGCCAGCATCCAAAATGGCTACTGTTTGTCGCGCCGTATACCATAGTTTATGGTTGCGAACAGTATTATTCTTGATCGGTGCTGGTATCATCAATAGATTCTGTTAGAGCTCATGAATGGGTTTCCCTTATTTCTTTTTATCCCTCATTTCTCGCATTCTTTCTCTCAATCGCTTTTTTTCTTATACATATTTCCCTGCTAGTTTTAACACTCTTATTCCTTCTTTTTTTTTTCTTGGATTTTTATTATATTGCACGTTCCATATATGGGATTGTATGGTACAGAGAAAAAATAAATAATACAAATACAGTCGGCAAACACTATTGGAAATATATAGATTAGAGCCCGTGAAGATGACGGAATAAATAAATAAGGTTAAATGGGTTGGTACGAAGAGTGAACGGCTCACGCAGTAGATGTGGAAGGTTCCTGCATGTAGGGCGGAGGCGATCCGGCGGGTTGATACGCTGGCATATCAGACAAGATATTGTCAAGAATTTGCTGTTGTTTCTGCAAGATATCGTTCTTTAGGTTCATAATGATACCATCATGCTTCCTTAATTGCCGTTGCAGATCATCGACTTGCGTTTCCAGCGGTGCCAACAGGTTGATTTGCATTCCTTGCTGAGTCCCTCGGACTTGGGCTTCCCAAACCTGAAGTTGAACTAGACACAAATTGAGTATTGTCGCCAAGATAATCAAAATCCAAAAGTCGCTTGCTATTCCAACTCTCACCTCGGCGCTTTTGATTGCGTTCACGCTGATCGTCCAAAAAGTAATTATCTTTTCGTAATACCATGGAATCCAACAAAGCCTTCACCATATAGGCTTCGGTCGCCCCTTGGGCTTGTAACAGCCGGATTGCACGCTCCACATGATGTTTGGCACCTGCGTCAAAGACATAAGATGACTGAGATACTTCCTGGATTGTTTCAAACCACTTGCCATTCATGCTTTCTTTATGTTCGCCTTTGCTACTGATCGTATTGAAAAGGGTTGGTGAGTCGACGCCCCAGGCTAGCGATTTGCTTGCTTTTCCCAATGATTGGATGGCGCTCGATATGTCATTTTTTTTCGTTTCAGCTTGAAGATGTTCGGTATGACACTGGGTGATATAAGAAAGTATATGAATTCCTTATGTCAGGGCCAGCCGTTGCAAATGACGGAACTTACCCTTGATTTAGCCTGATTTTCTTGTTCAATCTTTTCTGCAAGTGCAGTGACCTCGTGATAATTTTCAACATCGATGGCTTCTTGGAAAATCTAAGCGGAATATTCCAAGGTAACAGAGTTACGAGAGTAATTCGATGACTATCTATAATATGAGGGCCTACATCTGTTACAAATCGATCCAGTTGTAAATGCTGATACTTGTAACGCTGATATTCTTCTTTAGCCGCCAGAACCTATAGTGTATGGAATGATATTTTGAGCAAGGTCCCGGTCACACAAAGTTGACTACTGATAGAGAAACGGATCATCACCTGTTTACGTAATTTCTCTTTTTCTGTTTGCATGTTTTCTAGCTCAACAATGGCATCTTGCTCCGCTTGAAACGCTTTTCGATGTTTTTCCCTTTGTTCTTCAAGTTTAATTTTATGCGAATGGAACATGGACTTGAAACGACCGCCATTTTCTAGGTTTTGCAATTGCAGGTATTCGCGTTTCCTATCGGCAAAAAAATAGGTGGGCGATACTCTTGATTCAATCTTCGAATCATAGCTTACGATGCTTCTTTGAGTCGAGATACACCTCTCTGTAGACTTTCGGCAGTTTCATTGTGTTCCGCCAATTTCGCTTCGAGTTTCTGTAATAGAGTTCTGGCTTTTTTCTCGGGCTCCAGACAAGCCTTTAGATCTTTGTAAGCGTTGTGTTGCAAGGTAATCAATTCTTCCACGGTGGCCATGGTGATATGAAGAAATAAATTTTCAGGTGGAAGAAACAAGAGAGCTACATCTGATTTGACTCATTTTTATGTAAGTTGTCTTGCGTAACATGCTGAGCAAACCGAGAAAAATATGCTCAGTTTCTTTCTTTTCAGGAAATAAATTTTGAGCGCTTTTTTTTTTCTTGTTCAGGGACAAATCGCAATCATCGCGCATCCACTTGTGTAATTTTCATGGTAGCGTCACCTCATGGTTCGTAAAGTCAAATATGACGCAGCAACATTGCTTTTTGTATTTGAACATAAAATCAGGACTTTTATATGATCACGGATTCGATTAGAGAAGGAAGACATTGTGCATTGTCAGATCATATCTATCCTTATTCGAAACTAGCTCTTCTTTTTCCCTCTTACTACAGTATAAACAACGATCAGAAAATGCTGGTAGCAGCCTTGACAATCTTGAAAGGCTCAGCATAACTGCCAATGCTCGCCATTTTCCCAATTAAAAAATGAGTTCACACAACGAGTGATCAGAGCATGATTATCAGACAATACTGTCCTCAACATCATGTAGGATGAGGCTTATAATAAGTGATCTGTGTTTCATACTTTTTTCTGAGATTCTACTATATATTTCAAGTTTTATGCATGGGGTTGTATGGTACAGAGAAAACAAATGATATAATACAGCTAGGAAACACTATGATATCGTTATATATCTATAGATTAGAGCCGTGAAAATACGGCATAATAAATAGGGGACAATAAAAACTAATCGTTGAAGGAGTGATACGAATAGTAAGCGGCTCATACAGCATATGTGGTAAGTTCCGGCATGTAGGGTGGAGGCGCTCCGGTAGGCTGATACTCTGGTATATCAGACAAGATATCGTCAAGAATTTGCTGTTGTTTCCGTACAATATCGTCCTTTAGGGTCGTAATAATATCATCATGATTCCTAATTTGCCGTTGAAGATCATTGACTTGCTTGATCAGCGGCAGCAGCAGGTTGATTTGCATTTCTTTTTGAGTTTCTCGGATCTGATCTTCCCAAAGTTGCAGTTGAACTAGACACGAATGAATATCTCGTCTCAATAATCAATAAAAATGTCGACTGCTCCAACCCTTACCTCGACGCTCTTCATTGTGTTCACTCTGATGACCCCAAAACGTGTCTTCTTGTAACACCGCGGAGTTCAACAAGGCCTCCACCATATAGACTTTGGTTGCCCCTTGGGCTTGTAATAAATGGATCGCACGCTCCACATGCTGTTTGGCACCTGAATTAAAAGCATAAGATGACTGGTACACTTCTTGGAACATTTCAAGCCACTTACTCTTCACACTATTTCCATGGTCGCCTTCGCTGCTGAGTATGTCCCCGCAGGTTGGTGTGTCGATGTCCAAGGTTAGCGCTTTGTTTGCCTTTTCCAATGATTGAATGATGTCGGATATGTCACTTTTTTTCTCTTCAGCTTCAACGAGTTCAGTATGACACTGCGCGATATAAAAAAGAATGTGAATTATTTATGTCAAGGATCAGTCAATGCAAATGATATAACTCACTCTCGATTTTGCCTGATTTTCTTGTTTAATCTTTTCTGTCAGTGCAGTCAGCTCGGGATAATCTTCAACGTTGATGGCTTCTCGGAAAATCTAAGCGCAACATTCCAAAGTAACGAGGTTATGAGACCAGTTCAATAGCCACGCGGTACGTAATGACTTACATTTGTAATGAAACGATTCAGTTGCAAACGCTGATACAGGTAAAGTTCATGTTCTGCTTTAGCCGCCCGAGCCTACGGTGTGTGAAAAAATGTATATTTAAGCAAGGTCCCGGTAATACAAAGTTGGCGCCTGAAAAAGGAAAAATGCAGAAAATGATCATTACCTTTTTCCGTAATTTCTCTTTTTCTGCCTGCAATTTTTCTAACTGGACCACGGCTTCTTTCTCGGCCTGAAACGCTTTCCGATGCTTTGCTTTTTGTTCCTCCACTTTAACTTTGTGCGAATGGAACATGCACTTAAGGATCCCACTTTGTAGATTTTGCACTTGGCGGTATTCGCATTTCCTATCGACGAACAGTTAGGTGGTGTCCCTTGGGGTCAATCTTCTATTCAATTGCTTACGATGCTTGTTTGAGTTGCGACAAACTGTTCTGTAAACTTTGGATAACTTCATTGTTTTCAGCATATTTCGTTTCGAGATTCTGTAATGCAATTCTGGCTTTTTCCTCGGGCTCCAGACAAGCTTTTAGTTCTTTGTAAATGCTGTGTTGCAAGCTAATCAATTCTTCTACGGTGGCCATGATGATATGGAAAATAGTTTTTCAGGTAAAAAATAAACAATGATTGAAGAAGCCACATCTGATTTGATCCTTTTATATATGAGTTGCCCAGTGTAACATGCTGAGCATACCGAGAAGAATGTGCTCATCTTTCTTTTCAGAAAATCGATTAACAACTTCCTGAGCATTTTTTTTTTCTGCTGAGGGTTAAGTCAAATTGCCTCGCATCTACTTGTATGATTTTTATGACGGCTTCATCTCATGGCTCATCAAAGAAGTATGACAGCAACATCATAAATAAGCACAGAGTTGGCGTTACAAGAGAGCTTAATCCGTCAGGAGACTTGAGTACAAATCAAAAGGAAGATCAGAACATCTTTGATCTAAGCAGTTATTTATTCAATGGATCCAACGAGGTCATCCATACTGGTAGCTATAGAGATGTCGACCCTGGAAGAGTAGCTCGATCCATCCAGATGGTCGACCATCGGTTTTCCTCGTGAAAGGATTTTCATTGGTTCGTCAAATTGGGAGAGCGATCGTAACGTTGCCAGTTCACGACAATCAACATTTGTTTGAACAATGACCCGCAGCTCAGCAATCGGGATTAGAAAATGATGGGGCTCGATGAGAGGGAAGACCTTGTGCATTGTAATATCATCTCTACCATTGTTCTCAACTACTTCTCTTTTTCCCCATACTATTATAAACAACAATGATAAAACGCTGATATGCAAGCATCCTTGATAACTTGAAGTGCTTAGCATAACTGCTGATGCTGGCAAAACCAATTAAAAGTGGGTCCGCACAAAAGTGATCAGAGAACGTTATCAGAGTACGTCATCAGACAATGCTGTCCTCAACATCACCTAGAATGATGCGTATAATAGTTTATCTGTACGGTATCATCATTGGTTGGTGCTAGCATCTCGGATAGATTCTGTTAGAGCTATGTATGGTTTTTGGTTTTCTTTTCCTTCTACAACCCTTATCCGCGTTCGGATCCTTTATCTCAGTCGCTTTTTCATTATATATATTTCCGCTACCTAGTTTAGCGCCTACTTATTTTTCTTTTTTTCAGGGAGTCTACTTTTGTATATTGCAAGTTTGATATGCATGGGGTTAAATGGTACAGAGAAAATAAATGGTTTAATTACAGTCAGCGAACACTATTGGTAAAAACTACAGATTAAAACCCGTCAAGGTTCGGAATAAATAAATAGGGTAAACGGATGGATTGCTCCAGGAGAAATACGAATAGTAACCGGCTTATGAAGCAGATGCGGTAGGTTCTGACATGTAGGGCGGAGGCGCTCCGGTAAGCTGATAGTCCGGTATATCGGACAAAATATTGTCAAGAATTTGCTGCTGCTTCTGTAACATGTTGTTTTTTAGGGTCATAATGGTCTGACCATGGTTCCTTGTTTCCCGTTGAAAATCATTGATTTTCTTGTTCAGCGGTACCAACAGGTTGATTAACATTCCTTTTTGAATTCCTCGGAGCTGGGCTTCCCAAAGCTCCAATTGAACTAGGCACAAATGAATCTCTCGCCTCGATAACCAGAAAGTCGTTTGCATTCCAACTCTCACCTCGACGTTTTTGATTGCATTCATGCTGTTTGTCCGAAGAGTTGTCCTTTCGTAATACCATGGAATCCAACAAGGTCTTCACTATATAGGCTTCGCTCACCCTTTGGGCCTGTAACAGCCGGATGGCACGCTCCACATGCTGTTTGGCACCTGGACTAAAAGAATAAGATGACTGAGACACTCCTTGGAACGTTTCAAGCCCTTACTATTCACGCTTATTTTATGGTCGCCTCTGCTGCTGAACATGTCCCCAAAGGTTGGTGCGTCGATGCCCAAGGCTAGCACTTTGCTTGCCTTTTCCAATGATTGGATGGCACTTGAGATGTCACTTTTTTTCATTTCCGCTTGAAGGTGTTCAGTATGGCACTGCATGATATAAAAAAGGACATAAATTATTTATGTCAGGAGTGGTCGATGCAAATGATAAAAATTACCCTTGATTTGGCCTGATTTTTTTGTTCAATCTTTTCTGCAAGGGCAATTAGCTCGGGATAATTTTCAACATTGGTGGCTTCTTGGAAAACCTAAGCGGAATATTTCAAGGTTACGGGAGTAATTTACTGGTTATCTAGAGTAGGATAGCTTTACATTTTCTATAAATCGATTCAGTTGCAAATGCTGAACCTTGTAACGCTGATGTTCTTCTTTAGCTGCCAGAGCCTACAGTGTGTGGAAGGGATGGATCCAGTTACACAGAGTTGACTACTGTAAAAGGAAATATGCAGAAACTGGTGATCACCTGTGTACGTAATTTCTCTTTTTCTGCTTGCATGTTTTCTAGCTCGATAATGGCATCTTGCTCCGCTTGGAACGCTTTTCGATACCTTCCTCTTTGTTCTTCCAGTTTAACTTTATGCGAATGGAACATGGACTTGAAAAGACCGTCATTTTCTAGATTTTGCATTTGCTGGTATTCGCGTTTCCTATCAACGAAAATTAGGTGGGCGGTGCTTTTGGTTCAACCTTCATATCAATAGCTTACGACGCTTTTTTAAGTCGAGATACACCTCTCTGTAGAATTTCGACAGTTTCATTGTGTCCGGCCAATTTCGCTTCGAATTCCTGTAATACCGTCCTGGCTTTTTCCTCGGGCTCCAGACAAGCCTTTAAATTTTTGTAAGTGTTGTGTTGCAAGGTAATAAATTCTTCCACGGTGGCCATGGTGATATGGAAAATGGGTTTTCAGGTGAAAAAACCAATGAGCGAAAGAGTCACGTCTGAGTTGATTCTTTTATATATGGTTTGCCTAGTGTAACGTGCTGAGCAAAGCGAGAAGAATATGCTCAGTCTCTTTCTTTTTAGGAAAGCGATTACCGACTTCTTGAGCACTTTTATTCCCCCGGAAGGGGAAGGGTGTTCAGAGGCAAATCGAACCTTGTGCATCAACTTGTGTAATTTTTACGGTAGCAAAACCTCATGATTCAGCAAAGTCAAGTATGAGACAGCTACATTACTTTTGTTTGAAGATAATCCGCACAGCCCATCAATCGGATTTTTAGGAATTGATGGAATAGGATAGGAGTCCTCAAGCAACTCTTCATTTTTTCTATTGTACTATAAGCAGCGATGAGAAAACGCTGGTAGCGTCTTTGATAGTCTTGCGATGCTTAGCATAACTGCTGATGCTGGGAATCCAAATTCAAGTTGGTTCGCACAACAGGTCATGAGGATACGTTTTCAGCCAACATTGTGAAAACTTCGATATCACGTAAGATGATGCGTATATTAATTGATCTGTGTTTTATAGCATTCAGGCAAGTTTTATGCATGGGATTATATGGTCGAAAATAAAAAATGATATAAATAAGTCAGCGCATACTATTGGTATAAAACTATATATGGATTAGAGCCCGTGAAGATACGGAATAAATAAATAGGGTAAATGGATTGATTGCTGCAGGAGTGATACGAACGGCTCATGCAGTAGATGTGGCAGGTTCTGGCACATAGGGCGGAGGCCCTCCGGCAGGCTGATACACTGGTATATCAGACAAAATATCGTCAAGAATTTGCTGTTGTTTCTCTAGGATATCGTCCTTTAAGGCCATAAGGATATCATCATAGTTCTTTATTCGCCGTTTCAGATCATTGACTTTTTTGGTCAGCGGTGCCAACAGGTTGATTTGTAATCCTTTTAGAGTTCCTCGGATTTGGGCTTCCCAAAGCTGCAGTTGAGCTAGACACGCAATGAATATCTCACTTCGGTAATAAAAAGAATCTTTTGCATTCCAACTCTCACCTCGACGCTTTTGATTGCGTTCACTTTGTTCATCCCAAAACGTGTCTTTTCGTAGCATCATGGAATCCAACACAACCTTTAAGCTATCAGCTTCGGGGTCCCCTTGGGTTTTCAATAAATGGACTGCAGACTCTACATGTCGTTTGGCACCTAGATCAAGGCATAAGTTAACTGATACATTCTCTGGTCCGTTTCAAACCACTTACTCTTCACGCTATCTCTATAGTCGTCTCTATTGCTGAACGTGTCCAAAAGGGTTGGTGCATCGATGCCAAAGGCTAGTGCTTTGCTTGCCTTTTCCAATGATTGGATGGCGCTCGATATGTCTCTTCTTTTCCTTTCAGCTTGATGGTGTTCGGGCTGACACTGCGTGGTATAAAAAAGCCTTATGAATTCCTTATTTCAGGGCCAGTCGATGCAAATTAGATAACTTACCCTCGATTTGGCCTGATTTTCCTGTTCAATCTTTGCTGTGAGTGCAGTCAGCTCGGGGTAATTTTCAACGTTAGTGGCTTCTTGGAAAATCTAAGCGGAACATTCCAAGGTTACGGGAGCAATTTACCGGTGATCTAGTATATGATGTCTTACATTTGCTATAAATCGATCCAGTTGCAAATGCTGATACTTGTAACGCTGATATTCTTGTTTAGCCGCCAGAGTCTGCAGTGCGAAATGAATAGGTGAGCAAGGTCCAGTTACACAAAGGTGGCCATTGAAAAAGAGAAGACGCAGAAACTGATGATTACCTGTTTACGTAAATTTTCTTCTTCTGCCTCCATGTTTTCCAGCTGAATAACAGCGTCTTGCTCCGCTTGAAACGCTTTTCGATATATTTCTCTTTGTTCGTCCAGTTTATGTGAGCGGAAGACGGGTTTGAATACGCTATTTTTCTGATTCTGGAATTTTAAGTACTCGCGTTTCCTATCGGCAGAAGTTAGAAGGCAGTATCTTGGGTACAACTGTTCGAATTGATTGCTTACGCTGCTGCCTTGAGTCGAGAGGTGACGTTTTCTTGATTACGAATAATTCCATTATGTTCTGCACATTGCACTTCAAGTTCTTCGAATACGGTTCTGGCATTTTTCTCGGACTCCAGGCAAGTCTTTAATTCTTTGTAAGTACTGTGCTGCAAACTAATCAATTCTTCCAAGGTGGCCATTGTGAAATAAAAAATAGTTTTCAGATATGCAAAAAAAAAGGACAAGGATGGAAGGAGCCACATCTGATTTGATCCTTTTATATAGTATTGTCTTGTGTAACATACTGATGAAGCCGAGAATAGTATGCTCAGCCTTTTCCGTTTTAGGAGATTAATTATCAAACCTTTTCGTTCAGGGACAAATCGATCCGTGGCGCACCAGCCTGTGTAATGTCCATGTAGCATTATTTCTGGTTCAGCAAAGCCAAGCATGATACAGCAACATTACTATTGATTGAACACAACCCCCAGCTTGGCAATCGGGATCTTCAGGAAATGATATTATTCGATGGAAGAAGAAAGACCTTGTGCATTGTAATATCATATCTACCTTGTTCTTCTTCTTTCCTATCTTACAAACAACAACGAGAAGACGCTGGTCGCATCCTTGATAACTTTGTAAATGCTTAGCATCGCTGTTGATGCTGGCAAATTCCCAATTCGAAAGTGGGTCCGCACAACAAGTGATCAGAAAAAGATCACCGTATGTCGCGCTATTATCGACAGCTTATGGTTGTGATCTGTACTGTATCATCTTGGATGGATGGCTTCATTAATAGATCTATCAGAGCTCATAAATGATCTTTTTTTGCTTCTCTTTCCTTCCATATCCCTCTTCGTTCGGATTCTTTCTCTCAATTGTTTTTTCCTTATACTGTACATATTTCCGCTACCTAGTTCAACACGTACTTATTCCTTCTTTTTTCTGGGTTTTTACCACTGTATATTGCAAGTTTATGCTTGAGGTATATGGTAAAGAGGAAAATAATAATATAAATACAGTCAGCGGACACTATTGGTATAAAACTATAGATTGGAGCGTAAAGATACGGCATAATGAAGGTAGATAGGGATTGATTGTTGTAGGTGTGATACAAATAAAAAGCGGCTCATGCAGCAGATGTGGTAGGTTCCCGTATATAGGGCGGAGGCGCTCCGGTAGGCTGATAGTCTGGTATATCAGACAAGATATTGTCAAGAATTTGCTGTTGTTTCTCTAGGATATCGTTTTTTAGGGTCATAATGATATGGTCATGATTCCTAATTTCCCGTTGAACATCATTGATTTTCTTGTTCAGCGGTGCCAACAGATTGATTTGCATTCCTTTTTGAGTTCCTTGGATCTGGGCTTCCCACAGTTTCAGTTGAACTAAACACGAATGAATATCTCGCTTCAATGATAAAAAGAATCCTTCGCATTCCAACTCCCACCTCGTCGCTTTTCATTGCGTTCACGCTGGTCGTCGAAAAAATAATTTTCATTTCGTAACACCATTGAATCCAACAAGCCCTTCAGCATATATGCTTCGGTCGCCCCTTGAGCTTTTAACAAATGGACCGCAAACTCCACATGGTGCTTGGCAGCTAGATCAAGGCATAAGATGACCGATACACTCCCTAAATTGTTTTAAACCACTTACCATTCAGGCTATGTTTATGGTCGCCTTTGCTGCTGAGAGTGTCCAAAAGGGTTGATGCGTTGATGCCCAAGGTTAGCGCTTTGCATGCCTTTCCCAGTGATTGGATGGCGCTCGATATTTCTCTTTTTTTCTTCTCAGCTTGATAGTTTTCGGTTTGACACTGCGTAATAAAAAACCACATAAATTCCTCATGTCAGAGCCAGTCAAACAAATGATATTATCTACCCTTGATTTCGCCTGATTTTCTTGTCCGATCTTTTCTGTAAGTGCAGATAGCTCGGGATAATTTTCAGCATTGTTAGCTTCTTTGAAAATCTAAGAGGAACATTTCAAGGTAGACGGTTATGAGACCAATTCAATAACTACGCCGTATGTCATGGCTTACATCTGTAATAAATTGATTCAGTTGCAAATGCTGACCCTTGTAACGTTGATATTCCTGTTGAGCCACCAGAATCTACAGTGCGTGCAATGGATATTTGAGAAACAACGTCCCGGTTACACCAATGTGGCCACTGAAAAAAAAGAAGATGCAGAAACTGGTCATTACCTGTTTACTTAAATTCTCTTTTTCTGCCTGCACATTTTCTAGATGGACAACGGCTTCTTTCTCGGCCTGAAACGCTTTTCGATGTTTTTCTCTTTGTTCTTCCACTTTCACTTTATGTGAGTGGAGCATGGACTTAAAGAGACCGGCATTCTCTAAATTTTGCAATTCCAAGTATTCACGTTTCCTATCGGCAAAGTTAGGTGGTGGTGCTTGGGGATAGTCTTTGATCCAGTCGCTTACGAGGCCTTTTTGAGTCGAAATACAAGGGTCTGTTGACTGTAGATAATATCACTGTGCTCGGTACATTTCGCTTCGAGTTTCTGTAACACGGTTTTAGCTTTATCCTCTGGCTCAAGACAAGCCTTTAGTTCTTTGTAAATGCTGTGCTTTAAACAAATGAGGTCTTCCACGGTGGCCATTGTGATATGAGAACTAGTTTTTCAAGTGAAAAAGCAAGGATGAATGGAGCCACATCTGATTTGATTTTTATTTATTTATTTATGGGCCGCCTTGTGTGACATGCTGAGCAATCAGGGAATAGTATGTTCAGCCTCTTCCTTTTCAGGATGTTTAGGGACCCAACCTAGCCGTGGCGCGCCAACCTGTGTAATTTTCATGTAGCATTATTTCTGGTTTAGAAAAGCCAAGCATGACACAGCAACGTTACATTCGCTTGAACACCACCCCCCAGCCCAGCAATCGGACTTTTAGGGAAATGTTGGGATTGTAATATCATAACTAACCTCGTTATCAACCAAGGATCTTGGTATAAACAACGATGAGAAAACGCTGCTAGCGTCCTTGATCATTTTGCGATACTTACCGTAGCTCCTGATGCTGGCAATACCGATTAAAAGTGCGTCCAGAATACGTTATAAGACAATATTGTGAAAACTTGACATATGTAAGATAATGCAATTAATTGATCTGTGTTTCATACCATTCAGGCAAGTTTTATGCAAGGGATGGTATGGTACAAAGAAAAATAAATGATATAAATACAGTCAGCGAACACTATCGGTATAAAACTATAGATTAACGGTCGTGAAGATACGGAATAATAAATAGGGTCAATGGACTGATTGCCGCAGGAGTGATACGAATAAGAACCGGCTCATGGAGCAGCTGCGGTAGGTTCATCCGTGTAGGCCGGAGGTGCGCCGGTAGGATCGTACACTGGCATATCTGACAGGATGTTGTCAAGAATTAGCTGCTTTTTGAGTGAAACATCGTCTTTCAAGGTCATAATAGTAGTCTCATGCTTCTTGATCTGCCATTGAAGAGAATCCACTTGCAGGGTCAGTGTAGGCAACAGACTGATTTGCATCTCTTGTATAATTCTTCGGATCTGGGATTCCCAGGACTTAATTTGTGCTAGAGACTAATAGTGAATACTTGGCCCGTAATCAGAAAGCTGCTAGTATTTTCACCCTTACCATGCTGATCTTCGAGAACCCCATCTTTTCGTAACACCATCGAATTTAATAAACTTTCCAGAGTAGAGCATTCGGTCACCCTTTGCTGTTGTAAGGAACGGACCGCACGCTTCACCTGATGTTTGGCTCCTAGAACAAAGGGTTCAAGGCTCGCAGGAATCAGTGTGATTGCATGGGTAGGACTATTGCTGAACCCGTCGAAGGGGCTTGGTGGGACGATGGCTGAAGTTAACGCTTTAATTGCTTTCTCCAGTGACTGGATGGCGCTTGATAAATCTCCTCTTTTGCTTTGAATTTGGAGGTGTTCGGCATGACACTGCATGGGATAAAAAAAAACGTAGGAATACTTATGTCAAGGCCAGTAGATGCAACTAATACAACCAATAAAGTTACCCTTGATTCGGCCTGATTTTCTTGTTCAAGCTTTTTTTCAAGTGCAGTCAGCTCGGGATAATTTTCAACATCGGTTGCTTCTTGGAAAATCTAAACGGAGCATTCCAAAATAACAGGTTTTAAGAGCAGTTCGATGGCTATCTAGAGTATGAGGGCTTACGTCTTTTATAAATCGATCCAGTTGCAAATGCTGATCCTTGTAACGCTGATATTCTTCTTTAGCCGCCAGAGTCTACAGTATACGGAATGAATGTTTGAGCAACAAGGTCCGGTTACTCAAAATCGGTCATGAAAAAAAAAAGCAGAAATTGCTCATGTACCTGTTTACGTATTTTTTCTTTTTCTGCCTGCATGATTTCTAACTTGACAACGGCATCTTGCTCGGCTTGAAATGCTCTCCGATATTTTTCTCTTTGTTCGTCCAGTTTAACGTTATGTGAGCTGAAGACAAACTTGAAGACGCCATTGTTCTGACTCTGCAATTGTAAGTACTCGCGTTTCCTATCGACAAAAGTTCGAAAGCGGTCTATTGGGCTCAATTTTGGATTGATTGCTTACGCTGCTGCCTTGAGTTGAGAGGTGACTTTTTGTTGATTACAGACAATTTCATTGTGTTCGGCACATTTCGCTTCAAGTTGTTGATATACGGTACCGGCTTTTTTCTCGGGTTCCAGACAAGTCTTTAGTTCTTTGTATGTGCTGTGCTGCAAGATAATCAATTCTTCCAGGGTTGCCATAATGAAAAAAAAGGGTCTCCGATGAAAGAAAAAGTGGAAAGAGTTACATTCAGTTGGATTTTCTTATAATGGTTGTCTTGTGTAAATTGCTGAGCATCAGCCTTTCCCTTTTCAGGAAATGAAGTGCCGAACTTCTCGAATGACTCATGTTCAAGAACAGATCGAGTCGTGGTTCTTCGACTTTGTAATTCTCATGGTGGCATCGGCCCATGGGTTCAGCAAGGGTCAAATATGAGATAGCACCATCGCAGCCGTTAATAAACAATTTGAGGGATGTAAAAAATTTCCATGGAACAAATGGTACAGCCCTCTAGCCCATCTCAGTAATTGATATTCCAGGAGAGCATGTGATTCTACTATCGGGAAGAGACCTTGGACATGAGAATACTGTATCTGAGCTTGTCATCAATGCTTATTTTCCGAATGTCGAGTGATGGGACGGAAATTAGCTACTAAACAACACTAGCATGCTTGATAATATGTGTATACATAACACGCAAGTTCTAATGAGTTACGCCGTATAAGCTACAACCTGGTACATACAATGACACCTAACAGTCCTCCTCGCCAGAGAAAAAAAAATTGCATGATAGATGTTCTCAGCATCTATCCATCCACCCTATACAAACCCAGAAAGAAATAACGCAAGGCAAAGAAGACGTTAATAGATTGATATTTACAGTTTCTTCATTGATTGATAAAAGTGTTTGAAATGATGAACGTATGCTGGTTATAATTCGTTTCCGACGGTCACCCAGTAATCTCTCAAGTTGTTTTTTCGTCCAAAAATTTCCAGATATTTGCCTAAACAGTTCTTTGTGAGCGATATGTTTCGTGCAGAGAATGGGGTTGTGTTTACTATACCATGGGGCACTAATTCTTCAATCAACTCATAGAGCTCTTCAGGCTTTTGACTTTGACCTCGTCTTTCCGAGAAGATAACATCGGATCCAACTGAGTGACGGCAATTGGGTGGATCCTCGCCCTGCAACAGGAATAGTCAACATCTCCATCTTTCACGTATCTGAAGCCAAAAACCAGTGTACCCACCTTTTTCCCTACTAAACATGTCTCTTTTGCGTGTTGCAAATAATAACCGTGACCTTTGGCCATGCGTCGATTGACTGTCTGCTTGACCCATGTAATATCATCGACATATCTGTTTTTGCTTGGGGTCAGTGGACGAGTATACAACAGAGAAAGCATTCGATGTTGTTGGACTCACGTGTATCCCCATTTCTCCATCAGTTCAAACGCTTTTGCATATTTGTTGTTAATGACCCAGATGAAAATAAAGCCATTCTTTTGCAGTTTCGGTATAGGAATCTCTTCGATGCAAATATCAGGGAGCTGCTGATAAGCAATCGCCACCTATTAAATTTAAAAGATGGTTAATGAAAAACACATCACAACAGCAGTCCACAAAGGTCACAACTTACACCACGAGTGGGTGCATGGGTAGCCAACTGCCACGGCGGATCAGCTACAATCACATCGAACTGAACTTCTTTTGCTAATGCCTATAAGCAACAAAAGAAAGTGAGTGCTGGCGTAAAGCAAGGATGAGTAGTGTGGAAGTGAATACATACATCCCAGTCAAACGTCATGACGTTGGCCTTAATAGGCACACACCATTCAGGCGCTTCAAATTCTTCCAGATCTAGATGGGTACCAATATATTGAGTATTTCCATCAACGCAAGAGTGTCATTGGTGCTTTTTACCTTGCTCGTCGACGTCTTCGTCTTTCTCTTGCTTGCCACACTTTTCCTCCAGCTGGGCAATTTCTGTAAGTAATGCGTCGATCTGGAGCTGTAATTCGATCTCGCGCTTCAGCAACTTTTTCAGTGTGACGTCCGATACAGTATTTTCGTCAATGCCATTGCGATCAATGACGGCTTCAGGCAAAGGCGACGGTGTATCTTCTCTGGACGACATTTTTTTTTCTCGCAGCTGGGTGTCCAAAAGACGAAGAAAGGCGAGCCATGCACGCGCCACAAAAATTTATCGAAACGCGAACGCGTATAATTGGATGTCCGATGAGAAAAATAAACTTGTCTAGATCGGACGTGTGCAGCACTTTTTTTAATATCCAACTCATGACAAAACCAAGCTGTAAGCCCAACACCAATATAATCGATCATGTCCACCAAAGATAGGCTTTTTAAACCCATAAAATGAAGCTCCTAATTCATGGTTCCCTGATGATAGCCGCATCCAATACATATCTGTCATCAATGATAAGATCGAAGTTTGAAAACGTCATTGATTAGTTTAAAAAGGTTATTTTTGAATTACAATTAATATCTAACAAACTGACTGACGCTGCTTTTATAGTATCAAGATCGCCTTGCAAAAGAAATACTTGGCTGGATTTGGCCGATCTATGTGATGATAAATGCAATTTGGGTGATTAACGTATCAACAGTCCCAAGAAAAAAAGGTCACCTTCAATTTATAATGCAGATCTGGGCAAAATATAATATTGAATCATTAGTCACTGCCTGTTCATCGATGATTTTCAAGGATTAGCCTATACTGAACGATGGTCGGCTCTGAAAAATCTCTGAGACTGGAAATGTGTGGTGCTGATTTGACCGAAAGAGTGGGTTAGTGGATGAACGAAACGTTCCATAGCCGGGGCATTCGCTACGACAGATGTATGACTTGCGCTTTCATCAACCGGTATGCATGACCAAAGAACAGGTGCACTGTCCCTTTTTCCTCTTATGTGCGGGTTGAAATATCATCAGAACATAACCGTGCGTCAAAACAGACCACAGTCTCGCAGTGCTCCAAACTGCAAGCTTTTTTGTTTTGGGAGAAGGGAGGTTGGGGGGGGCCGCAAGCCGCTCGGGTTTCATTTTCGTAAAATCTAAACTTTTTTTCTTTAGCATACGGCTGGCTTTTTTTTTTTCTTTCTATTTTCCCATTCTCCCAAGACTTTTGTGTAAATCTGACAACAAGAATAGGCAGGCGGTAGAATTGAACATGCTTCCTCTCTTTCTTTTTTATTATTGCGGCTGGCTGGGGATGCTCAGGAACGTGGTTGACAGATTGCCTGATTGGTGGGCGGGCTTGCAATGGATGTTGCGACCGGGCCAATCATTTGCAGAACATGCCGCACGCGGTGAATGCCTCCTGCTGCTGAAGCGGTCGCGGAATCAAAAAGGATGAGAGTGGTGGATATCCGATCATGACATTGGGTGGAGCAGGACGAGAGATGCTTTCTTTTTAGATTGTAAAGAAGGGAAAAAATGGAAGGAAAATCCAAAAAGTCCGATGGGAGCAATAACAAACAGTGTGAAATAGATGCTGCTGGTGTGCGCATGCTTCGGCTTGACTGGACGACTGGGGCGGTTCTCCTTTGGAAAGGAAAGCTCCTCACTTCTATTTTAATTTCTCCCTTTATTCCCTTTTTATTTTTCTGTCGCTTCTTTTTTTTTATTTATTTTTTGTTCTCTCTTTCTTCCATTTCTCTGGTGGATATATTTCTTTTCTTTTCTTTAAACAAATCTTTATCGCAACGTCGGTACTGGTTGCGTTGTATGCGTGAACGAGCTTCTGCATCGATCATTTGTTCTTTGTTAGTCCCGATCCGTTGGATGAAAAATTGTCTAGCCTCTCTGATTTAACACAACATATACGACTTGGAATTGTCCTGTGCATTCTTTTTTTGATCCTTGTCTATTTATTACCCTATTCCCCATTTCCTGAACGAGCCAATCAGTCCATGGATCGTCAACAAATTTTGGATATCGCCGAATTTCCCGTTCAACGGTTGCTGAAAATCGTGGTGAATTTGCTCGATTCTATTATTGCCACCAACGATCGTTTACCAAGTACGCGTATCACCCACTTCCACTCACGATCGGTTCCAAATATAAGCTTACACGATTACCTGACTCGCATTCTGAAATTCGCTCCATTCACCAACGAAGTGTTGCTGTCATTGCTGGTTTACTTTGACCGCATCGCTAAATTGGAAAACAACACTTTCGCTGTCAACTCTCTTAATATTCATCGTCTTCTCATTACAAGGTATTGCGTCGATTCCGTCAGGTTTTCATTGTTTTTTTTTTTGGGTTGTTTTTTATTTGGATTTTTTTTTTTTAACGGATGCATGGTTTTTTTTTTTTTTTTGAACCCCTATTGTACTCATTTTGGATCTTGTTTTTGGCCATTTACAGTATTACCGTGGCATCGAAATTCACGTCTGACGTATTTTATCCCAATTCTCGCTATGCCAAGGTAAACAAAGCAAAGCAAAAAGGTTGGATCGTTTTTTGCGGTTCCACTCATGTTTTAGTTGATTTTTCTTAGGTGGGCGGCATCTCACTCGGTGAATTGAACCAATTGGAATTGGAGTTTTTATTTTTGTGCAACTTTGAGTTGCATGTTCGTTTAGAAGATTTGCAAGCCTATGGCAATCAATTGTTAACGCACGCCATGTCACAACAACCATCATTGCTTACCTCTGATATTCCGATCCCTACTCAATCCGTAGCCCCGGTTCGATCATTCTCTTCCGAAGGCAACCCCGCTCGATCAAGTCAGCATCAAATCCATCCCCTCACGCCACCTTATGATCCTCCCACTTGCACAAATGATACCCAGCCTTTGATCCGACCAACTTGCAAAAAGTTCCGACGAATCCGATCCCATCCATATGCACGACATAAGCCATTAGGCGTACTGCTTTCGCCGAAAGAATGAAAATCCATATCCGCGGAAGCGTACTTTTTTCTTTTCTCGTCTCTTTTCTTCCATCCTTGTACCATAGTTTTCTGTATAGAACATCTGCTTGATGTTACTCGTTTTATCACCCTATTTCAATTGGCATATTTCGATAAACAGAACGAACCGCGTGGCCTGGTCTGTAGCACGTGGTTTCGGTCTTCTTCCATTACGATTTTTTTTTTTTAATTTCGATTGCCTGAGCTCAGGGCATGGGATCCGGATCGAACGGTAGCATATTTGATTTTGTACACTTGATCAACCGAGGGATCCTTGTAGTTGCAAGGTATGACCCACGCCAACAAACTATGTCTTGTGCCCGAAATGCGTATGATTTTTTTTTCTTTGCTGTCACCCACCAACGACAGAATTCATTGTGTGGTATGTTGTCAAAATATCTTTTCTTTCACCAAATAATAATATGATGAAAAAGGCATATGTGCCTTTCCAGGGATTTTTATTATTTTTATTAAGAACATCTGTGATGGACTGGATTTATCTGGAAGCCGACATTTGCGCTTCATATGCATTTAGATTGCCTGTTAAGCTTATGCACTAAAGTCAGGTACTGTATCCGTGCGAGTCGAGATCTCACAGCAAAGCATCATTCATATATCGATCTTATCAAATGCACGAGGGCTCATGATCGACATCTTATAAATTTATGGCATGGTTGTTCAAATGCTTCGAATAGTATTTTTCGATGGCATTCCCATATACAGTATGTTTATGAATTTGAGATTCAGGCATGGTTCAAAGTAGGGGCATATTACGTGTTTTTCTGTTTGCTTTTTTACTCAATGGGAGGTTGTAGACAAAACATAGGAATTGCGCAACAACAATGACAAAGTAGTGCGTGCATATTTGGGATGCATGTTGAAACTGATTCTTCGTTGTAATCAGAAATATGCGTGGTTTTTTCAAAGTACGAAAGTTCGACCAAAAAATTGTTGTCCCTATAGGATTTTTTCTTGCACTCCTTTCTTCCAATCCCTTCATACGAAGGCCATAGCTTTCCCTTTTATAATACCTGAGACTGTACAGCGTTTTTTTTTACCATGGTTTTCTTTTCAGATATCGTTTCACGTCTAAAGCTCCATCGCAAAACGAAATCTGAGCATGGTCACGAACGCACCATGGCTCCTTCACAAACGGAATCGGCTCATCAGAATGGAGTGTACAAAAATACCACAGAAAAAGCCTCTCCATCTCCCTCCACCGATTCACGATCGTCGACTACTCCTTCTTCACCGCCACCCGTACCTCAGACCGCGCCTGTGGTCGATGTTGACAAGTTGGAATTTTCAGCATCTCGGCACTTGGCTCGAGAATTGGATCAAGATAGTCAGTGGACCTCGCCTGAACTGGACAAACTGACATTCCCAGCTTTTGAATTTCTGCTACAACCTGCGCCTGCTCCAACGACAGATCATACCAATACCATGCCTCGAAAATCATCCTACTTACGCAAACGACTCTCTGTGTACAAGACCAAATCCGCCCTTCTCAAACGTTCCCGTTCCACACCGAATTTCGCGGCTTCTTAAAATGGGCTTTACTCGACTCGAACATCATCTGACGATGATTTATAGCATATTCCTATATTCCCCTTATTGCATGCATATATCTTTTATTTTATTTTTTTACCGTTATCTATTTTATATACATATCTCTACATAGCGCTAAACACGATGTCAATCCCAACATAAATAGAGCAGTCGACCATCTCAGCCAAACAATTGTTCTTTATAAAACAAAAGGGCCAAACCGTTGATCCTCCTGCTCCTCTGTGTCCAGTTATACCAGCCCTCTAAATTCATAAGCTCAATAAACATCGTATACTTGGCTGTCTTGTTCTCAATGCATGCGTGCAAAAAAAAAGAAAAAAAAATTGGCGCTTGTTGCCTGTCCGAGATCCCATCCAACCCTCATTAAGAAACTCCGCCAGTGACTTTGGTCTTTGTATCAGCATTTTTTGGGTCTCCTTCTGTTAAATACTCATTGACGTTTTCTCCTAATCTTCCTTTTGTATTCGCTTACAGTATGGCTTCACCACAACCGTTAGCGCTTCTGCGTGATTACACTTGTCAAAATAAGCCCATTACATTACTTGATGAAAACGAAAAGCCTGTCGCGTCGGTTGCTGACGCAGCGATAATGGCGTTCGATAACCATCGGTTTCCTCGACAGACCGCTACGCATCTGAAAAAAAGCGCCAGTAGCCACGACACATATACCTTGGACACACTTTTATTTCTTATCCAGAATGCCACAGTGGACAACAGTGCGTATTTCAAAGAATGCCGAGCTCACAAAATGGAGCATGTCTCCATTGTCGACAAAAAGAAAATCTTGGATTACCTGACCGGCAAAATCGACACCTTACCGAACTTGGAGGAAGCGGGCACACCTGGTAGGAAGCTGATCATGAGCCTGACCTTTTGAACAGAACAAACGGAACAATGTTACTCATCGATCTGCATAGAAAAACGAGCCAGAGACGAAGCCGCGGTGACGACGGCGAGCAAAAAGGCCAAAGTGGCACCTTTGAAAGCACACGACGATCTGGTGAAGGAAGTCTTGGGACGAGAACGGGAATTGGTCACTCGATCTTCTATTTTACGAGGCACCAAGAACTTTGAGAATGCTGCTATTCTTGTGTCCAAACTTGTATTAAACAAAGATATCGCCCCCCGTTCAAGTACCATGGGGAAACCCGGAGGTAGAATCGCTCGTTTTATCTTTGTTACGGATTACAGTAAAATCTCACGCCGACGCTTCTTTATAGCAGCACCGTTGTCTTCTCAACGGCCAACGATGCCTTCGCGATCAACATCTTCATCGCACAACAAAGCACACAAACTGTCCAAACAAGGTAAAGAAACCCTATTGATGGAGGGTCTCATCTGAATGATCTGCTAATATACCCGCTCTTTGCCGCAGATAAAATCCCATTAATCATTGTCCCGGCCGCAGTGACCGCAAAATTCACGTTATATAATATCAAGCAATTCCTGGAAAATCAACAGTAAGTACCACTTGTAGTTTCCTCTTCCTCATTTGAAATAATAAATGGCGAATCAGGTTCGTGGACGCAACCCAGATGCGAGAGGAAGGATTAAAGAAACCAGATCGGGTCACCATTGAACGTCGAAAGCCCAATGGACAAATCGTGCCTTACCACGTGGTGGATTCTGTTGCAGGGTTCAAACCAACGGATTGGTAGGTTGCAAGGAAAACAACTACAAAAAAAAGGCACATTGTGACTAAAATCAATTCCAATGACGGATTATTCTTGTATTGCAGGGACCGTGTGTGCTGCGTGTTTGTAGCTGGTCAACAATGGCAGTTCAAAGGCTGGAAATGGGAAAAACCGGTCGATTTGTTTAGCAACGTAAAAGGCTTTTATCCCAAATGGAGTTCGGACGAGACAAACAGCACCGTATCAAAGTGGGCCGTCACTGAACTCAAGGTAAAAAAGAAAGACAGCGACGGCGATGAATATGTGGTGGTTTTTTTTTTTATCGATATTCAATCCGTTTTATGCGCTTTTAGATTCATCGTCACAAGCGACATATGGATAAAGCGGTCGTATCACAATTTTGGGACGATCTCGACTCCTACATAGCCACGCATAAACCCTACCTCAATTTCTAAAAAAAAAAAAACGATAGAGTATATAACACGTTTTTGGGGGGATTTACAAATGAGCCATGTATTTTCAGATGAATAGGATGCAGCGTCATGATACATATAAAAGGAAATGATATTCTATTTTTGCGCCCGTTCTCCGGAACCGTAGAATTTACGAATGGCGCCTCGGTATTCGTAAGGCAGCAATGCCGGTTCTCGCAAAGCGAAAGCGTCTTCAGCTTTGACTGCGTTGGGTAACCATATGCGGAACCGGGCGTAATTGAATTCTCCCGCCACCGCCATCCAGCCAACACTGGCAAACGCAAAATCCGCCGTAGCATGCGATCGATGTAAACCTTGCACTCGTAGCAAATGTTCCATGGGACGAAGCGAGTCGAGGATCAAAGACGAGCCTGATTCGTTGGCCACCTTTCCATCGGTACTAGAATCGGCGCTAGGTAAAGGGAGTTTGGCTGTGCTGGTAATGTGGGGAGGAAGATGTGTAAATAATGTCAGTAGAACAGGAGCACTGGATTCCACGAGATCCACTCGTATCAGAGGCTTCAACAAAATCGATTTTCCTGTGTTCCCGCATTTAGTATCCTGTTGTTTAGTTTTCAGCGCCAATGCTTGCATTCTATGTAAAAACAACACATACCGGGCTCCAGACGGAAGGTGATGGGTTTCAATTCCCCACCAGACAAAAGCTTCTTCTGCTCTTTAAAGGGTAACAGGTGAAGGAGCTGGTTATCATTAATCAACCCTGGTGTGTCGATCAGAAATCGTTCGCGTGCCAAGAATCGTCGTTTCTTCCATGCTTCATCTTGGTCATCTTCATGCTGAGATGAAGATGCTAGGCCGAGAGCATGCAGAGGAATCTTGATGGTTCCGATGGTGGTTCCCGGTGCCGCCGAGCTCGTGATTTTGTATTGCGATCGCAATTTTGCTTTCGACTTCTTTTCGCTAGCCGCCGGCGACTGCGACATCATGTAGTTGATGAGCGCTGATTTGCCCACGTTGGTGCATCCAATCATGTAAACGTCGTCGGTCGGCAGTCGTTCGATGAAAAGCCGTTTCATGAGTCCTGATACACCCCAACCTTTCTTTGCACTGACCAAGGACACGTGCACGATCTGGCGAGTGGACACCCCTTGCTGCTTGACGTATTGAACGATCCAGTCACGTATCCGCTGTTCATGGCGCCGGGCGCGGGCTGGTAACATGTCCACTTTATTCGCGACGAGGAAAACGCGAGCAGTAGGATTTTGCCGCAGCAGATTCGGCAAAGGTCCCAAAGAGGAAGGCATGTCGGCAATGTCGAAAAGAGCGATCAACAAAGGGTTTCGTTTGGTGGTGAGGAAGTTTAGTGAGCCATATTGAAGTGTTTTGCGCAAAAAGGCAGGCGATGTCTCGGTCGTCATTTGATGATGGTGCCGCAGCGTATAGCAGCGATGACAGATCCGGGGTTCTTTGACCTGTTCATTCTCCTCCAATTGTGATTTGGTTTCCACAGGCACACCATCGGCATCGGGATCGTCTCCCAACATGGCACGTATTTCAGGGTCAAGTTTGAGCATGGTTGAAAAGAACTCTTCATCGCTCATGGACTTGTTACTTTGTTTCTTTTTCTTCACAACCTCGGCCTTGGGCTCAGCTAAAAAGCCTGGCTTGCTGGGATCTTGCTCCTGAAATGGAGCGCCACAGCCTGGACATTCCCCTACGATAGGCTGACTGCCCAGAGTTACGGTACTGTGTTCAGTTGTGTACGATCGGCGATGGCTAGGCGATCGTAACGGCGAGGATCGTGGCTCCGCGACGTGGAGGGTCGAGTTGACAGGTGACCATCGGGAGGCCAACGACGGCGTTGCTCGCCATATAAGTCGAGAAATGCTAGCGTTGGATAACCGGGATGCACGCAATAACGATCGATGCATAGGGAGGAACAACCGATCTTTTACTGCTTTGCCGTTGGGACGAAACGAGGAAAATCTTCAGCATGTTGGAAGCAGTCAGTGAAATGTGACAGTCAATGAGCTGCCTATTTTGGAAATTTCAAGCAATTTTTTGCTTTGTTCAGTCCAAGCAGAGAAATTTTCAATCCAAGTATTTTTGACAGCCCCACTATGATGGACCATACTCGTCGCTCCCAGTTACAAATGGATCAAGATCTGTTGGCCGCCGCCGCTGCCGCCGCCGAAGCCTATACACCACCAAGTAACATGCAACCGGAATTACCAGTCTCAACTTTATCTGGTCACTTCACCAACTCGTCAACACCATCGACAGATCAGAATACTCCAGTGATGACCGTGAGACAAGTAAGTTGATCACGACCCTTTGTCACAGCGCTCTCTACTTATACTGACTTACAGAAGACTGTGGAAGTGACCACGGTAACGGCCAAAGCTGATTCGGCTGCTGAAGCTAATTTGGATGCGGCACTTGCTTCGGCCGAGAAAGCGGCCGGTTACGAAAGCAGCGATATTGATATGTCCTCTTCAGACGAGAACAGTAGCGAAAGTGAGTCAGAGGGCGACAAGAACGACGACATTGCTAGGTAACTTGAAACTGCAAAGTGATCACTTAGGAAAAATAAAGACTTATGTAAACGTAGATCGGAAGCTGCCGTGGACCAAGACGACTTGGATGACGACGACATCGAAGAGAGCTTCAAGGGGGAAACACTTCGCACCGAGCATGAAATCACTGATATTCCTATTGAACGCCCTGTATTCGAAATTACGCCTTCTACCGTGACGGAGTATGTGGGAGATATCCATCAGATCATCGACAATGTGATTGTGGTGCAAAGTCGCCCTACTTCTCGCGCTGTTCTCGATATGGGTAGTCTGTTTTTGTACGATAACAAGGAAATTATGGGCGAAGTAAGTCTCATTATTTCAGGATGGCGGGGAAATGCAGATGGATGGACTCATGGTTTCTGGTATAGGTCTTTGAAACGTTTGGCCCTGTGGATCGACCTTTTTATTCGGTTCGATTTAATACACCTGAAGAAATGGATGCCGAGTTTTCCAAAACTGGCAATCGAGTGCTGTATGTCCCTTCGTACCACGGCACCAAATGGGTCGAAACCGAGAAATTGAAGCAAATCAAGGGAACCGATGCCAGTAATCGATATGATGAAGAAATCTCGGAGAGTGTAAGTGAACACACTATAGGCTTTTTTTGTGGGTCAGAGTTCTTACTGGATGCCATTATGACCTTTAGGAAATGGAATTCTCGGATGATGAAAAGGAACAGATGTACAAACGCCGAAAGAGACAACTGAAAAAGGGGTAAGATATTTTGATTCACGACGTATCTTTCGAACAAGCTGCTAACATCGGGATGACCAGCGTGAGCAAACGACCGCGTAATGCTCCGGCGTCAGCAAAGAAGAGGGTAATACCCGCCGGTAACGACTTTGATTCTGAACTGTCTGCTTATGAAAGCAGTCTTCCTGGGCGTTCCATTCAAAGCTACGCAGACATCTATGGAGCAGATGTATCAACAGCGCCAGCACCGGCACCGGCACCGGCACCAGTTCCAGCTCCAGCTCCAGCAGCGCCTGTCGTTTCAAGATTTGTCGATACTACTCCGGCGTCCGTATACCAAGCGTCCCCAGCGCCACAGAACATATCTTATAGAAGTCCATCGGACATTGTGTCTGCACTTTTCGGTTCTGCCGACACGACCGTGCTTGTCAATGCAAATCAATCAGCTCAGCCATCACGACCGCAACCAGAAACAGTCCCATCACAATCAACCCCACAAACAGAACCTGCGCAGCCGCAGCAGCCGCAGCAGCAAACCAAATCTTGGTCACAGTCCGCATTTCAGAAAATTCGGTCCTTATTTGCAGCACCACCTCCGCCATCTTCTGACGATTAAAGTAACACGTGCAGTATTGAGCAACGGATTTTTCCATCGCATCTTTGTTTGAAAAAAAATAATAATAGTATACAATAAATATGGAATAGCTGGATGCAGCAAAAAAAAAATGGCAGGAAGAATGTCGATGATATAAGGGGAAAAAACGGGAATCAAAGTATGAGAGGGAGGTTGCTAATAGGAACACAGAGAAAAGAAGAGAGAAACGGTGCAGATGTGATATGTGCAGATATGACTAAAGGGGAAAGGGAAATTTAGGAATCGAGCCAGTTCATGTAATCATTTTCTTGTCTTTTTTTTTTTTTTTTGTCTAAACAAAAGTGGACCGTCTAGGCTGTTGCTTTTTCCGTGAATGAAGGGCTCCATTGACGGGTGGGACCATGGGATCACTGCTACGTTTTTCCATGCTGTAGTATCGGGGAATAGAAGATGTGACAGATGTGGATCGTGGTAAAGAACTAGTCTCATTGAAGGAAGATCGTATTGCTGGTGTTTGCACCCTTGATGTCACATTGTCCTTCACAGAATCCTCATCTTTCGATACGGTAGTGGCAATGTCCTGTGGTAACTTGTGCTGTTTGTCGTTCGACTCTTCTGACGCAGAATCGTCATGTTCCTCTTCACTTTCAGGATCGGTCAAGCTCTCTACGAATAGCGTTCAACATATTGCCATGACATCATTTACACATAGTTGACATTTACCCATATTTTCATAGTGAGAGAGCACTCTGCCCTGGCCTTTGTATTCGAAAGCCACGGCGGCCTGCGCTTGCTCGATCATTTGTTCGGTGAGTCGACATAGACGGCGAAAGTCCTCATCATTTTCCCATTCATCTTCCGAAATTTCCGACTATAGCAAATAAAAGCACGCTGTCAATATCTAAACGACATTGGTGAAAAAAAAAAGATCTCCTGGAGAAAATGTCTACCTGCTGCGTGCCAGGATCGAAATGGGGCAATTCAACCGACACGCCTTGATTGCTGAGGGAAGACGTAAACAAGAAAAGTGAGAATAGGTCTTTCCGCTCAATTAATTAAAGAATAAAGGTCGCTGTACTTACAGTGCTGCTTGTTTTTTGAGCATGGCGACTTCTTTGGCTTGCTTGCGCACCGTCGCTTCGAGCATTGCATTAACAGCAAGTAAGGATTGGTTAGAAATTTCCAAGTCAGCAATCTACACAAGAAATTTTTTTTTTTAAAATTTCAGTACCAAGATCAAGCGTCTTGCAAAAAGACGCCCGGAAGAAGCTTTCCAGCTCAAAAACCAACCTTGCGATTGATGCGCGCTTCATCCACAATAGGTTCTTCTTCTTCATCCTCGTCTTCATCCTCCTCCTTGGATTCTTCATCGTTCGATAATGAAGGTTTGACGTCGCTCATGTCATTTTCATCGTCCGTATCGGAATCGAGCAGGTGGATGTTCTGGTTATCATGAGGATCATGTTGGTTCGAGCCATCTGACACCACAAATTTCTCCGGTTCATGATATGTAATGATAGATCGGGTATCATGGGAACCTTTTCTGGATAAATGCACGGGGTTTTGCGAGGAGACGGTAGGAGTCGATGCAGCAGGAGCATTGATCGGTCCCAACACGGCTCGATGTGGTGTCACAGAATAAGGAAGGGGTCGAAGATGGGATGAAGCGGAGGTTGAAGGTATGGTCGGTGTAGCCGAGTGAGAAGCGACGGTGTTGGTAGGATGAGGGTGGGTCATTTGCGTGTTATGAGTGCTGTGAATGTTGTGGGTGCTGTGAATGTTATGAATGCTGTTGGTGTGAGCTAACGCCGGCGCTGTGTATACTTTGGGCAAACTGGGCGTATTTCGTTTGGCCGGCTTGTAGATTTCAATATGGGGACGATCTTTGGCCAGGCTCGGAGGCGATGGCGGTGCGGTGGTAAAACGGCCGGAGAAACTGGGATGATCAGAAACCGTGGATGACGGTCGTGATGGCGGATGATAGATATTGAGAGCTGGTTTGGAATCGAGAACACTGATCTTGGCAGAAGTGGCGACTCTAGGTTTTCTGGAAGTATTGGGTATAGGTTGTTGCGCCGGGGCGGAAACTGAACTCTCAAACGAGTGAACAGATGGGGTCCGCTTAGTCGTCATGAAGCTGTGATTGGGCCGAATAATATTGACCGCCTTTGGTTGGGACGAATCTTTGGCCATGGCGTTGGGGGGTTTGGAAAAAAGCAGAGTGTTTTTTTGGAAAGGCGCCAAGGTGGAAGGCCTTCAAAGGACACAAGTCACACCAGGCCCTTCAAAAACCGCCCCCAGCCGGCTTTAAAAAAACACATGGTGGCATCATCTCACTTGGAAAATGGAGGAAAAAAAAATATTTTTATGAGGAATATGAGGATGTAATGTTGAAAATGCTATTATTTACATGAGAGATTCGCTGGCTACGAGTGTCAATTCTTCTAGAATTTTAAGAATCTGCGCCTTGGAGGAACGAGGAATAAGCTAGGACAAAGACCATAATCCCATCGAATCAGTCGATCCTATGCAGAGGGATTTTCAACTTGCAATGCTTTTTTCTTTTAATTTACCTTTAATTTTCCGTCCGTTGATAGATAAGCTACAGGCGTGCCTATACGAGTGAGAACCAAACTCGATATGTTTAATCGAGTATTGCGAAAGACGTAGTGATGAATTGCTTGCATGGTCGTCATTCGATTGGCGCGTATTCTGCAATTTTAGGAGATGGCATTTCAATTTCGTGCTTTCACAATCCAGTCGATCGATCTTTCTTGTACTTATTTTTCGTGTTCAACTTACATTCCAACGATTTTCATCAATTCCTCCTTACGAATACTAACAGAAATAGCAGTTATTTCTTCCAGATTAGGAACACTGTAGGTCAACTCCAACGATTGATAGTTATACGGTCGAGAGGGTATTGTTGCTTCAGAGAAATATTAACTGATCTGACACGTTTCCCATTGGAAGGGTTTTTTCATCTTTGTTACCTTCCACAAGGTCTGCTGTTTCCAGAGAATCATACAATCCGTGCGTCCATGCTTCCACCAGGGTTTCAAACGTTTTATTCGAGATATGCAGCGGTCCCAGGTAACTGTCAAAGCACTTGCATAACCAAGTTCCCACGAACTCCCCGACACCGTGAGTGGTTTTCATCAACACGAGCGGATAACAAGCGAATTCATCTAATACAGTACATTAATTGGACGAACAATGATATCCAAAATACATAAAAACTGTACCTGGCAGTTGGGCTTTCCCTGGTGTGATCGCGGGAAACATGAGCACGTTGTGTGTATTTGGCGTAGGTTTTCCTTTTAGTTGGATGGTAATCGAAATATCGAGCGGCTTCCATTGCGGTCTCACTAACGTGGCCAGAGAAAAACACGAGTTAGTTATCTGCTTTTCTGCCCAAAATGGGGGTCCTTGATCAGGAAGTGAGTCGTTGACCCACCTAATGGCCATTCCGGGATTGTCATGGTTTGTATTTCGACTTTGGTTAATTCGCCTCGAACTTGCGAACGGCCAAATGCTTGCGCGGGGGGATCGGGTTCGTCACTATTGTGCAAATTCATGTGGATAGCGAGATAGCGACGCAAACTCGCTTCCGTCCGCCGCCGTCTCCGAGGATCGAAACCACCGAATCCAAACAATGGGGAACATCGATACAGTTTATAGGTTTTGTTGACAAGGTACGCTGAGAAAAACAAAAAGTTAGAAAACAAAGATAGAAGATAATATATTCAGCAGTAAACGCACGTAAAGAACCGGCGTCCAGGGCCTCAATCGACGCCATTGCCAAAAAGAAAACTCGCGAAGCCAAAATACATCAAATTCGGCGCGACAAAATAAAAAAGGGAAAAAAAGACAGCAAGACAAGCGTCACACTCAAAAATCATGCATCTCGAAAGAAAAATTAAAAAAAGCCTACAACTGTTGTTCATCTTGTTTCTCTTTTCCCTCCTTTTCTTTCTTTCTCTTCTTGAAGACTCCTTTGGCGTCATGGATCTCGAGTACGATGCCCAACAAGATCTTCGCTGCAGTAATGTCATTCATCGTAAAGAGTTCCTCCATGAGACTTCATCAACCATGTGCCACCCAAGATTTTCCGTTGACACCATTTTACAATAGGCATTGTAGCCGATCTATTTTCATTCAATGATGCAAAACAGCAAAGGATACTCGACAGTTACTATTTTCCAGATGCCGAATTTGTGTCGCCGTTATTAAGCACCCACGGAACTTATAATATCCGCCAGTAAGTACGTATACTCATGGCACCTGATACAATGACACTGGCGAACCCGGGGTTTCTTTTTGGGTTTTTATTGACGTTGCAGTTCTCCCATGACTTGACAGTGTTTTCTTATTGTGGAAATCTCTGAATAAGAAACAGCCTATTGTTGATAAAGTATGTTACAGCGGTGATACATGTGTCGTCTTTTTGACACAGTTATTATGTCCTCGGCTTTTCCCCTTGGTCGAACTACGTTTACCTGTGATTGTGACCTTGTCTTTCCGGGAAACCGATATTGACAGTGGTCTCGTCAAAATATTTCGACACCATGAGAGCTGGACCATTGACGGTAAATAGCGGGAACTTGGGAAATCCATTGCATCCATTTCTGAAACCATCAAGACTAAACTAAAGATCATCCACAGACATGATCCATTCTGTACCTCTGATTTCCTATTGGTACGATCACATAGTACGATTCATGATGGGCAAGTTACTGGTATCGGCTGGTCACGTCATCCACGTCACGACGGAGACAATTGATTTACTTTCTACACGAAGTCGCGAGATCGAAGAAGCACGTATCCAACTAGCCTTGTTGAACGCTTCCAAAGCCGCCACGCAGAGAAAATAAATCGTCAAGCGGAGCGGGAAAATAATAAAGAATTGGAAAATGCAAATACCGAGGTATATTTTGACAATAATTGACGACAGTATTGGCAATGAACGGTATCCATCACAAAGGGTATTAGGCAAAAAGAGGAGGGATATACAAGATGGGAAAAGGAAAATGTGCAACAAGAAATTGGGTTGGCTGAATTGGGGGTGCTGGGACTATTCACAAAACCAGTCGAGATCGATGGTGCATGTAGCGAGGTTGACCATGTGATGCTGGTCATCCGTGTCGAATTGCAAGTGACCGTTAAAGTAGCCTTTTCTTGAAAAGAGCGGGGTCGTGTAAGGGTTGGCAACGTGGATGGAACGCTTCAGCACAATACCGCGTGATTCTAAGATAATGGCTAGATTGAGTGTCCGTGAGCAGCTCAGCCATTCTTCATTGGCGCCAAATTGAATTTGCCGAGTCACATAATGGAAACTTCGTGGTTGGAACAGTTTTAGATGACAAGATTGATCGTCGGTAGGTTTTATGGAAGGCGTGAGCCAGGGCATCAAGGACGGTATCATGGAAAACGGCCGTCCCGGCATGTATTGGCTAGGAAGCGTCATGGCAACTATCGGGTCGTTTACCAAACAAGCGTACAGTCGCCGCTGACAGAAGACAGGGTGCGTGAGCATCAATCGATCAATATAAGGGTTATACGTTGACGGAAGGACCGAGTGAAGACCGCAGAGATCGGACAATGGCAGATAGCTTAGTATTTCCAACAAGATTTCCGTCGGCAAATGCACCGGCGCACATATTTGAGCCGACATGGCACAGAAACAAAAAAGGGGAAGGTCAAGGTTCAGAGAAAAATGAGGAGCATGCAAGAAATAAAGGACCAAGCACCCCGTTGGTCAGCCGTGACTGTAGAAAAATCTACTTAACAGCGCGCTTTCTTCGAAACGGACTTGAAAAAACAACACAGAAAACAAAAAGCGTTCCTTACCTTTCTCAGTTATCTCGATAATTCGGGGGAGCCTGATCACGTTGTATCTTACCTTGTAACATTGGTGGCTATGGTTCAGTGGAAAGTCAATTGTTTGGCGGCTGTTCTCTCTTTTTTTTTTTTTTTTTTTTTTTTTTATCACCACCTCTTTTTCTATCTCCGTGGATGGAAACTGTATCCCTTTGAAAGTAGTTATACTTGCAATTACGAGGGAAAGAAAAATGTGGGCTGTCGTAAGGCCATGCGCAGTCTAAGAACGCATGCACAAGGATTTGCTTATCTACAGTTGGTATCGCAAAAACGTTGCTTTCACCAACGCTCGTATCTTGGCAAAGGCATGGTTTGCAACAAGTCAAAATATGTGAAAAGGGAAATTACATGCGCCGTCTCTAAAATATGATAACAGCAGAAAGTAGTTGAAGAATACCCCCAATCATAGCGTCAACTACCTAATGATCGTCGCAAACGTTTGACTGGAAGCGATCATCTTTTGTTGATTGCGAAAATTTTCAAGTTCAGAATCCGGATGATCATTTTGTGTTGAAAAAAAAAAGTGTGAGCCGGCGGCTGCATTTCAATAAATGATTAACTTGCATCACGTCGGGCTGCTTTTTAGTTTGAACATTTTTCTTGCTTATTTTGCCCTCGTATCATGGTAATCAACAATATCGAAATAACCAAATATGAAGTGTATGACATTCGCTTCCCTACCTCGATCGATTTGTGTGGATCGGATGCCATGAATAAAGATCCAGATTATTCGGCAGCATACATCGTTTTCTACACCAACACGCGCTTGGAAGGTCACGGTATGACATTCACGCTTGGCCGAGGCAACGAAGTGTGCTGCCATGCTATTGAAGCTTTAGCTCCCAAGTTTGTCGGTAAAACACTGGATCATCTCGTGCAGAATATGTTTGAGACGCTGCGTCTGTGCATTGGAGACAGCCAACTTCGATGGATTGGGCCGGAAAAGGGAGCCATTCATTTGGCCACGGCTGCTGTGTTGAACGCGATTTGGGATTTATGGGCAAAGGCAGAGAACAAACCGCTGTGGAAACTCGTGGTGGATTTGACCCCCGAAGAGTTGGTCCGCTGCATCGATTTCCGATACATTACCGACGTGATCACACCAGAAGAAGCCATTCAGATGCTGAAGGAAAAGGTCGATACCAAGGCCGCTCGAGAAGCAGATATGATCTCCCACGGTTATCCCGCATACACAACGTCCGCAGGTTGGCTCGGTAAGCAACAATTCACACGCTTTGTTTAACATCGGTCATCTAATGTAAATTTCCCATTCAGGTTACAGCGACGAAAAAATCTTGCATGAATGTGAAAAGGCCCGAGCCGAAGGATTTACACACTTTAAGCAAAAAGTGGGTCTCGATAAAGAGGCCGACATACGGCGGGCTCGACTGATTCGACAGGCGATTGGTGATGACAGTATTTTGATGATGGATGCTAACCAAATATGGGATGTCAACGAAGCCATTGCCTGGATGAAGGATTTGTTGCCGTTCAAACCATTGTTCATCGAGGAACCTACTTCGCCCGATGATGTGCTTGGCCATGCGACGATCCGCAAAGCGCTTCATCCACATACCAAGGTGGCGACGGGCGAGCATATTCAAAATCGGGTGATTTTCAAACAACTATTCCAAACTGGTGCAATTGATGTGTGTCAAATCGATGCATGTCGCGTCGCCAGCGTGAATGAGGTGCTGGCGATCTTACTGATGGCCAAGAAATTCAATGTACCTGTATGTCCGCACGCTGGCGGGGTCGGCTTGTGTGAGTACGTGCAACACCTTGCATTGATCGACTACATTTGCATCTCTGGCACCACCGAACACCGTGTTCTTGAATACGTCGACAGTCTTCACGACCACTTTGTGGATCCCGCTGTCATGAAAAAAGGGCGATATCAGGTCCCAACCGCGTCAGGTTACAGTATCCAGATGAAGCCACAATCCATCCAAGATTACACATTTCCAACCGGCAAGATTCATCGAGAAAAAAACCGTGGCTAAGCAAGAGAAAATTGTTTGAATATAAAATAACACATCCAACCGATCACAGTAAATGAACGAATCCCCGTCGCACACATTAAATGTTTGATTCATTTTTATGATACGTATTTGAAATAAACTGATGTAGCATATTGCTCGTTCATACCAGTTTAGAAGAACCGATAGATTATCGTGAGCACGTCCATTATTTACCGTCGAAAGACTTGTCAAACTAGGCAAAAGTTGAACAGGATCCAAAAAGAACATATTCAAATAAAAATAGGGGCATTTGATTGTTTTTTTTTCTCTCTCTCTCTCTCTCTATGGCGGCGTACAGCATCCGAAAATAGAATTGCAATTTAGTCTTTCTGAATAGGTTATTCAAAGAGGGCCAGAGCTTTCAAAAAGGTACTGTTGGCTCAATTCAATTCTATGGCTGACATCATTTCCACCTGGTCGCTTGTAACATGACGTTCCATCAGTGTCATCATTGCCCTCATATACAACATGAAGCCGCGTGAAAAAAAAAGGTGTGGCACTGTCGTGACCATGATTCACCATGTCGGAGAAGCCAAGGGCGGGAATTCATGCTTTCCACTCACCGCTTGGTCAATTACGTCGTGTCAAAAGAAAAGCGGACCGTGGAGAACCCAGTCACAGATGGTCCAAAACGAGCACTGGCTGTCTTGAAGATCGCACCTTTTCCCCCCTTGGCATTGGTGAACGCCTTTTTCCTTTTCTTCCAACTTTTTATATATCATGAATATTTTTCGTCTTGTCGCGGATTTGATGCATTTAGCATCAATTTTTATCCTGTTGTTAAAAATTCGAAGCACGCGTTCCTGCGTAGGTGAGTTGAAACCCTTTAAAAAGCCTGCAAATGGCCGTGAACTTGTATTACCACAGTCGTGAGTAACTTGATTTTTCTTACTCTAGGTATATCGTTTAAATCGCAACTACTTTATGCCATTGTCTACTTGACCCGTTACTTGGATTTGGTAACGAAGTGGGTGTCACTTTACAACACATGTATGAAAGTGTTCTTCATCGCTTCGTCGTTATATGTCATCTACCTGATGAGATTCAAATTCAAGGCCACTTACGACGCGAGTTTGGATACGTTCCGCGTTGAATATCTGCTGGGAGTTGCAGCTATTTTGGGGGTGGCATTTACTTATCACTACACAGTAATGGAGGTAAGCGGATGACGTTCACGAAGCTTTTGGCTTTTTCTACGTGGTTGGAACTGAAATCGACGATTGGCTGATCGTCTTGGCCTTGCCTTTTTTAGATTTTGTGGTCTTTTTCGATTTGGCTGGAATCCGTGGCCATTCTGCCTCAACTGTTTATGCTTCAGAGAACCGGCGAAGCAGAGACCATCACCACGCATTACTTATTCGCTCTGGGCGCTTATCGAGGCCTGTATTTGTTCAATTGGATTTACCGATACTTTTTTGAAAACTACGTGGATTGGATCGCGTGGGTAGCCGGTCTGTTGCAGACCGCATTGTACAGTGACTTTTTCTACATTTATTACACAAAGTAAGTGTGTTTGTTTCTAGTTAAACTAAAAGGTGGTCAGTGCTCCTCTGGGCTCACGGAGATGTCTTCTCCTTTTTTTCATATTAGGGTTGTCAAGGGCAAGAAGTTCGAATTACCAAAGTAAGTATCCAAAAAAAAGAAAAGAGATTCATTAACCTGTAAACTGAAATCATTAACTCTCTTTATCGCTTTCCTATTTTTCTGCCTCTTTCTCTTTAAAGGATGGTCTAAGACGAAATCCAAAAACTTCACCTATATTAATAAAGTAGGGTTGGTTTTTTCTTCCTTTCTTATTCGCTCTCTGTTTCTGAAGGTTTTGGTTATTATTGGTTGATTCAAAAAAATATTGGATGGGGTCATCAAAAGTTCAATGAGGGGGGATGATTTTTCAAAAAACCGTTGATCCTGTCGATACGCAAGTTATAGCAATGGGTGATTGGGGTTTTGTTGATCATTTAGGTTCTTGCAAACAATTTTATTTTTGTGCTTGAGCGATACAGTGATAGGCAGATCACAGCCACAATTTTGTGCCAATTGAAACATTTTTAGCATCGAGCCTCAAACGTGTCAATCGCTGCTTGGATCAGTTTGTAGTGTATTCCATATTTTTACACAGTGAATGAATCGTAAATGTTCGGTAGAAAGATTTGCTACTGTCCGAAAACCGAGCTTCTTCATATCAAGAATGTTAATATAAGCATTTTCCAAGCTGTTCCATTGGTCTAATGCCGTAATTTGCAAGATACCCCACATGTTGACTTTCATACATCGTAAGTTTCGCCCAGATTATGTATTTCATATGCATAGACGTTGTCTGACAAACAGTCGCTCAATGTAAGAAGGCAACCTCCAACGGCAGACGGCATTCAAAATGAATGTAGGGCTTGTTAGGGGTTACAAAAATGTAATAAACCAATCTGAAACCAAAAGAAGTCTTCGTAGCATGATGACCCATGTCATAATGGCTCTGGTTTTTTTTTCACTTTTTTCACTTTTATCACGGAAGTCGGAGCTGCGATATCTGTCTTCTTTTGTAGATTCATCGACAACAAAAGTTTGAATAATATGCAAAATTCATCACTACCGGCAGCTGTTGATGAAGCAGATATGCTGGCGATTCCGTACCATCGTGATCGTCGGGTGTCTGTCAGCGGCGAATCCATGCAACCCCATCTCACCGGTGTCCAGAAAATCGTTATTCCCAAAAGTGATGAACAACGTGCACGGATCCGCACCGCTACCAATGGTCATTTCTTATTCAAACATTTGAACGAAGACCAATATCGAGACGTGGTTAATGCGATGGCCGAAAAAAAGGTGTCTGCTGGAACCCACGTTATTGATCAGGGAGACGAAGGCGATTATTTCTACGCTGTAGAATCCGGCTGCTTCGATTGTTACGTGAACGATGAACTTGTGACAGAGTACGATAACAAGGGCAGTTTTGGCGAACTTGCATTAATGTACAATGCGCCTCGTGCTGCCACCATTGTTGCGAAAACCGACGGTGTTTTATGGGCTCTTGATCGACACACATTCCGCACCATTCTCATGAATGATACAGCTCGTAAACGGCACATGTACGACGAATTCCTGAAAGAGGTGCCCATTCTGAAATCGCTTCGTGAAGAAGAGCGACACAAGATTGCCGATTCCTTGGAAACGGTCTCATTCAAAGATCAACAAGTGGTTGTCCATCAGAACGAAGTGGGTGAAAACTTTTATCTCATCGTTGATGGTGAAGCGTTGGTGTATAAATCGTCCGATGACGGTTCACCACCGCGCAAGGTAAATCGCTTGGGCAAAAGTGATTACTTTGGCGAGCTGGCTTTGCTCAACGATAAACCGCGAGCGGCCACGATTGTCGCTCAGAAGCATTTGAAATGTGCGACACTGGATAAAAATGCATTCACCCGACTCTTGGGTCCTGTAGTGGATATTCTTCGCCGTAACTCTGTAAACTATCAACACATTTTAAATTTAGCAGCTGAAGAAAAGTAATAAATACAAAGAGAGAAAAAAACTTAGATATAAACAAAAAAAAAAGGCCGAAAGGTGGAAATAACAAGGTATTTATGAGGAAACGCCTTTGGTCTCTTCCATCTTTTGCTTTTTGCGCGCCAAGTAACGTTCTTTGGCACTCATGGCCGCTTCATCGGTGGTTCGTTTGGCGGCTACCTTTTGTTCAAATTCTTCTTGTTTCTTTCTCGCTTCTTCTTCCTCCTTCTGTTTGTTAGCCAACATCTGGCGTTCCACTTCCTGACTCAGGCGTTCACGTTCGTCACCACGGCCCTGTCGTCGTCGCGCTTCATATTCCGCCACCTTCTTTCGCTTATACTCTTCGTATTCCAGTTGTCGCTCGCGGATGCGTTCGTCCGATGAAGCCAGTGAACCAAACGAACCAAACTTGGGTTTTGCAACATTTAAACCTGCACCTAGCAGTTCACGCTTATCGACAATTTCGTTGTTATCGTTCAACGTCACCGATTTGCCTTCTCGTCGTGCTTGCTCCAGTAACTGGAGATCTTCATCCAATTGTTTTTCTCCTTGTTCAAGTTTCTTTTGCTTCTCAGCCGATGACGATTCTTTCTTATTCATCTCATCCATAAGTGCATTGTGTAGTGCTTCTTTTTTGTCGAGCATCCGTTTGTAAAACGATGTCATGGTCTTATTCTTCTCCATTTCCTCTGCAAATGGAAATTGAAAAAAATTATGCGACATTGTACGCTTCTCTTTTTTCCTGTGGCTGCAAGTTCTTACCTTCACGTTTTTTCTCCTCAGCTTCGATTCGCTCCAACTCTGCTTTGTGTTTCTTGAATCTAATACAACAATATATAACATGTAAGAACTCCTTCCGTGACGAATACTTGGATTGCATGATCCCTATCCTTACGCTTCGGTCATAAAGACTTCTCGTCCTGCAAATTCTTCTCCTTCCGCTTCTCGCTCTCGGGCCACCTTTTTCTCTTCTGCTAGTAATCGATCGCGTTTTCGGATCTCGGCCATTTCCAACAGTCCTTGGATATATTTTGGCCGTTTATCCTCTTTGCCTTTGAGGGTTTCCTTCTTTTTTCGCTCCACTTCTTTGAGATCATCGTACACCGCATCGTAGTCAAAGATATTTGGGTCTTCTTCCAGCGCCTTGGCATGTTCTTCTGTGATCTTTTTATTGGTTGTTTTCAAGCTCGCCAATTGCTGATTGACCTGTTGGCGTTCTTTTTTCTTGGTCTTTGATCGCGCATCGGATGACTCAATGTCTTCGTGTTCACTTTCACTGTCGTCTTGCTGCCCAAACGCAGATCGTTTGGCTTGGAACATGGGTTTAGCCTTTTTGGCAGAAATGTTTAGTCCAAATTTCATGGCGAGGATTGACTGGGAATATTCGCAGAATGATGTATGAAAGATCAAACCAAATTGCTCAATTCAAAAATGCAAGGGCGCGGTTTGAATTTTAAGCGATGCCTTTTTCTGGCACCAGGCTCAACTTGGAGAGTAAAAATACTCTGTGCTGCCCTATACATTTTTTTTTTTTTTGGCATCTAAGCAATAGATTACCTGCAACCAAGCGACCAAATATTTTTGGTCACTACAGGCACAATATAATAATGTTTCTTTGTAGCGCTGTTCATCATGGATTATTCTGTTCTTCCATGCTTAGAGTACCAGAATCGTCCATGCTATAAAATAAACACTGGTTCCTTTTTTTGGAAAACTAAAACAAGTAGGATCACCAGTCTGCAGTTGCTTTCGAAATCTTCAATGTGGTACTAATATGCCGCCATCTTTTGACAACTGCTCTGACGATATCTGACAACACCTATGGACACGTGTAACCTATCAGGCCACATTTGCAAAGATGGACAACATTTTTTTTCTTTCAATGTAATAGATTTAATAAATTGTATGGAAATAAAGTTAATGCTTAGAAACAGAATGAACAATGTGGATTACATGAACAAGCGTCTGAAGATACAAGAAAGTCAGTTAGCTCTTTCGAGATCAAAGTTTCCCCATTTTCTTTAGAGATCCATGTCCTGGTCAACGCCGACGTTTTGGGAGTTGTCAGAAAGAATACCGCCCTTGAGAAGGTTGTTCAAGGCACCGACGACACGGCCTTCGTTACCAAGGTTACCGGCGGATTGTTCACCTTCCTTGTGGTGACCAGAGTTGGCAGCCGAGGAGACAGCGAAAACAGCAGCGAACAAAGCGAGAACGAAAGCAGCCTTCATGATGAGAGATGAGTTGGTGTAGAAAGAACTGTGTGAAGAAAAGATATTGATATCAAATCGAGGTTGAAATTCATGGTATTTATATGTTGAAAAAGGCCATGGAAATGGGAAGCGTGCCGACTTCCCCTCAGTCAAGCCGAAATGTTGAGCTGATGAAATTAAGCAGGAGCTTCTTTGGCGGCATGCACACTAATCATACGAATACAAAGAACACCAAGTAACTCTTTTTACGTCTCCTGTCAAAAGAAAAGAGCACTGGAGAGTAAACAAGGCCCCCTTGCATAACGATCCCCTTCATGTCATTTTATTTCGGTCCGTTATTCAATCTGACCTCCCTTTATGATCCTTCGTTCTTCTTGATAATGAGAAGCGAAAGCAATATCACCATTTACTTTATGTCCTTTTTCAGACTGCGGATTGATTACAATATTCAATTTTATTGTGATTCTTTCATTTAGAATCTTTGTGAAATGTTGCAAGCGATCGATTACTCCCAATCACCCTTTTTGATCATGTCGCACAATCTTTGACCTTCTTTTTTTTTTTTTAATTTCACCCCCAGACACAGCGATAGATCTCGTATGGTTGACCATATCTCTCGCTTGGGTCAGTTGTCCGGAAAAGGGCTGGCCCCTTACTTTCGTGGCCAGTTTGCACCAACCGGAATCACACGCTCCTTGGTCAATCCCAAGACACGACAACCCTTTGCCACCATTCACGAAGCCACGGTGCCGCAGGTACAGCTAGCGCTCGAGAGCGCCAGAGAACAGCACTCAACTTGGCGCCACAATCACGCATTGCGACGCGATGCTCTTTTCGCTCTGGCGAACGCAGCTCATGACGCCCGACACGATTTGACCGAGCTCGAAATGTTGCAAACGGGCAAATCGCAAGAAGACGCATTGTTCGAAGTGGAGGATACTATTGAATGCCTGCGTCACTTTGCGGGTTATTCTGACAAACTGGCAGGTCAAGCACACACCGGGAACGGTTTGCATGCGTATACTCAAAAGGAACCGTACGGCACGGTAGGCCTTATTACGTCGTTTAATTATCCATTATTGCTAACCGGCTGGAAATTGGCCCCTTCCCTGGCCGCTGGCAATTGTGCGATTGTGAAACCGGCGCCCCAAACCCCGTTGACCACATTAGCTCTGGCTGGATTAGCAACCGATATCCTGCCTGCGGGTGTCCTTAGCGTACTTCCTGGAGGTGCCGAGATAGGGCAGGCAATATTAAAAGGGGTTGATAAGATTAGTTTTACCGGATCCACGGCGGTCGGTCAATCGATCATGCGCGAAGCGGCAGCTACGTTGACACCTATCACGCTGGAATGCGGTGGCAAAAACGCGGCAATCGTGCTAGCCGATGCCGATCTTGATGAAGCTGCTCGTCATATTGCGTCGGGGGCCTTTTCCAATGCTGGCCAGAACTGCTGTGCTGTGTCCAGGGTGTTGGTCAGCGTAGAAGTGCATGATACCTTTTTAGATAAATTAAGTCAACATTTGGATACCCAGGACTGGGGACCGCTGATCGATCAAACTCAATACGAACGCGTCCTGGGCCATATTGAACGCGCCACGGAGTCACCTGCATTTGTCGGCCCACGCAACAACGATGGCCAATCAGGGTATTATGTTCCTCCCACCGTCTTCACGCAAGTGGACGATCACTCACCTCTCGCTCGCCAAGAAATATTTGGTCCCGTTCTATCAATACTGAAGCCTTTCCGGACGATAGAAGAAGCCATCGGCCGTGCTAATAATTCCCCCTATGGCTTAGCTGCCGGTGTGTTTACCAAGGATTACAAGAGAGCCCATTCTATCGTGCCGCAACTGAAAGCCGGCGTCGTTTGGGTCAATACCTATAACCTTATGCCTTCCTTCTTACCATTTGGCGGCGTCAAAATGTCCGGTATTGGCAAAGACCTTGGCCAAGCAGCGATGAATGAATTCACCATAGAGAAATCAGTCATGTTTGGCCTAACATAATAACTCGCATAGGATCATCTTTGTGCAATGCGGCTCTCTTTTTGTTATATCTTTTTCGTTTTACAAGTAAAAAATATTTGCAGTTGTAGTTTATTGAGGTTTTCATTATAAACATTGGAACGCCACCATTCGGCTTATGATACATAACATCATAACAAAACCATACAGACACATGTATGTCTCATGCGCAGTTTTTTTTTTTGACCATGTGAGCCATGCAATTTATGTTGGTGTAATAAAAATGTATACATTTGGCAGGTTCACGTACAAGAGGATAATGGATATATAGTAAGCTGATGATAAATTTACAAAAGAATGATAGATCGAAGGGTAGTAGATGATTAAAAATGAAAAGGGGGGGATAGCGAAAATGACTCGCTTATTCTAGTAAGAGTAGAGAAATTCCTATTGTGGGTCATGTTCAAAAACTTCTTGCTCTTCAAAAGAGCTGATTTCGACGGGTTTGGAAGGATAGAAATAGGCGGTTACATCGGAGAAAGGTGCGGATAGACTCCAACGCTTCGAGGAGAGTTTGTCTTCAACTTCTTTGGAGCGTGCCACCGGTCGTGGACGCAGCCATCGTAATAAGAGAGGAATGACAATGAGGTACATTAAACCAACCACAATAAGACCAAAATGAAGGAAAAATCTACACATGTAAATCATGAATTAAGTTATCCTGTTTCTGAGAAAATGGTGCGAAAAAAAAAGTCCTTGGCACATACCTGAAATCGTAACTGATAGTAAAGACTGATTTGGTGTGAGGATATGACAGGGTGGTGTTGTTGGTTTCCATGGTGTGCTGGGCGGAGGTTTCTGAAGAGTAATGATGATGGCGTGAAGAGGAAGAGGGTGAAAACGCGGGTGAAGTAGAGAAGAAGGCAAGACACATGAACATGGCCATGAACATTTTGGAACCGCCTTCGTTTTCGTTGGCCTTGGCCGCTGCTGTGGCTGCCTTCTTTGCTCGACGACGGTAGGGACGACGTTCGGGTTTAGGAATCAGTTGTGCCAATGCGGCACGTTGGGCGGCACGTTCGCGCAACATCATCTGTCGTTCTTCGCGTTCACGTTCTTGGGCCAGTTTTCTTTCGCGGGACAATCGTTCAGCTTCCATGCGTTCAAATTCTTGCTTTTGTAGACGGAATCGGCTCAATACTTCGCCACCGCCGGGCATTTGGCCAATGATTTGCTGTAAAATTTGATTTTCTTGATCAACCAATTCGTTGCTGTGTTTCAAAAACGAAATGTATTCGGTTGCTTTGCGCAAAATCGTGGCTTTGTTGAGTTTCTTGGCCACCTCGACGCCTTCGACGATTTCCTCGGTGTCGCTATTGCTGTCGTCTTCTTCGTCTTCAAGTGATTGACCGGTTTTCTCCTTGATTTTGGCTTTGTACAGCGCAGGAACCACGTTCTTCAGATCGCGAATACGATCGTTGATGTTGTTGCGGTAACGACGTTCAATGGCATTGTGAGCCACCTTTTTCAGATGACGGCCAGGTTCAAAGTCGGGACTACCTGACATCATGCTGCTGGAACGGCGGGTCTTTCGCCAATGGCGGGTTTCCGAGACGTCGTAATTTTCTTCTTTTACTACAATAAACAGAGTGGTCCATGAGCCAAAAAATCTAAAAAAAAAAGATGTTTCATTGATGGTTTACCTTTGAAGGGCCCTTGAGCCCATTGATCGATGGCTGCAAATGCCCCACTTAACGATTGCGTACGCACAGGAGGCGACATGCTCGGAGAGGAAGACAAGGCACATGGCGACATGGATGGTTGCGACGTCGCGGGCTCGGACAAAGGCGTAGTGGGAATGGCAATACCGGGCATATTATTGGCAAACTGGGTACCCATTTGCAAGAAATCGGAGGGTGGCGTGGGGGGATGATAATTAGCTAGCGCTTTTTCAGCTTCTTCTTTGATGCGTTGACTGAGGTCAAAGCGATAGGTTGTATCCGGCATCATAGCGGGGGCAGGCAAATCGAATTGTTGAGGCGAATGCATAGGGGTCAACGCGGATTGCGTGGACGTCTCGGGTGATGTCAAGGAAGAAGGGACCATGGCGGGTGGGGCCTGGAGACCCCAGTCGAGCAGATTAAAATCCTGGTTTGAACAGAGATAATCCGTCATTCGGGGTAGATTATTGTTGTTCGTAAGAGGATGTTGTGGAGGCGAGTATATCGCTTGATGCGATGCCAATAAGGCATTATGGCATAAAATCCCTTGTTGTTGCTGTTGCTGAGCTAAGGATTGCTGCTGCTGTTGCTGTTGCTGTTGCTGGAACGCTTGTTGCTCTTGCTGCTGCTGTTGCAACTGTTGCATCGATGCGATGTTAAAATACGTGTCAAAGTCGAGGTCGGGTATATCTTGTAGCATAATCTTTATTTACAGTAGAATGGAACAAATGTTTAAAATGAAAAATGTCTCTCCTTCATATATAAAATGATAACAGAAACAGGCCACTTTTTTTCCTTGCACACGTCAATTGGCGGCACGCAGCGATCTGATTGGCTGACACAAACCTCACCTCATATTTTTCAGACTTGCTGCCAAAAAAAAACTATAGGGCGCACCAAATCCAGCTCGGGGAGGATGTGGGCAACCTCACGCCATTCTCGCATTTTTTTTTTTCGATTACTGTAATTAATATTGTGTGCCTGTTGGCATTCTTTCCCACAAAAAGGATGTTCAAGAAAAGAAAAAGCCTCTCAACTTGGAAGTAATCATATGAAGATTTGTTCAAGCCCCCAATGTTCTATGTCCATGAGGCTGGTTTTTAATGCTTCTGAAACATTGAAATGGAACATTGATTGACATTTCCGCGAACTAATGATTATCAGTGATTCAAAGAGTTATATTGGCACTCCTTGAGGCATTTAAGGCGGTTTTACTTTTTTTTTGGTTTTACTTCCCCTGGATCTTCTGAAGCAAAGGCAATTCGTCTCCCCGACGTGCTATGTTGGAAAGCCACCTGTTCAGCTTTGGGTTTGGGCTTGACGTTGTACAAAAGGAATTTACGTTTATCCGCGCTCATTGGATGTGTGTGTACACGTTTCACACCGTTCAGTCATCCAAGTTTAACCCATCCCTGAGACTATTTCTAGAAGCAATACAGGGAAATATGACAGCAGGATTATTCTTTTGTTTGATTGATAGTCAAGGATTTGCCTTTTGGTGTTCCACGTTCATTTTTTTAAGCTCCTTCAAATAAGGTGTGTAGCTGGTTCCTTTTTTTTTTTTTTCCACCGTGTCATCTGCAAGAATTCTGCTCTACAAGAACGGACTATTTGTTTTGGAAATTTTTTAGTTCCCCATCAGTCCATCTCTGCAAATTGGAAGCTATAAACAACTGGGAAAACATTTCCTTATCCGTGACCGATTCTGGAAAAACCTTTATGCATCCATGCTTTCTTCTTCGCATGACGTCTTTGCAGCTTAGCAACGGCGTTTTCAAAAAAGAGTTCCCGTCGTCTCGACAATGGCAAGCCAATTGTTTAACTACAATAGGTAATTTGTTTCATCCATCCAGTCACTCACCATTAGTAAAATAGCAAGGGTCAACAACCAAAAAAAGGAACATCATGATTTGTATCCATATTCAAGCGCATCAGATCATGAAATTCAGGTTTACAGCCATAGTGTAGAGGTTAGAATTTCTTTTTCATTTTTTATCCATTTGATTTTGTATTACTTTGGAAACACAGTGTTATTACAGACACATGAGGCAAGTTCTTTTTTTAGTCCTTTTTTTTGTCCCTTCTTTCATTCTCGTTTGTTTTGTATAGTATTAAGGTAACTAGATAGTGCTTCAAGATTGATGATGATGATATAATTGAGATTCCTACAGTTGGAATTATAAACCTTCATATGGATCTGAGTCTGTGTGGGCTGCCGAAGGTCCGCCGTGGACCGTGGGATATTGTGTGCTTGTGTTACTGTTTCCGGAAGGATAACATTGCCGCGACGATAACTGATCGAAACTTCCGGTGGGGTATTCGCAAGGGCACGATTCGTCAATGGTGACGACCTGACTTGCCATTTGAGGTTCATACGTCGGAATTCGTGGTCGATACTCTGGTTCGATGAATCCCTTCTTTTTTTCATCGCCAATGTATTGAGGTAAATGGTCGACGAGGGTGTTGCTGCGTGAAATCACACTGGGACTGTAGGCCAGTTGTGGCATGTACTGTGATTTTCTAATGGCACCAATGAGCGTGTCTGCTGTGAGTCGCTTCGCATCTCTGGGGATGGCCCTGGAATAGTAGGCCGGGGGTGGAATGGGGGCAATATCCAGGTGGCTGCTGTTTTTATCACTCCCGCTGTAACTAGACCAGCTTTGACTTATACCAGCGTCCCATCCTTTACGAGCTAGTTGCCGCTGTCGGCGTATCAAGATAACCATAAGAACACACGTCAGCACCAGTCCTGCTGCAATACCGAGGATCGGTCCCAGCCAGTACTGCAAGCCGTCGTTGTCGTTGTCATTTTCGGTCACCAGGTTACCGTAACCGCCGCTTTTGGTGCCATTAGAGGTGTTGGGGGCCACAGCATTCCAAGACGACGATGATGATGCGCTGGATATTGAACTTGCGGCACTCTGTTTCGCATTAGACGCTGTGAGAAAAGATGATGTGGAAGGTTTTGTCGATGATGAAGGTGCTGTGTGAGTTGCGCTGGTTTTCGAAGACGAAGCAGGACTGGGATGTGGACGTAAGCTGGCCACAGGAACAAGATAGGTCGCCACAAGCGGTGTAATGTGATAGTTTGGGAAAGACATGATGAATATCAAATCACCTTCCACCCCAAGCTTTTGAAAAAAGGGGATAGAGGGGAAAAGAATAAGAAGTGGGATTGCAGGTTATGCAATCTTTTTTTTTTCTCAACTCAAAAATCCCAAGGGCTCTCTTTATGTTTCTGCAGGAAACCCCTGGTCCAAACCGGCAAACATAACTGTAAAGGATACCGTTTTCTTTTTATAATAGTGCTCCCTCATCCATATTACCAGATCAAATGATAAAAAAGAATACCAACTATTCGCGCTCGTTGCATGAAGAAAAACAAAACCAAACACAACAGAAGGATGATCTGCTTTTTTTAGTGAATTGGATGATAAACATAGAATTCCTGCGGATTACAACCAGCATACCGATCTTTTTTTTTTCGAACGATGCTGCACACTCTGTTATAGTATTTCAATGGTTTCCTTCTCGTAGAGCAGTGCCATTCCAAAGACATAAACGTTCTCTAACTGATATTGCTTTAAAAGAGAACGAAGAAAAATAATTCAAAAAAATAATTAAGAGAAAGCATGCCAGGTAATGATATGTCCGTGAGACGCGTCCTACCAGCATGAAAAGAAAACTCTAATAATGACCATTGGCCAAAAGATGAAGGCTCATTGATCCAGACGTCACCGATCCCTGTGTTGATTGCTGATGTCGCATGCGCCTAAAACTATACGTAGAGCCAATCAACAAAGAGCGTACTTTCCTATAGAAAGCATTATCACTGCGGTTGAATGGTTTTCTGTGACATGGGATAGAAATAATAGATAGAGCATGTTGGCACGCTGTAGTTGGACACTGTATTCATTGACGAAATGAATAGCTCTATCATGATGAAAATGAGTTATGCCAGTTCAGTGGGATCCTTTTTAGCTTCGAGGGAACCAGACTTGATCGATCACATAGGTTACGGGGTTGAACGATGAGGGATGATCATCCGGAAAAGCTTAATCCTGCCAGGAAAAATATGCATCATTCGCTACTATGGTATCATAAATCGCTAATAAAAAATGCAATGCAGGTTTTTTTTTAAAGAAAAAAATGTGCCATGGAATTGGACAGCTTAAAGTCAGTGTTCGAATTGAATTGTGGAAATTACCTTGTCGACCTCCATTTGAGAACATCAGAGGATCATTCACGGTAAAAAACACTGCTGTACCTTGCAACATATGTGCTCATTTATGAACGTTCTATACTGCTGTAACGAGAAACATGTCAGCATATTCTATACTTTTCGATATTCAAAGAATCATACACATGATTCATATTATCATGTGGCTATCGTTATCAACAACATAATAAAACAAGTTCGGTTTTGATTTTCAGTCTTGCAAAAGTTATCATACATATAGTTTCATTGACAAGACAAAACAGTAGCCACTACAAAAAGTAAAAATGAATGCAGCTAATAGTGAGAAGGGGTGTCCAAGTAAGAAAAAATAGACGGATTATTAGACAAACGCGACTGACTCTTCTTTGTTTTCACTACAAATGAAAACTGTTGTCACCACACTGTGGGGCCCGCCACCACACACCAACATAACATGGGTTTTGTACCTTTTCAAGTATTGATCCATCATCTTATACGGCTGATGCATCATTACCTTTCGATAAAGTTTTCATGATCTTCTACAAGAAAAAAAAAGGCAAAAATTGAAAGTCGTCGATCATTGTGGTCATTCGGGAGTATACGTACAGACGCTTGAAGCAGAAACAATAAAATAAGCGAATATATGTGTATGCGATGACTAATATGGAATCAAATGTATTATAAATGGAATATGATGGATACGACATGAAGAGAAATTATGGACGGACGATGTGTAGTGTTTTCTCCCACAAACTATGGCCACTAGGTGGCGGTCCATTGGCAGGGTGGAGGGAAAATTATTTGGCTGCAGGGAATTCCTAGCGTCCAGTATACGATCATTTTCGATGATACACTATACTCGATTGATGGGCCTTGGAGAAACTTTGTATGTTCCTGAAATGTTTTTGTGCTTGAACAATTCATTGATATCAGAAATTGCTGACATCTGTTGCTCCGACAGTGATATTGCCACCGATTTATTATCGTAATTTCATCAATTTACGAACTCAAAAATGCTGCACAAAACAAACGGATAATACATTCGATTGTACCTGGATCGTTTTTCCTTTTATTGTAGAGTAAGCAATTCTTTCAGCTGACTTCCAGCCATTTCCTTTTTGGGAGAATTCAGGTTCGAAAAATGCGACATTTGTAAGGGGTAGAAAATTGAGTGAGGCTGTCTAGAACCAACGCGAATGAAAAATCTCTAACAATTTGGTTTCCTTTTCCTTCTTTTTTTCCCTTTTTGAGCTGGAAAATCACTCAACTTTTAGCTAAATAGCAAGGGCACATTACGCGCTATGACGGACGCCTCCAGCACAGAAGTAGAGTACGCTGAGAACAAGAATACAAAAAACGGAAAGGACAATACAATGGCTCCTCCCGTTTCTCAAAGCCAGTCACACGCGTCATCGCAAGATAGCATGAACGAGAGCAAACGAGTGGCCGACGAATCACACGATGAGAAAGAAGCCAAGATTCAAAAGACATCCGGAGCATGCTTGGTACAGAATGGTGCCTACAGCGAACACAGCGAACAACCGAATTCACTGTTGACCGAATCAAATATGAGTACCCACGTTGAACTGTCGTCATCGACCACTTCAAAGGAACAGCAAGACAAACAACCGCAAGATAAGATACCACGAAAGACGGAGACGACCGACCACACGAGTTTATCCTCGTCGGAAACAGACAATAACGCCGATGTCTCCTCACAGAATACCACAGACCCTCATTGTCATCCCTTGATCAATATGGGCGCGTCGCAAGGAAGTCATGCCCTGTCGTTGCTCACCGATCAACAACATCACCAATTGCTGCAAAGCTATTCGCAAGCGACCGGTCAAGATCTAGCGAATTTAACCGCATCATCCCTAGCGCAGGCGATGGTCTCGCCCATCGGCGTGCCTGGCTTGGCGAGCAATCTTCTTCAACAGCTCCAAGGTAGCAACGTAATTACAGCATTGCCTGGACCGCCGCCCATGGCGAATGCGAACAATCTAGGCGGTGACGATGATGACAGTGGGAAATCGAGCGAATCAGGAACCAAGCGGCATTCCATGTCGATATCCAACGATGAGCGTCGGCAGCGTCGTTTGCTGCGAAACAGAATGGCAGCCAAAGAGTGTCGAAAGAAGAAGAAGCAGTATATTCAGGATATGGAGGAAAAAATTGGACGCTTGGAGGAGGAAAATGGACGATTACAGAAACAGGTCGAGGATTTGAATACAAAGCTTGCGCTGGGCAATATGCAAGGGTCCGAGAGTTACCGATTAATGAAAGAAGTGGAAGAACTGAACGCCAAACTGGGGATGGGTCATTTAGTAACGAATACCAGCTCCTTGGCAGCAGCGGTCATGGCAGCAGCACAGCAGCAGCAACAGCAGCAGCAACAACAACAGCAACAACAACAGCAGCAACAGCAGTATCACAATCCGCCACCACCCTCAACGGCTTCGATCGATAATAAAACATCTACCTCTACTCCACCCTCCTTATCATCTGCATCCGCATCTGCATCGGGTATTGAAACACAACCTCAAGCGTCATTGAGCAAGGATCCGTCTTCGAGTGGCAAGAGTGATTTGCCAAATACGACAACGACAACCATCAACGTTAACAAAAATACTTAAAAATAGGTAGAACTTGTTTTCCATACTCGACCGAAATGTTGCTAAATAAAGTAATGGCTGATTTTTTGTTGTACACGGCTCAGCCCTTTTTTCCGAAAGATGCAAATGTTTACCATATCGTGGTATTTCCTGGGTTTAAGCGTTGCCCCATTTTTTATTTTATGGTTTTAAATAGAAGCTAGCCATTTCTTGTTATTCTTTTTCACTACTTTTATCTGCTTTACGTGCAATGACCATGCCTGCCAAGACTGTGTGGTTGTTATGTTTGACACTGTTCGGATTCCTTTTCCTGGTGCTCGCTATTCATACCCAGATGCCGCCTCGTTTCAGGAATCGAATTCGATCCAATCTATCGCCTCCTGCATACCATCGACAACAATACACCTTGCCTCACAACGATTCTCGAGAGAAATACTTGACCTTTTTACCACATTCCGGGCTTCACAACCAACGCCTGGCTCTCATTAATGCCATGGTGCTCGCTAAAGCGACTAATCGAACCCTCATTATGCCTCCAGTGAATATCGGCAAAGCTGCCAACTGGCGATCGGACAACATTCTGGCCAAACGATTAAGTGAATGTGTGTCAAAGCATCGCTCTTTTGCTCGTCATTGTGGTATCTACAGAAAAGTGGTCCCGATATCGGTTGCCACGGTGTTTGATCTTACCGCTGTACGCGCGGCGGGCATTCGTACGATCCAGCGGGATGATATGGATTTGAATTATTTCAGAAACCGACTTGATCTTAACTCGGACGACATTTACACAGTGCAAGACCGCACGCGATTCTCGTATCGGATCTATGATAGTCGCGAGAATCAAATGGATGTACGTAACTACGAGCAACGTATTAATTTGGAAGATCTTCAAGCTCGTCCTGAGCGTCTTATCCAATTTGGGTCGTTATTTGGAACGCCTCGATTGGCATTGCAACGTGGGGACCTTGATTGGCTGCGAGAGAACCTGTTCACCGAGATGGGAATGGCCCATCCTATTGTAACTGAGCAAGCACTGCAGGTCATCGGACGCTTAGGTGGTCCCGGCCAATTCACCAGTCTTCATTTTCGACAAGGCGATGGTGTTTTCCGAGCCACAGTGGCGAAAACGATGGCGAGAATCAATATGATTTTGTCCCGCAAACAAGATCTCAATGACGCCATGACAGCCGAGGACGAGGAACGGATCACAAGCATCGGGTTACTTGGGCGTACAAACGATCGCGAGGAACATCTGACGCAATGCATTCTTGCCCAGCGTTCGTATGCCGTTCACCCACGTCTACAACTTATCTTTATGGCCACCGATGCGCGGCAACCCCGGCAAACCTTGCCTCAGCTTCACGAAGAATACGTATGTCTATTTTCTTTGTCGGATTTCCCCGATATCCTGGAAAGCACTTTGACCATCACCCCTGCACCAGCGGAACAAGCTGAACTGTATCCCAGCCATCTGGGACCTTTGTTGTACCCACTCATTGATGCCGAAATTGCCAGCTATGCCTCCTCCTTTATTCCTACGCCGAAAAGCACCTTTTCAAAATATATCCATTATCGCAACCAGCGATTCAAGGCGTATTATCCTGTCAGCAAGTCTTCTTCTTCTTAGAGTTTTACTGTTATTTTTTTTTCCAGCTGCCTTTTTTCCTTTGCCGTGTAAATACTATCATGTTTTCCCACTAGTCTATTAATGTATCTATTTTCCTTTTTCTGCATCTTGTTATTTTTTGCTTGACCTTTTTGTTTTCATCATAAACTTTCTTTTTTTTTATATACATCTGTTCTGTTTCTAATTTGAACATGAGACGTGGGTCACTTTCAAAACATGGTCTAGTTATCGTGGTACAAGGGAACGATGACGACCAGAGGTGAGACAACTGAAAGCAACCCAAACCAAAAATAAAAAAATTTCTTCTTTTTCCTGCTGTGACACCTGATCATGCACGTGCGTTGGCGATTTCAGTACATCAACTCGTCTTCCGAGGACTATGCAAAGAACAATAAACTGCAGTGAGCCAAAATGCATCGTATCCCGGTGGCTGGCAGCATATAGTTTACTTACATCCTCTTCATATTGACTAGATACGGACCGCGAGTAAGCAAGCAGAAAATCAGCCAAATTGGCATTCGTTAGAGTCAACGATCAGAAATGACGGCCTAGAAAAAAAAAAAAGGCAAGGGAATACTTACGAATCACCTAGCAATGTCTGAAGATCGCGTACTTGGGCTTTGAGATCATTTTTGACAGATATCAGGTGCCGAATATGGTCGACGGCTAGATGAGGATAAAAAAAATGTCATCAAATAAAAAAAAGTTTAGTATTTGTTTGCATGAAAAGGACGATAAGGATTTCCAAACTTGGGCGTACATTTTTGGAGAATGAGTGCTTCGCTTCGGTTGCCTTGATTGAGTGACGGCACAATTTCGATCAATTGATCAAATCCAAGACGAATGTTTTGCCGTCGCTTCTGTTCCGATGCAATGTGATTGGCTTTTTTCTCGGCTTCGGTCAATAGTTCATGGGGTGCTTTGCGTGCACGACGTTCGCGAGGCGGGCGCGAAGGATCTGACGAAGGCGAGGATGCTTTACGACTCACGCTTGAGCTGGATCCTTCATCAATAGCAATAGGTGGTACAATGATCCTTGACGGGTCATGTTGTGTAGGTAAGGGAAATGAATATTTATCGTTGTTGTCTCGGATCTCTCTTTCATCCGAAGGAATATCCAACGAAAAAGGTTCAATATCTTCTACATAATGTACACAATGATCATCCAATGATAGTGTTTTTACAGACGCTCTTTTCAAAATTGTACCTGCGTAACCAAAGGAATTGGACAAGATCGAGGAAGAGTTAAGGGACGGGAATAGTGATGCGATCTCCTGCGTCACTGAATCATGTGTAGGTTTCTTTTCTGAGTGATGGCTATCATATGGATTCATGATGGAAACGAGTTATGCAAGATAGATTGGTTCGTTGTAGAAGCAGGAAATGGGGATGAAATTTGTTTTTTTTTTTTTAAAAAAAAAAAAAAAAGGTCGGAAATGTACACGTAAAGCACAAACTTGATGAAGGAATGTCGATATGCAAACTGATTTTTTGGAAAAAGGATGATGAATGATAATGATGAAGAGACGAGGAAAGAAGAAAAAGGATAGTTTCAAATGGGTATCTTATTCATCGGCCCTGTTTGTCAGCACAGTTGGCTGTAATTTCTAACCATGTGAAAATTGGCGGACAATTATTTTCACATGCAACGCTCCGTGGCATACGTACATCATCCCATTTTTGACAGAACAAGCAGGAAATCAAAAAAGGCTCCATTATACCAATTTGTAGTAAACATCAAATAAATGCGCAATAGGGTTTAAAAATAAGAGGACGCCAGTGTGATAATGACATGTACGATATCTTCCCAAGATACTACTATGCCTATGTGGCGTAGCACCTGGATCTGCTAATAAGCATCCGCGGTCGGATCATGCGTACAAAGTCGGATCCAAATTGCGACACATCTACTTTCAAAAACGCCGCTTAATGACGATGCCCTGACAATGCTGATATAATTGGATAGAGGCCTGGTATCGTAACGTACACTTCACAAGTTCAAGGTTGGCGTAATCATACTTTTTGCAATATCCATGCATCAGACGCAGAAATTTGGTACGGATGGCCGAAACGGTGGTTTCTACTTGCTTTCCATCTTTTGTAACTGTCAACATAAGAGCGTCTTTTTTTTTTTTTTTTTTTCGCAGAAACCGATGGCAAAATCTCTGAGACGCCCCGTAGTCCAGTCGGAAGAGTGATTGGTTGAAGAAGGTTGTATTGAGGGATAATTGGTTTTCATGCATGTAATAAAATGAGCGACGGGAAGGCGAGGCTTGTGGCTGTGATTTTCATCCATAGAAGTCGGACGATCATTCCATGAAAGATTAGTTGGTGTTTTGATCGGTATTTGGTTGAACAATCCCAAATGGATGCAGAGAGGTAGCTGGCCATCGTTGTATATGTCCCTAAGTTGTTTTTCCATTATCAGTCTCCATGCGTATGTACGTCCATGAATCCAATGTTAGGAATAGCGTATCTGGCTTACGGTAAAAGTACGGTTTTTATACTCTTCAGGGGATCTGATGAAAGCGGCGGGGGCGTGTTTGGTGGGAATAGCCACGAGTGGTAACCGCTTGTCGGCAGGGATAAACCAGATAATTTTTGGCGCTGATTTTTTATTATCGTGTGTCGACGGCGTATTTTGTTGTTCAAGACGATGCTGGACGCTAGGACGAAGTAGCGAAAGCGTTCTATAACCCCCCCCCAACAGTCAGATTTTTGGTTAACGTATTCATTTCTTTTTTTTTTGAGCAAATTACCCCGAGAACAGTAAATTGCGGGGTCGCTTCAAAATACAAACAATCTTGCCACAGTAATCAGGACGATAAAGTTCTTTCCCATCACGATCCGCCATTTGCGACGGAGGTAATGGGAGGCCAGGGCTACTATCGAGCGCGGTAATTTCTGGAATGGATTGAAGCGGATGATGGGACGCTGATGAAGTGGAGGGCGCCATACTGTTCCGCCTTCCTGCACGAGCTTGCTTTTTCTGTACTTTTTCGGCCAGCATGGTGTCAACATCGACAAGCTCCACTGCCACGATATCACCATCAAGTGCTCGATTCCGATTACGTGAACCGTACACGTAAATATCTGCCTTCAACTCATCACACGCCACGTAAGCATCGGAACTATCCTGAGAGTTTACATTCAGTGTCCCTGAATAAAGGGTCCCGGCTTTGATCAATTTCGTGGCTTCGGGGAGAGTTAAATGAGGCGGATACAATGCCCGACGAGAAGTCACCGGTGGTTGTTGCTCGGATTGCGATGGAAGTTGCGGGATTGCTGCCGTGTTCTGTGAGGACGACTCGATGGGATCGTGCGGCACTGCAAACAGAGCTCATTAGTTTTAATTGTGCAACGTGAAAGGCGGGGTTTTATGGTATGTGTAAAATAGAACTCAAAAACGTACCTGAACGACTCCGTGCTCTTCTTGCCGCACCACGACGCTCAGGTAACGGTTTGTCAACACTTTTTACAGAAGCAGGTTTAATGTGGGTGGGATCATGGGAAAATCGTCGACGATTGGTTTTTTTGGAGGGTATAGCCAGGGAATGTGCAAATGTCGGTTGAGGCAGATGGAGGTATATATCGTGCCCATGGATATCGACTGCATCGTTCAATTCATCTTCATTGTGGTCTTCACAGGAACTGGGTTTATTGGCGGGAAGGTGGCGCTGTATTGTGTGAGCTGGTTCAGAATGTCTCCGGCTTGTTCTTGACCATGCAGATGGATCGTGCAGAGTGGACTCCGCTTTGTGTGACACGCGGTTGCCACCACTGACCATCGGTAATCGCTTCATCTCGGAAATAATATCTTGAATGGACTGAAGAGCAGGCGAGCCAGTTTCGTGACTTTTTCTTGAACCGGTCCACGGCTGGGTACGGCGATCGTGATGAAGAAAACTGGAAGGCAGTGATGTCGACATGACCACATCAGCATTGTTTTCACCGGCCAAAGAAGAAGTGGACTGCCGTCGATGCCGATGACGGCGTCTTCGATGTGGCTTCTTCACAGAAGCGAGCTTCTCGGCCGGTTTATCGTCAGATAAGGTTTCTGGTTCAGCATATGGACTGCTAGGCTGACTCTTCTCTATATTTTCTGCGACCAGCGAGGAATCCTTTATTTAACATATCAGTTCAATTAGCTACGAACCATGCCGATTTTTTGGCAGTAATAAAAAGGGTTGGGGTCTAGATAATACCTCTGCAAAAGTGGCGCTCATGGAGTAGAGTGAGAAAAGAGAGGTTTCAGACTAAGTTCTATTTAGACTTTTTACGCCGTCGACTTTTAACGCATTTTTCGAAATATGAAATGGCACGAGTGACTGTGATTGAACTTGAACGCGGTTAAGATGAGTGATTTCATGCGAAATCCATTTACTAAATTTGGACTTCAAAATCTTCAGTTGTGTAAGCTGAGTGTTCTTCTTTTTTCCAATGCATCCATCCGTTCTACCATGCCCACCTCATTAATTGGCTTTCAACGCGCTTTGTCACTCTTTTTAAGGGTATTGACCACTTATACACCCTCATCGAATAAGTTGCTGCAAGGTAATGCCAAAGAAAGTTTTTCATTTATGCATATCCCATCCTTGGAGCCGCATCCACTGGTCCCATTTTGGCGCGCTGATAGCTTTTACAGGCAACTTTGTCACGATAGTATATTCAAAGCTAAATCATAATCATAAACATTCTTTGATGAAAAGTATCATACGATTTCTCGACGTTTGCTACATTCTGATTTAAGTCCTTACTGGTATTATGCATGATTTAGAATTTGGGTCGTCGGAAAACGGCATAAACAAAACATTTTGTCTACTATTTGGGATGCATCCTCTTGTCGAAAATAAAAATGCTGTCAAATTTCCAGAAGCCCAGACCGAGAGCTAAAATGTAGCCCAATTCGTTGTCATTCGGCCAAAAGTTCTGAGACTACAGCAATGCAACGCCGCTTGTCGCTTGTTGCCTGTGTTGGACAAGGCTGTCAAAATGAGACATGATGGGGTCTCGGACTCGTGCAAAGAGACATATGGAGGTTGCTAATGGCTACAGAGTATCTTAAAATGACCAAAAAGGCCGGTATCTATATATTTGCTCAGATCCTGAATATATGTTCTTATAGATACAATAAACTCAAACTAAAGACTTATATGCACGAGAAGAAAGAGAGCGACCAGATAGCTTCTTGGAGGCAGCAAATGTACAGCCCAGCAGCCGCAGACCCTGCGGCCAAATCCAGGAACAGAAATGGCGCCAAAAATTCCTTCTTACTGCGTTTGGAAATGAATCCGTCTAGCGAACGATACAAGGAAATGTGTCTGACTGGAGGAAGTATGTCTTGAAAAGACTGAAGCAAAGTTTTCTTGGAGAGAAAGAGCAAGTGATGATTGATCCAAAAATGGAAATCATCACTGATGGACAAAGGAATTAATAGGTAAGAATAAAAATCCATCGTGACCGATAAGCATCTAAGATCACTAATTGGCCCAAGCTAAGGATCTAAGAGAGAAGGAAAGGAAACGCCCAACTAGCGACGGGATCAGAGGTCCCGTATCGACGCTGTACACACGTGCAAAGTACAATATGTATGGAACGGGGACTACATAACAGCCAAGAACATCCGTTCCGCCCTTTTTACGCATAGCGTACAACAACAATGAGCTATCTCCACCATGCAGGCGGAGTGGATCGTCTGTGTTTTTTTTGTGTAATTCATGAACGCTGTTCACCGCAAGAGGAAAGCATCCCATAATCAGTACAAATTCGCAGAACAGAAAAAATAGACTTTTATTTCGGCAATAGACAATGGAGCAAAAAAATAAAAAGCAAGCATTGCATGATAAAGCCGATAAAGTCGACCGCCGGCTGGCTGCAAGTCTCGGTGCTTAATCCCAGCAGCAAGTTTTGATTCCTTCGGGACAGGCGGCCCCAAAACGGCCACACATAGGAGGACATCTGCGTATGGCAATTTCCTCACTAGGTGCATAACAAGCGATTTTTTCTCCTTCACACTCCATCGGTACTGGGCTGCATTCTGACCACAGATTTGGGGGAGATGGTTGGGCCAGCGTCAAAGGTACGGCCATAAGGGTGGTGGCGACGACGAACAGAGTAAAGGCGTATTTTCCCATATTGATAGTTGATTTGATTGGTTGGTTTTTGTGGTAATGTAGACCGACTCAATTTGTGGTGCTTTTATATAAAATCCTGCCTGCTGTGCACTTGCAATCAAAGCACCCGATTTACAATCGCAAATGATGGATCCTATCTCCGTAGGCGACCCGAAGATCGAACATTTAGGTAAAGGCATTTATTCGGCAAGTTTCGAACTTTCGTTAGAATTTCGGCTTTTTCATTCACCATCATACTTTTATCCTGCGTTCAATTGCTATGCCGGATTATGAATCATCAAATTGTAAACTCTGTAATAACGTGATCAAAACCGGTTGAGAGCAATGTTGACTGTAATATGATTTATTCTTCCTTTACTGAATATGCATTAGGTAAAGGCATCAACTCGGCAGCTTCAAATTTTCCGTAGAACTTCGGCCTTTTCATGCACCGTATTTTTATGCCCTGCTCAGTTCCTATGCCAGACTATGAGCTATCAATAAAAAATTGTAGACCGCCAGTGCTATCATTCCTTAACAACGTGATGAAGACCGGTTGAGATCTGATTAAATATCGGCTGTAATGTGATTTATCCTTTTGGAAAAACTTTAGGTACTGGATATACAGTTTTTATTTCGTCAAGTCATACATAACATGTTGAGCGGGTATCTCAGTGTGCCGAGTCTCGTCGTGGTGAATTTCCATGAATGTGTCCTTATCGGATCTTGAAAATTTATCAGTGACAGGCTTTTTGACAACTTGTTTTTTCGATTTGCCTTTTTACTTATAGTTCATTCTTTGACACCATGGCTTCCGAAGAGGAATTTCAGGGTAAGCAAGCGAAATCTTTAAAGACATTGAATCCTCTTCGTAATTGACTTGTGTATAAGACAAGCTGCAGTCATGTTGCTCGATGCTTAGCGAGTTTGTCAATGGACTTCAAACCACGCAGGAGATTGACAATGACAAATTTGATCCGGCCAGACAGCAGGATATCATGGGTTCGTAATCTCGGTGAAATCAGATTCAATGTGGACGAGCTTTAACATGGGCACTTGTAAATAGCAAAACTGGGCATCTTATTGTCCCACAATGCCACCAAATTCTCTTTAGCGTGCAAGCCGCCTCGGCAACCACAGGATGCCATCCGCATGGTCAAAGGTAGTTATCAATGAAATGGGGGACGGAACCGAGAAGGAGAAAGAAAAGGTTAGACTCATGCTGACTATCATAGAAATGAGTGATACAATTTATCGACTGATTGGATTCTATCAAGAAATTCCCTTGAATGCTGGCAAAGTGTACCATGCCACTTACCGTCGAAAAGTGCAAGAACTGTTACGAGCCACCCATCATCTTTGTCAGACGTTTTTACCAGAAGATAAGAAAGAAAAGGCTTCGTTTATGGTGCCGACGGCCACGTTGTGGGATTTATGTAAAACACTGAATGGTCTACCTGCTTCCAACGCACGTGCCGTGATTCAGGAATGGAAACTTTTAATGGACACCTTGAAAGACTGCAAAGAAGAAGTGCATAATGTGGTGGACAATGGCGTTGACGATTTTGAAGGAGAGGAAGATGCTGTCCCTTTGGAAGGTGAAGCACTAAAAGTAGCGAAACGATGCGCGCAGCTGGTGGATGTTACCGTTTTTTTATTCCGCAAAATTGAAAAGTGCTTCGACAAGCAAGATGTAACCTGGCTCGACAATGTCTACGACCAAGGAAAACGTGTAACCGACGAAGCAGACGTTTTGGTCTCTGAAATCTACGATGCTGAGCCAAACGAGATGGAGGGTGCTGTGAAGCAGTATGCTCAGCATGTGACAGATTTAATCCAAATCGCGCAGGAAGCGATTAACGGCGCTGATGCAAAGATATTCGAGGTAAACTGAAGGAAAATATATTACAATGCCGTCTGCAACTTATTGACATTGGAAGTATAGATGTGCAAAACAAAACTGAACGAGATCATCACGGCTGCCTAAATTTATACATTTACATTATCTGGCATACACTTCATTTTTCACAAACTTTTTTTTTGGTCATTCTTTACGAGCATGCCTTATTCACGACATTTTTTTTGTCATGTCAATTATACACACATAAATCTGTTGCCCATGCTGCTAATGTATGGTATTTAAATTTTATTTGGGTATTTTCATGGAGTCCCTGACCGAATGCGCATGATGAATAAGGAGAAATATAATACAGAGTTTTTTTTTGGAATCATGTCGTTAGTGGGATCACGCAACGGAAAATAAACAGAGACTGGTATAAAGACTTGTGCCACAGTGAGAAGTACCAATTTTTCGATTTTAATGCAAAAGTGATGAGTGATGGGGTCGCTGTTGCTGATGCCGTTTGACGTAGGTTCGCAGGTAATTTTTGATAGCCAAGGGACCGTGGTATGATGAGGGATCGAGCAGTTTCGGATCTTGCAAAAGTGTGGCAAACTGAAAAGGTATGACGCAAAACTCTTTCTGGAATTTAATCAGCAAGGCAACGACCTGAATTTCGTCACCTGTGGTAACGGAATGTTCGGTGTTTCGGGTATCTTTGGCGGGATAGAGCACGTTTGGTGCAATGATGCGGGCAAGATTGTTGATATCCATCTTATTTTTAGCATGAAAAGAAGCGACCCACGCCAAGAATAAAAATACCACTTGCATCACATCTCGATTAGGTTTAGGAAGAATGCAGCAAGTGAGATAAAGCATATTTTTCATATCCTCTTCGTTTTTCATCCCTAGAGTGTAAGCATGAGATATTTTTTTCCCCACGAGTCAAACAGAAGCAAAGGAAAAACTGCATAAGCCACTTACGTATTGCCATCATGAAAGCCTTGTAGAGTTCAAACGTAAGCAGCGGTTCAGGCAATTGTCGTAAAAAACGTTTAAGCAAAGCGGCAAGCTGGATAGGGGTTTCTTTGGAGTAATAATCAACGTCGCAAGCCTGCTGATCAATCGTCTCGCACATTTGTTTCTGTTCACGGATATTGCCGTTTTTTCGAAAAATGCCTTCCACAGACACATCTTTCTGCATCAACGCGAGTATGCAATTGCGCACAAACAACGGTACGGACGCGTTTCGGGAAAGCAACATGGCGAGCAAAAACGAAGCATGATCATCCCTCGCCTCCAAACAAATTGGAGCAGGAAAATCATTATCTTGACGAATCGGCGAAGCCGCCAATGCTGCAAGCGGTACGCCAAATTTTCGTTCCGTGGTGGCCACAGCGTCCGCATATAGAAGGTGCTTATAAGTTCCGACGCGAATATGACTTTTCAATTTGCCCCACAAAGACGACGCTTTTTTGGCCTCCAACAAGACGATCAAATTTCGTTGCAAATCTTGATCCTCGATATAGTGTTCCAAATAGATGGTGGCAATGTGTCGAATCAGAATGTCCTGCAAGCTCGATAAGTCCACGAGGCGTTCAGGTACGTCAATTTCGTGTTTGATGCTTTCGTACGCAATGGTCGGTACCGATTGATTCATATGGATGGTTGAAGAAGCGGAATGAATAGAGGAAACCGGCTGGACACGATAGTCATATACAGCTGTGGAAGGTGATGATGGTTGTCGTCGTCGTATACTAAGCGCACGGCGGATATTGTTCATTTTACTTTTGTTATTATGCAATTGTTGCAGAGCCGGCGGCGATATCACAGGATCACTGGGGGATTCACTCATTACGAACTCTGTTGCCATAGCACGTCGGATATTGGCATTTGACGTTCGAACTGACAACATCCTTGCAAGCTTCAGTAAAGTGATACCGAAGAAAACAATTTGCAGAAAAAAGAAAAATAAAGGCGATGGCAGAAAAAATAGCGAAAGAAAGGGAAAAAAAAGTAAACCTTGACAGGAGTACAAAGAGAAGAACGAGAAAAGAAATAACGAAACGACCGTTTTGTCGTTTCAAGAATCGAAATGGGGCTTTTTTTAGACCGCTGACATTCGTTTTGACCTGAAAAGAGGGAAGACGCGAGGGTCGCACTACATGACATAGTGGATGCGCAAACATTGGACACGCGTTATGAATGGGTTGTCTCTGAGATTTGTTCTTTGATTTAGGGTGCTTTTCTTTTTGGCATCCCTAACTATCGGTAGACGGAGGCATCCAGCCGTTTCCCTACCGCCGTAGCCAACGAGTTACCAAGGAAAATAGTACATAATACATTTGGCCGTAATTCATTTCGTTTTTAAGTTATGATCATGCATTATTAACTATTCATACCTCACTTTCTTTTTTTATCCTTTAACGCATTCAATATGCAATGATAGCTAACCCCATTCGCGCTTTTCGAGCTTATCCATGTCCTGCTTGGTTGCCAACGGAAGGCTGCTTTAGCGTTTTTTTTTTTTTTTTTTTTTTTTTTTTTTTTTTTTTTTTTGCAGTAGTATATTGTTACCCTCATTGTTCAGTTCAGCGGCCCGTCCTGAGCATGTTTGTCACCAAATAATTAAATCTTCTCTCTATTTCAACTTTTCTTCCCATCAAGCTACAAATAAACATACAAGTGCCTCCATCATCATGGAAGGCAACGGTCAACAAACGTTGAAAACGATGTGAAGCATTCGCTTTATAAGCGTTTTACGAACAGTAATATTTCTATTTTTTGAGAAACGGGCAACAAGACAGTTTTGGATGCAGGTTACTTTTTCGGGGCAATGAATATAAAAATATCTGGACTTGCTTGTGATTCGTTGATGGTGTTTCTGCTTAACCATATACGGCACTGTTCTCAATTTCCTGTAGCAACCTATGACTTGCAAGCCTAACTGATGGAGATGCACAACTATATATAGAATTTGCTCACCATAATCTCTGAGTATTTGAAGATGATGGTGCCACACATTGGATATCCTTTGCCGCGTCCCTGTCATCCCCTGAAAGGCTACTTACAATCACAACAGAATATCACTTGAAGCACTCATTTCTTATAAACCTCACGATTGATGCGATTTGCTGTCTGGGCAAAAGTCTATCATCCGATGACTGTTGGGAAGGTCCAGCAAGGTAAACTATTTATGATATTACTTAAAAAAGAAAAACAAATATGGTAGGCTATCTATCCATTTTTTCATTTCCCAGCTGTCATATTTGTGTTAAACTGTTCGTGATCGTTGTGAAGCAATGGATCCATGTGTGGCGAACATGTGGTCTCAAATTTCCCATTGAGAACACGTTTTGGGTCAGCTGACACTGCTGCTTATCGGCATACCGTAGTCTACAAGGATATGTATTACATTATGTCTCCCTCCCCCACATGTCTACTCCTATCTTCACACTAATGTGAAGTGTTGCCTCTTAACCATTGGCAACATCTTTCCAACAACTTTACAGTGTAAGGCATCGATGATACATATTCTGGCGCACAGTCAGGGGGGGGGGAGGGCGGTTCATGACCTCTTTTTTCTCCTCATCCCTGACCCCTCATCTTTTCTGAATCGGCTATTTGTCTCTCTTTGTGTTATAACAAACAGTGTGACAAAGGATACGGCTGTTTTGAGTTTATAGAACAAACAGTACGACGACGACGATCATCCACTTCAATAACGACAGAGATACACATTGTATTTTCGCTTTTTCCCTTACAATTGGTCGTTATCCCTTCAATTTATGCTGTCGATTTCAGAATGGAACGCATTCACCTCTTAAAAGCGTGAGTCAAAGTACCCTTCATTCTCTTGTTTTTATTATTTACAGTCATGGTATCGGTCAGCATAAAGGTCGATTTGGGAACACCAAACGTGCGTCTATTTATCATTGGGAAAAGGGTCATAAGCCGATTGTGTTAATTTCCACAAGAATATGGTTCATTCCACTTACCTCATCTACGATATTCCGCGTTTGTAGGATAAGCTTTGCATCTTCATCATTCAGAGGTAGATGGCGCCGTTTTCGGCGTGCTCGCAAGCTGCGTCCCCTTCCTGAGACTCTAACGTCATTTGATTGTAGCATATGGCAAATATGGGGTATATCGAGACTCATGACAGATTCACGGATAGGAAGCGTGGCAGTTCGTAGGGGTAATAACGGTTCGATGGCGGTCATGTATTCTTCAAACGCCAAATCACTATCCAAAGCTATCTTAGAGACAAAGAAAACAAACACATCTGATTCACTTGCTAGCCTCACCTGATGTTACACACGGTTTGCCAATGACTGGGTTCTTCCAACAGCAAATCCTGCCATGTCTCATCCTTCATTTGTTGACTGTTCCAGCTTAACAGGGTCGCCTCCATGTCCTCTTCCAATGTCCATGACTCAAATGTACTGGAGGATTGCCATAAACGAGTGAAGCCGTTCACTTGATCTCGCGGATCCTCTTGATATTGCTGGGTACGACAAATGTGTTAGGGAAAAAGGATCAGTTGCATGAAACTGTGGTGTACAATGCGATATTCCTAGTCAACTCACCTGGCTGACACGGTCCTTGGATGTACCAAACCACGCATCCGTAAAAGACAACCGCTCCATAGCATTCGCGACAACCGACAGTGTATCGTCGTGTTCGTCAGTCACAGATATCTCCATGGCTTTCGCGGTCTTGCCAAGGTAATGGACACAGATTCGTAACAGATCCACATGATGCGCACAATGTGCGTGACCACATCTTTCCATCAAGCGTGCAATATCATTCGGACAACTCAGTGATAAGTCACTGATTCCCATATAGTGCCCAAATAAGAATGGGTACTTGACAAAGGTCCGTCGACCATCTTGAGTGATATCGAGATTTCGTGGTTTGTCCCTGCACCAGAATTCCAACGTGTCCAAGAGTTGACGGATGTCGCCGCCTATTACAGTGACGAAACACGTTAAATCAGTGGGATCTATCAAATATCCTTCAGTTAGACAGATCAATTGTAGGAAAGGCAGCAGTTCGACGGGCAACGGCGGGTACAGATGAAGCACGGCTTGAAGATACAAGGATTCCAGCGGTATCGTACTGGCATCTACATAATGATGCGTGAGACTTTCGACATTACAAATCAGCCTGAATCATTTTTCGGTAATCGGGCTTACCGTTGCAGGTCATGATAATAGGACGTTTGCTCTTTTGAGATAATTCGACAATGGCTGGCCAGAATCCCTTGTCGTCTTCGAATAATAAATCCACTTCCTCCAACAGAATCAGGCTTTGCCTCGGTTCCGAGGACTTTTTCATTTTCGAGTGATCTCCAGTCGGTTGGGATGGAGGGACAGTGGGGGCAACAGACGCCGGTGGATCGACGTCCATCTTGTGGTCTTTGTTTTGTTCTTCTGAGGATGTCTGCGTCGCGTCCTTTGGGGGGCTTTCAGAGGATTTGGGGATTCTCGCAAAATGCTTCATAATACTGTTTTGTCCCGCCGGTGCCTGAGGCTTTGGTCGTCGCTTGTTGGATGGTGATCCATCCGTGGATCTTGACCGTTTCTTGTCGTTGGTATCGCCTGAAGCCAGCGTATTGCTCGTTGCTGTTGGCGTATTCTTTTGCTGTGCTGCATCAAACGTTACAAGGTGGTTCTTGGTCATTTCACCTACAGCGCCGATGATATCTTTGCCTGAACGTTTGGAACCAGCATGAATTTCGAACACTTCATAGCCCACTTCTTTAGCAGCCGTATATACAGAGGCCGTTTTGCCAACACCATGATCACCGACCAGCAGGATCATGTTGGATCGAATCGCTTCCTTCTTGAGTGCACTACCGGTTTTCCCTTTACTTTTCGATTTCCGGATGGAACTGGGTCGAAAATCATCGTCATCATCCTCTTTCATTTCAGGTTGTCCCAGTAATCGTGTAAATGCTTCGCGCGTCAAGAAACCTTGCTCGTCAATGTCTGTGGATTCGTTGAGGGATAAGCTCTCAAAGGAAAAATCGTCCTTACGAGCGGCATGAAAAGTCGATTTCTTCTTTTTCTTTTTCTGATCTGTCGAATCCTCTGCAGGCGACACAATGGGTGAGACCTTCATATGTTGAAGCCAATCGCGTAGGTACGTGTGATTCAGGCCGTTGCCTAGTAAACAGTCAATGTCATCAGGGCTGTGCTTCTCTTTCCATGAAGAAGAGCTGCCTGCTGATTGATCGGGCGATACTCGAAAAAGGCGGCTCGCCAATGCTCGACATGCTCCAGAGTACGACCACCCAGAAGAATATACTTTGTGCATAAGTGCTTCCACTTGTTGCCTGTTCATTGTTACTGATTCACCCTCATGCATGGCTTGGGATGGAACACTATCCGTTCGCATAAAACCGTCCATAGACGGAAATCGATGACCAGGATGAGAACACGATTTTAGCTTTTGGACCCAAGATCCATCGGAGTTGGCAGATGAGTAATCCGATGGATGAATATGACCACCTTGAAAAATGGCTCCATCGGGCCATGGGGCATCCGGTTTGCGCAATCGACGAACAGGTTCGTATGAGAATCCAACACCTTGGGAATCGGTTCCGGTTGAATTCACTGTAGGAATTCCATACATTGCCAGCCTACGTTCTGCTGCTCTGGATGATTCCGCGATAACAGGTTCTGCCCGCCATGGCTTCGAGCGCGTTGGTGCTGGTGTGGATGGGGTTGCTGGCGAGGCTCTTGGTGAAGCTTCTGAGGGTGGCGGTGAGGCGGGTTTTTCTGGTGGCGATGATTTTGGTGCTGTCGACGGCATGAAGCAAGGTATAGTCAATGGTTTGGCAACCGAGCGTATTTGTGGTACCGGGGCTACTTCGGCGGCAGTGGGCTCGAATGGAACAGAGTCGGATGGTGTGATTCGAGGTGTTTCTTTTGAATTAGGGTCGGAAGAAGTACATTTGTTGATGGGTTCAAAGAAAGCGTGTAATGTCTTTTTGTGAGGTGTTGTGTCTGTTGCCATGGGCTGGTTACGCTAAGATAAGGGGGAGGGGGGAAAGTACACGCTGAGGAATTTTGGATACGCGTCGCGTCGATCCTGTGTTTTCGATTTCAGTGAAAGTGAAAATCCTGACGCGCTTTTGGGGTTCTTTCTTTTACATTTTTTTTTGAATCACCGTTCAGTTCCGCTTATTATTATGGTGGGGGAAGGTTTCCACCTTCAATCATTGGGAATAAACTGCTTCCATCGATCTGTCTGCTAATGTGACCGTGACTAACCAAGTTGTCAAACTCACTCACTTTTGGTTTGCAGTCCATGAAAAGTTCGTTGCATGCAGATATTTCACATCAGTCTATGATGCATACATGTATATTTTAACATAATCTTTCTGTTTTTGCATTTATTCGGCATCATTATTTTAAGATTTATAGGAGCACCCATCACTTTAACAACAATCGTAGAAACCATAAACCATTGACCCAAACATGGTTTCATGTTTCGCACACCTTCCACGGTAGAAGTCGTTCATGCAAAGAATAAGCAGTCACCAAGAGCGGGTCAGCTAGGGCTGTCCTCTTTTCAGCTAACTTGCTCTACTGCTTGTTGTTGCTTTCCCAGATGGTCCAGAAACTACCTCACCTCATACCACCTTTCCGCTATGCCATTGTGGAGGAGAATTTGTTTCGAGGAGGGTATCCTAAACCACGGAACATGCGATTCCTGAAAAGGTGAGAGTGACTGATCTTGACTGTGAAGAGCTTCCTCCTAAGTGCTAATGTACATACTACATCACTTCGCTGTCCTAGATTAAAACTCAAAACCATTTTATCACTCATACCCGACAAGCTCGTGCCAGAGATGCAGGAATTCTGCGAACAACAGAATATCCACATGCTGCACCTAACCATTGATAAAATGAAGGAGGATAATATTCCGCTCAGTTATAACAAAACTCTCATGGCACTTCAGGTACATCTACTCACTCGTCGATGATTCCGTATTTGTTTGTATTAACATGGATCATGGGCAGATTATCATCGATCCTACCAACCATCCCATCTATATTCATTGTCTTGATGGAGCCGATGTCACTGGTTTGGTGATCGCCTGTTTACGCAAGTTGCAAATGTGGAGTACGTCTAGTGCCATGGTCGAATTTGCACGGAATCTGCATACGAATGTTGTAGCACCGGAAGAGTTTGAGTTTGTGGAAAACTTTAAGAATTTTGAAGTAACGATACCCATTACTATCCCCAACTGGCTTTGGGGTGGACAAGTTAACTTTCACAAGCATCCAAGTCTGCGGTTAAAGTTTTTAAATCCTGACATGATGACGGAAGAAGAACGAGAACTCAAAGATCTAAAAGAAAAACGAGAGAAGCAAAAGGAAGACTTTTATAAAAAGCGGAAAAATGGTAAAGCATCTGGATATTGGGAAAAAGTTTTTAGCAAAGGATTGCGGCTAAATCCATGATCTTTTTTTTCTGGTACAGATTTGCTCGATAACCTCTTTGAACCGACAATGACAGGGAATCACAGCGGTATGCGACATCATAAATCGGGGATTGCCAGCAATGTCAGCAGCGGTCCAGGATCCTCTACTGCCAGCCACAAGCTATCATCTTCTATTGCTGACATGGACGATGCCGGCTTTACTCTTTCCACTTCGGTGATGGCCGATATGGCCAATGGAAGTTCGGAAGATGTTAAGGAAGATTTGGAAACAAGCCCCAGTTCAGAACGCTATTTGGTCGATGTGGATGTTGACGTGGATGGCGTGATGATGGATGGTTTGGATCAAGTAGAATATTACAATCGCCAGTCGGGCTATTTCCCTGAAGATTTTGGACGAACCACTCGATTTTATGCGGATAATGATGGAGAAGGTGTGTTATTGGTGGAGGACGAACACGGCGATCTTTATGATGATGGATCTGGTACTCGATTCACCGGTGAACCGATTAGCAGAACTCTCGAAGCATTAGCTTTAGAAGGTCTCAGCGACTAACGCCACTTCATCATTCAATCAAAACTGTACATAGTCATGTTATATAAAACCGTTTACTATCTTGTCCATGAAACTAGCAGAATAAGCTATATGATTAACACAGTGACCACAGAAGAAAAAAAAAGACTTAATGTTCAGAGAAGGAAAAAATTTTATACAATATGCTAGCAGATAGAAATGGCCGAGGTCTATACCACTTTGTAACGCATGATCATACCACGAATACCAGGCTGACCATTGATGAATCCGAATTGGTAGTCGCCTTTCTGATCGGCTTTGACTTGCACCGTTCGGAAAGTGGCAGGGTACAATCGAATATGCGATACGGGCTTATCAAACAGTGTCACTGCACCATGCTCCCACCGAATGTCCTGCAGATCCATCATCGATCCCCAACCCAACAGGTGCCACTGGATCGTTTTTGATGTGGGTATAATCAAGTCACGAGGGGCGGAAAACATCAGGCCGTTGATAGATTGTTTGTTATTGGAATGGCGGAAAGCCATGCGATTTTCCTGAATTGCTTGCAGATCCAACTGCGGGGCCAGCTCTGCCATGGTCCGATCGAGATACGGCGACAGATTTTCATTTGAAGCTATCGAGTTATTATTAGCGGTCTGAAGATATCGAATCCATTATAACCATGGGATTACCGAATAAGGATGTGACAATTTCATCTTTGACTGAATCTTCAGTTAATGTACCTGGCTTATAGACAATGATAGCACCATAAAGACCGGCATATCTGGTAGACAATGAGATCCAAAGTTGCCTAGTGATCATGCAATGTCCCGTCACTTACATATCATTTTCCGTGACATGAGAATGATATCCCCACACAAGTGAGTTCCCATCACTCGGGCCGGGACCTGCTCTTGGGTAAATTTCCCACCGATATGTGTATTTTTCTCCAGGGCGTACAAAAGCGGTGTTTGATGTGCCTTTATACACAGCGCCTTCCATTTCGAATTCATACAGGACACCCTATGACATTAGAAACAATCAGGTCAATCTAGGCTTCGCATATTCTACATAAACGGCAGAGAATATTTACATGAGGATGCATCGAAAAATTGTACGATGCACGATTCCAAAAATGAATTTCCAAAGTGTCACCCACTTCCCCTCGGAGCACTGGACCCATCAGTCCCTGCCAATGAGGACGCGGTTTTAGCACACGATAGCTATCGTCGGTGTATTCCCGATAAAGCGCCTTGTGATACCGTGCACCTATGGTTGTCGAAGCTACAACAAGGTAAATATGGGCTTCTGAATCAACATAGTTGCATATGATAGATAGCTTACACTTGCTGATCCATGACTTTGCCGGAGAATCGTTGATGGAAGTGTTAAAGATGGTGTCATTGCCGTCAGGCAAATAGTCCCATACAACTTCATCGACTGCGATATAATAAGTCCGGGTAATGCCGGTGTGAGGTTGGGTTAATTCGTCATGCAAGATGTGAAAATTGTCCGTATATTTGACTGGTGGAGGAACGTAAGGTTCGGGAGCGTCCTGTTCGTCAATAGCGGTATCCTGCGCTTGCACGTGGACTAAAAGTGCTGCAATGGTAACAATGAAATGAAGCAGCTTCTTCATGGTTTCAAGTCATTTGGGAGAATGCTGGAAAAAAAAATTAACAAAAAAAGGAAATCCTGCCATTTAAAAACTATTTTTTTTTTACTTTAAATGTAGGGCCCATTTTTTTATTATTTTCTTTTTGGTTCTTATCTGCATTTCAGTTTTTCCCTTTCAATTATGAAATTAACTGCCCTCGTATCTCTTGCGTTTGCATGTGTTGCCGTCGCTAAGCCTTCCCACGACAGGGGCTATCAGTCTCCCTTGGGCGTCCCAATGGAAGGTAAAATCACCGTTGATCGGCTGTCCTTAAATTGGCTCTTATGAACTAAGCGAATTGTGATAAATGTAGGACCTCCTCTGCGTGTTTCTCGACGTATGCTCGACACTTCTCGCGTACCTTTTGAAGAGCACAATGGTAAATCCTGATATTCTGTTGTGCATATCATATCGCGATAGCTGATACAATACGATAACAAACCAGGAAACAGTCCTTGGCTCGGTCAAAATGTCGATTTCCAGTATATCGCGCCCTTGTTGAAGGAATTGAATTCCACAGCTGAGTCGTTGCTCAGCCGAGGTGTGTAATTATATAATTGATTACATGATGACTATGCTTTCTCACATCTCAACGGTTGGCAGGCGAGGCTCACATCACCGTGGTAACGCCACCTGAATTCAAAACATTGAATACTGCGAATATCACTATTCAGGAACTCAATGATCTGGCCAAAAAGCACCGTATCCAATCCGGACGTTTCCGTGCTGTTTGCCTGGGCAAGGAACAAGTGGAAGCGAAGGGCAAGAATTATGTTGTCTATCAAGTCATCGTCGATGCCCCTCACCTTGTCCGCCTCCGAGAAGAAATTTTCAGACTTTACTATGAGAAGGGCGGGAACACTGCGCTGTTTGATCCTCGTGTACGTAAAAAACTGGAAAGAAAAAAAAATATACTGATTCCACGAGCAAATATGATCTGACTCAACTTCCTTAAATGGTATAGAACTTCCATCCCCACATTACCGTTGGCTACACAGTTGGAGACCTGTTTGAAGATCAGAATGTCTGGAAGGGCTACAACGTCTGCCATCGTCCCTTGTTGATTCGCTAAAATAAGGGAGCAAAGGAAATCATGCTATTCACTAGCCAGAATCGACATTAAGAAAAGTTGAGGAACATGTCATTCATGTTTACAGTTTTATAGAGCACATGCCTTTTGCGGTGATTAAAGTCTGCTTAATGAAATTTCGCCGATTGATAATCGCTATGGTGATACTATGTGTTAAAAAACGTTCAAATGCAGCATATCCCGCGCTTTTACCGTTTCAATGAATGGCGCACGGTATCAATAGTGTGGGATTTACCCAGCCCTTTATTAAAGGCTTATAATCGGGAAAATGAAAATCCCTTATTCAAACTATGATCCGCTGATGTTGGCAACATGATAGATTCTTTCATCAGAATGCAAATTTTCATGCTGTTATATTACTTTACACAGGAAAATCAGCATGCAACTCTTCCAGATCCAGGAATTCGGAACAAACTGAAGGTGCATATTTTGTATCATGCTTCAAAATGCACATTATTTGATGTGATTGAACGATACCATACAGCAGTGTGGCGCAATGCCACAGTAGACAGAGGTTCCATCACCATACAGAGCGGCTACTCATAACACGAATTGGAGAGTCATTCATTTAATCTAACATGCAAGCATTAAAAAAATATTACTGCTAATCACTTTGTGCATATCAGCTGCTGGCCGTGGCTGGAATGCAGCTCTCAATGAAGGCACTTAACAATTTACCCTACAATACCCCCGTTGATGGAATCCTCATATATTTCCAAGAACTTTGCAGAGGGTGCTGTCACATCAAGATTCAAGATGGAATCAAAAAGTGTTTATATTGGATCCAGCACGTAAACGAATATATCATTCGGCAATCACATTTGGGGTCAGCCTTTGTTGGATCTGAAATCCGCAGCCCAGGAAACAAAGAAATAACAGTCACGTAAAAGACAAAGCCATCGTTTTTCCCTCTAAGATTTTCAGATCCGGCATTTTTTCCATGCTGGTGGCCCACAACATGTGCATTCCATTTCAATGAGGATTGGATTCATATAGTAATTCAAACTCACGTGATGCATGTCGAATTTTGTTTTAAGGATCAATAAACCATTTGAAAAAGATTTTCCGCAAGCAACCTCCCCCGCGAGGTGTCTAAACAATATTGAAGCTCAAAGTTGATGCTATGTCATTATGAAGTTGGACAGAAGTTTCCGCCAGGACATGAAGTACCCGTTCCGATGCAGTTTCACTCGCGTTAACTGCTCGAAACACGAAGTCAACGTCAACTTTTAGTTCAGAAGCCGACCACGGGCGCGGTGGGTATTCTGCATTTGAATATGACGTTCATTTTTGCGTGTGTCGCGTTTTTGGCACCAAAAACGGACCGCGACGCGATTTTTTTTCATTTCTTTTTCTTTTGCTTTGTTACCACTTTTTCCTTGCTGACTAACACGGTGCTTCACAACTTCACCTACCTATCTTTTTTCCCAAACATCCAAAAGAACACAAAGCAGCCAAGTTATGTTTGTAATTAAACGAGGTAAATATCTCGCTTGTCTTTTTCATGTCTGAGACGCGTGCCGCGTACCTGAAGATATCACCGGCGAAAAAGCGAAGTCAATCCGTGTTATTTCGCGTTCCTTACTAACAACACGCTTGTATTATGCATAGACGGACGCAAGGAAGCTGTTTTGTTTGACAAGATCACCTCGCGTATTAGCAAGTTGTGCGACGGCCTGAATGAGGACTACATTCTGCCACCTCAGATCGCCCAAAAGGTGAGTCCGTTCGACCTTTGTTTTGCGCAGGATCCATTGCTAAACATTGATCTTAGGTTGTCTCTGGCATGTACCACGGCATCACCACGGTCGAACTGGATAATCTGGCCGCTGAGACCGCAGCATATATGACCACCACGCATCCCGACTACGCTATTCTGGCTGCTCGTATTGCCGTCTCCAACCTGCACAAGGAAACCCATACTCAGTTCAGCCAAGTCGTCAAGGAGCTGTACAATCATCAACATCCTAAGCTTAAATCTCACAATCCTCTTGTGTCCAAGGAACTTTATGATCTCGTCATGGCCCAGAGCGATGTCATTGACGCCGCCATCAAGTACGAACGTGATTATGATTTCAACTTTTTCGGCTTCAAGACCCTGGAACGAAGCTATCTGTTGAAAATTGATGGTAAGTGAGACTCTGTGTTTTGCCGTTGGTCTTTCCGTAATCAATTTTATTCTGTTCCCACAAACTCACCTTGCTACCAGGTCGTATTGTGGAGCGTCCTCAGCATATGATAATGCGTGTGGCTCTTGGTATTCATGGTTCTGACGTGGAAGCTGCCATTCAAACGTACAACTACATGTCGTTGAAATACTTTACGCATGCCACGCCTACGCTTTTTAATGCTGGTACTCCCCGTCCTCAGCTCTCCAGCTGTTATTTGGTGCAAATGAAGGATGACAGGTAACAACGATATCATGTAAATATTGTAAATATTGTTGTTGCTCATCCTGCTGCGGTCCTTGTTTCGTAGTATTGAGGGTATTTATGACACACTCATGACCTGTGCTCGTATCTCCAAATCTGCAGGCGGTGTTGGTGTTGGTTTCCAAAAGATCCGTGGCTCTGGATCATATATCGCTGGTACCAATGGCACTTCCAACGGTATTGTTCCTATGCTCCGAGTCTACAATGACACTGCTCGCTTTGTTACCCAAGGGGCCGGTAGACGCAACGGCAGCTTTGCCATGTACCTTGAACCTTGGCATACCGATATTTTTGATTTCCTTGATCTGCGCAAGAACTCTGGCAAAGAAGAACTTCGTGCTCGTGACTTGTTCTTGGGCTTGTGGATCCCTGATCTGTTCATGAAACGTACGTATTTCTCTCTGGTCTCATTTCTTTTGAATAACCGCAAATTAATTTGACGATCTTTTCCTCTATTAGGCGTCGAACAAAATGGTCAATGGTCCTTGTTCTGTCCCAATGAGGCTCCCGGTCTCGCTAGCTCTTATGGTCAAGCGTTTGAGGAGTTGTACGAAAAGTACGAACAACAGGGCAAGGCAAGAAGAACGGTGGATGCTCAAAAGCTTTGGTTCGCCATCTTGGATTCTCAGATTGAAACAGGCATGCCTTACATGCTATATAAAGGTAAAATTAAATACGCGCTCCCAAGTGGAAAAAAAAAATTCAAATATTCTAATCCTTCCAAAAACAAAAATACAAACCACCCTTTTGTAGATGCCTGCAATCAAAAGTCTAATCAGCAAAACTTGGGCACCATTACTTGCTCGAACTTATGCACAGGTAAATGCAGGAAATACAATGCTGTCTGTTCCTTGTATTCACAAAAACATAACCCCTGAATTTTTTTGTAGAAATTATTGAGTATTCTGCTCCTGATGAAGTCGCTGTGTGTAACTTGGCATCGTTGGCCTTGCCCAAATTTGTCGATGTTGAATCCCAGACATTCGATTTCGAGATGCTTCACGATATTGTCAAAGTGGTGACAAAGAACCTCAATAAGGTCATCGATGTGAATTACTATCCTGTTGAAGAAGCACGCAATAGCAATATGAAACACAGACCGTAAGTAGTTCATGCATGCAAATCTTACTGAATCCATGACTAAAGTGGAACTGTGCGTCTTTGCATTTAGTATCGGTCTCGGTGTTCAAGGTTTAGCTGATGCTTTCCTGTTGTTGCGTTATCCTTTCGATTCTCCTGCTGCTCGTCAATTGAACAAGGATATCTTTGAAACGGTTTACCATGCGGCGCTTGAAGCTTCTTGCGAACTCGCACAGAGAGACGGTGCTTATGCGACTTACGAAGGCTCACCTATCAGCAAGGGTATTCTACAGCATGATATGTGGAACGTGGAAGGTTCCGATCGCTGGGATTGGTCCGGTTTACGCGCCAAGATTTCCCAACACGGTGTGCGCAACTCGCTGCTTGTCGCGCCTATGCCTACTGCTAGTACCAGTCAGATCTTGGGTAACAATGAATGCTTTGAGCCGTATACTAGGTAAGTTACCTTTTTCGTCATGAGAGCAGTAAAGCAGGATGTGAATTGCTTATATCTTCCTCACTTTCTCAGCAATATTTACACTCGTCGTGTCATGAGCGGAGAATTCCAAGTAGTGGTAAGTTGTTGCTGAGTAGTTAATAGTTTTTTCTTTGAGGCATGATGTCTTACATATTCTGCTTTTGACCTTTAGAATCATCACTTGTTGAAAGATTTAATTGATCGAGGATTATGGAATGATCAAGTTAAAAATATGATTATTGCTCACAATGGCAGCGTACAGCAAGGTAAAAATGATTGAAAAGAGGTTGGTTCTTCGTACTTAGGCTAAGATGGTTGACATGTAGTGCCCGGTATTCCTGACGATGTTAAAGCCTTGTATAAGACGGTGTGGGAGATTTCCCAGCGAGTCATCATTGATATGGCTGCAGACCGTGCAGCTTTCATCGATCAGTCGCAATCGATGAATCTTTTTGCTGCTGAACCTAACTTTGGCAAATTGACATCCATGCACTTTTATGCTTGGAAGAAGGGTTTGAAGACCGGCATGTACTACCTGCGCTCTCGTCCTGCAGTAGATGCTATCAAGTTCACGGTTGATCAGCTTGCCTTGAAGGATATGACCTTGGAAGAAAGAAAGGAGAAGGAGGAGCAATTGAGTGCCATGCAGTGTTCCATTGATAACAAGGATGCTTGTCTCATGTGCAGCGGTTAAGTCTTTTCGCCTTTCTCTTCTCTTTATCGTCGGTTCGTTCGTTCTCTATTATTGTATTTCTTTTCACACATCAAATCATTTCACGTAAACCCCTCTCTGTTTATTTCTGTTTCTTATTTTTCCTTGTTCTTTCTTTTTTCTTTGCAGTGAAGTTAACAGGCTGCATTTATTATTCTGTTCCATTTCATTATATCATACTTGTGTATTGGACGATTCTTTAGAGATATTGTCCATTTTTTTTTTGTTCAATCGAATCGTTATGTACATTCATCATGTCTCTTTTTTACAAGCAATAAAATAAGAAAAAACTTATTTTTTTTCTGCATATTCTTCGCTGTCCTATTTACAATATTTATTACCGTAGGGGTAGGTTACTGACCCTTATTTATATGATGTCTACATTGTGTTGTACAAGACCAGCATATCATGTGTATATATGTACAGTATCATATCGTAATCAGTGTAAACATGCTGACAGACACCACGATCAAAAGGGGGATGCGTGGGTACAGAAGAAAAAAAGTGACAAGGTCAAGGGTATAGTGTGTATTTCTGTTCCTGTGAGAGGGATCGTTAAAATAAGGCTACCATCCGCAAAAGGGCTGATGTTGCCAAGATACAGAACAAGACAACATGGGTTCAAGACTTGGTTGTGAAGCGGGCGTGATATGGTTAAAAGAATCATCACAGCTAAGAAGGGTATCAGGAACGGCGATGGTACGTTTTACTTGGATGCCGTGACGTTGTTCCCATCCAAGATTTGATCTCACCGTGCTGCTGAGATTGTCCAGACATGGAACGACCACCGCGGATAAAACCGGAGCACAAGGACGCGCGGTTAACCGAGCGTTGTTATAAGCTTTCAATGTAGGTTGAAATAACAAAGGAACCATTGGTTTCTTTGCGGCCGATTGATTGTTCAACATGGCTGATAATAATGATCGGCGTGGCAAACGATGCGGTTTTGTTTTTACAAACAAGGTCAAAGTTTCTTCATTTTCTTGACGCGTAGGTACGTCTGATATTTGTTTTTTTGTTGAAACGGAGACTTCATTGGTATTTTCGATGCATGGTTCCGTCATGTGTGTCTCAGAATCTCCTTCCATGGAATTTTTTACGGTGTCAAGCATTTTGTCATTGTTATTGGGTTCATCATCGTCATCTTCCTCGTCAGTGGAGTCCTGTTCACTGTACGTATCGTTTAATAAAAAGGTGGGTTCCGATTGGGGTTTTTCATGGATCACATCCACAAACAATGCGGATGGGTCTGCCGCTGTTGTTGTTATGGCCACAGATATGTTTGTGAAAGGCGTGGGTGGCTGCGGGTTAACCGGAACGGATGATAAAAAACGTTGGATCGAAGGCGATCGAGAAGAAGGAGGCACGGATGATGACGTATGCTGTGGTTGTATCTGACGCTCCAGTGATTTGATCTGCTGTCTACGACTTTCGTGGAACCACATTCGCCATGACATGTTCTCCAGTCGTAAGCCGTTTTCCAAATGAGATTTGCATTTGCTAAAGACTGGAGCGTTTGTAATCAATTTAGTATCAAACCATTATTAGAATAATCAGACATTTAAATATTGTTTTCTTCACGAACCTGTCCACAAAGTACTAAAGTCGCCTGCATCTGTAGGTTTCATGGACTGTATGCTTAAAGCTAGCATAGGCGAGAAAGAGGTCATGTACCAAAGTAATTTGAGGATATTTTGATTGGGTAAGAATGCTATGTATTGCAAATAAAGGGAAAGAAAAAAGATATTAAAAAAATCTCAAATAAAGAGGTTCTGATAAAATAGAAATAAGATCTTCGAAGAATAAAAAAGCGTGTTAGGAGAGCGTAACAAAGATCCGTATTGCCATTTGAAGTAATTTTTCTTCACCATTCAAATGACGAGAACAAGTGAGAAACCAAAAAAAAGAGGTGCAATGAAAGCGGAGAGAGAAAAAATAGAAAAAGGGGACTAGGTATTCCCAAATGTCCATGTTGTTCTTCCCATTCGTGAAAGCTTTTGTTGTCCTTATCCAATGGAACCAGCTCAGACGGTACGATTATCGAAAACACTATCGTATATTCTGCGTCATGGTGCCGTGAAAGAAAAGCTTAATATGAGATCGGACGGCTATGTTGCTCTTAATGAATTGGTATTGTATTATTATTTTTTTTTTCTCACTCTGTATTCCTGCAATGTCATGCATGTCAAGAAAGCTAACCTAAACCCTTCTTTTCTCCCTCCCGTTCTTCCGACCCCAATTTTGCCTCTTTTCTCGTGCTCTTCACTGAATATCATTTCATGCGAACACCAATAGCTAGCCAGACCGAAACTTAAGGGCGTAACACAAGAGCAAGTCGAACATGTCGTCAAGACGAACGACAAACAACGATTTCATCTGAAATGCGAAGACGATCAGTGGTGGATACGTGCTAATCAAGGTCATTCACTGAAAGTGAAGGACATGGACCTGGAACTGTTGACAGATCCCTTGGAAACGTGTATCCATGGCACCAAATTGGTACATTGGAATGCTATAAAGAATGAGGGACTCCACAAAATGGGGCGGAATCACATTCATTTCTCCATCGGATTACCGGCCGATGCTTCCGTCATTAGTGGTACTGAATGGCACAAAAATAGTAATCAGGCACAAGTGAGAAAAGGCTGAACGATGACTGGTTGTTCGTGTAGGTATGCGATCTAATAGCGAAGTGTTTATCTACATTGATATGGCCAAGGCGATGGCAGGTAAGGGTGTTTCCTGAACTCCTCTTTATGCGAGCTCCTTGATTTGCTTTTTTTGGTTTTCTCTGACTCCTACCTTTTACAAAGATGGTATCAAGTTTTATCGATCGAGCAACAAAGTGATTCTGACAGAAGGAGTTGACGGCACTTTACAACCTACTTACTTTGCACGTGTTATTGATTGTCACGGTCAATCATTATTGGAATAATCTGATCCGTATTTTTCCTTTTGCGTTTTACTTGCTACGATTCGATGAGGAATCCATGACGTGACAGAAAGAAAGGGAAGAAAGCGAGAGCCAAACAATCGGAACAAAACAGAACAAATCAAACAATTCAAGGATAAACTTGGGGTAAAAGAAATAAAAAAAAAGAGGAGGCATGGATAAGAAATCAAAGAATAGAGATACGGAAAGAAAACAGAATAGCAAACGAGAAACGAGAAACGAGAAAAAGGAATACTACATATATTATTACTGTGTACAAATGGGTTTGAAAATGAAGAATAACGCACTGGGAGATAGAAAATGAGATCGAATACGGAAACAAGGATAAGAGATAGAAGAAAATAAAACGAAGAGAGAAAACGGCAAAAAAGAGAATTAAACGCAATTCTAGCTGAGCGAAGGAACGAAGAGACTTCCATTTCATGATAAGGAGCTCTCGTGAGTCTCTGGGTAAAAGTGAATGCTGCCATACTGGTCTTTTTCAGTAATTGTTGACACGGTACGATTCAGCTGCTGTCAGCGGATCTTCCGGTACAGGGCCAGTAGGTTTAGGATTGGAGGGTTTACGTGGATAATCGTAATGTCCCGCCTAAAGTCAATGACGACGATAAGAAATCAGTATAAGCTATCAAATTTATCCAGCATCTATGAATGTCACGCAATTATACCTGAAAAGCGGGATTCGATGCTACTCGCATAACAGGAGGCCGTTGTTGCTGCTGCTGCTGCTGCTGTTGTTGTTGTTGTTGTGGCGGTGCCGTGTAGATATCGTTGGCACTGTTGCTAGCCACCACCGGTTGATTTGTATATGGATGTCCATAATCGGTAGACGAGATAGGTGTAGCCATAGGCGCCTGCGCCGACTGTGCTGTATCTACATAATATGATCGCCCGGCCGCTCGTGGTTGAGCATATTGATTTCCGTTGGCGTATCCGTATCCTGCCATATTCGGATCGCTTACGGCGTAGGTAGATGTCGGAGTAGCTGATGGTGTAGCGTAATAGTAAACTGAATTAGGTGTTTGTAAACCCGACCGTGCAGGTGTGGCTCCGGCAGAACCAGGTAAAGAGGATGTGCGAAGCGCGCCTTGGGCTGTGGATGGTTGTGGTGCGGTCGGAGGAGCATGCTTTTGCGTATATGGCTGATACGAAGCAAATGGTTGAGTGGATCCATGCGCGGGAACGGCAGGCGGGTGGCCCGCTACATTGGACGGTTGATAAGTAGGAGGCTGTTCGGCCACAGTGTAGGTATCGTATACCTGTCCTCGATTGGGTGCGGTACTGGCTGCGAGTCGCTGAGATGATGGAGGTTGCGACGTTTTCATGGCAGGGCGGTAATGAGTAGCATAATGGCCGTCTGCAGGAGAGGGGGTACGATTGACAGATGCCATGGAGGAAGTCACTGTACCCGGGTATTGTAATGAGGATGGCACCTGAGGTTGGTGTGATGATGCCTGTTGCTGGGACGGCGGTGGAGGAATAGGTTGGGATACCGTTGGTTGGGACTGTGATGCAGCTGGAGGAGGTGGTAGTGGCGGTTGCACTGCCGATTGATGTTGATGATGCACAGAAGCGGGTACGGGTGCAGGACGGCCATTGTTGGTGATCACGGATGAATTATCATAAATGCCTGCAGGTTGGGTAGGTGTGGTTTGTCGATATATCGGCTGCATCGGTATCCGTAACGGAACCCGCACTAAGGGTTGGTTAACATGGGTAGGGAATTGCGGTTGTTGCGCCTTGGACAATAGGTAGAGTTGGTATTGTTGATGATAAGCAGCTTGTTGTCGTGCTGCTTCCTGTTGTTGTTGTTGTTGCTGCTGCTGCTGTTGTTGTTGCGACGTCCACTGTGATTGCTGATCCTGTTGTAGCATGGAAAGTCCCATACTCTTGAGTGTATTTTCAATCATATGTTGATGCTGTTGCTGCTCTTCCGCCATGTTCGCGTTTTGTAGCTGGTTTCTGAATTTCATCAAGGCGGCTTTCCAACGATTATATTCGTCTTTACGCACAAACAATCGGAAATTGAGCACGTCCAAAAATTCCAGTTCCATAATATTCAATTCGGTCACTGCCATGCCCGAAACGTCAGCCCAGGTTTTGTTGGTAAATGTGTTATCGTCCAAGAATTTGTTGGCTACAAAGCAACACAAACATCACAGTTAATACATGCAAATTGTGCCCCACTATCCATCTCCCTCACGAAAAAAAACACAAAGTAATGATGCAGCTGTGTGTACAAGGCTTGTAAGAACAAAGTACGCAGACAAGTACACAAAGGTATCATCGAGATATCCTAAACATCAAGCCGATCATTCCTCTTTTCCCCCTCCGCCGTTTCATTTTCCTTGCATACTACTTGATTCCTTCTTTCCCCATCAGTCAGTTACCTAGCATCAGTGCGACGATAAACAGTCGGTATTCCGAGCCTTCTGCACCTTGAATATGCGGGTTGTTCTGTAACAGCATAGCGATATACTTGAGTGAAAGCATCACGACTGATTCGGAAAGTTGAGTTGCATGTAATATCTACATCAGATTGATCAGTCAACCATATGTAATACTTGTATTATCGTAAGATGATACATTTTCAGTAGAAAAAAGAAACTGATATCATCATGCGAGACACAATAGAAAATAGCACAAAATTTTTTTTGTCAGTGTATATACCTGTCTGCAGAACTTTTTGAAACCGTTGCTAGTAGCGTTGGCAATGTTGGCTGTTTCTCTGCTCTGATCGGGATGCGTAGGCGATGCTGTGTCAATTTCTCCTGATGCCGATGCACTGTGAAGTGCCATTACGGACGATCTCCTGGCATGCCACATCAAGAACACCATGGTCGATGAGAACTCGGCTAATTGGGGTATCGAAAGAGGAACGGGTTGCTGTCTATCCATTAGGTTGGGAAGGGAGTCTGCCATGGCAGCCATGGGTTGTGAGGCATAGGGTTGCTGTGTTGACATGCTAGGAGGAAACCCATGATACTGTTGAGGAGCAGCAGCGTGAGGTCGACGCTGAGTATGGTACATTGCAGCCTCCATATTCGGCTGATAATGTGACGGTTGTGGATACATTGGCTTCTACTAAGTGAACTTTTGGAGTTTAGGAGACAGCAGAATAATCGTTGTCCAATGGCATCCAAACTAGTAAAGAAAAGAGAAACGGAGAAAGTGCAAGTTGTCGAGTGTCCAACTCTATCCAATCGAATCAGGCGGAAGAAGAAAATGAGGATCAGAAGACGGCTTTTTTTTTCGTGTTATATGTTTTTTTTATAAATTTTTCCAAGACGTCTCACAGATTTATAAAAAGGAACAAAAGTTATCCCTCGAAAAAAACAGAAGAGGAAAAAAGAAAAGAAAAAAGAAGTAAACTTTTTTCCTGGTTATAGTTGATCATCCATATTTGTTCAAAAACTGTTACGAATCATCCATAATAGCTGAGTACCAGGGAGAACAAAACCACCTTATTCATCTCAATATCCAAAAAAAAAGAACCCAAGCCTGAGGCCTGCCAAGAGGTACGAAAAAACTAGCCGAGACACAAAATTTTGAACATTTCATAACATAACAGACCTGTGATGCATGGATAAAATGGTTGTGCGTATGTGATCATGACGAAGGAATCACAAAACTTTCCCCCCCGTGTCCTCCTGAAATGGGCCTCCTCTTTATCGTAAAGAATTTTGCCTTTTCAACTTTTTGCATCTTTTTTTTTTCCACCAATCTATTTCTTTTGTCCTCCAAGCTTGAAATGTTTTTTATGACTCAGCCATTCGCTGATCACATCCCCACTGCCATACCTTGTCTCACCTACCTTTTGCCAAGCTTTCTAATGAGTTAAGCCTACGCTTACCTGACCAAAAACTATCTTTAACTTTTAGATATCTCGTGCACTGCGACGATTGGTTCTCTCTGCTACACGCTGTATATCGCTCGTATAACGCCTAGCCTTCTTGCAGCGTAACTTGTATTTATCTGGTGGCTAAATATTTGACTGTCAGTCAGCGGAGTCACTAAAGTTGAATAAAAAAAATATAAAGCCGTTGGCTAAAACCATGATTCGGTCTCGGTTCACAGCATATACTCTTGACATGCATTTTTACTGACAATGACATACAGCGCACTAATCATACCATGATATCAGATATGTATCTCCTGCACAATGATAAACAACCGCTTCGATGAAAAAAACTTCTTGTCTTGACTCAAAATGGAAAATGGAAGAATTCTATCATCTGCATGGAAATGAACCCCTTGCTTTTCCGCTCGTATCATGATGAACAACATATGATCCCGTCATAGCACTGACCCTATTACCTTTTCCAGAGCCCACGGCGCCTAATTTGTCATTACCTGCTTGTGATATGGTTGGTTCCCCATGTATTGATGAACCCTTCTCAAAAACACCGGTCTATTATACAGGAGTCGAAAATTTTCTTTCTGGCTATATTACAACTAAGACATTTATAACATCTGGCAAGAGAATTTAGATTGATTTCAATCCAACTCAGGTTTGGCACATTCGACTCCGAGGTGGGGACAACAAAACAGTACTATAATAAATAAACGAAGGTGTTTTGCATACCGAGAGCCAGCAACGATCATGACCGAAGTCTACCTTCACTCGAATAATTCAATTCGTCAGCTCAAATTTCCAAGGCCCATGTGCAGCCTTTTGTCAGTTATTTCTATGCGAAAGGATCAATGGAATCCCAAGATTCGTCTTCAGTATTGACATCAGGTAATTTCAAAGGTTCGTAGGGGATAGTTCCGTGGATAAACAACTCTTCAAATCGTTGCGCACGCCTCTCTTGTTCTCTCCTTACAGTACCAGGGCTTTCTGGAGGATATAAGTTTCGCTGTTCCTCTTCCTTTTTAGCCGCAAGCAGTCTTTCCATTAAGCATGGTCTTGAGCCTTCTACTTGAATTCGTTCTCGAGGTACATTTCGTTGCTTGCGTAAAATATCGGGACTGTTACTGGCAACGAAAATGTGAGGTTTTCGGTCCATAGTTTGGGCAATAAGATTTTCTTCGGTTGTCTTCCCGTTTACGTGCGCGTCATCGGCAGGAATTCCGGAAGGCGAACCCGTATATTCCGGTGAAAAGATATTTTTTTGAGGATCAATCCCTTGGAACATTCCAGGATTTAAGCTCGTACCATCTTCATTGAATAACATATCGTAGTTCTGATAAAGAAAAAGATTTTGATGAATGAAGCCATGATGATGATTTTTTTTATCTGCATTCAAGATATATACCAATTGTAAAGCAGGCGGTGGTTCCGCAGCTCTCAAAGGAGTAAAGAACAAAGGGCGACCACCCGATGGAGGCGTCGGAACGGAAACGTGGTTGATATTGCTTGAAAATGGATCAGCAACTTTACCGTCTGATGTCATTACTATACTGTGAATGGCTGAAGGACTTGTCATTTCCATGTGCGACATATCATCAACTCCCAATTCCCGGGCCAGACGCGTGCGAGGTGTGGTTGGAGAGAGACGTTCAGGTTTGCGTACAATGACCGTTGTTGTCACATCACGAGAAATCACAACCGGTTCTACGAATATGGATGAATATCTCGCCGCGATGATACCAACCCCTAATAAAGAAATGACTATGCTCCCGCTTACTCTGTATAGAAGAGGCACTCTTGGTAAAACTTCCGGATCGCACCATTGTCGGCCGGCCAGCAAGTGCCGTTGTCCGTTCCACTTTGGCCACAGCTGTTCGCGTCGCTTCACTCAGTCCTGCTCGCCCTTTACCTTTCCGAGGCTGCGAAAAATCTATCTCCCGTTTTGCAAATGGGAATTTCGTAAATGAAACTTGACGCCGTGGAGGTTTATGATGTGAGGTAGTATCAGTAGTCGTGCCCGGTGAAGCTCTGATTTGCATACTAGAGGTAGTGCGTGTCAGCGAAGTTCGCCGTCGTGAAGATGTATGCAGTGAGTCGTTATTGGAACCGCTGATACTTGGCGAACCTCGGTTCTGCTTGGTAGATGTGCTGCTTGTCATCGAGGTTCGTGGTTGTGAGGACGTATGTAGTGACATGGTATCGGTATCATGAACGCTTGACGAAATTTGGTCCCCCAAGACAGATGTAATGCTTGCTGTTCTTTTCGCTGCAGGTCTCGTGTGGTTCGTTGGTATTTCTTTCCGTTTCCCACTTTTTCGGCTCTGCGTTTTCATTGACTGAGTCCTTGATCTTGATGCCCCAGGTCGGTCCATTGAGGATAATCTTGGCCGCTGTTGATTACTTCGTTGCGATTGCTCCTCATACAAATCGTCGTCATACAGTTTATCCCGCATATTTTTCATCAACTCTGGCAGTAAATCAAAGCTATCCGAAAAAGTAAGACACTTCTGCTCAATAATACGGGTTCACAGTCATGACGCAGCTTACCATTCTTTTAGGTATGAATAGAAGTTTTCCATTGACAGATCGGAAACGTCGAGACGTTTCAGATTATGGCTCGCTGCATGAGCATCTCGCTCTTGGAGAATATCGGTCACATCATCGATGCTTTTCCACAGCAGGATTCGGTCCAGGTAGACTTCCCATTGTACGCGAGGGTTATCGAATGGTAGACTGTCGACATTCACCTTGGATTCTTCGCCTTTTTCTTCGGCTGTCTTTTGCCTCTTTTGGTATCTGGAAGGGTTTTTCTCGAGATCAAGCAGCAGCATGTTTAGAATCATTTGAATTTTCGCGCTATTAATAACAGCGTATCAAGCAGGATTAGTTAAGTTTTTCAGACAAACCACTCGTGATAACTTACTCTCGTATCTTCAAAGCACGAAATGATATCTGTACATCTTGCTGGTTCGAACTCGCCATGGTTTCTGTTAACCAGTTCGTGTAATGCGTAAATTCATCCATCTCAGTGCCGCTGCTCAGCAGTTTGTCGATTGTGAGATACGTCTTGTGGTGCTTTCTGTCAAACGCCTCCACGGACAATACTCGCCCTTTAATGGCGGCAGTAGCTGCTTCCAGGAGCTATCCATCTACGATTTAATTTTGGGAACCTCCAGAATGTTAACATGCACATCAACCGAGAACTCACCGTTTCACGGGTATAACTATGGTCATATTGAAATAGCGTTGAGACAAGCTCCAGCATACGCTTCGTATACTCGTATAAGGTCCACTATGTAGCCCATTAGAGCCTACTTTTATGCAAGTTCACCCTTCCATAACAATATTTACCTTTTCAGCATAAAGTGCCTCGCAATAAAGATTGTTGACAGTAGGCGCGAGGTCGTCCAATGAAGTCAATATTGGAGCTGCGGGTATGGCTTCCTCTTTTTCTTCAGTGTAAACGGAATCGATCAAGGAAGGCGTGTTTTCTTTACTACTGCTACTACCAACGATGAAAAGAAGACATCACATGAGAGACGCGGGAATGATTGAGAGAGCAGATCAGACTTACTTGGTATTCGATGCTTTTTCACACAGATGTCGGAGATGGTCAGGCATAGCGAGATGGAGCGGTGATTTCAAAGTACTGTTGTCAGGAACATCAAGATTCATCGACGATTTGGCGATTCTCAATTCTTCAGGTACAGCGGCCGAACGAAGTAAATCGAGAAGATTGATGCCAAGTGGGTAATTTTGTGCTCCCTGAGCGCCCACGGCAGCAGGCGAATTGATGTTCTGCTGAATGGATTTCTCACAACCAGATTGCAAGAGCCGTAAATACGCACAATTGTGAGACACGGGTTCCAGGATCGCTAATGAGCCGTCGCGCATATCGTTATCCTTCAAGCGAATCAGAAAGACGGCTTGATGAGCCTGCATACAGTGATTCATGGTGGCAAACACATTGCTTTGCGATCCTCCCGTTACTGCAAATAAAGCACTGGAATTGATTGGGTGCGCAAGCCAGTCAAAATGGATTTCCGAAGTTTGAAGCACGTTTTCAATATGAAGACTGCAGGTATTTTCCATCCAGTCAGGCAGGCAAGGGAATGACAAACTACAACACACATGAGCGTCACTCCCCTTTCTTTGCTCTTGTGCTCCTGTTAGCTCACTTACCTCATTGTCGTAGATAAGGTAGGCACGCATAAATCTATTGGTAGAAGCCATTTAATATCAATGGCCAAAAAACATTTGCAGCGTCATTGGCTTATACTTACAGCACAGATCTCCGTTGTAGATTGCCGTCAAGTCCAGCTCGATCGATGTATCTTTTCGAAGTTTTTCATCCAATAGCATTGCTACGTCTTCCTTGGTTATCGATGCCTCACTGGAAAGGATAGATGGCAACGGTTCCTCTTCTATAGTGCGGGCAACGTAATGACTAAAGAATGATGCGAACGAACTGCCATAGTAATCATGCTCCATTTGCATTACTTCCATGGGAACAAGATGTCCACCAAAGTTACGCAGCATGGAATGAAAGCCATAGCTAATAAGTGAGTCAATTAACTAGTGAAATATGAGTATGCATTGCGAACGAACGGGAATCATTGTTTTCTTCCAGATAGCTTACTTGTGGTTGGGAGCAATTTACTGTAGGATCAATCCAATTTAAGGAAATGTGATCTTTTCGATATCGTTCACCAAGCAGATCTTTGAGAGAAGATGCCATTTTCGAGATATGGTTCACCGTTGCTTGAAACTCGTTATGGGCCTGTGACACCGGATGAAAGCCTTGCATAAACGTATCGAACTCTTCAAGGGATCGCGGGCGTCTGCTTAACACGTAAATAAAGTTGTTGGCTGGTATTGCACGATCGCGTGGATTCGGGGTGTTCAAGTTGGACAGCACCAGATCATTGCCCGGAAAACTGCTGGTGACTTGCATGAGGGCACTTCGGATCCGGCTAAATCGTTCGGTGGAGTTTGGGTCTGTTATTGTACTCGATCGCGATTTCTTGGCTTCAACTTCTTGTAGAAGCTTGTCCTCGAAGGTATTGACTGATCGCTCTGTGTATACAAATATTTCATTTTTACTTAATGTGCAGCTGCTGCAACTCGAGTCGAAGAATTGGAATCCCCAGGTCAATTCTCGATTGATATAGTTTATGAAGTACATCAAGATAAGGGTAATACATTGTTTGAGAGGTTGGATATCGGTATCATCAAGTATGTAGGTATCCACCAGAAATATGGTGTGTCTATGAGAGTCTGGGTAGACCATTGTGGGTAACGGGACAGCGTGAAAAGCAAATGGTTTATGAGGGGAATAATGTGGATCATGAAATGAGGGAAGGCCCACTTTTCAGCAGTCACGGTACGGTCAATGCGAGGCGCGATTAAAAAAAAAAAAAATACTACAGAACACAAGCTTTTCAAGGAATTGACTTCTGCGCTATACTGAGAACCATTCTTCTGCGTATAAGGGTCATATCTTCTTGCGAAAAATCAAAAGATCGATTTCCAGCCAATCTTTCCGCAAATGTGCAAGTGAATACGCCACAGTCTGACATGTTCTTTTGATGCGGAATATCCTACAAAGACGCGTCAGTCGCGTGTCATGACGAGACTTAGAGACCGTGGTGACAGTTTTTACCTTGGGGGTATTGCTGGTCCAATCGCTCAAATCAAGAGGTGTACCCTTTTTATCCATATGTTCTTGCTGAAGGTAGTTGAATAACAGCTTTTTAAATCCGTCAGCCATTTCTGTCGATGGTTTTTTAAAACACGGGTCCCCTCACCTTGATGGTATAATCATGATTACCGCCCAGAGAATCATACACCTCCACCAACTTTTTTTGCACATGAATAATTCCCAAAGTCCAATGGTATGCGTGATTGATAGGTATCAGTATTAAATCTTTGGAAAAGATATCGACCTTTAAGAAAGCAAAAAATAAAACTGTTAGCATTGATTGCCGAAACGGGGACAACGCCCAACCGTAGTATGCAACAATTACCTTTTTTGTCCATCGGCGTACTTTGGCATAGCCAGATTCTCGCAGCGTAGAGCAGAAGAATGTATTAAAGCAATGGATAGATGGTAGACTGTCTGCTTTTTGTGATGCACGATCGGAAATTAGTGCGAGGTAGAAATTGATGATCTATTGCAGAAGAAGGATAAATGTGTGTATCGGGCATCCCCAGGTCCCAATAAGCCCATACCTCATCATTTAGCCACGTCTCTGGATATAGTTTATAAATGTCCTTAAACTCCACAACCGCTGCCTTGATTTGAGACACGAGTCCATGTTGTCCTTTTCGAAGCAAAGAATCCACCTAAGGGCCTGGATGTTAGTTGTGCTTAGACTTAGTACGAACCATCAATTGGGATAAAAATCTCACCAGTTCATTTTCTTCCTCCGTCAACGGTTGTACAGGCACCTTCGGTTCGGGAATAGCCGATTTTGCATAAAGATCATCAAAACTTTCTTTTAAACGTGATCTGCTGTAAAACTTGATATTCGAAAAAGAGAAACGTTAGTCTCAATCGGTCAGATCCGCTTTTTTTTTCGAGCATACATTATACACCGAAGTTTTGCTTCGAATCAGCTAATAATCCCATGTGAGTGATTATCCCCAAGTCACCAAAAAAGATTATGTGCACAAACAAAAGCTTACATTGTCTCTTCGTTCATCTAGTAACCGATCTCGCGTAATGGCTGCTCTGTTGGATGGTTTGATGTGCAAATGCTCCAGTTGCTCTAGCATGGAGTCGAAATTCTCTGTTGACAGTTCCTTCTGTTTCGCGCACGCGTTGCTATATTCCGTGGATAATGCTGAACATCGTGTCGATCGCTCTGCTGCTTTCGAAGTATCGACGGATTTCATATTTTTGTCGTTTTGCGACGGCCTCTGTGGCAGAGAGCGTCGATACATGTTGCGACATAACAAAGAGACGCGGAATGGATTCGAGGATATGTTTCCATCTAAAGTAATAAGCAAACAAAAAGCCAATGAATAAAAAGCGCTGCCAGGAACTGGACGTGGTGCAAGATTTGCTGGAAAAAATAAATAAGAAACGTACTAGGACCTCCTTTAGGTTTGTTTGTCGATGTTGTTGGAAAGTCGTTCTTCGATGTGTCGAACTCCCAAGTTGTCTGATCAGCTGAAAGAGCGACATTAGTCCAAATATTATCGCTGGTTATTGAATGGACTACTCACTGCCTTTTCTCAATGTCTTGTTCTTGTTCATGTCAACGTCGTGAAGGTCAAAGGTCAAAACGTGTCGAGCGGTGCAAACTGTTCGATTTGATAAAAACCAAGGGAAAAAATATCCACCTTGGAAATTTTTCGAAATCAGCCAAAGTGGCCCATCTTTTTTTCTTTTTACGTCATCCAAAGAGTTGGACAACATAAAAACCATCGAAGAAAACTTTATGCGGTTCGATAATGCCACACAGATGTGTGGGAAATAAGATATCGTATTTGCTGCCTCGAGGAACTCGGCGAGGGAAGCCCGAGCTTTTTATTGTAAGATCAGTTGTAATCGGAGAGCATTTTTATGCTAACTTTTTTTTTGGGGGGAAGGACGAAGAAACCTTATATGCTTTGTTTAAAGGTTTTTCTAGGATCTAAGTGGCTTAAATAAATGTGAAATCATGAGGGTTAACGTGGCGAAAGGTCTGTCAGGTACGATTGAAAAATTTGAGTAACAGAAACGGTTAGCAGCAATCATATGCACGGATGGTTGGAGGTGATGCAGTGAATGATGTGATGTATGATAGTGAAGACGACTGTCAGTTGCGTGGCATTATTTCTTGGGAATATAGTCTTTGGACAAATCGATGTGTGCCAAATGGGTGTTGGTGATCTTGATTTTCTTGTTGCGGGTTTTTGATCGCTTTGGTTTGGGCTGAAATCGAGCTTAACAAAAGGCAATCAGATGGACAAACCATGCTTGTTCACTTACATCGGTAATAACTTTCTTTTCAAACACTTCCATCGTCTTCAGACCGGCGTTTTCCAATGCCTTTGGCAGATCCGTTTCATCCGGAATGCTAATATCCGCCCACATTTTCTTGAAGTCTGGTCCATATCAATTCATCATTAGTCCAGTGATGAACCTTTTGTGAACCACAGTAACCTACCTTCATCGATGAGGGTATTATATTGCATGTCATTGAAAAAGAGTACACGAGGATTGCCGTCCTTATTGCGGATCACCAAGATCCTTCCTTCGGATGCCAACTCTTCCACAGCACTGCTAAGCTTCGAGTATGAATCTTTCAGATCCTTATAATCCATCCCGCCTTCATTCTTCTTTTGCACAAGCAACGTGAGCAAATCCTCTTTGCTTCTAATTTGATACGTTGGCTACAAAAATATTGGATCAACCTAATGAGATATGCTGCAATAGCATTGATGATGACATATCGAAATTTTACCTTGTAAGCAAACGTCTTGTTGGTTGCGTCATATTCAATTTTATCATTATGCACCAATTTTTCCCACAATTGGGGGTTTTTCGTAATATCGACTTTGGTACGAGAAGCAATGCTTACGACCGATTGGGGATGATCGCAATCCTAGGTGATCCATCGCTAAATCAGCACAACATGCACCGCTTTTTGAACGCCAAAAAGCGTAGCGACGGTACCTTCAAAAACTGAATGACGTTGTACAGTTGACTCATGGCATGGTGCCCAGTACCCGTATTAGCAGGTTGCGAATAGACTGTCTTTGCCATAAATAAAACACTTTATAAAACCCATTGATCGATGCAAAGCATACCCATAGCCTTTTTCGATCGCTTGGCATCGTGACCAGATGAAGTAAACGAAGCCTTGGTGTTGCCCGCAATGTAGCTGGTGGTCTTATTATCCAACGAGTTACTCGTAGAGCTGCTTGCAACTCTCTTCACTCCAAGAATGGTATTCGCATTCAGCGATTTCTTGAAGTTTTTCACTTGATCGGTCAACGACATTTTTGCACAAACGAATACGACCAAAACCGAAATCGATCACAATGATGCAAAAAACACGAGCCTTTTCACTCAATGTTGGCGCAGTTGTGACCGTTAAATCGCTCCCTAAAATTCTCGTGATCTGTGACAGGTGCACGGCCATGCTCCGCCGTAATGGCAATCACCGAGCGATATAACTACGGCTAATTTGAATGCATGCATTACAATTTGTAGCTGCTTGTATAGGAAGCAATATGCTAATGTATGCCGGAGATCAGAACCCGAGATCAGGATAGATTGATCGATTCATTCCATATTGAGACCGTTTTTTTTTTCTACAATCAATACTTTACTGGTGTTTCAATCAATCCTCACATAGCATTTTAATATATTCACAGTGCCTTTTTCCAAATGATATGTTCGAGTATCTTTTGTTTGTTTATTGTTCTAAGGAATAGATCAATCATTGAATTTAGGCGGATTTGGCAAGCTCTGGATAAAAAAAAACACAAGATGCAATTAGTAACCCCAGATCTTACTATTCCAAAAGAAACCTTTCATTGTAACTTACTTTGAACATCGCTGACAGCTTGGTCCAAGATTTGTTGCTGGATCTTGGGATCTTGCAAATCCTTGTGGATCTTCTCAATCAAGTAAGCAGCCAACTGCTTCTGTTCACGCTCACGGACATTGGTTTCGTGACGAACCCATGAGTCCAAGGTGCTCTTGATCTCCTGGGCAACAGCCACTTGCTGCTTCAACTTGAAAGCTTCAGCTTCTAACTTGGCGGTTTCACGAGAGAGTTCGAAGAGAGACTTGGTGACATCGACGAGATCCTTCATTTGACCGACGTGGTTGATACGATCCTGAACAGCCGATTTGTGATCCTCACGAGCCTTGTTCAAAATGCTCTTGATACGCTGTAGTCATATCCACGACGCATTAGTAAATTACGCATTCCAACTGTTGACTATTGAAAATAACATACGTCGATGTGTTCGTTGGCCATGTTGTTGAAAGGTTCCTTGAGGTACTTCAAGAAAAGACCAATAAGACCGGTAGTAGCGAGCAAGACAAGGGTTTCTTCGTTGAAGACGTAGATTTCCTTGGAGACGAGGAAGGTGGCGAGACCAGTACCGAGGGTCACGTAGCCGGTCTTGGAAATGAGGGAGTTGCCGGGAAGCGATTCAATAATGCTGTTAGCTTTTTGCTTGGGTTCAACTAGTAAATTTGAAGATTAGGACATGGGTGTGAGTGTCAAAGGATTTTTGTGACTGGACGTAGGCACTTACCCTCCTTCTGGGTGGAGTACTGACGGAGACTGGTAAAATTATCATGATTATTAAAAGAATCGACGTTTTTAAAGAAAAATGGCAATTAACTTACGCAGCGACACCAAGAGACTGGCGCGAAGCAGTCATCAAAGTGGGACGAGCAATGGCAGCAGCTATTGGAAGAATAAACAAATATAGAAGGACGATTAAAGATCGCGTTTTAAAAGGTTGATGATCGAATGGCGCTTTCTTTTACCTGCGGCGCCCTTGGTCAACAATCGGAAAGCCATTACTGGATAGAGATTCTACGGATTTGCTAAATTAATGCCTGGTAACTAATGCAACTTAAAATCATGGGGTTTCCAAGGTGCTTACATTTGTAAACGTCTCGGAGGGGAAGAAACGAAAAAAAAAAAATCTGTGTGCTATTTTTTTGACCAGCCTAGGATGACTGAGCCGCCGGGTGAGGAGTCCAAAGATTTTTTTTTACAGTAGCGAAAATATACAAGGGGATGGCAGGGCCCCGGCCGCCCCGCCCAAGAGTCGCGGATACGTCACGCTAGGCGGAGGTTAAAAATTAGAGAATCGGATGAACGTTTACTGCATGCATCACTTCAGCTTTTTGACGAAACAAAAGCCATCTTGAACTTCATTAACCACTAATATGATTCCTCCAACGAGACGTCAAACTAAAAGAGGTTCCACGATGGCCTTATGTTATTGGATACTGAGCCTGGTGGAATGATGAACTTCAGTGATTCCCCTGACAAGAAAGCTTTCTTCATGTACGACACTTCCGACTTGATCTGAAATTCAGTCTTTGCAATCGCAGTGGGAAGGTCCTTGCCTCTTATCCAAGAACCGTTTTGCAATACTTCTCTATTAGAAAGCTTGGCCAGCCCGAACAAATAGATATTCCGGTACGAACCGACAGTAAACTGAAAAATCAGCGTGGATGATACAGTGAGCGCCTCGGATTCCAAATGCGGATCCGATCCGACTGGATAGCAACATCCCGTTACTTGGCGACAGCAGAAAAGACCCACCCAACAACATTTCTCTGGGAACTACGGTTTTTTTTTTGGAGTTGCGCCCCCCAAGGACGCCCAAAATCGCACTATCCAAATATTCCGGGATAGCCTGACAGTCATTCAGTATACGAGGATACGAGGATAGCTAGAAGAACGGCATCACATCTAATACCCTGCGCTTAGCATTCAAAGTGACCGACATCTGGTGTCTGCAAATCTTTCTACTGCCACCTTCCGGAGATTGGGAAACACTAACCGACAGATTAAAATCGAGTACGCGTATCATGATGCACTTTGAATCGAAATGCTGAGGACAAACACACCATCGATACATTCGCCATTCGCTCATATGTCCAATGAATATGACGATATTTCGGTTTCATTTTTCGGCAAGCAATGGCAGTGGTACACACCACATGTCGACGATATAACGATCTTTACCAAGTGGTGGGGTTCCGTTAGTTGCTGATGAGTACGATAAATAGCTTGAGGTTTGCAGCTAGTAGTCGAAATGATGTTGCCGGCACATGGAGCAATCAAATTTCTTATTTCTATTTAACACCATTATCTTAATCGGACAAGGCCAAGGACGCTGCAAACATGGTTCATGCCAAAAAAAATCCAACGGAAAGGAATGAAATTTGATGGCCATCTTTTAATATTACTGTTTCCTCCAGTGCTGATACTCGATATTGAGATATAATGAATCCATTGTAAAGCACCGTTGACATGCAGACGCATTGCCGGTCTGTCGTTTAATACAGAGTTGACCGGTTTAAGCTCCAAATATGCACTGGCAAAATTAATTCCCAAAATGGCAATTTCGTTTTTTGAAGACGTAAAGCTTGGTTTTTTTTCCGGTAAATTCCAAAAAAAAAAAAACCGTAGTGTTCCTTCCGGATTCACGTATACAGCGCTGCAGCATTCAGTACACGACATGTCACGGTAAAAAACATGTTTTTCTCTTGACTGCTGCATCCATGTATTCATCGTACGAAACTATTAGGAATCGCATCACAGCTGGTCCAAAATCCGTCGTTTGTCAAGAAACAGACTTAAGGGGCGAAATATCCATCGGTAACTCGACAATGTGCGCGTTCCATTTACTACTCACTAGAACTTTTTTCAACAATAATAGGCGCAGGTACGAATGATCAAGAAATGGAAATCGTGGCTCTGGAATTCACCGGCATTGTTATTCCAGGCTCTATTTTGCATCCTCAGTGTCGTGTTATAGCGGAGAATGGACCCATTTATATCGGTCGAAATAATATCATTGAAGAAAACGTCATCATTTTCAACAAGTACGTAAGATGAAAGGTCTATATATTATAGTTACAATAACTCACGAACTCTTCTTAATCAGCCATTCAACGCCGCTGATTATCGGTGATGGAAACGCATTTGAAGTAGGCAGCTGCATGTATCAATGGAATTCATCCCTGCAACTAAACAGAAACTCATCATTTATGATACTTTTTTCGTTAGATATCGAAGGCTCGCCCATAGGCAATAATAACATTGTGGAAGCCCGGGCACGTGTCATCGGAAACACGACCGTAGGCAACCATTGTGTGATTGGGGCAGGCTGCTCAACCGACGCCAACGAGAAAATCGTCGACTACACTGTCATTTACGGTGGGCAATCGAAAAGGCGCACACAAAGTGAAGTTTTGCCAGTAAGTTGACTTTCTGATATAAAGTGTTTCGTCGATTGACACGCATTGGCTCTGTAGGCCCAGGCATCGTTGCATGCCCGTCACTTGGAATATCTGAGAGAAGTAAGGATCTTTTTTCCATCATCTGACCTGAACCAGCGACTGATCTTGTACATTAGGTTTTACCAAAATACAATCATCTGAAGAAACTCGATACCATGTAATATACACTATCTAATGAAGAAAAAATGCATAGCGTCAAATATATTTTTATTTGCAATGTCTTTTTTTCGGACTATGCGTCCATGGAATGGTCAATAACAACTAGAAAATGGCGGGAAATTATCTTGGGACTCAAATGGAGATATGATAACTGCTTGATGGCATAAGGAAAAAGATATGGTAGGATAAAACGCAGATGAGCCAAATCGTCTCGGTCAGAAAGTTACGGGTAATTGCCGGTCATGCGATACATGGCATCTTGGTAGTTGGCAGCAGGAGCGGGTTGCGATTGAGAAAGTGCTTGCAATTTGCCGAGGATGTCGGTGAGTTGTTCATTAGAAGCTAGTCCTTGAGGCGGTCCTCGGAACGGCTGCTGAACACCGGGCGAACCATAATTCAAATGGCTCGAAGAGGGGGAATAAGGCATAGCAGTAGATTGCATTGCTGTCGCTGGTGCCCTCATGCCTGGAGGTCCGACGGAATTACCGGGATGACCGAAACGCGGATCGGATGGTAAACCTCTGTATTGTTGTGTGGTTGTCATGAAAGCGGACTCTGGCGCAGATGATTGTGAGGCGAATGGATGGGTAGAGACCCCCGGCATTGACGCTTGTGAGGCAGGAGAGTCAGCGACAGATGCTTGCGACGGTGTCTGCAACGGTGTTTCCAATCCCGCGTATGAAAAGATGGACGGCACTGGCATCCAAGGAATAGTACTCGTAACGACGTTTTGCTGGCCGATTAAATCCGCTAATCTTCCTTGCACTGTTAACGCAGGGTTTTGGTCTCCATACTCAGCGGTTGCGAGAGGCAACTCATGTTGAGCTGCGGTTTGAACCATTTGTAACAACGAATTGAGCATGTTGGTAGCCACGGGCACCAAGGTTTTTTGAGTAGAAGACCTATCAATACCGACACCACGAGCAGCAGCAGCAGCACCAGTAGCGCCAGTACTACCGGTTGCGACATTAGTAGTATCGGCACTACCGGATGACGAATCTCCACGTTTGCGGGAAGAAGATGGTCCGGGCGAGGCATTTCGAGACGGTTGAGAAAATGCTGTAATGAGCATAACGGGAGCGGATGCTCCAGCTGATGAACCAGCTACAGGTGGTGGATTGACCTCTACCCGCTTTCCAAGTACAGCTACCGCATCTTGCACACTGATACTGGCGTATTCTACAATCGCCAATAGTATCAGTATTCAAATCAGTGATGATTATCCAATGTTGAATAATACTTGCCATCAAAATGAATATTGCCCGATGGATCATCGTAATCGAAGATTTGGAAATAAACCTTTCGTTGTGCTATATTCTGCGCGTCAAGCACAATGACGGCTTTCACACCGGCGACAATCAATTCCTTAATAAGCTCATCCTTGGCTTCCCCAGGACGTAGAAACAAGGCGGAAATTGTGAACCCTTTTTCTTTGAACGAGTTTTCGACAAATTGTACAAATCCACGGTCAATATTCGACCATGTGATGATTTGCACGGTAGAGCGTCTATCCGATGATTCGCTCGTCGAATGTTCCGTAGCGTTGGTAGCTTTTTGCTTCTGAGGATGCGCGGAGGGAGCTGCAGTGGGTTGCTTCATCGGCTGATTGGAGTCTGTAGATGGGCCCGGAAGACTCGTTGGCTGCGCCATGGGTGCATCACGATGAACTCGATCGCGAGATGATGGCGAGAAGGACAAGCGAGGATCGCGGTTCGGTATAGCATTTCGGGTGGACATTTCCGGTTGCGCTTCGTGCATGGGTTCATCGCGGATATCGGAATTCCAATCATTGTCTCGATAGTCGAGATTACGAGCATTCTCCTCGCTCTTTCGGTCACGACGCGAATTTGATGAACTCGCCATCTCACTACTTTGTGTACGATCTAAAATATTTGTTTTAATACTCTGCGCAATGTTTGCAGTCATGTTTGCAATCATTTACCATGAGAATCGAATCTTGCCGAGCCAGAAGGGGTATTTCTCTTGTAGCGATCGGAACGCTGCGAAGGTGAACCATGAGAAGGCGATTGGCTTCGATATGTATAATCTGGGGCTTTGCCTCTGTGGATGACAGAGGGTTTTTCTGGGCACACTTGCAACTCTGCGTATCAGCGGGATGGAGGAGGACATAAGTAAAGGCCGAAAAAGGAAGTTGGTTAGAAATAAGACTTAAAATAATTTGACTTCCCCGCTGCCCCACACCATCGCCAATATTGTATGGAAAAAATGCCGTAATAGCAAAAAATCGATGATTAAAGTAGGTTATCCAACCCACAAAAGAAAAAAAAATCAAGGAGAAGGAATAGAGAGAGTAGTGACCAGAGCAAGACGAGATAATTAAGCTCATCAACCAGTCCAATCCATGGGAATTGTCAAAGTAAACCCGCTGCATGATCAATATCCTTCATGAGACCATTGATGGTAAATAAGTTTCACCCTCATTACAGCGTCACCCTAACTCTGTACGGCCATCGATCGAAAACAAAAGACACAACAACGAACTCTCAACAGCAAGAGTAAATCAACACCACAGTCTGTCTTTCATGACCTGCGATATCGAGCAATGTCAATAGTTGAGAGAACCAACATGCAGAATATATCCCACACAAACCACGATCATGCCACCCAGTTAATGTGGTGAAATAATCCTACTCCCAGATTCTACAGCTGGTTCCCCCAATAGCCCGGGCGACAGTCATTGCGAACCGATGCCGTACAGGAGAGTGTGCGGGGAAGTCCTCATGGAGAGAAGAAAAAGTGGAAAACGTCACCTACCAAGAGTAACCCCTTTTAGAACTCTGCCATTCTGTCCACTGACGGCAGCGGTACATATGGCAGGGTTTTTGAACTGGACGAGGCAATCACCGCTGTGTTTGATCGTCACATCCAATATCTCCCCATATCTGCTAAAACGATCCATAAGATCCTGCTTCTCAATGGTATTCGGCAATCGTTGGATTAACATGCAAGATCCCGGAGCCAGCATATCCCAATCTATATCCAGTTTAGATATAATCTCAGCATAATCATATTTTAATCGATGCCTACTGATTTCGTGATTGTAAAATCTCTGATACGATGAAGATCCGCTTCGTTTGTTGGATTCTTCTCTTGATGAACTTCTTGATGCTCGCCCATAAGATTGCTGATTATCGAATGTTTGCCGTTTTGCTTTTGTATAATCGTCAAACTCATCAGAAGCTCGTTCTCGCTTAGCTCCATGGTGAGTAGAAGATAAAAAAGGAGGGTTATGGACAGGTTGATTGTTTGCGGATCCACTTGTGACGACAGATACAGGTCCATTTGCCAGCACATTCCCGGGAGCATTTACGGGCGCAGCGAAGGATGGATTTACGGGTACAACGGTGGGAGCCGTCACAGGTGCAAAGGTGGGTGCGGCTGTGGGCACGGGCGCAGGTGCAGGTGCAGGTGTAGATACAGATGTAGGTAAGGACACTGGCGCTGATGCTGGAGCAGCTGTTGTTGCAGGAACTGGTGCTGACGTTGATATGGGTTCCTTTGGTGCTTGCTCAACCGCCGATGGGGGCGCCGCTGGCTTCTCTTCAGCCTTGGGAGGCGCAGCAGTGGGGGTTGGAGGATGTTTTGCGAATAAGGCTGATAAGAAATCATCCACTACGGATGATGTCGGTTTATTGGAAATGTTGGAAGTTGATGTTTCCTGCTGCATTGATCAAGCGTCCAAGAAGAGGGGAAACAAAGAAAAGACTCGAAAAAAAAAAGTCAGAGCAACAAATACTGCTCACTGGAAATCGACGTCATTGGTCCTTTTTTGGCCCGGTGTGTGTGGCTGAGGACTTTGAAATTGGGTGGAAACGGACAGAAAAAGGGTGTCGGGGAAGGATCGCCTTTTTTTTTCCCTACGTCTGCTTTCTGATAAAACTTCCATTATGGATGAATTAGAGCAACTTGAACACTTGTCGCTGGTCAACAAAGTGGTGAGCGAGCTGTACAATCACACTGGCCTTGGCGAAAAGGTTTTAGGTAAAGTCCACTTGCCCACTAATTCTCTTAATCAACCACTTCTGTTACTGTCACTAACCGATCTAAATCCTTTTTTTCTCCTTTGACAGCTGAATTCATTCTTCACTTGCACGATCAAGCCAATGGCTCACTCGCCAAATTTAAAACCCTTTTGAAGGATGCGGACGCTGATTTTCCGGAATCCTTCATTGAGAACTTGGATCGTGTTATAAAAACAATGAAGCCGAAAAAGGGGATAAGTCAAACATCCGTGGAAGACAAAGCAGAAATGTTACCTGGATTAGCCGTTGCCGATGATGAGAACTGGTTCAAGAAACGTGAGGAAGATCTTGCAGTCGCAGACGATATGCTGGCGCAATTAGAAGGCATGTCAGGCAGCCGATCAAAATCATCGAACGAACGTCGTCGAAGCCCCAGTCCTTCTCGCAGCGATCGCCATCGTCGCCATCGTTCTCGTTCACGCAGTCCTCGGCGACACCGCAGTCGAAGCCCGCGACGCGAAAAAACGATTGATGACCGACCCGTTATCTATAAAATTTATCAAGGCACTGTCAACAGCATTAAAGACTTTGGTGCGTTTGTGCAGTTACAAGGTGTCAAGGGACGAGTTGAAGGCATGGTCCACGTTACGCAAATGGCCTCAAGCCATGTACGTCATCCAAAAGACATTGTCAACCGCAATGATCGCGTTAAAGTCAAAGTTATGTCAGTGGCGGGTTCGCGTATCAGCTTGTCCATGAAAGACGTCGATCAACGCACAGGAGAAGATCTCACCCCTCACCTTCGTGTCCGCAGCAAGGAAGAATTGGAAGAACTGGCCACTCGTAACCCGGACCGACCGTTTGAACGCGAACCTACGAAACGTTACGACGACGAAGCGTTCCGTTCGGTTAAACGCATGTCCTCTCCTGAACGATGGGAAATCAAGCAGCTGATTGCTTCGGGTGTAGTCAACGCGGCCGACTATCCTGGTATCAATGATGATACTGATTTCAATGGTAATGTCGAAACGGAGGAAGAAATCGATGTGGAAGTACGAGAAGAAGAGCCGCCATTCTTGAAGGGACAAACTAAGCAGACCCTGCAATTAAGTCCCGTAAAGGTGGTGAAAATTCCGGACGGTACTATGAATCGAGCAGCATTATCAGGAGCCGCGCTTGCAAAGGAACGACGAGAATTAAGACAGCAACAGCAGAATGAGGAAATGGATGCTGTGCCAAAGGATGTGAACATGCCATGGTTGGATCCGATGCCTGAACCTGGCGAAAGACAGTTTGCCCAGGATCTCCGAGGCATTGCTTCTAGTGCTCGTCCCGGACAGATGGCCGAATGGAAGCAGAAAACTTTTAACAGCGCTACCAGCTTTGGTAAAATCACTTCGTTGAGTATTCAAGAACAACGTGAATCGTTACCCATCTTCAAATTGCGAGATAACTTCATTCAAGCTGTTCGCGAGGTAAGTCTGCTTGTGGTTGATCGTTATTGGGAAAAAGCGAGGATGATATTGACCGTTTTGGGCATTAGAATCAAATGTTGATTGTTGTGGGTGATACTGGATCTGGCAAAACGACACAAATGACTCAATACCTGGCGGAAGAAGGTTTTGCGAATCATGGCAGAATCGGTTGTACGCAGCCTCGTCGCGTGGCCGCCATGTCTGTGGCAAAACGTGTGTCTGAAGAAGTGGGTTGCCGTGTCGGTCAGGAAGTCGGTTATACCATTCGTTTCGAAGATTGCACCAGTCCCGAAACTCGAATCAAGTACATGACAGATGGTATGCTTTTGAGAGAATGTCTTATCGATCCGGAAATGTCGCAATACTCCGTTATCATTCTTGACGAAGCTCACGAAAGAACTATTTCGACGGATGTTCTTTTTGGCCTGCTCAAACGTAAGTCATTGTTTAATGGAATAACATTTCATTTTACCTCGTCACTGATGTTGGATGTCATAAAGGCGCTGCTGTTCGACGCCCCGACTTGAAGCTTATCATCACGTCTGCCACGCTGAATGCAGAAAAATTCGCTGTGTACTTCAACAACTGTGCTATCTTCGGTATTCCCGGTCGCACCTATCCTGTCGAAGTACTCTACACAAAGGATCCCGAATCCGATTATCTGGATGCAGCATTGATTACCGTGATGCAGATCCATTTGTCCGAACCGCCGGGTGATATTTTACTTTTTCTGACTGGTCAAGAAGAAATCGACACATCTTGCGAAATCCTATACGAACGTATGAAGGCGCTGGGTTCCGATGTTCCAGAGTTGATCATTTTACCGGTGTATAGTGCTCTTCCAAGTGAAATGCAATCCAAGATTTTCGAGCCGGCGCCACCTGGAAGTCGAAAAGTGGTCATTGCGACCAATATTGCGGAAACATCCATCACAATTGACGGTATCTATTACGTGATTGACCCCGGATTTGTCAAGCAAAACAAATGGGACGCCAAACTTGGTATGGATTCACTTGTCGTTGTGCCCATTTCGCAAGCTGCTGCAAAACAGCGTGCTGGTCGTGCTGGTCGTACCGGTCCTGGTAAATGCTATCGCCTGTATACCGAAGCAGCCTATCAAAACGAAATGTTGCCGAGTACCATTCCCGAAATCCAGTTGCTTAATTTATCCATGACGGTACTAACTCTCAAAGCCATGGGTATCAACGATCTTTTACATTTCGATTTTATGGATCCTCCACCGGAAGGCAATTTGATTCAAGCCCTGGAACAATTGTACGCGCTTCAGGCCCTTGATGACGAAGGTCTTTTGACCCGCTTAGGACGCAAAATGGCCGAATTCCCTCTGGAACCTCAATTATCGAAAATGCTGATTCAATCTGTGGACATTGGTTGCTCCGAAGAAATTTTGACCATTGTTGCTATGCTTACAGCAGGCAACGTGTTCTATCGACCCAAAGAAAAGCAAGCTCAGGCTGATTCCAAGAAGGCCAAATTCCATCAACCGGAAGGCGATCATCTTACCCTGCTCACAGTTTACAACGGTTGGAAGGCCAGTAAATTCTCAAATCCTTGGTGTTTTGAAAACTTTATTCAAGCACGGAGCATGAAGCGAGCTCAGGATGTTCGAAAGCAATTGCTGGGTATTATGGATCGGTATGTCGAATTAGTTCGCTATTGCTTAGTATTTATTCGTGAAACTTATGCAACTTTTTACTTCCTGTTAGATATAAACACGACATTGTGTCCTGTGGCAACAACTACACCAAGGTCTGTCGAGCGCTTGTTTCTGGTTATTTCCGAAACGCCGCCAAGAAAGATCCACAAGAAGGTTACAAAACATTACTGGAAGGCACCCCTGTCTACATTCATCCTTCAAGTGCATTATTCAACAAGGGGCCTGAATGGTAAGACGATAATGAATGTCAGACAACTCCAAAGATGGATATACTGATCCAAACTGTAATTATAGGGTTATTTATCACGAAATTGTGTTTACGTCGAAAGAATATATGCGCGAAGTGACAGCAATTGATCCGAAATGGTTGACGGAAGCGGCACCAACATTCTTCCGCATTGCCGATGCAAACAAGATCTCTAAGCGTAAACGTCAAGAAAAGATCGAGGTGAGATGGCTTTTTCTTTCTCTGTCTGCATTAATCATGTGCTCTTTGTTGGACATAACTGACATCAATATCTCTTTTAGCCTCTGTATAATCGTTATGAGAAACCGAATGAGTGGCGTCTTAGCAGAGTTAAACGTGGTGGAAGAATCAGTCAAACCTTTGGATAAACCTTTTTCAATCCCCCCTCTTTTTTTTTCATTTGTCTGCATTTCAGTTGGTTTTTGTGCATAATGTCCTTTTTATTTGTCCCTTTTTCTTTCAGTTGGCGTAGAACTTGGTGGTTTAATATATGGTACCTCGGTCGTCATTTCCAAAATCCTTTGAAGCCTTTCTACGATTGACATAAAGATAGTAATAAATATCGGGTGCACCGGCTTTATCATTGGGCTGGGGCACTCTGATAGGAATGACTTTTTCGTGGGTCCAGAGTTGGATGCCTTGTATAAGACAGTCATGCTTCCGTTCACCTGAAAAAGAAATGGATAGCCATACGCCTCCTACTCTGGTAACTGAAGCGATTTGTTGTGATAAACGTTGTTGACAGGTTTGGTTGTCATCGTCACCACACGCGATCGTGTCAGACAAGCTTTTATCTATCACCACGGCAAAGCCCTGTGGCTGTTGCTTCAATAAAAATCCCAGATCGTCTAGGCAATCGGCTTCTTGCCATGTGAGATGATCGTAAACTGGATTCTGCCTTTGGCGAACGAGTTCTTGCATTTGAGCAACCACATTGGCGGCGTAATCGATGTTAACTACACTGCGGAATCCGCAATCTGCGAGATCGAAAGCCAACATGGAATTGCCACAACCTAAGTTTAACGAAAAGAGTAAGTGAATTGCACCGTCTATTTTTTTTTTTTTTTGTATTACACTTACCTAAATGCAAGATTGGTTCGCTATTCTTGAGATACGGTAATATCATGGGCTTTAAATCTTGCCATTGAAGGAGCCATTCGAAGTGAGTTTCTTTTTGGAATCTGTCTTGCCAATATTGTTTGTCATGAAAAGGCACGGCTCCAAGAGCACTCATGGTCTAGACAGCAGACTGCAAGAACTTGCATAAAAACATAGAAACAATTTCAAAAGCAAGGATCCAGCCAAAGTCACTACACTCCGCCAAACAAACAGCAGGTTTGCAGGATGATGACAAAATAAATTCAAATTTCCCAATATAATACCTTCGTGTCCCTTCATCAGTTTCTTACCGAGATACTTATGTATTCCCTGTTTTACCTCAGTTCTTTTTCGATTTATTCTGAATCTCGGTGTTCTCACCTGCAGATCGTTTTTTATTTATTTTTTTTTATTTTTTTTTTAATTTTTTTTTGCAACTGCCAGATAAATAGAGCAGAGAGGAAACGGGTGGTGTGCTGGTGTTAGGTTCTCTTACTATGCAAAGACAGAAATGAAATTAGCTCAGAAACAAATACAGAAACGAAACAGGACACTATGGAACAAAAGCAGAATGAGGCAATAAGAGACAAAAGAGGTTGCGAACAAAAAACAAGAAAGGCAAATCAAGAGGAAATTGAGGTTATAAACAAATACCAAAGTGAGATTCATTGGCAAGTTTAATTATGCACCTTAAAAACTATGCCAGCTGCTCAATGACAGTGAAGTAAAAGATGTTTTCGATTTGTTTTGGTATTCTTTTCCGTATACTTTGGCTTTTCTTGATACCAATTTTAATCTCAACCTTATTAAAATGTTTGGGAGTTATGCGCGCTAATTTTCAGTCACAAGGCAGCCACATTGGGTTTTTGCTACATTTGTCGGCTTTGATTGGGTAATTTTTGAAAAAAAAAATATATGATTGGTTGAAACGAAACCAGACAGCTGTTGATCGGCCCGACCTTTGCGCTCGAATTTATAACATGAAGCGTAAAGCTCTGATGGAAGATCTAAAGAAGAACCATGTTTGGGAAGAGTCGTTACCCATGTACACACGGCGGAGTTTTAGAAGCGAGGCTTACTGCATCTTCATTTGCTTTTGGTGTTACTCCGGAGGATAAGCCGAGAACACTTGATGACTATGATCGTATCGTGTGTGCCGAACTTCAGGACAGAGAGAGATTTCCTGATCTCTACGACACCGTCAGCATATGTATGGTGCACGGTCCGTGTGGAACAACGCATCCGAGGTCTCCCTGCATGGAAAACGGCTCATGTAAAAAGCGTTACCCGCGCTCCTTCAATGAAGCTACTATCGAAGATCACAGTGGTTACCCGTTATACCGTCGTCGCAACAATGGTGATTTTGTGGTCAAGAACCATGTCCAGTTGGACATAGATGGGTTGTTCCCCACAATCGATATCTCTGTGCAAGATATAACGCTCACATTAACGTCGAAATCTGTACTTCTCTGGAAAGCGTCAAATACCTGTACAAGTATGTTTACAAGGACCACGATCGTGCGCCAGCAGCAATGTATCATGCCGGCAATGACAGAATATGTCAGGCTCCTGACCCGTTTGCGCTTTGGATGCAGTTCCGCCAGCATTTGGCAGAAGACTATTTAACCTTTTTGGAGCAATCAAAATCAAGACAATGATCATCAAAATTGAGCCGCCCCAAATCGTGTACGATCGCGCTTTGCTGGACATTGAAGAGCATCTGAACCGCCAATCGAGTTCACTGCTGAGTTACGATCGCTTTGTTCTTCCTGATCGCCAAGAAATTGGCAGAAGCACACTTCGCCGTCAGCCCAGACTGGTAAGAGAACAATTCGATCTCATCGCAGACGCTGCCAATGTTCCCCAAACACACGAGTACCTAAACCGTTATCAACATGCCGTATACCACGCAATTCTCCAGAGTGTCACGCATGGAAGCAACGAATCAGCCCGATTGTTCTTTGTTAGATGGTCCTGGTGGCGTCTTTACCCTTATGTTGTTGTTTTTATTATTCCTTTATATTTTACTGTATGTATTTTGTCTTATGCTCCTTTGATTTCATCCTTTGCTATGATTTTTCAAGTTATTCTTCACCTTTATGTTTTACTGTATGCTTTTCGTCCTTATGTTCCTTTTGATTTTATCCTTATGCTATGTTTCCCCAAGTACGATTTTTTCTGTTATCTATTTTTGTCTCTCCATTTAATATTATACGATGCCTGACTATTTCTGTTCCTAACTTTGTGTACATATTGTTGTTCCTCTGTCGTGGATGAAGAAAATGATCACTATGTGGCGGTAGGTCAGGGGGGGCAAGACCCCCGGGAAAAAAGAAAAGGAGACTGTACTACTCTGTTGTCCATTGAATACGCAAAGATTTATGCGCACATCAACTAAATCTTACCGAAAAATCAACCGCTTATTGACAAAAGATTAGAGTACCATCAAGCGAGACCTTTGGATACACAAATTCGAGTGCGGAGCTCTGGATATTGCAAATGGAGCATCCCATTCCAAACGCATCTTTAATCAGCTACTATTCCCACTAGCCTCAGATTAACAACAAACTACAGACCGAAAGAGCATAACTTTGTGATCTTTAAGATCAACAGGTGCTACTAGTCTACATAATTAAAATCTTTGGGAAATTAGCGATTTTGTAAATCACATGATCTACATTAAGTCATCAGGACCTGTTAAACCTTTCTTTTTATATTTCAACCATGCCTCGCTGCCCACTTTCACGATAATAGGCGAAACAATCAGCAGCAAGATGCCGTTTGCGCCAGTTATGGTTAAACAGAGTATCGTCGTCTTTCGAATAAAACTGTGAGTAGAGCTCTTTTTTGAAGAAAAGTGGGTTGATGATTCGACTGGCGTTCTTCTGTAGCATCATTCAATTCGTTTTTTTTTGTCAGTTATACTATATATGTCCTTTCATCCCCTTTCAATTTTCAATGAATCGAATAATACATAAGCAGACGTGCTTCGATCTATGAATTCATGCATCAGTGGGGTGACTATTGTTTCATCTATGGAGAATCATATATTTTTGTCTTCAATCTTATCTTTTTTCTTTTGCTTTTCTCTCTCTCTTTCTGTTTGCTTGATAAACCCTCACTATCATTGTATCAAGATCCATCCGCATCCATCATCCAGACCATTCTTATCCTGTGTATCTAACTTGGTTAAATCGACTACCATCCTCAAAGGTAAGTGTCGAGTGGTCTACCATCGATTTTGCTCCGGCAATAACAGACTTACCTCTCTTTTTTTTCCATCCTCCTTTTAGCTTCCGGTTTTCTCCGTTTTCTTTTCGCCTGACAAGTTCTGGATACTACTACTTGACTTTTTCTCGCCAGCCATCCATCCATCTGGCGAAACTGGATGACGTCAAAGTCCATCGCGATGGTGGGACTCCCTTTTTCATCGGAAAACGCTTACACGTCCTCTTCATGTTCCTCTCCTTTGAATTGCTTCTCATGATATGGTATTCGAGATGTCTTCCCGATTATTGTATTTTGTATTTTATATTTCATGTACATATTCTTTTCGCAGTCTTATCCTCTTTTTTTCCCACAGGGTTTTTTAGGAGGTTTTTACTGACGCGACCATTGTTTTTTTTATTATCATGTACTTTTTATGTTTTTCTTTTCTTTTCATTTGGGAAACTCTTAATATCTGGAATCCAGCTCGAAATTACCGTCACTTCTGGCCACGTCAATATTTCTTGCCTGCTCAAGTTAACACCGCTGATCCATTGCTTAACTGTCCCTGGAAGCAATTTTATTGTCCGCATCGAAGAAGAAGCTTACCTGTAGTCCGTATTCATCGTTTTTTTTTCCGGTACACCATTTGGTTCAAAGGCAAGTCCAATTTCTTTTCTTTTGCTATGAGATATAATGAATGTATACTAATTCAAAATTTTTTCAATATCATATAATGCAAGTCATGTCAAGCGATCAATGGCTATTGAAAACTCAATTAACAAAGGTAAAATATCTTGACGAAATTTGAATCAATCAAAGAGCTTCCTAACTCTTTTTTTTAAATACCCAATATACCCACACATCTTTCTAGATCTATCATAGCCTGGGCGGAATGGAACTGAGGGGGGGAACCAGTGCTGCCCTGCGCGTGTTCAGAAATAACTCTTGTTGCACTGTATGCTATAAGGTTGTCATTAATATACCAAAGTCCGTTAAGAGTTCACGCCCAGATTATGCCGTGTATGCATTAGGCTTTTTGTCTGATGAAAGTCACTCAATGTAAGAGGGCGGTTCTCTGGTGGCAGGCGGCATCCATTGCACAGCAGGTGTACGGCTTGTTAATCACTCACAAAACACAAATAAAATTGTCCAATCAGAGCCTGTTCAACGTTAAATTTACCGCAAAATGATTGGATAAAAAACATTAAATTACGTCATTCTTACTTATTATCAACTTACTTATATGTTCTTCAAAATTAAAAAACAAGTAAGTCACTATGTCCGAGTGGTTAAGGAGTGTGACTAGAAATCACATGGGCTCTGCCCGCACAGGTTCAAATCCTGTTGGTGACGATATTTTTGCTTTGGCTCCTCGCTCATTTTTTAGCCAATCAAAATTGGTGTGGCTGGAGCGGATACCGTCCGAAAATGGTTGAGCTTCTATATCTTCCTATCCTCAATCCTCTTGAATTATCCACTCTGGTATCAGTCGGTATATCAGATCCGAACGTAAGTATTGTCAGATTTGAGTACTCCTTTAGAGTTCAGTTTAAATCTGTAGTTTTTTTGTTCATTCTTTATTTCTACCATAACATGGTCATATTTATATTTTCTATCAAGATCATTTTTATGTCTACAATCTTCAGGAAGGTTCTCGTCAACTTCCTGCACGGTTTTCTATTATTCCGAAACATAACCAATCAAGAAGTATTACGGACCACTTTAATGCTAAACGGATTCGGTCTATATTTCTTCCGTTTTCCAGGCAATACCTTTGGTATGCCTCGTTCATCCATTGGTCCTTCATACCTTCTCGAAGGTTCCTCCAGACATCGATCTGCGGACGAGCCAATGCGCTGTCTTCCGTATTTGCTAAACTTTGGTATAGCAAATCTAATCGGCGCAAAAGAAGAACCGGCGTAACTG